CCCTCCAGTCTATTCAAGGTCGACATCTGGCGCCCCTAGTCAGATCCACCACGTAACCGCCCTTAGGTTACGCCTCACCTATCCTACCCTTACAGTTCGCCAGGGATGCTCTCGCACGAGGCGAGTATCGGCGCTGCCATGTCCAATTTTCTCGATATCGGCAAAATTGCACGATTGTGAGCATTTGGGCTATTAGGCTCTTCATATGCAAGTACAGCGCTGATCAAATGAGCAGCAGGCTGGCCCCCAACATACACTTCTACAACAGCCAATACACAGATGTGGATCGCGTTTCCCACCACAACCGGAGTTTCTGGAACGAATTGGAGGAGGCAAGGAATGACCCGCCGGGTGTATCGGGATTGGAATTTCACTGGCCTGTTACGCTGAAGCTATACGGACCGGAAGAGGAGGTCGCCTGTCCCGTCTGTCTGGAGACTGTATAATGTAACAGTAATACAGATTCCGTTGCCTTCTTCGGCAACACCTGACACGCTTGGTGCACCACGGACTTTACGTTCAGAACAGTGCGTCACTTACGAATGTCCACCGAGAATGATCTCGCCCCTTGTTGCTATATCGAGGCCCAACAGTCTGCTGTCGTCTCACCTAGCTATCCTGACCCACAACTGATCGTCATATACATGCCATGCGCTGCTGCTGAGTGTCTGTTGTGACTTTTCTCTACGCTCGTCAGATGGTAGTCTACAAAGCGATCGTTTCATTCCCCCAGCCCTGACGCCAATATACATGCACCGAAATGCGAAGTCAACATGTCAAGAGGGCAGAAAGACAAGTAGAGTACGAGTAGAGTATGTACTCTACTCGTAATACTCTACTCGTACTCTACTCGTACAGTATGTTGGCAGATAAGCAGCCGTCCGGACTCGATGCACGGTGCATCCGGACATGAGTGGCCGGTGATGCTTTTGGTTTTCGTCCTTCGTTTTGTCTCCTCAGAATGCACATCTCACGACTCCCCGCCCATGTCCCTCATCACCCTCGACCCCCTCCCCTCAGATGTTCGCAGCCTCATCTTCGAATGCCTCCAGAAGACCACCCACAAACCCACCCTCGCTTCCCTCGCGCGCGTCTCTCGGTCGATATACGCCCAGTCAATTCCCCGCCTCTACAAGAGGGTCCGCCTCAATGCGTTCAATGTGGAGGCCTTCTTCGGATGTCTCATATCAGACGGTCTGGGTGGTATTGACAAAGAGATCTCCGCCCATGAGCTGCATATTGACAACTACTTCGGGCAGCTTGAGGCCAATGAAAACTACATTTTGGCCGTCTCTTACATCCCGTCTCCCATTGCGCGAAAAATTTGCCAGATCTGGCAAACTTCTCATGTATTACTCGAAGACGGGACTTCCGCAGCCTACCTGCAAGAGGCTCTGACTTCTTTCAAGTACCTCCGCCGCCAGCTCTGGAACCGAATAGACGGACTCGATGATGACGATCGAGATTGGCGAATGGACCGTTTCTGCCATTCCTTGTTCTTTCCTGGTACTTTTGACGCAATGATTCTGGGCGAATCACTTTGCAGATGCTTCACTCTCTACCCAGAAGTCTGGAAGGGTGCCTACGATATGCTCACAAGGGACGACGACTTGGGAGTGTTCACGTCCCTTTGTCTCCATCTGCCTTCCAGTTGTACAGGTAGCGCTGCGACCAGATACTGTAGTCGCATGGTATCAATGGACCTAGAATCAAGTGAAAAAGAAAGTGAAAATGGCGTATGTGAACTGTGCATTCACAACGCCAATCCCCTAGACCATATGGTAGATATGGCATCCGAGAACCTGCACATCTTCCTGCGGCCCGAGTCCTCGCAGGGCATGCTCTCACACGAGGCCAGTCTTGGAGCTTTCATGTCATGGCATCTCGATCTCGTGGAATCACAAGGGTGAGCACTTTGTTCTCTGGAATACCCATCATTTCATGAACTGATCGGTATGATAGGAGGCGTCTCCCGAATATGTTCTTCTACAACAGCATGTTCACAGACGTAGATCGTGTCTGCCACAAGGGCGTCAATGTCTGGGAGCGATTGAAAACCATGGGACCGCCAAATGATAGGCCTTTCACGGTGAAGATGTTTGGGCCGGATAAGAAGGAACTGTGCCCCGTCTGCATGGTAGAGACTTGAAGATGTACGTGTATACTGTTACCTTTGCTGAATCATGTTGATATACAGCGGTAGTACCAGCACCTGTAACGCTGCTGAGTATGCCTGCTTTGCACCAAACACTCCTTTCGACGTCGTCCCTCAAAGGATTGCATCTACCCCGCCGCCATGGCGCAGCTATACTACCCGCCCGCTCCTTTACTACCTCATCTGCCTATGACGCGCCTCCTCGCTTCACTTTGGACAAAGGAGATGCGCCTGGTGGAATCCCAGATCGGCACTCTACAATGGCCCCAAACGAGCCTGGACCTTGGAGGGCATGGAGCGCAGTATCGAAGGATGGTCTGTTACGGGGTTGCCGGACGAGTCGGCTTCGGGCGATTGGGCCCTCCACGTAAAGCAGGGCGAGGAGCTGTAAGGAAGGCCTAGGGAAAGTTGAAGGGAGGGACGATGCGGCAAGGGCCGGCAGGTTTGAGGCCGTCGTATATGAGATGAGATGGGTTGTCGCTCTTGCAGAGTCCTAGCTCACACTCGCTCTTTCTTTGTACGACAACTTTCTTCTTTGGGTTGCACCCGCCATCTTTCTTCTGATTCATCTTCCTCCTCGTGGTAACGAATTTCGCAACGACCTTGATCATGACATTGCCTCGCCCTATTACTGCCGAATCGTAAGCCAGATACGGTCACCCCATTGCGCATACTTACTGGGCATACAGCGAGACTCTCAACCCAAGCACGCCGCCTCCATCTCTCGTAACGACCTACTCCCGCGAATCTCTTCTATCCCTGCGCACCCCCGACCAGCCCCCACCCAACCCTATCCGACTCCAGTCCTTCTCCATCCTTCGCTCCAACTCGATGAGCGACGACGACTGGGGCATCGACGAAAGTCTGTCCAAAGTCCTCGGCGGGCGTAATGGCAGCGAAGACTGGTCTTTCGCTCGTATGAATGCTGAAGCAGGCGTCAAGATGGCTGCGGGTAGGCCGGTGTCTATCAGGAAGGACAGCGGGTCGTCCAGCGGATCAGACGGGGACGAGGTGTTGTTCCACTTTACCTCTGCGACCCCATCCCACATGGCGCCGCCCAAGATCCTCACGGATTTCACCAACCCCTTTGCGCAAACAGTCAAGCCCGAGGCTACCAAGGCGCAGAACCTTGGCGTTGGCGTTGGTTTACCTATCCGCCTCGGCCCTCGAAAGTCCTCCACCAATGCTCTCGACGTCTTTCAGACTTTCCCTTCCAGCGTCAATTCTGCTTCATCTTCTCTTCATCTTGGACCCGCCCAGATGGGCAGCCTGGGTAAAGACTTTGGAAGGATGAGGCTGGGAAGAAGAGACAGTGCCGAGAGTGTTGGGAGTGTCGGTAGCGCTACGAGCGGGACCAGCCGAGTCAGCATGGGCGGGCTCAACCCCTTTGCAGCACCTTTCCCACTCCCTCCTACAGCTGTCCCCAACGCGCCCAACTCCTCATCACCCTCTTCTTCGAGCACCTCCCCATCCATCCCCGCACCCACCGCATCCCTCCCGCTCCCCAACCCTCCCACGTCCCTCCCCGCGCGCCCTCCCGGACCTTTACCTCCAGTATTCATCAAGCGCGAGTCGGCAGCGCTGCCACAACCCATGTCTTTGCCTGATATCGCGCCGTTGGGTAAAGACTGGGAAGGCGAGAATAGTTTGAGCGGGAATGAGAAGCGGAGGATGAGTGGAGTGTTAGGTATGATGCCGAGTGCCATGGGCGGTGGGAGTTTGGGTGGGAGCTCGGCAACGTCTAGGACGGGTAGTGTGAGCTCTGCGGCTTCTTCGACTCAAGGGCAGGATCAGAAGATCATCATGGGTTCTTCGTACTCACAAAGGCCACCACACCTTGCCAAGCTCGGAGAACGCCTTCGGGAGAGTGTCTCGCATACCAAGCAGGAGCGTGTGGCGTCTGTTAGGGCTTGAGGAGAGCAGCCAAGATCAATGGAGAAGCGATGAGCGAAGTGTGGGCGGGGGGGGAATATGGAGGAACTCTGTAGACAGTAGAAGGACCTGTCATCAGCAACGTGTATCTCCATTAGTCATGATCAACCCCATCGTCAATCCGCCCTGCTTGTCTGGATCAGATTCGAAAGCCCGTAGCAACATCAATCCCCTGATGAACCCTCTGCGTGTGCGATGGTGACTGTCTCATTGATGTAGCATATGACTCGGGTATATTGTTGTTTCACTGTAGAAAAGGGGGATGTTGTGTAAAGGCAGTGACGAGCAATACGCTGCGAAGGGTGAGAACAGAGAATCACAGAATGAGGGACATAAGACCGTACGTACGCGCAGAACTGAAAAAAAAATGATAAGAGATACGAATGGTGGAAACCCGTTTGCAAATGACCCCTCCTTCCGATACCCTTTCCCTCGACATAGTTTTCTCTCTGTGTTTTGATTTTCTTCTTTTCTACAACATCTTCCCCTCATTCTTCCCCCGACTCCCGGCGTGGGAGTTGTCTAGTGGAAGAACTTGACGACCAACACACTCAAGTTGTCTGTCGAAAAGTTGCCCATAGCATGTTCCAACAGCCTTCTGCTCGCCTCTTGCGGGTCCTGAACATTTTGTATGATGTCGACAGCTTCTTGGTCGGAGCAGACGTCCCAGAGCTGTCCATATATGTCAGCTTTCTGAAGAAACTACCGAGGGGACAGAACGTACACCATCACAAGCAACAATCAGGAATTCGTCTGTGTCGTCGAGGGTGGTCTCGGTAGTGTATGGTGAACCGACGACAAACTCTTTCATGGAAGCATCCCCGAGCGATCTGGTCACGGCGAGAACACCTGCAGGATCATCAGTACAGATCACGATGGGTTTGTGCGACTCGGCGTACCGTTGACTCGGTTGTTCATGACAAAGCCTCCAGCATCGGTGATACGCTTTGCCTCCGAAGCATCACTTCCCTTGTGGTCGTAGGTCAATCTGACGGCTTTACCTCCACGCCTACATATCTGTCAGCACTCTTCACATCCGAAACCGACGTGTGACCCACGAGAGCACACCTCTAGCATCTCCGACGTTGGCGGTATAAAGCACTCTCCGGACACCCTTTGACGATTGCGGCTCAATAGCATCCACCTTGGTCCCATCCACCGTGATAATCGCCTCATCATCATTATCATCATCCTCCACCGCTGAGCCTTCTCCGAATCTGGTCGCGAGACCCTTGACAAAGTCTCTAATCTTCCTGCTAGACATTTTGCGGACCATGCCGTTCGGGCCTGAGCCATAGGAAGAAGCGCCTCCGGCCTGACCGCTGGTACCCCCGCCCATGGAAGATCGGCGAGAAGAAGGCTGCTGAGAAGTCAACGCCTCGAGCTCCTCTTCTCCCCTACCCTCGAACAACCCGCGCGCCTGCAATCCGGGGTTGGTGAACCCTTTGTGGACGGTGTTGTCGACTTCTTCGACACGAAGGAAGGCGGTGACGGCCGTACAGCCTGATGAGGTGCGGCCGGTTTGGGCGAGGTGGGAGAGACGCTGGTCGACGACGTGGAAAGTCTTGTTCATGATGTCGGGGATGGGGGTGTCGGGCTCGGTGATGAGTGCATCAAGGAGGTACTACGGGCGGGGTCAGTATACACGAGAACTGATGGGCTGGGGACGTACTTCGTGGAAGTTCTGACCACACCACTCGGCAGCATGCTTGCCCGCATGCCCATCAAACACCGCAAAGTATCCCTGGCCCTTGACCGCCGCAAAGTCGTAAACAAAACTATGCGCATCCTCCATCGTTCGCCTGCACCGACGATTCCGGTCCTCGCTGACGCCTACACGGAATGATTCTGAGGGGATGCTGGGGTCATTGGCGATGGATACGGGCCTCGGTGCCGGGTGTCGGTTAAGTGCCTGCGGAATCAGCACTAGTCTACGATATTATAGCGGCTGTACTCACGCCATACGTGCTTTCGCCGTCAGGGGCCACGGTGACACTCTTGCTCCTCGCGTTGGGACCCTCTGAAAGACCGCCCGGTCGGCGAGGCTGGGGCGAGGTGGGGCTGTCGGCGGGGTTGGACTCGTGGTCGGACATGGAGACGGGGGTGGCTGTTTGCTGAGGGGATGTTCTGTTTTTTAGATTTTCGGGCCATGGCGAGAGATAGATGCAACACAGGACGGCAGTCGCGAGGTGATCAAGAACAATAGGAAAGAGGCCGATGCGTGGTCAGCGAGTGCAAAGAACAGTGGCAGCGGCGACTCACACTTCCTGGGCCAGGGGGGACGGCGTGTTCGTTGCTAGGGGAGGCAGTAATCCGTCAGCTCGTCTCCTCCATCTCCTCCATCTCCCCCATCTCCCCCGATGCATGCATGCCAGGGTGGCGAGGGGGATGTTGCAAAGAACCATCATCTCCAGGTCCCTCTCGGCTGCCTCTCCGTCTTTTGAGGGCTCCTCGGGCAAGTCATATGAGTTATGGATGAGAGCGCTTGGTAGCAGCCACCACTGCTACTGCCATTCCGAGGGATAGAACAAGCAGCAAACGTGTTTACGGTGCTCGGCAGGCAAGACCTGGCAACGCGTACGGGGAGAAAACGAGGCGAGCGATGCCGGGGGGGGACTCACTGTGGTCTGGCTGGCGGGGTGCGAGGTCTGCGAGCTTGGGGTGGTCTGGGTGGTTGAGGGCGAGGGAGGATGGCTGGAGGGGGGCGCTCATGGCGAGGAGGATGATGAGACAAAGTAAGAAACGATGCGCGTGAGCGAGCGTCTGCGTGACGAGAATTGCGGGATTACGGCGTCCTCCTGGTGGAGCTCGCTGGGAGTTTATATTCTGCGCATCCCAGGCTGTCATCAGGTGTCAGGTCATGCATAATGTACTCCCTGGCCATTTGCTTGTCTCCCCAACCACTTTATCAGCTGATTTACAGTCCACAGACTGATCATTCCAGTGCATTCTGATCCCACTCTGGCGTCCACCGGCAGCACGATCATGATGAGCGACCTGCAACTGCGATCACTCTTCTCCCTGAGACAATCATCGAGTGCATCGAGGTTGGACTGGTCCACTCCATGTTCACTGTGCTTCACAAGATCGAGCTCGACAAAAGGGGTGGACAGGGGCAATCAGGAAGCAGGGGCTCGGCTTGTTTTGAACGAAGAACCCTTAAAATGACTTGGAAGTCGGACTCGGTCACTCGGCCCGACTGTTACATGCATGGAAGTCGAAATATGATTAAATACGATTGTACGAGTACATACGGGTGCATTCCATATACTCGATATGTCCAGCCATCCGTAGACTCTCGACAGGGCTTGGAACTCACGTTCTGCCATTCATCCTCCAACCCGCTCCGACCTTGACATATGCGGCTTTCAAAATACCACCTCGGAAAGAGGAAAGAGGTCTCTTGGTCGGTCTTGTCCAAGAGAAGCTCCAGCATGGCGGCAATGTATGATATAGAAGGCGTGCAGTCGAGTACTGACGAGCAGGAAAAGAATGAGTACAGTACTCGTACTCGTACTATGACCCGGAGCATGGTCAGTGAACAGCATCTAGCCATATATATAGAGCAGTGGCAAGACTGCTCACCATCGCCTACGTCTCCACCATCGTCTCCACCATCGTCTCCCACCATCGTTCCCGCCATCACGCTCCACACTCTGCTGCCCTTTCGTCTATCCTCATCCATCATTTACATCATATGCTACATTCCAATGATCCTTCCTGACGTGCATTGCACGATGGGCACCTCGAGCTCTCAAGTCTTGTCGAACCCCGGCTCTTCCGGCATCGGGACCATATCTGCCCCTTCGTTTTCCCTCGAGAGCACTGGCTACTTTCCGCTCTATTCACGAGCGGCACGAGCGGCTCTATTCACGAGTGCCATCGTCAAACGTGTGCAGTAAGTTTTGATTGCCTTCATTTGCCCTATCATGTACTGACTGTCTGTCAAAGCATATCATCTACCCTCGCTGGTAGGTTGTCTTGACGCCATCCCATCTCCCCTGTCGTGCCCGAGTGATCAAGGAGTAGCAGAGGGATCCATACGGTGAGTCGCGCCACAGTCGAGCTACCTATATATGAGCATGTTGCCGAAAAGTCGATAACACGGACTTACATCACACATTTTCTAAGCAGGCAGGGCAAACCACCTTCTCGTCCGGGCCATATATCTTCATCTGGACTTCCCAAACCGTGGTCTCCATCTCCAGTTCACGTTTCAGACTGTGCCAGAAGTTGTTGCCTTGATGAGAGACACGATCTACGTCGGTGAACATGCTGTTGTAGAAATAAAAATTGTAAGGCGTGCTTTTATTGAATGAGCGCATGGATGAAACAGGGGGAGGGTGCTCACTTCTCTAGTGAATTGATTGCCATATCGAGATAATGAAACATGAGTGCACCGATACCAATTTCGTGCGAGATCATATCCTGCGAAGACTCGGGCTTCAGGAAGACGTGCAGGTCTTCGCCAATGACTTCAAACATGAGGTCCAGAGGATTTGCGCTGTGGAAGCATATCTCTTTGATCATATACAATTGGTTCGCCGTTGGCAATATGTCTTTGCAGAATAGCGCTGCAGAGGTACCCCCACAGTCAGGAGGTAGATGAACGCAAAAGGACGTGAACATGGCCATGTCATATGACTTGAGCATTTGAGAGACACCCGACCAGACTTGTGGGTAGAGAATGAGACATCTAGCGAGAGACTCGCCCAGGATGAGCGACCCAGTCAATTGATCACCAAACAAGTAAGAGGAGATACGACTTGCAACGTAATCGAACTCGTCCTGATTTGCGACGAGCTGCCTGTGAAGATGCTCACAAGAGACTATAGCCTCATGCAGAAAGGATGCGGCGGGACCGTCCTCAAGAAGTACACGATCAGTCCACCAGAGCTGACAGAGCTTCCGCGCGATAGGAGACGGTATGAAAATGAAACGGGAGGATGAGAGGCTCTCTAGTTGGGAGACGTAGTGCTTGAGATACGGTTTATGGGCGGCGATCTCTTTGTCAATCCCACCGATGCCATCGGATATGAGACGTCCGAAAAAGGCCTCCGCATTGGAAGCATTGAGGCGGACCGTCTCGTATAGGCGAGGGATTGACTCGGCGTATATTGCGCGAGAGACGCATGAGAGGGTAGCGAGGGTGGGTTTGTCGGTGGTCGACTGGAGGTGCTGGAAGATGAGTTGGCGGACTTCGGAAGGGAGAGGGTCGAGGGTGGTGAGGGGCATGGTTGGGGTAAAGGAGAAAGATAGACGACATGGAAATTTCATGATCTGGATCTCGGACTGCTATGGTATGTCCGGATGCCCAGCGCGTCGGGTCCGGACTACTCATCTCTATCGACTTTCTACAATCGCCTTTGTATGTTTATTCTGCATTACTTTCCAAAATCTCTCGGTTCTTCAGAGTCTTTGCCAGCCCGTCATGACCGCCCCCTACTCTCAAGCAGACATTCTTGCCGCCCTGTCCGCCCAATCTGCACTCCCTCGGACCACCCCGACTTATCCCTTCTCCTCGTTCCCCACTCCTCTGCTCCAACTCACCAATTCCGTCCCCGAGGATAAGTCTGAATCCCCAAAGACAAATGGAAGAAAGGTGTACTGCCCCAGAGAAGGGTGTGGAAGCGTGATCATGCAGGCAGGCGTGGGGAACTGGCTCGATGTTCCGGGGGCTGTTGTAAGTTTCTGTCCGACTTTTGACTTGCCTATAGACTGACATATGAGTAGCTCCCTGACGATCCCGAATCACCCTTCCCTCCTGCTCAACCCCCTCACGCTGCTTGGCACGTCCCGAATGGCCCCTTTGAATTCGACAACATTGGCTTCTCCCGGCCGGATGCTTCGGCCTCTCCTTTGCCAGCCCATGCTCCAGGGTACTCGGCAGAGAAGAAGGTCAAGTGGCTGATATGCGGAGAATGCGATCTTGGGCCGCTGGGGTGGAGCTACGAAGGAGGGAAGGATGCGTGGCTAGGAGTCGAGAGAGTGAGGTACGGGGAAGGCAAGAAGCCGCTGGAGTAAAGTTGTGAATGCATATAGATCTTGAGATACCTTGATGATATAAATCTTGCCGTTTCTGAATCCAATTTGCTGTTGAGCCATCTGTATCAAGCCAAATGTCAGTGATGTCCGGGGGGTCCGCCATGTCCACCTGCCCCGCTGTCCGCCTTCATCTTCTGCATTCACTACAGTTTACATCATAATCCATCTTGCTCTTACTTTTCCAACTCCCACAAACAGCAACATGGACACAGACCCCTGGGCAGACGCCCCCTCGACCCCGCCCCAGCCTTCCTCCCTCCCAACGCTCCCCTTTTCTCCACCAGATGCGCGCACCGGCACTGGCTCAGGTCTCGCGTCCCAGATGGGGTCGCCGTTAAAAGCTCAAGCGTCAACCCTTGAGGATGTGAGCGGAGGCTTTGGACTCGAAGATGAATCTGCGGGAGCCGGTGATGTAGCTCGGGTGCCGGCGAGTAAGGAAGAGACAGGGGAAAAGAACGAAGAGCCTCCAGCTGTTGCTGAAGCTGAGGAAGATGACGGCTTTGATGACTTTGACGACTTTAACGACTCTGCCCCCACACCTGCTGCCAACGGATCGTCCACTACAGCTGAAGATGACGACGAAGGCTTTGGTGACTTTGGCAACTTTGAAGAGGGTGATTTCGAGGAAGAAGAAGCGCCTCAGGAGACACCGGGCACTGGAGTAATGCAAGAGCCCGAGTCGATGGTAGAACGATGGGTGCGTACAGCTCGTGCTTAGAGGGAAATGCTAACAGATCTGAAGCGTGCCCTGGAATTGAGACCACCACCACCCAGGTCGGAGATAGCAAACCAGCTCTCGGCGCTCTTTGCTCCCCTTCTCGATTCTGGCAAAGACCTTCTGACGAACGAACCGCCTCGAGCTGTCGGTGGCCTCAGCCAAGTCCTTGTTGGTGAATCCAGGTATGCAATACAACGCCCATACATACTCATCAACTTACTGAAGACGTGATAGCCGAGACGCCTACGCCCAGTTGACGACCCCGCCATTGACAAAACCCCTCGACTGGACTCGTTCCCGCGTCCGGCGCGACCACCTCATCTCCCTCGGCGTCCCCGTCAACCTCGACGAAGTCGACTCTCACCGCCTTTCCTCTCTTCCTCCTCTGCGGATCACTACAAGCTTTGCCACGTCCGGTGGGAGAGGTAGGCCTCAGCCGAGGAGGGCAGAGACGTTTGATTCGTATTCAAAGTCTGGGGATGGTGATGGGAGGTATACGGCGGAGCAGAAGGGTAAAGGTCGTGATCAGGGACCTTTCAGTGCTGCACCTGGAGATGGCGCGGGGACTTCGGGCAAGTATGGAATAGGTTTGAGGCCAGAGATGGATACGCCGAAAGCGGAAGAGCTGTGTGGCTTGGAAGAGGGTACGTCGCAGCAATTTTCTGGATCCAATTCACAGCTCATCTACTGCAAAGACGCCCTTTCTCTTCTACCGTTATCGACCTTGAGGACCCTCCAACAAGATCTTGTCACCACCTCGGCGCAGGCGAGCGCAACCTTGGCGTGGATGTTGCAGCTCAAGGATGCTCAAACGCAGGACAGTGCTACTTAGTAAATCCCCATCCGCCTCTTTACCCATTCTTTGAAACTGACGTATATGATTTTCAGCAATGGCATGATATCATCCCTCATCGCCAACGCCGCCCGCGCCAGAACAGCCCAACAATCCTCTGGCGGCGGTGTCTTCCGGCGCAGTTCTACCAAAGTACAGAGCCGACCGCAGAGCGTCAGTGGGAATGGGGGCATGACGCCGAGGAGGGTGGGAAGTCCAGGAATGTGGTAGTTGGCTAGACAATCTTACAAAGATGATCCAAAGGGGTGCAGTTGTATCGATCAATCATTTTGACATGTACCGATGTGGATAGAGGAGCAATCTGGACACAGGTTCCAAGTCGTGTTATTTCATGAAAGGGTTCACTTATCTGGCTATAGCGTGTATATCTGGTTATGTCATTATCGAGATTCAGCTATATTTCGTGTTTCTTCTTCCTCTCATTCTCTTCACAAGTCCACAGGTGGATTATTCAGCCTTGATGAGTCTCGCAATCTCCCTCGCGCCTTCTTCACCTCCGTTCCAAAAGCCACCAAGCACCTCGGGTGCAAAGACCTTCTCCCTCACCTCTTGCACCGCGCTAGTTTCAGATCGCACCCCACCAGCCCCACCAGCCCTCAACCTCCCGAGCTCCCTCTCCTCCCAGCTCCCCCTCCACCAAACCCTCTCCACCGTCCCCTCCACAACCCAACTCAACACCAAAAACCCATGGCTCGCCCCGAGCGCAATAAGCGCCAGGGGAACGAGAGATTCGAGCGTGTGGACGTTGATCCATGAGGTGAATGGGTTGGCGGGGGAGGAGTGTTCGTGGAATGTGGAGACGATGTGAGAGAGGGCGTGCGAACCCGGCAAGGGGAAATTGGGGTTGGCCGATTGACTGCCCAAGCTTGGTCCTTCAGGTGCAGGCCTGAAAAGGTAGATCAAGGTGCTACTCGTCACAGCGCCGAGCCAAGAGATCAAGCCGAGCGTATCGAGCCAGCTCCCGATTGTCTCGACGCGGTCGCCGACGGGGCGGCGGACGTGTTTACAGATTTTGAGGGCGTCGGAGCGGAGCTCGATGTAGTTGTTGATGAGTGCAAAGATGGGGGCGAGGGGCCAGACGATGGACCAGAGGGTGACGTAGCCGAATTGGGTGACCATCTCGGCGTAGTCGGCTGCGATAAAGTCAGCTTGCTTCCAGAAGATGAAATGTATGGGACGCACTGAAAAGGGTGTACTCGGGCAACTCGAGCTCGCGCTCAACCTTGTCCAAGAATCGCTTCTCGACATCATCCTCCGTCACCGGCGTCTTTTCCCCAGCACCATTAGGCCCACTTCCACGACGGGTGATGGCTTCTCTCAGAGTCGTCTTGCCAGCACGCCACTCGTTGATGAATCGGAGAATGTAAGGAAGACCGAGTTCGAGGAAAGCGTTGACAACTTGGTTTGTGACAGTGTCTGAGGAGGGTAAGCGATAATCTTGACACGGGTAGGGGACGTACAAGCAAAGAGCTGGCTCTTCAGCCTACCACCGTTGATAGCAGCCTTGTCGATCCCAGTCCCTCGCGCAGAGCTTCCGGGCCCAGTCTCAGTCTGCACCGTCCCATTCCCACTCCCGCCAACCTTCTCCACCGAGAACCCCTGTCCCGCCAGCTTATTCTGCACATGTCCCATGATGAAGGAACCGAACGGAATATAGACGTAGGCCGAGAGGAAGAGACCGAGGTAAGCAACGATGGCGTTCATGGCGAACGTCTTGGCGGTGAGCGACTTTTCCTCGCCGGTGGGCGTGGGGTGGTCTTCCCATTTGACCATCAGCTCGGCGAGGTATCCATACCCCGCGACAATCTGGGGGACGAGAAGGGAGAAAAGAGCGGTAGGGATGAGGGGCACAATCTCTTTACCGTACCCGTCGTATGCCTCGCCGACGAAAGCTTCGAGGACAAAGATTCCCATGAGCACGATACCGAGGCCGACACCGCATGCCACGATGACGGGGATGGAAGCGGCGACTTTGGTGTCCCGCTTGAGTTCGTTACCGGCCTGGATAGCGTCGACGGCTTGGAGGTCCTTCTTCTCGTCAAAGCCGAGAGAAGCGACGTACTCGGGGCGGAGTCGGCTGATGGCCATGGACTCGCAGCCGATAGTACCCCAGCGGACGGCAAACTTGCGCTGCTTGACGCGCCAGATGGCGACAAAGACGGAAGCGTAGACAGACAAGAGGAAGGCGTAGAGCGGTGGGTAAGAGTCGGCGGGGGTGAAGAGGTAGAAGAGGACAGAAATGACCGAGATGGGCAAAAGGGAGAGGGTGTAAGTGGTGAGGAAATCAAAGTAGAGGTGGACTGGAGGGGGCTGTTGATCGCCCAGTCCTCCGGACCTTTGCGTGTCCTCGTCGAGACCTTTCGTGAGTCCGACCTTCCAATCACCGCCGGTGGTCCACTTTTCAATCCACTGATGGTCTGCAGCTTCATCGTGCAGAGCCATGATACTCTTGACACGCGACCACCGACCGCGTCCTGGGGTGATGCCCAAGCCGCCTTGCAGAGCAGGCGCGGTGAGAACGTTGTAGATGAGCCTCAAGCGGGTCGCAGGTGATGGAGGGAAGGTCACTGGAGGCGTGGGCAGGTTGTGGGCGGCGTCCATTTGGCTGTATCCGGGTCAGCCCCATATACACGTATGACAGACATGCGCTTACCGCTCCTCTTCTACAAGACGCTCTACCTTTTCTTCCGAGGCGCTGATGAACACCCACACCTCCTCCTGCCCCTTGCCAGCCCGTCCGGGCTTGGTAGCGACTTTGAATCCCCCGTGCCCTTCGATAGCCCTCAAGAGCTGCTCATAGCCCTCCTTGATCTCGAGCTCAGCCTTGGTCCTGTTCTTGAGGTCCTTCTTGCCAAGGGCGATGCTGTAGGGGACGACGAGGTCGACGTCGTAGGGGTTGTCGACGACGGGGGCGCGGGTGTGGCGGACGGGGGGTCCTGGGGCGGTGGGGGATGCTGGGACGTGGGCCATCCTGATCCTGATCCTGTGTCGCTGAAAGAAAGGGGAGATGGAGAAATTGCTGCGAAACATCATCCATCATCGACATGTTCAAGGCGGTTGTGACGTAATCAGGCACCCAGCCCAAGACGGGACTGAACGTTAACGATTGAGGTGCCAATAGCATGCATGTTGCTCGAGTAGAGGTATGTATTTCGAGATAACTCAGCTGCTTTGACTGATCTAGAGGAGCCTAATCAATGAGAGAGGGAAGGATGAGAGAAGACAATGAATGTTATGCTGAGTGCGCGGTCTCCACCTCAAATGTTAGCACATAGACATGCAGCGACAGAAGAAGGTACAATTTGGCTAGGGATGAATGATACCATGGCGTACTATAAAATATAAAGTATAACGAAGAAAAGAAACAGAATTCACGCTCGCCAACATGCCACCCGCCACAGTTCGTTCAACGTGGCGGCTGTCTCCACTGTGTGTTTGCGCCCTCATCCCCTCACAACGCTTTCATTTTATCCTTCTTTGTCTTTCCATCTTCCCATCTCAACAACACCCATCAGCTCGCATCCCCCCAAGGGGGCCACAGTGCTCATCTGGTGGGGCACGCCCGTCTGGGCTACAGGTATGCCTCCTCCGCTCTCCCCATCATCCCCCGCTCACTTGTCTCAGCGCGTCCCATTTTCCCCTCCCTACACCCCCTTTCGTGGATAGAAAGCCTCGCTCTTCCCTCTTACTCGGGGAGAGATCCACCGATCCGATCTTCATCACAGAATCATCCTATCAGCTCTCCCCACCACTCCTCTCCTCGGCTCTCCCTACCACCACTTACTCCCCTCGTCGTCGGCTTTCCCTGCCACTCTATCAGATAGGAGGAGGTGGAGTCTACTCAAAGATATGAGTCTCGACTCCGTGGTCTACGAGTCGACTCACCGGTGCAAGACATCACCACCATCGGCCTTCCGAAGGCAGACGGCCATCCTGGGGTCACCAGCCGCAGTGAGAAGTCCGTGACTACCGCTTTGGATTTGATCTACATTCCGTCGTCTTCTTCTTTGGGAAGAGAAGGTAGACTGAAGCCGCATAGGAGTCCCAGCAGCTTTTCAGTCAGTTTGGAGTGAGCGTTGTAGCGGGGGTGGAAGTACTGCCCATCAGCCTCCAGTCACCGAGCGACAGGCTTATCGAGGCCAAGAAGGAAGTTTCATTTATATGTATAGCCGCTCAGATGATGAGGGCACTCGATGGCCCTGACGGAATCTGGCTTCGTGAGGATGTGCAACGGGGGATGTCGATGAGTGGGGATTTCGACGAGAGCGAGGACGGGAATCAGGGGAAGAGAGTGCGGTGGGTGAGAATGTGCAATCTGTCAAGTAAGCCTGCAATCTGTCAAGTAAGCCATGCTGTCTTGGCTGCTGTCCGAAAGAGACGCTGATTACTAGTCACCTAGTGTGTGGACGAGCTGGTGGCCCGACAGGCAAAAGAAGTTCTTTCCACAGCCTACTCTCTCGGGTTCGTTGTCCGATTCGACAGGAGGTTCTCCTCAGACGACGGAGAAGTCTCTCTACACCTCAGAGTCTCGCCCATGGTCGGCCACCAAGGCCGAGTCATCTGTTTTGAGGCTGATGGGCAGTACTTTCACCCCCGCTACGACGCTCCCTCCAGACTGACTGAAAAGCTGCTGGGACTTCTATGCGGCTTCAGCCTACCTTCTCTTCCCGAAGAATAAGATGACGGGAAGTAGGTCAAGTGTGACCGAGGAGAAGGTCATTGGGTGCAGGGTATGAGAAAGAAGACGAGGGCGAAGCCAAAGAGAGCGAACAGGGGTGAAATAGTAGCGGAAGGGGGGTGAGAGGAGCAGCAAATGGATTGCGGTTGAGGAGTATTGTGTAAATTTTATCTGAAAGAAGAGTCAGTCGATGGAGTAAGAAGGAGACATGTAGAGCCTAGCTTTGCAACCATGAGAAGGGCTTCAATATATGTGCACTCGTCTCGTCAGAATAGCCGATAGTCGAGGACATATCTGGGTGTGAAGGCGGGCTTGGTTAATCAGGGCAGAGTGAGCATCTTTGAGTAGTTAGACCACTCGGACTCGGCGTCACGCGTGGCGAAATCCACTGTTTTACGCAACTCTTGTACAAGTTGGGGCTGGCGGCTAAAAGTGGAAACAGAGTTGGAAAGATAAGCGACATGCGTTCCACGGAGCTTATATCGAAGAAGTTGCAGTCAATGATCAGACCATCAGACTCTATTTAGTGCATTAATTCATTCGTCTGCGCGGCACACACACCCGTCTTGTATCCAGATTTCACATCTCTCAGTGTTTCTTCTGCACTCAGAGTATGCTGCTAAGTTGAGTGACACCAAAAGCTGTGTCCATGTCATATGTGCTCATATGTAGGGGAAGACGATATTGACCGATTAAGTTGCGGCAGCTCGAAATTGACTCTGCGCATCTCCTCTTTTTTCTCCTCCTTGTCTTCCTGAGCGCCCGTCAATTCTCTCGCGCCATCAAAGTCAATGATCATCCAGCCTCCGCCCGGTCTCTGCAGCCAATGTCGAATGTCTATGTCTTGATGTAAAACGTTTGCTTGGTGGAGTCGCTCGTACTGTCTTAACAGCTCGCGACTTGTAGCAATCAGATCATGCACTCGAGGGGATCAATAAGTACTCACCGGGCTGAAGGATCATCGACACCTGTAAACGCATCGTAGACATCTTCTAGGGTTTTGCCCCCATATTCCATGAGCATAACCCAGATTTCCCTCCCAATATCCCACTGGCTCTTCGCCTTGAACACCCCACCCCATAGACCATAACACCTGGGTACCACCGAGCCTTGCAAGTGCTTGAGGCGTGTAGAGTAGAGGCGGTACTTGTTGAGGACAGCATCACGAGCAGTTTGTTGCGGAAAGTCTCGAGGGTAGCCGCTGTATGATGATGGAGATGTGATCTTGGCGATTACAGTTACTTTTTGCCCGATCTTCATGCCTTCAAACAGACCCTCTTCAGCTACTTCCAAAGTCGCAAGGAAGGAATCCCAGAGACGACCAATTCCAACAGGCTCATGGATCTGGAGATTGCTGATGACAGTGGGTCCCGGCTGTCCAGTCTCGCCGTCACCAGAAGCTGTTGAAGAATGGAATGAAGTAAGGCAAGGTAAAACGGCTGACTCGGGATCCAGGGGACCGATCAAGTTCCCGTCTCGGATAGCGAGAGGATACGAATGGATCAGTAAATCCGGCCGAGCTTCCTTGTCGCCCGAAAGGTGAATCGAGTAACGGCCAATCTGGTGTTTGTCTTTAGCTCGACGCATCGATTGACGCTTCACTTACATAGGGACTTCCCCTCTGTCCGCTTCCATCGACAAAGAAAGAGCCCTCGAGATGTTTTTGGCTTGACTTAGAGTCATTCTGGGGATGCGCAAGTCGCGCGGATCTTCTTCGCGATTGCCCATTTTGATTACTGTCAGGAGGAAAGACAGCCAGCAACGATGAAGGCCATGCTGGAAGTGGAAAGAGATCCAAAGGTGTGTCAAAAGACAATGAGCACAGAAGACCAACAGGAAGTTCAGTCAGGAGGTTGGGTTGATGGGCGGGTGAAAGATCGTCGGATGGGGTGTTGAGGTCTAGTGGACCTGCATTGCCGATAAGGGTAGAGAGGGAGAAGTGGAATGATTTGGGCTCATCGAGGTCTGGGAGCCTCTGCACAACCAGGAAGCGTTGGCAGTCGGTAATGAACAAAGATGAAGACCCGCGGGAGTGCATTCGGTCCACAACCTAGCTTAATGTCAGCGTCTGAGGGACGAGAGGATTGGCAATTGACGCTTACCTCTGTGAAAAACAGTCTGATTTGCTCTTCTTCCTCTTCACTAGTTGTTCCCAAGCGCCCGATGAGCCGGGTCTTTCCGTCTAAGACCGACAACCCAAAGCCATCTTCTTGAGCCTGTCTCGAGGCAATCTTGGCTATGGGCCCAAAAGACGGGATAGTCGTTGGCATGACCCAGCAGATGTTCGGACAAGGATAGGCAGAGGATAGGGCATGGATTGAGACCAGTTTCGGGTACACAGCTGAAAATCTGGGCCGACGCTTCTCAACTCGGTCTTCCAATTCGGGGTGGCAGTATCGCGCTGCGCCGGTCCCAGCGTGTACTCTGACAAAACTCCATTTACCATTGCGACCAGGCCTCTCTCAAGCCATAGCTCCATATGACGGGACTAGACACCTCCGGGGGTTTTTTCGGGTTCAAGCGAGCTTTATCCCAGCACTCGAGACACCTGATATCGGTGTCGTCGAGACGAAGCCTAGAAAGGGAATGTGATAGCGCGTTGAGCATGTCGGGATTATGGGAGAAGAGGACTCTGTTTGTATCCCATGCACTGACATACTGCGGGTCTGTGGGCTCGATCCACACCTCCCGTTCTATTTTGGCGTCTGGAAAGCGAATGGAGCCCATCCAGTCAGCGAGAGTGTCGGATGGAGCGGGAAGAGAAGCAGCGGGTAAGGGAGGGATCATTGTTATTCTTTCTTCGGCGACTTGCGTGGTCCGTATAGGAGAGTATCGTAGGGCTTATCGAGCGCGGTGATTTGATTGTAGTTGCGAAAGCGGGTGTGAATGCTTGTCACACGTAGTATCCCAGCTCGGCCGTGACAATGCTGCACAAGTAAGAAAGATGAGTGACAAAGGACAACAAAAGGACAAGCAAAGGACAAGTCGGCCTCGTGTCCGGCCGCCGGGTTGCCGCCGGCGGTGATATGATGATGTCAGGACTTTGCGTGCTCCTCATCTTTGCGATTTCGTTCACCCTGTTATCTCGCCACATACTACCCAACAGACACGCCTGAATATGTCTGTAATGCTCGAGACGTCCCTCGGGGACCTCATCATTGATCTCGAGGTCGAAAAGTGCCCCCGCACATGCGAGAACTTTCTTAAACTCTGCAAGCTCAAGTACTACAACCTCAATGCTTTCTTCAATGGTGAGTCCAATGCGAACATGGACAGTCAGCGCTAATCCATACATGCAGTGACAAAGAACTTTATTGCCCAGTCTGGCGACCCCACGGCTACCGGTGCCGGCGGTGAATCCCTCGCCTCTCTTCTCCACTCTCAAAACCCCTCCGGCCCTGCCCCTCCCCGCTACTTTTCTCCCGAGATCCTCAACTCCCTCAAACATACCCACAAGGGCACACTTTCCATGGCTGTCGCCCCTGCCAACCCACCCGGATGCGGTTCGCAGTTCTTCCTAACGCTGGCAGACGGGATAGATTACTTGGATGGAAAGCATGCGGTGTTTGGGCATGTGATTGAGGGGCTGGATACTCTGGATAAGATCAATGAAGCTTTCGTAGACCAGGAAAGCAGGCCTTTGCAGGATATCAGAATCAGACATGTGGAAATCCTTGGTAAGTCGCACACAATGTTTGCTGTACGTCAAGCTTATGTCGGTATAGAGGACCCTTTCCCCGACCCTGCCTCTCTCCCCTCTCCTCCCCCTTCTCCCATTCGACCCCCCGACAACCTCTCCCGTATCGCTGATACCGAAGACGTCCACAAAGAGGTAGACGAAGAAGAAACAGAAGAGCTCTCGCGCAAAACAGCAGCCGCCTCCTCCGCCCTCACTCTCGAAATGATCGGCGATCTTCCCTTTGCCGCTGTCCGGCCACCAGAGAACATCTTGTTTGTCTGCAAGTTGAACCCCGTGACACAAGATGAGGACCTAGAGTTGATTTTCTCAAGGTTTGGGAAGATTTTGAGTTGCGAGGTTGTGAGGGATAAGAAGAGTGGGGATAGTCTGCAGTACGCCTTTATCGAGTTTGATGAGCGGTCTCAAGCGGAACAGGTACGCCCACAATCAAACCTACATATGGTGCTGACCTTTGTACAGGCATATTTCAAGATGCAGAACGTCCTGGTGGACGATCGCAGAATATGGGTCGACTTCTCCCAATCAGTATCCAAAATGAACCGCACCATGCTCTCTGGCGGGGGTGTGCCCCGAGGAGGCCGAGGTGGGGGGCGTGGGGGTGGCGGTGGACGAGGAGGGTCTGGAGGACGAGGCGGGGGCGGAGGCGGGTACGGCGGGCAGAGGGATAATGGCTACGGCGGGCAGAGGGATAGCGGCTACGGCTCAAGAGGAGGTCATCAAGATACCAGCAACTCTCGTCGCAGATCTCCCTCACCACCACATCGATCCTCTCATCGGTACCGTGACTCTGGTCGCGAAAGAGACGACGACCGCCCCCGGCCTCCTGTGCATACTGCTGGCGATATCCGCGGTACTGAAGGGTATGGCATGGTATTCGATGCTGGGGTGCCTTCTGGCTCGGGGTCGGGATCGTCGTCTCGGAGGGATAGAGAGCGGGAGAGGGATAGGTCTCCTAGGAGGAGGGATGATCGGGATAGGGAGGGAGATAGGCGGCACCGGGAGAGGGATGAGAGGAGTAGTAGGGACGGTAGGGATAGGAGTGATCGACGGGATAGGGATCGCGCGAGAGAGAGAAGTCATAGGGATAGGGACGATCGCGATCACCGACGTTAGAAGGAGGTGTGTCGGAGGGAAGAGTCAAAATGCAGAAAATGCAACAATGAGAAGAACCAAACACAAAGCGCATGCCCGGATTTCAACGCGCCAAACGCGTCGCCGCATCTAAACGTATCGGGTTCTTGGAATGCTACAGTTCCAAGGTATACATAGGAGCTGCTGCATCGATGTATGCATGTATGTCTTCCGATAGATCCACGTGCCAAGAGTGCAACTCTGCCTCATTGGCCGCCACCACGATAGGATCCCAATCTCACCGGGATGCCGACGACCACGTACCTAAGAGGGGTCCCACGTTCCTTATCGCGTTTCCCACCATCTCCGCAATCACCCGCAAGTCACTTCAGACTATCTTGTATCTTTTGCAGAGCCTCTGAACAAGTGCATACTCTACTTCTCCAGCTCCAGTACATCCGCCGACATTCAGAATGCCAGCTACAAACGGCCTCGGTACGGTCCGGTCTCTCAAATTCCCACCCGCTTGTCGCTATGCTGCTGATACACTTGATTTTGCAGCCCCCTCGCTCACTCCTGACGAGTACGAAACCGTCAAACAACACGGCGACTGGACCGGCTTCATGCAGTCCCATGAACTCAAGCCGTGGGACCATGACGATATCGACGAGGCGCATGAGATTGTGAAGGGTCTAGGCCCGATGGGAACTGGCAAGTCGTTTCTTCCAGACCTGAATGAGAAGAAGCTGTAGCTGATGGGAGTGTAGATGATGATGATCAGGATCCAGTCTATGAAGTCCGATACGACGACGGGGAAGAAGCAGAAGTTGGTACCTTCGGACAGGACTATGCAGAGGGCGATGGAGGCGATGATGGATATGTCCCAGGCGATAGTGGAGACTTTGTAGATGGCGAAGATCATGATGACTACCACGACGGGGGCGTGGTCGACGACTATCCTGAAGACTATGATCAGGGGTATGACTATGGTGATGATGATGGAGGAGATTCTTTTGACCAAGATTATGATGAGGATTATGATAGTGGTTATGACTAGGTGGTTAAAGTGAGCCTTATATAGAGGCAAAGGGTATCATCTTGCTTACATGACTCTATCACAGTTGAGCATCAGGGGATGATTCAGCGTAGGTTGACCCGCTCTATGAGGGCTATGTGGTAGTAAAGGCATCTGAGAGTGTCCTCGCATGCAACACTATTCTGTATTTCTGCTATAATTCTGATCAGCTCCACCAATCATGGCGATCCTACCCATATACCGCTGCTGAATGGCTCAACCTGATACATACAAAGCAGCTGAGTGATTGCGGACATGGCCGACCTGGAGAGACGACGATCTCCGCATCCCAGGTCCAGTATGCCTTGAGTATGCCTCAGTGCGTGGGACGAAAGCATCTCTTCATTCAAAGGATCACATCTTTCCATTCCCCCTTGTCATACCACATTCCTCCTCTCTAACACCGGCACAGCGAAATATCCCACAGCAATGTCGCGAGGACCTCTAGGCGAACTACCGGGCATGACCTTCGACCCCCTCCGGAATCGCTACTTTCCAACACCCAAAAACCCTCCTCCCTCCCCACCTGCCGCCCATTCCCGCTCCGGAAATTCATCGAGAAGAGATGAGATCGTCAACATGTTCACGCCGGGCCCGGGGCAGCCGTTTTGCGTCAAGAAACGACCTCGGTCGAGTGAAGCTGGTGAGGCGAGGGAGGAGGTGGTGTGTGGGGGAGGAGGGAGGAGGGTGCAGAGAGGGAGAGGGAGGATGGGGGCGCTGGGAGGGAGGCAGAGGGAGAGGTAGGTCTTTTGCGCGAAGGGAGGAGCAGGTGGGCAGGATGCTGATAAATGCTTGAAGGGGCGAGGAATCGGTTCTCTCAAAGCTTGTGCTTGATGCGGAACATCATTCTTGTGGCTGTGAGGGCGAGGTCATAACGTCTTATCAAGTGAGTATGCCTTCATTGCTGTGGTGTGGTATGACTGATCGAATGTGACCAGTCTTATGGAGATGAAGCGTACGCCGCGACAACTGATCATGGAAAATTGATCCTTCACTGGGCGGGGGGCAACACTGTAGTCTTCCATGTGTGCCCACAACCTGTATGTGACCACTATATGGGAAGACAAGAAAGTTGACGTGGTGTGCAGCTGGTATCGATGCACTGGGATGTGATGCGAATGTCCATGATGTGCGCCCTCTCTTCGGGAATGGACGATCGAGAAAACTGACTTATGTTTAGGGCGATATCAGGCGGGGTAGATCCGCATGTGCATCTTTTTATCAGAGATCCCAGTCTACTCGACCATATCAGAATGGTTCACGGCGACATCAAGTTGAAGGGCGATATCTACGCAGTGTCCTCTTTTGACGACAAATGTACCATAGGTCAGTCTTTGCGCCACCCGAAAGAACATATTCTGACTCTTGTGTAGGCGGTACAAAATCCCTCACCGTCATTGACTACAAAACCCACTTGCACGACAGTGATCCCCGCCTAATCTCTTCCGTCCGCAAACTCAAATCCGACGCTTTATCCCTCGATCAATACACGTCCGACAACGTGCTCGTCGGTCAACGTTCCGGAGAAGTCATCTCGGAAGATCTGAGGGTGCAACCTGGAAAAGGTCAGATGGTCGGGAGTACGAGGAAGAGGAAGGCGGTGGTTGGGGTGAAGAAGGTGCCGGATTCGGCGGTCCCTTGGGGAGTGGCTGTGAGTGGGATGGGTAATGAGGTGAGTAAATTTGAGATGCTGTGGAATGGAGCTTATCGTGAACAGATGCTGCTGTATGACGCAAGGTATAGCGAAAAGCCCTTACATATCTTTGAAGGCCACGTCAACAATTTTCAAACGAAAGTGGTAAGTCATTCACGACACCATCCCCAACACCAGCTCACGTCTACCCCAGAGCCTCGCTCTATCCCCCTCTGGCGAACACGTCTTCTCCTCAGGCTCCGACAACCGCATCCGCGGCTGGTCAACCCTCACCGGCGAACCCCTCAGCCCCCAGCCCGCACACTACCAATATAACGCCCTCACGCCCTTTGACGAAGCCAGTGAAGAAGAGAACCCTTTGTCGCGCGCGTTTGACGACAAGATTTCGCATTTGGTTGTGAGGGAGGATCTTGGGCTGGATGTGGTGGTGCAGGCGCAGTTGTATAGATTTGCAAAGTAGATTGTTGTGATGGGTTATGCGTTGTATAGAGTAGAGGGATTGTAGACATGCTCTGTCGCTACTGTTCTGTATGTAAGACTGATTGTCTTGTACCAGTCTTGCGAGAGGACATGGAGAGGTGGATAGGCAAACTTCAGTCGCTTGAGCAGGCCCAGGCACCTTTGAGAGTTGAGGCAAGAACTTTTTTTTGCGTTGAATGATGATACATGGAATCATGATCAAGGCCATCGTGGACATTGTGTAAGCAGTTATAGAGGCTGACAATACCCCCGCCTCCTACATTCAATCTTGTCTATTTGAAGGACAGGGCAATGCGATCACTCTCCCATCATCAAGCCCAATCGGCATCATGTGGTGGCGACTGGATGTTGAGGGACGTCCGCGCGGGAGGCTGGCGGGAGGAGAGACGGCTACATCCGCTTCCAACGCTTCACCGATGCTTCGAGATATCTGACAGAGTATCATATCCCATGCGACCCATGTATGTCAGTGCGTACGCCTGTCCCATTCCAAGAGCAGTGCACGCCGTACTCGTACAGCTTTCCCATGGACGCGACTGCTTTCTGGGCAGAAGTGGACGGGAGTAAAGCCACGCGGGTGTTCCTGACTGGTTGGTTGTCCTCGTTGCGCTCGTCCGGTCAACCATTCTCATCTCTCCCTCTTTCTTTTTCCTTCTTCTTCTTCCTCCCATCTCCCCTCGGGCCTCTCTAGTCGCCTCCCACGTCTCCACCCCCGTGTGGCAGAGCCGCCCACCCAGCCACAGACATCAAAGGCCCCACCCCCACTCCAGCACCAATCACCCGCACTAGCCTCCCACCCTCACCCACCTCCTTCCCCAACCAGGCGCAGGGTATTCCACTGTAATGCCGTCTTCATCCACCCGCACCTTCCCACACGAAGTGGCCGTGTTCTCGCCCCTCTTTGTCTTTACGACTCTCACGGCGAAGGAGGTACTTGCGCACAAGAGTTTGCCGTATGGCCACCCGCATAGCGGCAAGCCATGCTCTTTGTTTTCTTGTGAGTGATCATACCATGTCACTGAGAGATATGTGCCAAGCGGAAAGCTGACGACAGCGGTAGTGGACGACGAACTGCGGTATACCAGCTTTGCCTCGGATCACGGGCCACTGAATCTAGCATTCACTTTCCTTGCTTGCATCAAGATTCATGAAAAGCTCGAGGTGGGTCATCAACTCTGCTGCTCGGTGGAGCGTTCCAGGGAGATGCGATAAGGAAATAGAAGCCTGAGAACACCGGCTGACGCCGTTGCACAGCGCGCAAGGGACCGCAGGAAACCTGTTTGTCTCTACACAACCACGGAGCCAAAGACGAAATCCAACATGATTCTCATCGCCGCCCTCTACTCCGTGAGCTCACATAATGTATACTGAGACCCAATCTGACCACCGTGCAGCTTATCGTCGACAAGCAACCGCCATGGAACGCTTATCGGCCGATAGCTCACCTCGAGGTCATGCCCTTCCGGGATGCGGGCAGTGGAGCGATGGATTACGGCTTGTCGTCACAAGACGTCTTGTATGGGATCGAAAAGGCAATCAGCTTTGGACTATTGGACTTAGCGTCTTTTGATCCGGACGAGTATCAGTACTACGAGACTGTCGAGTACGTCTTCGGTATACAGCGCATACCGGTAGAGCTAACACCAAACAGAAATGGAGATCTTAACGTCCTGGGCCCCTTCATTCCGTTCGCCTCTCCTCAAGAGCCCGCCTGGATCAGCGTCACCCGCTCAGCCAAACCCTCCACCCCCACTTCTCGCCCTCGCCTCACCCCTTCCAAGTCGAATGCCATCTCCCACACTTTCTGCTGCGTCCTCGAGGTATTCGAGCGCCAAAACGTCGGCCTCGTCGTGCGCCTGAATGACGAGCTGTACGACAGCCGGCATTTCAAGGAACTGGGGATGAAGCACGTGGAGATGTACTTTGACGACGGGACGAACCCTCCTGATGACATTGTCCGGGAGTTCATCCGGTTAGCGGAGGATACGATCGAGCAGAAAGGCAAGAGAGTAGCGGTGCATTGTAAAGCAGGCCTGGGGCGGACTGGTGTTCTGATTGGAGCATACTTGATTTACAAGTATCAGTTCACAGCTCAAGAAGCTATCGGGTTTATGCGCATAGTAAGGCCGGGTATGGTTGTGGGGCCGCAGCAGCAGTACATGGTGCTGAATCAAATGAAGTGGGCTGGATGGGTGAGTGCCTTATATCTCCAATAAACGGCTGCTGACGACTAGCAGGCTGCGAGAGATCAAGTGTTGAGAGAACTTGAAGCCACCAATCAACCCATCAACGTCCTTGCCACTCCTCCCACCGAGACTGTCCCCATCGACCTGGAACCAGTCCCCATCCGGCCTTCCCTCAGCCGGTCTTCAACCAAGCTCCGCGTCAAACAAGTCCAGATCGACGCCGCTCCCCACCACGGCGGCGGCGATGCCGTCGGCCAGCCTCGCAAGGGCCGCGGGCCTGTGCAAAGCGAAGAAGTCGACATGGACGTACAAGAAGTCGACGAGCTCGCGAGCACGCCAGCAGGCGAAAAGGACCTGGTCCCCGCCACTCCCGAGCAGGCCAAGGAGAACGAGTACAACGCCTCTTCCGTCTCTTCTCTTACGGGATCCATACGCGGCACTAAGCGTTCTGCGCGAGGCTCCAGCGGATACCAAGAGCGCAAGCCCCTCCCCAGGGTGTCTGGCGAACCGTCGTCTCCCGGGCGTCCTCAGACTCTCACGAGAGCTTCGAGCAATGCTAGTATCAACTCGGAAGGCTCGGTCGAGCTGGAGAGGCCGCCAAAGAGAAGGACGGCGAGTAATTTGGGATCGCCCTTGGCGAGAGAACATGCTGCTAGCCGAGACAGCTCCCCCGTCGCAGCCGAGAGGAAGGTTCTTAGAGAATCAAACTCGCAGCCCATGCTGGTCGACAAGGTCGAGAACCAAGAGTCTGGCCGAAAGGCCATGGACGAGAAGGAGAGGGTTGATACGCCCGAGACCCCTGTCAGGCTCACGATGGGAAGGAGGCTCCGCAAACGGGTCATTTCTTCTTCCCCATCCCCTGCGCCGCCTTCGCTGTCTATCACTCCCCCCGATTCGCTTGATGAGCATGGGCCAGCGACGCCGACGTCGAATGAAGCCGAGTCCAACATCACCTTGGGCGAGCTTCCTTCCGCTACATCATCTCTCCGAAAGACTATGCCTCCCAAACGATCTTTCCTTCCCAAGCGCAACGCTGCTTCGTCTCCCGCTCCTGTGGCATCCACCCCTCGCTCCAAGCCTTCGATTGGCAACACCCTCGCCACCAAGTCGGCTAATACAAATACAGCCATCACCGACCACTTGAAGACTTCTACGCCAAAGAAGCAGGGCAAAGAAGCAAGGAAGGGCATCACCCCGCCGAGGATTACAGAGATGTGGGGGCAGCTCAGTCGGATGGGAAGCTCGCCGACAGGTGATAAGGCGGACAAGGAGAGGAGTAGGGAGCAGGAGAGGGAGCGACAGAGGGTCAGGACAGAGAGGAGCTAGATCTCTGTTGAGCGGTGAGTCTATTCTCGCTGGTATATCGGCGTGTACTGATCCTGGAATCAGATCCTGGCGCTGGCCGTCGCAACATGCTCGAATACGCTTTGCGTACTTTTTTCATTCCACGCTTTTGACGACCGTTTCATTTCCCAGTTTACGATTTACGGCCTGATGATTTTCGTTACGATCTGTCTCTTTTTCACGTCCCTTTTTCACGTCTGTGTGACCAGAATGTGTTGCCTCTTCATTCACGGCCTCTTACCTTTTGCCTGATTCACATATATTACCACATCACCCACACCCCCCAAACCGTCCTCACCCGATGTCGCTCTTTAGATAAAGGAATAGCTTTGCCTTCCTTCCCACAATACTAGAATCCGTCCGAGTCTGTCGCTTATCACTTTCTGCTTCTTCACCTCCACACTTTACGTCTCTCCATTTGTTTGCATTCGGGCTCTTTGTGTTTCATCTCGTATCCTGCGTTGTTTATATACATATAGCGTTCATCCGGTCTGTTGGTGGGAATGTATCTGATTTCTCATTGTACATTGTACAAAGGCTGCTGGGCACGCACAGGTATCGACTACAACAAGAAGGCTTGGGAAGCAAGAAGCTAAGGGGCGTATTTGACGTTCATTGCATTTGATGGCAACCGAACGGTCAACCGCATAGTAAAAGGTCGGGAAACTGACTTGGCTTCAGTCACCTTCTTTAGCGCCCTTGTATACCACAACCCCCATGATTCCTACGTACCATTGGTCGAGTTAATGCGTTGCGTTGGGCGACAGCCAAAATTGACCAGCCGCTCCTTCTCAGGCCTGTCATATCTTCCTTCTATTTCTTGAGTACTTCAGTATCCTACGGACGTTGGTAGACGGCAGAGATATAGGCGGATGCTTCCTTCCCAAATCCGATGTCTTTCTCATCGCTTCCTTCGAGGATATTGCTCAGAGCCTCATTTATCTTCGCAGCGGCTGAGCGCAATTGTTCTTCATCAGAAATCTTCTTTTGGGCACTCTCGGGTCAGCGATTAAGAGTTGAATAGAGCTAGAAGTAGTACCGTTAGGCCAATCTTGAGTGGGAGGATAACGGATGGTAAGGTTGGTGGAGGAAGCGAGGATCTCGCAAGCCGGGTTCGTTGGATAGTACTATTTCTACTGTCAGCCACTTTGACTGTGTGACAAAGAAATGGCTGGACTCACAGAAATCCAACCAGCTCCAGTTCCAGTCTTACCGGCATCCCACATGATCACACCCGGACTAAAACTGGGCTGGTTGAGAGAAGGCCCGCCCACTTCCTTCTCGTCGAACGTCATCCCTCCGACTGACAGCCCTTTTTCGAGCCAGAAAGTATAATTCCTGGCCCTTTTGTCCCAAGGAGGCGAGATGGATTGAGCAGTGTAAGAGTGAGGGGCGTAAAGAGAGGAGAAGCGGGACTTGGCGCTGGAGGATATGTGGGACATGATATAAGGAGAAGTGTAGGCTTGCATGGGCATCATAGCCATGTCGGTGTAGTGATTTGCGCCGTCCAGGGGATTAGGCATGGGATCTAATCTTATGGTCAATCACCGTGTTCGTGTAGCGCAAGCATCGACATCACTTGGACTCACAACCAGACTTTTGCTTCCCTGTGATACCTGTGATGGCAGACCCCAACACGCTATAGTACTGTGTCATATCAAAGCCGTAAGTCCGATCCCACGGCCCCGACAATGTATTGAGAGAGGGGTTGTACGTCTCGCCTGCAGAAGACGGTCAGATACGGGCTACTCCAGAGCGAGAAGATACCAATCTCACTTATCTGATCCCAGATAGCCTCTAGCAATCTAGGCGCTTCTTTGTATATTGTGCTGTTGTCGGGCGCATACTGGGCTAGTGACAAGGCAAATAGGGTGACCCCTTCGTAAGTGGCACTGTTGAACTCTGCGAGTGTGTTGTACTGGTTGAAGAGGTCGACGGCTTCCTGGGCCCAATTCTACGCGCAAGTCAGCACATACCGCTTTCATTTTCAAGGGAGATACTCACCTCAGCCCAGTATGTCATGTTGGCGTCATCGTACATATGGCCTAAATATGCTGCCGAGACACATCTCATGTACCAGGGCTTCTCTGGTGTCAGCTGTCCGTCTCCTCTCGCGCGCTCTTGAAAACACTCACATTGCTATAGCCCGGGTACAGATTATCCCCACTCTCGCCTCCAACCCTGTACCCATCCCCTACCACCGCCATATACATAGCCTTCCTCAGGTTGGCCAGCACCTCAGGCTCCAATAGTGAAGCAAAGTCGTGGTCGATGATGATGCCGGCGATGGTCACGAAGAGGGCGTTGTTGGGGTCATACGAGCCGTATATCTTGGGCTCCCAAAGACTTTCTCCATCCGCGTATGGGCCATGATAGTCCCCCAGGAATGTGCCATAAGCTGCACTGTCTGTCAGCCATGCTCGCTCGGCTTGGGACGTACTCACCTACGAAGGACGGGTCTGTATATTGCTTCGTGACGATGTTGTGGATCAATTTGTTGGCTATCTCGACATCGTCCCCCTCGTTGCGGGCTAGTAGACCGACTGCATACCAAGAAGAAAGCTTCGGGCTCTTCCACCTATGAAAGCTGGGATCAGCACGGTCTGAGGAGGCAATATCGGACTCACAAGAATGGCAGGGCGAAGTTATTATCGAGGATCTTCATACTATCGTCAAAGAGATTTCGGTATCCCTCTGACAAAACATCACTGATATACCTCTTCCCTACATTCGGTATTGAGGCAGCCATAACCACCATGGCCGAGAGAAGCAGTCGAAAGACGACCAGCGCGAGCGTCATGACGAGCGATCAGACTGCGAGAATACTGATGGGGAAGACATGGCCATCCACGCAGTCTGACATATCCATTGCATATCCAGAGTTGTTGATGGCTCATATCAGGGGACGGGAAACCGGGATCGGGCCCGGATCCCGCTGTCGGCCTGCCAATTTATAATATATTGCGGGGAATATGTTGACTTGTCATTGCGGGCTATCTCTTGAAATAAGCCGATCGGCTATCGAAAATCGTATTTGGTTCCTTGCATGACTAAAGCTGTCAGCATAAGAGCATGCGCCAAGTCCCCCAGACACTGTTATCCTCTCTGGAATGGTGTGGGCGTCTGGTGCATCCACATGGCGATGGCGGTCCAGATCGCTGAGGAGACGGAGAGGACGGTAGAAAGGGCCAGGGTGATATGATGGTCGACATCTACGACCGATTGTCTCGAGTGTCAGCTTCTTCCAGCTCCGCGGGATTGGTCGTGCTGGCAATATATGTTGAGGCAATCACAGAAAGAAGAAAGAAGAGAAAGGACGACCGAGGTGAGCTGGGCTCTTCTGGTCTCCTTGTTTGCTCGGAGCTGAAAGGCCTGTACTTGTGTCAGTTGAGTATCGTCGCAACCTTCTACTGCAGGCGTTAGACAATTGCATGGTCGTAGCTTCATAACAAGGACGTACTCGAAACGATAGGTATATGCAGCAGTAAGGGCACTAGATATTATAGAACGAGAGAGTATGAATTAGGTCGTAAAACCGAAACAACGAACAAACCAAAGCTTCTATCAAGAAATCAAAACCAAAACTCCTACTTCTCCTTCTTGTCCGGGACCAGCTTCTTCACCGCCTCTTTGGGGCTTTCCAAAGCACCAACCACGGTGTCCAAATGGCCCGTAGCAGCGCCCCCTGACGTATCCTCCTCCTCCATCTGCCTCGCCCTCGCGTCCAAATCATCCTCATCACTTGAACTGATACTGCCCCCATCTCCATCCGCCAAGTTCGACGAGCTCGTCTGGCCATACACGATATGCTCGCCCTCCTTGAGCTTGGTCTTCCTCTGCTCGCTCTTCATCTCTTGCAGCTTGTCGTCGTCACAAGCCATGACGACAACCTTGATGCCCGGCAAGACGCGCTTGAGGAACTTTTCAAAGACGGGGATGAGATCTTTGTTGGGGCGGTATGTGCCAGAGTCGTTATCGATGATGAGCTCATAGTTGGCAGGGTCGGCAGGGGGGTCCGCGTTGGGCGGGCCATTGGGGAGGTCTTCTGTTGGGTGGGTGTGCTGTTCGGGGCTGAAGGCCGGTTTGGAAGGGTCGGACACGCGGCGAACAAAGAACTCGCCCGACCAGGCGATATAGATCTGAGTAATGTCAGCCGCGGCAAGGTGTATTTATAGATTGCGGCAAGGATATCCACTTACATCCACATCGGCGTGCATGGTGTGCTTGGAAAGTAGGTCGATCCCAAACTCTTTGCCAGTCTCTGTGAATCGGAAGAGGGAGTCGAGGGTGATGACATAGGTGAAGATTCGAGCGCCTTGGTCGTGGTGAACAAGATCCAAGAACTTCTTTGTCACATCGTCTCCTGGGTTCTTGCCCTCTTCCGTGTCGGGAAAGACACCATACTCGGTCTGTCGGTCAAAGTTGTAAAGACGCTCGTGCTGGTGATGAAGCGCCTTGTTGAGGACCTTGCCACGAAGACCGCTGGCCGTAAACATGCCCTTGACGAAAGGCTTGAATTCGACATAGCGCATGTAAAGTTCGTTGGGCACAGGTCCGACAAGTTGAATCTCATTCGCTTGGAAACTACAGCACAGTCAGTCATAGCAAATCTTTGATACGAAGCGGTCACTCACTTGTATCTTTCCACTCCCTCGTGATCCTTGGCTTTGATACCAGTCAGTCGGCCAATGACCGGACTGTAATGCTTCCACCAAAAGCCGTTGATTGTGTACGTCTTGCCCATTTCCTGCTTGGTCTTTCCCAGCATCTCCACGCTCATGATCACATCGGCATGAAGCTCTTGATCTCGGAGCAAGACGCACGCCCACCGCAGAGCATAAGCGCGTACATCCGCACCCGTCTTCTTCACTTTGAAACTCCTCTCCCTGACACCTTCCCATTTCTCAGTCAAAGGACCGGTATGGAACTCAAACTTTCCCAGGCGATCGTCATGGTCTTCAGGGTCTTCATCGTACACCCGTACACTGAGATTGAGTCCGTCCTCGGGCACGCCGGCAAGCACCCACGGGGCATCCCAAACAGGCTCGAGCGATTTTCTGACAGTGTTTGTCCTGAATCGCAACTGGGGGTCTTGAGGATGGCGTTTGCGTTGAGAGGTGGTGGCCTGTGCAAGGATATAGGGATCGGAGGACCCTGAACCAAAGTCGGCGATGGGCAGATTGGTGGCTCGGTGGAAAGTGATGCGGAGGGTGTAGGTGGGGGACGTCGAGGGGTGTAGGGGGGTGGGGTCGTAGCCGCCAGCGGGCTGCTTTTCGTCAGACATGATGGATGTGTACGATGAGAAGAAGAGAGATGGATGAGATGTGGCGAGATGGCGGTGCTGCGAATTGTTTTTACAACGGCAGGAACAAGGAACGCCGCGGTCAAAAACAACAGATACAGGGCGGCAAATGTCACCAACACTCAAAATGATGATATCATTTGGATATCATGCAGATAAGCTACTCCTTGGTTGGTACACTGCCAAGGTGGGGTATGTAGCATGAGAAGTGCATGGAAGGAACGCTGCGTCAGATGTATATATACCTTAGCCGAACTCCTTTCGCAGTGGGCCGAAACAGAGTGGGTTTCATCATAGCTCAACGTTCGTTCTCTACCCCGACTGCTCTCGACCAAAAGGTCGAAATTGACCAGCGAAGTAGGATATAAATACAGGGTCCGAAGCACTTGCATGAGTGGCAACTCGTACCTCGGCTGCTGCCGTCCTTACACTCTTTATAATCAGCCACCACATGGCCGAGCCGACGACAACGATTGATGAACATTCTCGTCCACACTCCTCCTTCTTGGCGCCTAGACATAGCTCTTCTGGACCTCCCTCGAGAAGTCATGAGATTTTGCATACGCTGTGGGGACATACATTTGGCTCTTGCTTTTTGATGTCGAATTGTATCGCCAGAAATTGACGAAGGCTATGACCACACCCTCTGCTGCTTCTGCGCCTAAGATGGGTTAGCATACCTGGGAACGAGAGTGCACAAGTGTCGAATCTGGCTTATATCAAACGCTCACTTCATAGACTCGAGCAATCTCGACATTGATCTTAATAGACAGCGTGTTCGTGCCACCACCAGGCCACCACCCAATGGCAAATCGGCGCGACGCTCTTTCCCGAATGATCGGCGTGCAGACGACTGCATTAGTCAGGCGGATGCAGTTAACTGTTGAGCGGAATTTGCAGTTGAAGGGTACATGAGAAATCTCACGACCGAATGTCAGCAAATAACTTTACCAAGAGCGAGTGTTCAGTAGACAGATTTCAATTCCCCTTCGCCTAAACGTTCTCGGCAGAACGAAGATAGTCAGACTCTTGCATGCTGCCGAAAGGCGGTTGTGTACTAGGTATGGCGCGTATGGTGTGGACTGTGTTGTATAAGTGCATCCTCCCGGTTTATAACGTATTCATGTTCGTCCTCATTGGCGAAAGGGCTCCACTAGCGCTGCCGGTGATACAGCTCTCACGTCAACTAATACGGCGGCAGCAATGATAGTCACGTCACATCTTCGCAGCAACGACTTGCATGCGCGAGAAAATCGTGATAAGAGATTTAGCCCCGTTTGCAGGTAGCAAAAAATGTGTTATGGGTCGAGTGTGGAGTTGGTTATAGGTTCGAGGAGTGTCGAACCCACAGAGCAAAGTCTGAGGATAGTGGTTCGACCGGTCGTGCTCGTGGTTGTGGCAGATACAAGCGAGAAAAACGAGGAGTTTGTGATTGATGTGGTGGTGGGAGAACCTTGTCGGGAAGGGGCAGGACATGACTATGGCGGAAGATGAATCTGAGGCTGACCTGAGGAATGTTGAGATCGTCCCGTAATCTTATCTCGTGAAAGTTGGTGGAATTACCTGATTCGGGAACTTTACACTCGGCGGGTCCGCCCGCTCAGCCCGCAGCTCCAAGTCATCCTCCTCATCTAATTTTGAATTTTATCGAATAACTGAATCTCTCTTTTGCATTTCCACAACCCCCCTGAAGCTGGTCTTCCCCACCACTCCAACAAACTCACAATGAAGCTACAACTCGCTCTTCTTGCCGCCCTCGGTAAGTCACATTCTTTGCCACCCGTCCTGTGCTGACCTTCCTTTGCCACGCAGTCGCAAGCGTATCAGCCGAGCCCATTCGTCTCATCACCTGGACCGAGAACCAGGCGGTAGACACAAAATTCGACATCTCCCAGCCAGAAGAACTGCCATCATGGAATGAGGCGGCGGTAGACCAAGAAGCGCCTGTCGCTCCTATGCTCGGCGGAAAGCCCTGCCATGGCAAGTCTTCCGAATCTGGTCCCCTCTCCAGCCTTCTCAGCCGTCTGGGATTCACTTCCATCCCCGACTCTGCTATCTCCCGTACCGAGCACGAGCAGCTCGACCGTCCCCACCAAAAACAGTCTCTGGACGTTCATCGCGAATCCCTTTTGGCCGCTCTCCGATCGCGCCTCCCTGGCTACGTCCCCTTCCTGGAAGGCGGCTCCCGCATTCCAGCTCCTTACGCCGGGGTGGAATCCGGTGAGTGGAAGATTGCTCAGAACGACCGTGCGCCTGAAATCAAGTGGTGGAGGCCGGCGAAGAATGGACGATGGGAGGTCAAGGACGGTGCTGGAGAGTGGAGGGTCGCGGCCAAGGGCGAGAGGCCTCCCAAGTTTGGCGGGATAGGTGTTCCTGCCGAAAATTCAAGGCATGGCAGGCATGGGTGGAAGCACAATCACAAAGGTTCCAGCTTTGCTCGGTACGTCTGATCACTTTCTTGTTTGATCCCTAGCTGACAAATACTGTCTCAGTCTTCGTAAAGCCTTGAAGCACCTCTCTCCGCTTGAATCTGCCGCTCTCGCCATCGTTCTTGGTGCCGGTATCGGTTCACTCTTCCACCTCCTCGTCATTTCCTTCGTCCTCTTCTCTCGACGATTCGGATTCTGCCTCGGACCCCGATTTGGCAGATTTGGCCGTCACTGCTCTGGCAATTCCGAGGAGAGGCGCGCACGCAGGGCGGCCAGGAAGGCTGAGAGGAAGGCCAAGAAGGAGGCAAAGGCGGCGAGAAAGACTGAGGGGACTGTCAGACTCGAAGGAGAGAACAGATTGGGGGAAGTCGAAGAGTTGCCCGCATACCAAGACGCTGAGCAAGCGCCTCTGCTCGACGAAAAGGTCGACTCTCAAGTTTAATATCATGGCCACCTTCAGCATTTCCGCTCTTAGCTTTGCTCATGTTTCATAGTCGGCATTTCGCGCCGCATAATTTACATCTTGTTGATTTGTACCCACTCACAAACTCATTGTTGCTGTTTATCAATTTCATTTCATGCATTGTGCATATGTTGTACCTCGTACATCTTGACGACCAATCCAGGAAGTGGGTTCGGACTCGACGCGCTCTGCACCCGGACACTGAAAATGCGTGGGCCGTGGTGGATTACGGTATGACGGGTAGGTCGCTTTCCCGCTGGATTTCGTTGTCGTATGGAGCAATCTAGCTTTCTCTTCGAACACGACACATGACATCGTCCTAGAGGCCGAAACCTCTATGGGACATCTTCGCGCAAAGTTTGACGCAAATGTGGACAACAGACAGCAGCCAGCCACTCCCTACAACTTGTTCGATCGCTGGACCTGAAAACACTACTCGCCTATGTCTATATTCGTGCAATGTACTCGTACTGCTCTACTTGTACTAGCAGAATGCATCTACTTCATTCTACAGTACGTCACTTCCGCCACATTCTTGCTGAGTAATCAGACTGGCCACTACAGCAATGTCGAGAGGACTTCTGCTGCACGAAAAGAGAGGTAAGACAGACTTCCGTCCCCTGACCAAAAATGCAAAGAAGAAACAAAACTCGATTACGCCCATTCACTCTGCCTGGCCTTCGATATCTCTTCCCTTGAGATGTTTGACTTGTCACACAGAGCTCTGAAATGCCCATCCTCCCGATCATACAACGACAGCGGTGTATCAAACTCCTCTATCTGTCCGGCATTCATCACCAGAATACGGTCCCATGATATGATGGTTCGAAGGCGGTGAGCAATACAGAGAAGGGTCTTGTCAGAGAATTCTCGGTGGATGGTGGATTGAATTTTAGCGTCTGTTTCGAGGTCTACCGCGGCCGTAGCTTCATCAAGGATCACAATCTTTGACTGCAATGTCCGTCAGTGATGCAAAGAATTGGTCAGGAAGAACTTACATCCTTGACCAACGCTCGCGCAAGACTCAACAAAGACCTCTCTCCGACACTCAGATTCGACCCTTCCTCCTCGATGACACTATCCAGCCCGAAAGTCTTCTCCTCCTTTCCTCTCCCTCCTTGCCCTACGAGCTTCGCTCGCTTCAGCGCATCCCACAAGACTACATCTTCCTTCTCCATGAACGGGTCCAGATTGGACCTGACAGTGCCGCTGAAGAGGACAGGATCTTGCGGGATGATGGCGATTCTGGAACGCAACGTTGAAAGACCTATAGAATCGATGGGGTGGGAGTCGATCGAAATTGAGCCAGAGGTAAGCTCAACCAAGCGGAAGAGGGCCATGGTGATGGATGTTTTGCCTGCTCCGGTACGTCCAATGATCCCGACTTTCTCGCCCGCGGAGATGGACAGCGACCTGCTCAGAATCAGCACTTGGTTCCTGATATGCAGGTCCATACTCACAATCCCTTCAAGACCGGGGGGAGGCCAGGGCGGTAAGACATGACCACGTCTTTGAACTCAACAGCCCCTTGCCCAGGCCAAGTCATGGGAGGATCAGTCGAGGGCAAGTGGTGAGCAGCTTCTTGCGGTAGTTCGTTCGCATTGGAATACCAAAGCACTCTTTCAACCGCATTCACTACTCGACAATCAACAACTTCAATAGTGGAAATCGACGGGTAACTCACTGTTGTTCTCAACTTCTGCACTTTGTCGAGTCACCATACCCAGCACCTGGGTGACCGAGGTCAAATAGGTCAGACACAACGCGATTTCGCTAGCAGTTATACCACCTCCGCCCCTGGCACACATGATGGCGACGGCGAATACCAAGAGGGCGCCCAAAAAGTCCAGCCGGACACTAAGCCATCGCTGGTTGGTGGCGGTCAGGAGGTAAGCGCGATTCTCGAGATCAACATAGTATGTGTTGTCCTTGATGAAACGAGGGGTCTCTGAGTACGCTCGGATGGTAGCGATCCCAGATAGCGATTCAGAGAAATGGGAGTAGAGGAGAGATCGGAGCATGGAATCCAGCCGCTTGAGCTCCCGCGAAGAGGTGCGATAGTACATGGCAAAGTACCAATAACCTATCCCGACGCCGAAGATACTACATATAACGTCAGCAGCGCGATCGAGCAAGAGATTTGACCCACATTATAATGAAGTAGTGCAGGTAGACTGTGATGATTATGATAGATCCCATAAGCTGGCACATCGTCAGCGCACAACCTTGTGCATACACGAAAATTGCTTACTGTTACAAGCGTCATCGCCATCATCCGCCAACTATCCACCAATTGATTGTCGATAGTATCAAAATCCTTGCCAAAGACACCCAATACTCTTCCCAAAGGCTGGGTGTCAAATACAGATTTGGGACAATAGAAGACGTTCTCCAAAGCTTGCGAATGGAGTTTTTTGGAAGCAAGATTGGCGATGATACCCATAGTCGCGCCCATAGCAAAGATGAAAATGGATGAAGATATGCCCAAGACTGCGTACACGCCTTGGTACGTGCTCCAGGCTTGATGGAACGTAGAGTTTTCCCACCACGTGAGCCATACTCTGATATGCTAGTCAGTAAGGCGTCTGGCATGAGGTGATAGATCTCACGTCGACATGACTTGGGATCCCTGCATGATTATGGCGAACAGGATCGTCAAGGGCACCGTATACTTGGCTTTGCCTGCTTTCAAGTACTCCTTGTAGACTAAGAGAGGTGAGCCATTGCTACCAGAGGCTGTCCACGAACCTTTTCCCCCGACAGATCCTGTCTTGCGGACCTCTGAGACCATCAAACGGCCCTGTTACCGAGTCAGAAACAGCCTTGACGATCATGGGTCGACTCACTTCCAACTTGCCAGTACCCGCAGCTTTACCTTTCCCAGCTTCCTTCAGACCATCAGATGCCTCCTGCACTTGCCCTGGTTTCCTTTTAGTCGACTCTGACTTCTCCTCGTCAAGAGCAGTCTCTTCTTCGGCAGCACGTTCTTCCTCTTCAGCGCCTCCTAGACCACCGAACTCGGTCATCAACTTTTCCACCAAGCCCCGGCAGGCGATGAGTTCAGTGTATGTCCCTTGCTCCACTATCGTTCCCTGACGAATGGCGCTAATGTCGTGTCAGTATCGTTCATGAGATTGCTGCTGAGCTCACTAGATATGGTCGACTTGGGGCAGGAGATGAAGGGCGTGCGTGACGAGAACAACAGTCTTGCCTTTCTCGCGCAGAGGAAGGATAGCGTTTTCGAAGAGAGATTTGCCGACATGCGCATCAACAGCGCTCAAGGGGTCATCGAAGAGCTGTATGATTGCGTCAGACCAGCTTCATAGTAATGCCGAAAACTTGCAATGATATCGGCGTTATAGTACAAAGCTCGAGCAATGTTGACTCGCTGTTTCTGGCCGCCGGACAAGTTGATGCCTGTCGAAGATCAGATAATGTGGGTCCAAGGGGATCGGTTTGAGACCTTACCTTTCTCACCAATCTCCGTCAAATCCCCATCCCCTAGGATCTCCAAGTCCGGTACCAAGCATGCATCTCTCACGACTTGCCAGTACCTCTTCTCGTCCCATGGTTGGCCGAATGTGATGTTGTCTCGCAAGGTGGCGTTCTGGATCCAAGCCGATTGTTGACAGTACGCAAGTCGACCACCGAAGGTCACTGATCCACCGAGTTGTGGCATCTCTCCGATAAGCTGCTATACATTAGTCCAGACACAACCACAAACAATGGTAGACTTACACCTTGGAGGATACTGCTCTTTCCACTCCCTACCGGACCTACAATAGCCACAATCTTGCCCCAAGGAATCTCGATACTCAAAGAAGAGATACCAAACGGGGCGTCAAAATTCTTTTCCTTCTCTTCCTTTGCATCCGCCGCATTGAGTTTGCTCCATGAGAACGAAACATCCCGCGTGCGGATCGCCATACCGATGGACGGATCGATCACCGTGCTCTCGGCGCGATCGGATGCTTCAAAGACCTCGGTAAGCCGTTCCATAGCATTTTGGGCGTCGGTCAAAGAGGATAAGGCTCGGGGGAGGAACATGAGGGGTTGGCGAAGGAGGTTGAAGAAGGCGAGAGAGGTGAAAATCAGAGCCTGGAGAGCCATAAGCTAGCTGCTGTCTTGCTAGGAAGCATTTGACCTACCGGGTCCATGTTGTCGTGAGAAGCTGCGTAAGTGACGAATGCTAGCACTGAGGCGAGTGACTACAAGGGGAGCGATCAGCCACAAAATGTATACTCACTTTATTGATCTTACCGGAACACTGAAGGCCAGAGCCTGGTTGGCGGCCCGGATCATCAGGATCTTTCGCACCCCAGCCATCTCCTTCTTTCGAAAGTCCTTCAACCCTGCCCAGGAATGTATCAGTGCAGCACAGGAAAGAGGGCGACAGGATGATTGAGCTTACGTTTCAGGAAAGGAATCTCATAAGTAAACACTTTGATGATCTCCATGGACGACAGCAGCTCGCGAAGTAGCCGTGACCGAGAATCCGTCCAAACCTGAAAGATGTCAGCGATACGCCGCATCTCTTCTAGGCTATTAGACATACCATAGACTTCTTTCGTATCTTGAAGCTAAACTTCATGAACCATGTCTGCAGAGGGGCCAGAATGACGAAGAGCGAAAAGCCGACCAATGCGGAGGGTCCAATCTACACCGTTCATCGGAGGTTGGTCTTTTCATGAGTCTCGAAACGCACTTGGATGATGAGGAGGACTGCAAGGAGCTTAAGCTTTTGTCCATATGGCATGGGAATAGACGTACTGAGGGTGAGTATGAGCTGGATCGGTGCAGTCCAGACCTGCAACAATAGCGTCAGTATCAGGTTTCATCATCTAAAAAGTCTTCAACTTGCAGCATGAAACCCTATCAAGCCACGATCAGTGTCTGCTTCTACAGCGTATTGATGTGACTCACATTGGGCACAGAAATCTACTCTCGAGATCTGAATGGATGGGTCAGCACTATCTGTAAGCTCATAAACATTGACTTACATCACTGGACATGTACGACAACAGTCTTCCATTAGGATGCGCTGTCCTACCCTCGACGCTCAGGTTTATCGACTTCTTGTAGACCCCGGCTATCAAAACTCCACGAGCGAGCACACCAGTGGCCATGGACCGGAAGAAGAACTGGTGCTGCGTAAGCATCCAGATTTTGGCTAGTGGATGATACATACTTGGTGTTGGCAAATCGACTGCATCACAGTCAAGAGGAACAGACCGATGGCCATCCCGACACCTCGCCCAATGTTTGGTTCTTGTTCTCCAGATTGATGGGCGGCATAGACTTCTTTACTGAAATTGATGAGGGATTTGACAAGGAGGGGTATCATGATCTGGGAGGTATCACCAAAGACCTTGAAAAGACCTGAGAGGTCATCAGCCCGCGCAATTGAGGAGAAATTGAAATGTGGCTCACCTCCAGCCCAGAACCCAGATAGAGTATCATTCAAAGCCCACGTCACGCTCCCATGCCTCTTTCCACTGCACTCCCTCCACTCTTTCTCCAGTGTAGCCATCCTCTCGTTGTAAGTGCTGTCCGAGCCATGTCGAGCATATTCAGATGCCAGCCTGCGTCTAGTCGCTGCAGTGAAAGCCCATTTGACCCGTTGTTTTCGAGTAGGCGTGGCGGTCGGCAGACTTTCGTTCCACTCTCTGGCCTTCTTTTGTCGTATCTCGAGACATTCCATAAAACGTGTTGAGAGAGGTTGAGCTGCAGTACTGTCAGCCTGATGTGGGGGCAGTTCTGGGGAGCGGCACACCTTCTCGACTTTCGTCCAGCTGCATGCCTCGTGGTCAGATGATTAACAGGCAGCGTGAGAAATACTCACCTTCCAGAGATCAGTAGCTTGTAGGGGCCGCTGGTAGCCCTTGACCATGATAGGAGTGACCCACTGCGAAGCTTCAGCTTTGCTCTGAGACGGGAGAAGCCCAGCTATGGGAACTCACTCGAAAGGTCAACTTGCTCAGTATAGAAGCGGTCGCCAGGGGTATGATATCCGCATCCTCTAGTGATACTTTGGGGGGCGGAGGAGTGTGTCTTGGCCGCCATAGCTCCCTGCAGATTGTCAGCAGAGTTTGACGCACCACCTCGCAACCATCATGATACTGACCACCAATGCTCTCGCTTGACGCCTGGGAACTGGGCCACCTCTGAATCCGATAGGTCTCGATATCCAGTAGCTCTCGTGGCAGGGATGTCTACAGAGCCATCCTTGCTGCCGTCGAGCTTTCCATCGCCCACTTTTCCCTCAGCGACCTGCCCCACAGCGGCTGGTGTAGAAGGGCTGTCTTTGCGCGACATGGACAAGATGGGTGAGGGGTGATTTACTATGGGGATAAACGGATGAGCGATAACGTCAAACACATTTGGTAGTGCGTTGTTGAATTCCGTTCGATGTTTGGGCAACGGTTTTATGAAGAGGGACGCAGGAGAGAGACTCTTTTGATGGTGCCTTTCGGTCAAATCCGATGCTCGCGTCCCAGCCCGCCGGCCTTGAAATTGTCTGAATTCTGAACGCTCAGCGTCGCAGTGTATAGCATGCATAGCCCTCACTGGGAATTATGGGACGCTGGCTTTAACATGAGGAGGGCCTCAGGGCCTCAAAGACCAACGCATCAAACAAAAGATGGCACGACAGCGTGCGGCACTGGTACTAGTAATAAACTTCCGTTCAGAGTAAAGAGGCTGACAGTCGGACAAGTTTGTATGTGCGATTCAGGGGAAAGATACTATGATGAGGTTGCCAGAGGCCAGAGGGGCCAGAGACAATCAATGACACATTGACTTCCATCGACACTTGGGCCTAGGCGCCGCTGAAACTCATCTACGACCCAGATCAGACGACAATATCTTCCTTGGCGGACAGAAACACTGTCCCTGGTGATGGATTGATGCGCTTATACAGTACTTCAGCAGTAGTCCTTACTGCTATCCTGGCATATCTTTCGTACCCGCAATGGCCACGAGATGACTGCACATAGCTCGTCCTCGTCAAAGCCAGACCAGATGCCTGAAGGTCGGCCGTCCAGTAGCCTATGCCCAGTCTTGGCAGTCGTAGTGTTCGACACAAGATCGATCGGGCATGTGAGTCCCGCGCCGAGTATTTTCTCATAGTCAGTGGTGCTACGCGAGCAAACTTGTAAGGGCTTCAGTGTGGCTGTCAAGTCGAGAGGGTGAAATCGACGTCGTGTCGCCTCTCAGAACGAGAGCCATTAACGTTGGTGCCCTCTTTGTACGACGTGTCCAGGAATGGAAACAGTCCCAGGACAAGTCCGCGCTGCTGAAAGCACGCGCACAGCTGGCTTGTTGAGTCTGTGATTGAATGCTCCGAAATCTCCACATGTCGTCCACGTTCCATACATCAACATTTCTAAGCAAAAGGCAAAAGCTTCCTCAGCTTCCTCGCCTACTTCAAAGTCAGCTCTTATCCCTCAATCAATCAGGTGCAAGTCGACTCGGTCAAGAAGGAAGGAGAAAGAAAGACTGACCTGAGTAGTGGTTACTCTGACGCCTTTGGCGAGCCTGTTTATCGAGGAAGAGGAGAGAGGGGTGTTGAGATGAGCTTTTCCAGCTTGGGCCTGGACACGTGTCAGTTTGTATGTCCTTCTGAGCTCCATGCTCATCCCGGCTCCTTGTGCGACCTCCACCTCTGCCACCGTTGCTCTTCCACATCACGTATCTATCTACCTCCCCCCCAAGCTTCTTATTGTCAAACTTACACGCTTAAACTACAGGAATCACATAAGCACTTCAATCCCACAACCCATCAAACAGAGGAAAAAAAGACGCACCATCCCTTTGGCATTCGCAAAGAACCTCTTCTTACTCGACGAATGGCTCTTCAGCTTGGTCTGTTTCTGCGGGTTGGCCTCCACCACCCTTGACCACGCGAATTCCCTCCTCCCACCCAATTCCATCCCCTCTACAGCACCCCCGAGCGGTAATCTTTGTTGACGGAAGCGTAATGAAGCGAGTGGTGAGGAAGCGGAGGAGAGGGAGAGGAGGGATGGTCTTGAAGAGGCTGAAGAGGAGAATACCTGAGCGCGGGGAAGGTGGGCTGAGGAGGAGAGGGCGGGGCGGAGGATGTTGAGGCGGAAGAAGGACATGGCGGACAACGCTAGGGGGAAGGTGTATGCTGTAGATGAGAGGGAAGAGCTTGGTATTATAAGAAGTCCGAAACTTGGTTCAAGGATGTGTTACGTAAACTGGTACTTTGCTTCCGCAACAGTACTCTTCAACTGGCTATACGTACATGATTTCGATACCTGATTCCCATCCAGTAAGATGAATGAAGCCCACTATAGGCGCATCAGATAATGGCACAGGCAGTTATCCCCAAGATTGAGCAAGGAGAGCAGATCAAACGGTCCCTCAACGCTCTCTGTCAACGTTCATTTGGTGGGCTGATCATCATCGCATTCTGCGTCCCATTCATCTCTTGATTGTCCCACAAGTCTTTCAGGTAAGGCATCATAATTCATTTTTGTTAAAAAAAAATCAGAGCGGTCTTTCTTTCATATAAAAATGTCTTCCAATCCACAAATCTACACACCCATCACATAAACACCAGAGGCAAGGAAGGGGGTAAGAAGGAGGAGGGGGTATGCCAAAAAAAGGGATAATCAGCAAAAGGAGAGAAAAGATGCATGGTTAATATGCGGGGGTGTTAAGAGATTGTTGTAGGAAGGGAAGGGGGGGTTTTACAAAAACGTCGTCAAGGACGCGAAAGGACCGAGTGAAAAAAAAAGGCAAGGAAGCGAGAGACGAGACGAGGGCGTGTAAAAAGGTGGACAGCGCTTAGAAGCACTTTCGGTGGACGATTGAAGGTCCAGACTCGTCGTACTCGCTCTTGGCGACTGTAAATTGGTTAGCATAAGAGTAGACAAGAAGAAGAGGGGGAGGGACGTACTCCACATCTGCTGGAAGGTAGACAAAGAGGCAAGGATGGAACCACCGATCCAGACAGAGTACTTTCGCTCGGGGGGAGAGACAATCTTGATCTTCATGGAAGAAGGAGCAAGAGCAGTGATCTCCTTTTGCATTCGGTCGGCTGCGGTCCATGTCAGCTTTGCCCCCACACGTTTGAGATAGAATACGCACCGATACCGTTGTACATGGTGGTACCACCAGACATGACAATGTTACCGTAGAGGTCCTTCCTGATGTCCAAGTCACACTTCAAGATAGAGTTGTAGGTAGTCTCGTGGATACCAGCAGCTTCAAGACCGAGGAAGGAAGGCTGGAAGAGGGCCTCGGGACACCTGAATCGCTCGTTACCGATGGTAATGACCTGACCGTCGGGAAGCTCGTAAGACTTTTCGAGCTGAGAAGACTGGGCGGCAGTCTGGAGCTCTTGCTCAAAGTCGAGGGCGACGTAACAGAGCTTCTCCTTGATGTCTCGGACGATTTCTCGCTCGGCAGAGGTGGTGAAGAAGTAACCTCGCTCCATGAGGATCTTGACGAGGTAGTCGGTGAGGTCTCGACCGGCAAGGTCGATACGGAGGATGGAGTGGGGGATGGAGAAACCTTCGTAGATGGGGACAGTGTGGGAAACACCGTCACCAGAGTCGAGGACGATACCGGTGGTACGACCGGAAGCGTAGAGGGAGAGGACGGCCTGGATGGAGACGTAGAACGCGGGGGCGTTGAAAGTCTCAAACATGATCTGGGTCATTTTTTCTCGGTTCTGCTTGGGGTTGAGGGGAGCCTCGGTCAGGAGGACGGGGTGCTCCTCGGGGGCGACACGGAGCTCGTTGTAGAAAGTGTGGTGCCAGATCTTCTCCATGTCGTCCCAGTTGGTGACGATACCGTGCTCAATGGGGTACTTGAGGGTAAGGATACCTCGCTTGGACTGGGCCTCGTCACTGGGAGATGTTAGTGTGTGTATAGCAGGGCGAGTGGGTGGACTTACCCCACGTAAGAGTCCTTCTGGCCCATACCGACCATGACACCCTGGTGTCGGGGTCGACCGACGATAGAGCTGTCATTTGTTAGCATGATTCGATGTGAGTAGAAGAGGCTTACGGAAAGACGGCACGAGGAGCATCGTCACCGGCGAAACCGGCCTTGCACATACCAGAACCGTTGTCAATGACAAGGGCGGCGACTTCTTCTTCCCTGTAGCCACGTCAGCATTTGTTCTGTATGTGTATTGTTGGGACTTGCATGGACATGTTGGGCGAGTTTTATATCTGCAGTAGATATAGTCAGCGAGGATGCGCGTTATAGATGAAGCCAGGGCAGCGACATTGAGAGAACAATAGGCCCGTGCGATGAAAAGTCGAGCGCCCGCACCCGCACCGCATCGCGCATCGTCGACGCCGCCGCATCCACCCATCTCCACGCGCCGAGCGTCGCGTGCTTCACCGAGGACATCGGTCGACTATGCATCGCACCGCTTTGCGAGTGGTGGTGCAGTGAGCTTATCGGGCATCGCCTTGCGGTCTAGGGGGACTGCAGGCATGGGCGCGAGGACTGCAGGCATGGACGCGCTTCTTCACTGGGGCGCAGTGGGGGCAGTCGGGGCAGTCGGGGAGCAGGGGGGCAGGAGGGAGGGGCAGGGACAGGACTCACGGATGGATGGGGATGGGGAGAGAGAGTGATAGCGAGAGAGTGACGAGTGACGAGGGCGGGATAATGCCGGGGGTACAGTGTGGCAGTGTTAATAACACCCATTCTTACATAGACGCGCGGCCAGAGATTACTCTCGTCTACCACTCCACGATGCCCCTCGAAAGCTGCATGCTCATCCTCGACAACAGCGAGTACATGCGCAATGGCGACTGCCCCCCCACCCGCTTCCAGGCCCAGGCAGAGGCAGTCCAGACACTCTTCACAGCCAAGACAGACGCAAACCCCGAGTCCGCCGTCGGCCTCATGACCATGGCTGGCACTGCGCAAGTCTGCACCTATCCAGTAGAGTCCTGCTGACGTTGTACAGCCCCTCGCTCCTCGTCACCCCCACCAACGACCTCGGCCGTCTCCTCCATGCCCTCTCCAAAGTCCTCATCTCCTCCCTCCCCCAACTCTCCACCGCCATCTCCATCGCCTCCCTCGCCCTCAAACACCGCGAGAACAAGAACCAGCGCCAACGCATCGTCGTATTCGTCGCCTCGCCCTTGTCCGAGACTGCTGACGAGCTCGTCAAGCTCGGCAAGAGGTTGAGGAAGAATAACGTCGTGGTCGATGTGGTCACGTTCGGAGACGAGGGCCGGGAGAATGATGACAAGCTGCGGGGATTGGTGGATGCTGTGGGGAGTGACGAGTCTCATCTCGTTTCTGTGCCCCCGGGGGAGAGCTTCCTCTCGGACGTTATTGCGAGCTCGCCCATTCTGTTTGATGGTGAGAATGCGCCTGCGGGTGGTGCGGCTGGTGCGTTTGGAGACGATTTGGACCCTTCGCTCGACCCGGAACTTGCCATGGTATGCCCCCTCTCCTTCCCTTCCCTTGGTTCATATACTGACGATCATTCAGGCCATTCGAATGTCATTACAAGAAGCAGAAGCCCAGGCGGCCGCCGCCGCCCCCGCCGAGTCTTCCTCCTCCGGCGGCGCCCAACTCCCACCATCCATCACCCAACCCCTGTCCACCTCTGACGACGTTCAAATGGCCCCCGGCGATGCTTCCGCTTCCGCCCCCGCCCCCGCCCCAGCTGATCCCAAGGTCCAATCCGCTCTCTCTGGTACTGGCGCGGCGTCTACCGGTCCTGCGCTTGGCGGAACAGCGGGAGGGGAGCAGGAGGAGGAAGATGAAGAGCTCGCAGCGGCCCTCCGCCTGAGTAAAGGTGAAGATGTGGAGATGGGCGAAGGGGAGGAGGAGGAGGATGAGGATGCTGCTATTGCTAGGGCCATCGCTATGAGTTTGGAGCAGGGGGAGAAGAAACAATAAGGAGGGGTCTTTGTTAGAGAAGGGATGAGGGGATTGTATATTACCTGAATTACATGCGAAACTTTAGCATTACGTGCATTGTGTTGAGAAAGTATTACGCGCTGACGTTGCTCTACAAGTCTTTGTTGCAACATGTCGCTTCCTTGCAGGCAACATCATAATGCCTTCCTCAGAGTATTTCCATGACGCAAAGGCAGCAGAATGATGCATCGCTCACATTAACGTGCTCGTATCAAGAAAAGTTCAGACTCGTAAAAACGCATTTCATCATTACACTATTTTTTCCATCCCCAACTCTCTTTGACTTGAACCCTAGAACCCACCAGCCAACAACTTTGCAGCCTTGCGCTCATCCAGCCTCTTCCGCCCCATCGACCCCGCCCTCTGCGGTCCCTGGCCCGGGCCATACATCCCCGGCGTCCCCGGTGCTCCGGGTGTACCAGGATACCCAGGATACCCAGGTTGGCCCGGGTGTCCGGGGACAAACATGCTTTGGGCCATGCCCATCTGTCCTTGCGGGAACCCTTGCAACTGTCCAGGAGCGGGAGGGCGGAATCCGCCAAGAGGGTCAGCCCCGCCATCAGAATACGGAGCAGCAGAGTGCGGTCTCTGAATCCCGCCCGCGCCGTTCGCAGGCAGCAACATGGACTGTGACCCATCGGGCACCAAATTGGCTCGGGGTGGGGAAGTGGGTACCCTCCGAGGGGGAGCAGGACCGGTTTGGGGGTAGTATCCTTGTTGTGGAACGGTGTTTTGAGGGGGGATTTGGAATTGGGGCTGGTTGGCGTAAGGCGATTGTGCGCCCAGGGTCTGGTATTGCGGAGAAGAAGGATGAGGATGAGGATGAGGATGGTTTTGAGCGGGTTGAGTATGGTATGGAGAAGGAGCAGCTTGGGTATGGTATGGTGAAGGAGAAGGTTGGCTGTGGTATGGCGAGGGAGAGGGCTGGGAGTGGAAAGGCGATACTGGTTGATTCTGGTATGGATTCGCGTGTCGGGGATAGCCAGCCTCGAGAGGTGGTTGGGATGGTCCGGCCTGTTGAGACGTGGGTACTCCCCGAGGGTACTGCCCTTGCACCCGAGTCTGCGCAGGCTGAACAGCTTGCACCTGAGCAGGAGGCGAGCGAACAGTCTGGAACGACGCTTGCTGCTGAGGCGGCGGCGGAGGCCTAACCATCGGCGGTACTCTAGCCGGCACCTGCGTCTGCGCCGCGGTCCTCTTCTCCAAAGGTAAAGGCGCAGCCCCAGGAGCCACTTTCCCCACATCCACCTTCAAACTCTCGAGCTCTTTCAGCGTTTGTTTGTGGTACATGACCGACATGCGGGCGGCTTCGAGGAGGCTGATCGCAATGTCTTCGTGGGCGTGGCGGGAGTGCGCTCGGAGGGAGGTGTGGAGGTTTTCAGAGATGGCTGATACGCGCTTTGAGAGAGTATCTTCGAGGGCATCGGCCTGTACGAGTATTAGTAGAGATCATCAGAAAAGCAAAGATACGGACCTCTTGCATCTCGCTGATAGCGTCATCGACCTTGTTCTGGTTGATGTTTGAGCTGCCCTTTAACCTCTCCAACGCTCTGCGCTTGTTGATGGCCGATTTGGTGGCTGCTTGAGCATCTTCAAGCACTAGAGTACGCTGAGTAAGAGTATCCTTGGCGGCTCGCGCGTTGAGGGCTTGGTAGCCAATAGAGTCGCTCAGGATGACATTCTCATGCGCAGCCTATTCTATTAGTGACGCCCAAGCACGAGATGATAAGGCTCACCTGGGACCCCATCAAACCAGAACCATGCTCCCAAGTCCTGCCCATCTTTCTCTCCGCCCCCGACAAGCTCGGCTCACTCTCCACAGTGCTCAACGAAATCATCCTGGCCCCCACGTCCGCATTACTCTGCGCCAATTGCCTCCTCGCCTTGCCGAGCTGGTTGACACAAGTGGCTGCTTGGGCATAGCGCTCTTCGAGTTTCTCGAGGGCAATCTTGGCGGAGGCGAGTTCGTCATCCTCGTCGAGGGGGCCGCGGCGCACGACTTTGGTGAGGGCGGATAGGACGGTTGAGGATCCTGCGCGTCGGGCACTTTGTGGTGTGATTGGATTGTACTGTATGATAGTTAGGATGCGGTCATACAGATAGAGGCTTGACCTACACTGAATTCTGCTTCGATAAAGCTCCTCAACTCGTGCTCCTTCATCAAGACCGGGTCTTCACACACCCTAGACAACCATCTCTGAAGCGCAATCCTGACCAACCTATCGTCTTCCTCATCCGTCATTGCCGACGTAGAGGGAAGCGGCAGGGCGGGTATTATAGCTGTAGTATAGTCAGCATTGCTCCTGCTTGAGCCTCGGCGACATACTCTGAGGACAAAGCAGTTGCACCTGCTCCGCGAACTTTTGAAACTCGACGTAGCTTCTCTGCATGTTTTTATACAGAGGCAGTCTATAGTGTTGCAGGTTGGTCTACAGATTGCGTCAACATTTGCTTGCATACTCGATGTCTCACTTACGCTCGCATCGAATCGGACCAGCAGGTCCTTCCTATTCCTCTCCAGCGTGCCGATCCTGACTCTCAAATACGGCCTCGGCGGCTCTTTCGCGCCATTCGTCGTTGCATGATCAGACTGAGCATCCGGGAGCGGACTGACCAGGCCCATCCCGGGTGCTCCGAATATCTTTGGTTCACGAAGGCCGGCTGCGGACCACGAGGCGGCGGACGAGAAGCCCGAGCTTGAGGCGGTGGTGGGCGGGGCGGGGGACGGGGGGACGGGGTCGGTGTGGTCGGTGGGGGAGGACCATCCTGCGTTGATGTCGTCCGAGGGCGAGAGGGGGTCCATGGCCTGTGATGGAGATGTGGATGATAGAGACAATAGAGCCTCAGTGCGTGATAGCGAGCCGTCCGTGGCGCGGACAGCGGATCCTGTCCGCCCGGACGCGTTTCACTTGGTCAACTTCATTCTATTGCCTTGTTGCTTCAACAATGCTTTGCTCTTAAGACAACAACGGCCTCTCTTTGTCCCTGTTGACAAGTGTCTGCTTTTGCCACACTCTATACAGAGCTACTATGCGCGACCTGTCCGCGACTGATCTCAACTGCCACAATATCCAACTACTACAATGCAATGGACACTACTACAAGCTCTCAGCTGGAAAGCTTCAGGCGCGTATATGATATCCAGACTCCCATGTAAACTGTATGATCTCATCTTGATTCATGCTGGATAGTCTAGATGGTAAGCGCCATAAAAGTCTTCTCCCATCCCTTGCCCATCTCCTTCGGGTTACCCTGCGTCCCCACAAAGCCCTCCACAAACAACTCATCCGACGCACCAACAGCCCACCCCTTTTTGGTATAGATCTCAAACAGACCCTTGGCTTCTTCAGCGCTCATGCCATGAGGAACGACGATGGGTGTGAGCCCGTGGGCGTGGGCGAGGTGGTAAGGGTTGATGGGGGTGTAAGGGGTGATGGGCTGTGTTGTGGGGAGGGAGAGGGCGGTGGAGAGTGATGGGGATGGGAGGTTGGTGGGGTCGGAAAGGGACAGAGAGGTGAGGATAGAACCACGGGCCTGAAAAGGTGTCAGCTGAGTACACAGAAAGCTTGAGAGGCGTACGAATGCTCGACGACCGGCAATAAAATCGAGGACAAGTCGGGGGGTCGAAAGGTGGTATGGTTCAAGAGGGGTGTACTCGGCTGTTCGGTACTTGGAAGTGTTGAACAGGGATTGTGCTTCATCAATAGCCCAAAGCACGGGGAATCTGTCAGTCGATTAGTATACGCCACACTGGTAAAGCTGTGACGTACCGAGTTTGCTTTTCCAGAACGCCAATCACCGCCTCAAACGCAGCGACCGCTACTCTATCATCCTTGGCACCAAGCTGCGCCAACTCTGTCAAGCTACTGCCCTGCTTGATCTCCTTTCCCTTTGCAAGTTCCACAGTCTTATCCAACTTGATAGTATCGAGCTTGTCTTTGTTGGTCTCGACAAGAACGTTGAGAATGTCCTGAGCAGACTCCCATTGAGAGTAGGTCTTTGTTGATGGATCATAGATGTAGTGTGATGTAGAGTTGGTCCATTTGGAGGCCCGGGGTTGATAAAGAACGATCCAGTCGGTCTCGAGAGCGTATACGACACTTTGCACGAGGAGCATACTCTTCCCACTGCCCTTTTCACCAGCTGCACCCAGATAAGTAAAGCCTCGGATGTTCAAGGCAGACACGTACTGAGGATAAACCGAGAGTCCTTGCTATTTCCATTCTTGGCACTCTCGACCCTTTTCACCACGTCCAGAGTAGCCTCTCTGACCACACTCGCAGGTCCACCAGCCGAAGAAAGCTCCTTGTCGATCTTTGTCGGTAAACCAATAGCCTTGAGCTTGTCGAACGACTGCTTGGAAAGGGTTGTCGCTTTTCCTACAGTGTCTTTTCTGAATGTACCCTGCTTGCAATATCAGCCATGTCCATAAAAGTCATTGAGGTGACGTACAGGCTGCAATCTGGGAAGGTCCGAAAGGTCTGGAGGTGTCCCCGCCATGCTATATCTCAAAGCAATAGTCTGCTTTCCACCACTGGACGAAGGGGCATCCGCCTTCTTCTTCTTGGCGAAACCTTGCTTTGCTTTGGCAGTGGCAGCGGTAGCTACAAAGCGCAATTAGTACGCGGTTCGAGACAGGTTCGCAGTCGTACACACCTTTCTTGGGCGCGAACGCCGGGGCAGAAGTGGTGAGCCCCCTTGCCAGGGGTGTTTTGGCGAAGCGCACAATAGGTCTTGTACTCATTTTGAATGCTTGCTAGGGGGAGGAAGCAATAGATATATGGGATTTTCGAAACGCAAGAGAAGAGTAGTCGGGGATAAAAGTAAAATTACGTAATAAAAATATTTCCAAAAGAGAGTTGAACTTGCTGAATTTTGGTCCATCTCTGCTTGGTACAATTCAAAATCTCACCGGCAGTAGCAATGGCCCCCACCACCTCAAAGTCAGCCAAGGCCAAGCCTTACGACCGCGCGGAGGCGTCCAAGAAGTCCAAGGGAAAGGGCAAGGCGCCCCAGGACTTGGGAGCTCCTGCGACTCACTCGCAATCGTCGAGGAAGGGCAAGAAGGCGTGGAGGAAGAATATTGATATCAGGCAAGAGGAGGAGGCCCTTGAACAGGCCAGGGAGGATGAGAGGGTCACTGGGTATGTGAAACGTCTGTCGAATTGATGATTGAAGCTGACACTATACTTAGTGGTCCTGCAGCGGCCAAGACGAGCGGTAATCTGTTTACGATCGACACTGTTGGTGACCAGACAGGTGAGTCTATACCCTCAACATCGAGCTACATATACTCACACTCTATCCAGTCGCTGCCAAAGCCAAGCGTCAACACAAACCCCTTCGATCTCTCGCCATCCTCGACCAAAAATCTGCCGTCCCCTCCCTCACCTCCAAAGTCTCCAAAGCTCCTGCTGCCGACAAGAAGCAACACCTGCTCTCTCGTGCGGAGAAGGACCGTCTCAAGCGTATAGCGCGCAAGACGCAGGCTTTCTCTGATGGCACTGGTCTCTCGTCTGCTGACATTCAAGCTCGTGGACCGGCTGAGAAGGACGCTTGGGGAGAGGAGGAGGAGGTTGTCGTCAAGGGTGGTTTCGGAGAGGAGACAATCGTGAAGAGGAAGGTCAAGGCTCCTATCACGATTGAGAGGCAAAGGGAACTCTACTTGGAGAAGGCCAAGAAGGTGGAGGATCAGCCCGAAGGTGGCTTGTCCTACAACCCCAAAGCAGAGGCGCACCAAAAGCTCATCGATGCCGCTATCCAAGAAGAGCTCGATGCTCTGAAGCGAGAGGAGGCGGAGGCTGCCAGGTTGGAAAAGTTCGGTGCCGTTATCGAGGCTCGCCGAAATGCCCCTCAGTCCGAGTTTGCGGAGGGTATGGAGGTCGGAGGTGGCGAGTCGGATTCAGAGGAGGAGGAAGACGACGATGTCGAAAAGCCCACGAAGAAGCCTTCCAAGAGAAAGACGACTGCCCAGCGTAACCGTCAAGCCCGTCAACGTGCTCTTGAAGCGGCCCTTCTGGCCAACAAGAACCGACGCAACCTTGCCAACTCTGTCCTTTCTGCCCCCGCCCTGAACCTCCAAATCGAGGCTCAAAAGGTTCTCCAGGCGGAGAAGGATCAGAAGGCGAAGGAGTTGAGGCAGCAGAAGGAGAAGGAGTTGAAGAAGGCGGGTCAAAAGATTGGCAGGCACAGGGTACCGGGGAAGAGGGTGGAAGTGCAGCTGGGAGAGGATTTGGCGGAGAGTCTGAGACAGGTCAAGCCCGAGGGCAACTTGTTCAAGGACAGGTTCTTGGATTTGCAGAAGAGAGCTCTCATCGAGCCTCGAGTACCTCAACTGTATGTCCCTCTATTTGTTTCGCGGACACATGCTGACCTTTGTTTCCAGACCGAAGAAGAGAAGCCTCAAAACCAAGGAGTACGAGAAGTTTGCCTACAAGCACTTCAAGTAGATTATCACATCTTCCAGCATCGACTTTACTCCCTCCATCTGTACATTTGGTCATTTTGCGGTTATCCATATGCTGTACATGTAAACTCTATATGTCTCGCCGCTGCTTGCATTGTAGCATGTCAAGGAATAACATCAGTGCGACATCAGATTAACCAACTCCACCACAAGGAAGCTACGAGTAGGGTGTCAATCCTAGCCAAGTGGAGTCCTTGTGCTTTGCCCGCTTAATGTCTCGAAACTATGGGCCTGTTCACGATTGCATACAATGATAAAGCTCTTGGCTTTCACCCTTCTGCTCTTCAGATTGTCGGAGGACTCTGCTCACCACATCCATTGAAAAAGGTCGATAATCAAATTTGAGTGGTTAGCCAAAGAACCCCTTCCTCTCATATAGGAACTGTATCTCGGTAGAGAGGATGCCGAGGCTTGCGATGGATGTGCAGCTACCATTTGCGACGTCCCTCCTGTATGTATCGTCTTCCAACGTCGTCCAATTGTGATGCAGCCGAGGTGTTTACGTAATCTCAATCACTATTTATGTAGCGACGATCCGATAAGAAAATCACTTCTTGTCGAATCGTCCATCTTGCTTTACACCATCGCCCCATCTCTCTCCGCCATGGCTTTCCTCCAGTCCGTCGTCCTCGCATCATGCTCCTTCATCCTCGGCATCGTCTTCGTCTCCCAAGTCGTTCGTCCCGTCCCCTTGCTGCCTGCCGCGGTACAGGGCAAAACAATGCTGACTTGAAATCTCTTTCTCTGCCGTTGCGAATAAACAGGTCGACATCCCATTGCTGTATATGCCTGTAACGGAAACTGCCATTGAGAATGGTTACAAGTTTTACGAACTCTGGTGGGAAGCGCCTGGAGCTGTCAAGGTGGGTTTTGGCTCGGCATCTTATTTGGCTCCTTCCCGCCTTGGGCAGTAATCTCTTAGAGAGGTCGCCGCTGTTGCATGGACGAAGGAGAAACAATCCCCTGAAACGGAGGCTGATGAATATACCAGGCTTTGTTCAATGTTGCCCTCGCTTTGCCCTTGGTCGCCCTCCTCGTGAAGTTGCACAAATGGAACGAGAGTGCCATGTTCTTTGACGGAAGCTGCGTCGGTACGTCTTTCCTACGATGGTGGTAGCAGCTTCAGTGCTGACGCTTCTGTGATAGCCATGCATTTGGCGACTGTGATTCTGTACCTCACCGTCCACCTCACCTCTCTCCGAACTTTCCGTATGTCCCGTCCCTCATGATTTGCACTCTCATCTACTAACTGCGATCTCTCAGTCCCCGAATCTACAGTCGCTTCCTCCTACTCTGTCCTCCCTACTCCTGCTCCCCGCGAATTCCCTCCCACCAACGACGAGAAGATTGAGGCTCTCCGCGTCTTGGCTGCCGCCAACGCCCTTGTCGGTCTCTTGACCGTCGGTATCATCGGCATGCAGATTGGCCAGGAGTATGCCAGGCGAGTCGAGGAGAAGGAGCAGCGTGAGGTCGACGAGGAAAAGAAAGATATCTAAGGGCAGCGAAGAACGGCGGGGAGTGAGGACGCAAGTGGAGGATGTAGTAATTGCCAATGTGAGAGATATATCTTATCAGCACCCGTATTCGAAGCGTGTAATCCGTATAGAGTACCAGTATGTACAAATAGGGTAATACCATCCATACGTCCCTGTCATACCAGTTCATACACGATACAGATCCAGCCGGCCGTCCCAGCCGCAACTCCCAAGTAACCCCGGGTCGAATAGTGCCCATTCCACGCCCATGACAAACTCGGTATGTATTGTATGTGCGTATAGCTCTCGAGGCTGGGGCGTCGTTTGCCATCTGTTCGGTTCATCAGCATCAACAAGAAAGATGAAGAATAAATTCCTCACATCCGACAAGCCATATCATACCCTCCACTAGCCAGCCTACCGCTTCCATGCGGATCCCACCGTACTTTCCTTGCCCCGAGCTTGGCCTTGCCAACCTGCCTTACCCCCATCCCTTCTGCCCCTCTCGGCGTATTTCTCAAGTCCACAGTGGACACACTTCCGTCCTGCGACGAAAACGCCAGCATATGCGGGACATACTTGTTGAAATCAATTGACAAGATTTCACCTTGACTAGGATTTATCTGCTGCACAGACTGTGAGGCCTGCAACTGAGCTGGGGGAGGGGGGATAGACGTCTTGACAGGAGGCGGGGTAGGCAGACGGGTGTCCCATATGCGGATGAAGCCGTCGGAACCGCATGAAGCAAGGATAGTAGGCGAGTGTGGCGAGAATGTGGCACTGTATATCTGCGATGGATGGGCGGCGATGGTCAGAAGAGATGTCTCCCTTGAGGGGTTCCACTATTGACAGTTTAGCGACGATACAGTGGAGAAGGTGTGAGGACGGACGATCTTGACTGTTTGGTCCCAGGAGGCAGTAACGAATATATCTTTCTGGAGGTTATTCCACTCAAGTGTCATTATCTCTGCGGTATGCTCATGCCATGACCGTATAGGCAGTTGCTACACAAGCCAGGAGTCAGTACACCGACGGAAATCATCCTCCGGAGGAATCGGTCGGAATGGCCTTGTGTGGGCCTTACATCCAGTGTCACGTCGTAGAGCTTGATTGATCCGTTCCCCAGGGCTGCTGCCAGCTGATTCCTTCTTGCGGTCAGTACCTGCCCCCTTTCCGCTTCCTGCATGTGGCCGCCACAGGCACCGTGTCCACTCGCCGGCCATGGTTTTCTTGGGCGCCAAAGACTCACTCATGCACTTCACTCCAGGCCACATCGTAGACCCCATCTCTCGTATCCCATCCTCTCATGACGCCGATACCCTGCCCGCCTTCGACCCCTTCGCCAAGGTGGACAACGGACACACGACCATTCCCGACCAAAGAGAAGTTTGTTCCCGAAGCGAGGGCGAGGCGATCTTCGTAGAAGGGGGAGAATGCGAGGGAGTTGTGGGCGAATGGGGGGAGGTGGAGAGAGAGGCGAGTCATTCTGTGACTTGCAATGGGGCGAGTCTACGTGAGAACAAGAGGCGATGAGAAAGAAAACAACATCTGCAGTTATTGCTCGGTAGACGACGCAAGCTCGGGGTTCCGGGGTTCCGGCTCTTTCGCTACCGGGACCATACTCTATTCTTCCAGGGCGACAATGTTGAGCAATCAAGATACATGGTCCTGCATATCACTCACATGCAAGGCGGTGTATATGTACTCTATACGATGTATAGACGTGATCGTCGAGGAGTAAGACTATGATACGACGTCCTCTACAACCCGGACCCATCCACGTCCATCCCCTCGCTTTGCGGCAGTCCCTTGTCGCCTCCGTCCCCGCTTGCATCCTCATCCCAATTCGCTAGTAGCTCCATAATCTCTAAATTCAACTCTCCATTCACTTCGCCTCCATCCTGTCCAGTGAACAGACTGTTCAGATCAAAGTCGTCTGCCCCCAGCGTCTGATTATCCATCGACGATAGGAACGCGTTGATATCAAAGTCTGGATCGAGGTTATTCCCTGACTCGTCTACAGACGGAAGAGTATTGTCGGTGGGATTCGTGTGAGATGAGGCGTGGTTAAGGCGTATGGGCGTGGTAGACACGTTACTCAACATGGGAGTCAGAGCTGCTGGGTTGGCCTGCCCAGTGTGGTGGTGGGCAGCAGGCGTATGCCCACTATGACTATGTGCACTCCCATCATCTCCCAGTGCAAATCCAAACACCTCACTGGAGAATTCTGACGGTCCCGCACGCGCACTAGCCCGGGTTGCCATCCTTGGAGAGTCTGCCACCTGACCCGCTTTGCTCTTGTACCGCTTCCGTGGACTCTCTGCGACACTGCCCATCAAGGCGGCCGTACGAGGCGTGGGAGGTGGGAGAGCTTGCTCGGACGGGTGAGACCGTGTATTATAGTGATTATTGGCCGTCGGCGTGGGATGATCTTGTGATTCACGACGCCTGAGGCGAGGTGAAGAGCGGACAGCTGGGCCATCTGAGAAGAGGTCGGAGGATGGGTGATGGGATTGACTACGACGTTTCTGCTCGGCAGATTGGCTCGCATTGGCACTGGTAGAAGGACCTGGGCCTGCTGTGGCATTACCGCCTGGTGCGGGTTTGGGATCCCACAGCTCTTGGGGACGCATCTGCTTGTGTTCGTTAAAGTACACACCACAGTCTACTCATTGTCAGTGGGATTTTGTATTAAAGCATGATATACGCACCATCACAGACCTTTCGAGGCGGCCCTTCCTTCATCTTTCTCACCCGCCAACAACTACTGACCATGGTCCCACAATTGCAGCATCCCTGAGCCGCCTGCAGCGCCTTGGCCTGCTGAGCAGCCTGAGAATTCTGAGGCTGTTGCTTTGACTGAGGCTTCTGTGTCAGCGGCGTCTTTGGCCCGCTCGGTGTTGGGGTAGTCGGTTCGGCAGGCGATCCTCTATCCTTCTCATCCCCCTCCCTCTTCAAATCCTGTACCTGGCCGCCAGCCAAGTCATCCACCTTGACACTCCTCAGCTGTGAAAGGAGAGAAGCCCCTGGTGGTACAGCCTTGAGTATTTGCCTGAGCATGGGATTCGCCGCGAGATGCCGAGCGAGATCGGGCGACATGTTGCCATCAGCCTTGAGCAGAGCTTGGAGGTGCCGACGTGAAGGCGTGGAGGGGGGTGGTGATTTGGAACGAGGCGCGGGAGGCGGCGTGACAGGACGCGGCTGGGCAGGTTTGGGAGGTGCGGGAGGTTGGAATACAGCATCAGAAGCCGCAGGTTGAGGTGGACGCGGTGGCTGAAAGTTACTCTGAGCCGTACGCGATGGGGGATTCTGAGACAAAGAGGAAGAAGGTCGACTTTGCCCCAGGTTGGAGCTGGACGATCTAGGGAACGAGCTTGGTGGCAAACCCGTCGAAGATGCAGGTCGTCCCATCGCACTCGAAGGTCTGTTGGACTGCGCGTTCCCGGCAGCTTGTCCATTGCTAGCTTGGTTCGTGGGCTTCTTATGAGAACCTGGTGATTTACTCTCCGTCTTTTCCATTCCCAGACCGACACCAGCTGGCCGAGCAGCGAAATTCTGCCCCGACTGCAATTGACTTGGAAACCTCTGAGCGACAGGCGAGCTCAACATTCCGTTCGTACTGTTTGGCGCTTGACCATCGCTTCCCCCTTTCGTCAATGAAGCTTCAAAGGCGCGTCTGCCCTTGAACTCTGCTTTCCCTTCGGGGTTGACCTGGCGCAAGGACACATTGACCTCTAGCCCCCAGCCCTTGCCGTCGGCCTCGTCCTGTTTCCGGGCCGTGCTGTTGGCGGCAGCAACAAGCGCCTCAAGGCCCCCTTCCATATCATGAAAGTGATGCGATGAGAACTCATACTCTCGCACCAGCTTCCCTCTGACGAGGGTTGTGCCCGGTGAAGATTCAGACAAGACCCAAGACATGAATCCTTTGCCCGTCCAAGAAGAAGGGGTGACGTCGGGAGCAGGGTTGAAGGCGTGTGGGAAGGGTGTGCGTTCTGTGGGATCAAGATTGTAGAGAGAAAAGTCGAGACATTGGTTATCCGGTATACACTCGGGGCTGCGTACTGGGTCAGAGTGGTGTTGACGCGTTGTTTCCTGGCGATACTGACCTCGCATAGCATACTGCTCTGGCTACGCCCTTGAGGACACAACTTCCCTGGAGAGGGCCCGTGTGGGTTTGACCGGAAGAATAGCTGGGTGCCGAATAGTGTACATAGACGTCTTGGAGGCCGCTGAGGACTGTCACGTAGGAGTGCGGCGAGGTGTCGATGCTGTAGAGGACCTTGACTGTGGTGTATTGTTAGTGAGCTGGCAATTGGAGGGCGGGAGAGCAAGACTTGCCTGGGAGCTGATGTATTTTCCCAGGAGAGGGGGCCATCGTGGAGACTGGCGGGATATTTGTGAAAGAGATGCAAACAAACAAGAACGCGAAAGCGAGCCACGAAAACGACGCGAATTTCATGTCAGGATTATCAGGAAACTTATTACGGCACAAGTCGGGAACAATAGTACATGCGCCGCATAAGGTATCAAGGCCATCATTCAGCTGATACAGGGCTAGGTATCACGCGAAGAGGTAGTAGAAGCCAAGGTTGTATACCCCAATGTAGCTCCAACACGATATGGCGATTTCAAGTACCTCTCTAAAGTCTCAACACCACCACTATGTGATTCTTTCAAGATGGAGATGGTATAATGCGGCAGAACTGCATTGCAACTAAACATCCCATGCCTTCTGAGGGTGGAAAGCGGGGGGCGATGTCCCAGAATATCGGGCAGAGGCAGGGGAGACAGATGTACTTCGAGATTGCGAGTATGATAACGACCAGAGTCGACAGACATGTGTGTCCCCCAGTCGAGATACTCCCACACGAAGATATACGCAGATATGCAGAACCAAATAGAATTATCTATACACCTACAACAACATCCCCTACTCCTCATCCTTCTCATCCTTCTCCCTCTTGTCCTCCCTCCTCTTCCCGCCGTTGTTTCTCCTCTGCTGACCAAGACCCTGCTGGGCGACCTGCTCCGCCTCCTCCACAACCTGCCTGGCCTCGCCCACCGACTTCTTCCACTGCTGCAACCGCTTCTCAAGAAGCTGCCATTCGGCAGAACCGAAGCGGCGCGAAGAAGAGGTGGTGGAAGAGATGGATTGGATGCGGATGATGGAGAGGGGTTGGGAGATACGGGCGACGATGAGTTTAGATCGGACGGCTGGAGAATTGTCAGTAAACGTGAAACTTATAATTCAAGTACTCACCATCAATGACCCAGGTCTCGACCTCGGACTCTTCGATGCCCAAAGCCTTGGCAATAGGCGCGTACCCAAGCTCCCGAGTCTCATTCTTCTCACAAAGCGCGACAAGGGCAATCAGCCTCAATTTTCTCAAGACATTCTCGCCAGTGAACCCTTCGATACCAGCACCTTCCACCAGAGAGGCATTGGCCACCGCCCACTTCTTGCCCTTCTCAATGGCCTCAATCTCATCGCCTTCGAAGAGCTCGACCAAAGACTTGGTTTGGCCGAGTTGATCGGGGACGCCTTGGATGGCGAGGACATCGTCAAGCTCGAATTTGGTGGGGACCGCGACTGAGAGAAAGACGGCCTTCTCGACTAGCGCGGGTTCAACAGACTCCTTCAAAGCAAGGGTTATGAGCTCGAGAGCCTTGGAGAGATCGCCAAATGACGAATAGAGCTGCGCAGCAGTGCCCAAGAACTCGACCTTCTCGGCGGAAGGGATGTTCCATGAGGCAAGGGCGGGGATAAGGGTAGATGTGGGAAGGGGCAAGGTCGAGAGGTCGAGGGTGGTGGAAAGGAGGGACATGAGGGCGAGGAGGGTGGACGGGCGGAGATGGGAGGTGGCGGGGAGGTAATTGTATGTGTTGATGAGGACTCGAGAACCAGCCTCGGCTCGGGTGTGCTTGGTAGCCTCCTGCGCGCCCTTCCTGACCGCCTCGTTCACGTTCTTCACCGCCTGGTCGTACTCTTCTGAGCCTTGCTCGTAGACGCTTGAAAGGACATGTTGTAACAGGAAGTGGGAGCTTTCGACCTCTGCGATTTGGTGAGCATGACCTCTCACATAGCAGGGACAAAACGTACCAGACTCCTTGGCGCCTTCGAGACCACCGTTCAGCTCCGCAAACTTGTCCACCACGCTCTTCACGATAGCCTTCTGGTCCGCACCCTCCGCAGAAGCCTTGGACTCAAACTCGCCTACAAACTCTCGGATGGCGGCAGCGTCGGCATTGGGAAGGGACCTGGAAAGGTGGGCAGCGAGTTCCGTGATCTAAACCGGAGTTAGCTCAATATTGCAGCTTTTTTTGAGGGGAAACTGACCTGGTCCTTGAAGGAGAGGTCCGTGGCGATGGTGATGCAGTCCGCCATGGTTTCAGTGGGATTTTGAGGGGTGTAGGGGGAGAGAGGGATTTTTTGTCAAAGGCTTGAATTCAGCTTGCTCGAAGAACAACAAGTGCCACAATTCAATTTCTCCGCTACGCCGTCGTGTCACGTGATATCTATCGCCTCTTATTTCTATGCATTCCGGGGCATATATGAGCGCTGTAAATGCATGGGTGTATGCATGGGATGAAGGACGACACTGACACGGGAAAAATGATCAAAAAGATCATCCCAGAGCCAAGGGGGCAAAAAGCAAAAAGTATGACGAGAGTGGGATTCGAACCCACGCCCCGGAGGACTGCCGTTTCTTGCAGAGATGCTTCTCCTTAAGACAGCTGTTTAGACCACTCACACATCTCGCCTTGATGATTTGAAGGCATTTAACTGTGATCTGTCAGCAATGTGGCACGCGACGCGCTCATTCCATTCAACTATTTGTCCCAGTCACATCTCTCCTTTCTCTCCAACCATCAACCATCAGACGAATCATTTGTCAAGAAGCGAAACCTAGGCAGCATGCCGGAACTCAAAGAGCAAGACGTCCTGGCATACTACACCGCTATCGCATGCGGTCTCGTACACCGAGGAAGCGATGGCAAAATCGCGCCCGTGTCTTTCACCTCGACGCCTGCAGAATCGTCGCGTCAAACGCCCGTCCTTGACACTGTAACGAGCAAGGAGACCAGTGGGAAAGGAAAGAAAGGAGGGAGAAAGGGAAAGAAGGTCGTGGAGGCTGTTGAGGCCGTCGAGGGGGAAGGAGCTAGGACGGATGTCGAAGCTGCCAGTGTCGAGGCCAGCAAAAGCAAAGACAAGGGAAAAGGCAAGAAGAAGGCCGTCGATCCCGCTCCTCCTGCTGTGTCCCAGACAACAGACGAGGTGCCGCCTGTCCAGCCCAAAGCAAAGCAGCCCAAGAAGAGTAAGAAGAATAAGGAGGCGGCTACCCCAGCTGTCGAGTCGACGAACGCAGCTCCCGAAACGTCTACACCTGTGCTTTCAGCCTACGAAACCTTGGCGAAAGAGATTTCAGACAAGGCAAAGAAGAGGGTGGCTGAGAGTGCCGAGGCAGAAACAAGTCGGACACCCGAATTCACGGCCGAGCAACCTGCGAAACCCAAGCCGAGAAAGTCAAAGGCTGCTCGTACGCCTGTTGGTGTCGAAGATGCGCCTGCACCTCTGCCACCTATCCCTCCCGCGCCAGAACCTTCCTCCACCCCTTCAGGTCCTTCCAAGACTTTGGCAAAGGCTGCAAAGGCCAAGACCCCCAAGTCTACGTCTCGCGCCAAACCTATCGCTCCTGTGGCCTCCCCTGCTGTGGAGTCTTCTGCCCCGGCAGATTCCTCGACTCCGGCGCGTGGTGTACCATCCCGAGACACCCGGGCACTCAGTACGCCCGTGAGCGAAGCGGACGTCTACCGATACCACTTCTCACACGTTTCCGGGTCTGGATCTTCCCACGACTCTCCTGCATCTCACTCTTTGGCTTCCCCTGGCACTCCAGCTTCCCCTACGCAGAGGGGCAAAAAACGCAAGAGCGACGCCCTCGGCGCCGAGACACCGTTGCGCCAGAAAGTCTTGTCGCGGGGCGGCATGGGTAAGAAGAGGAGTAGCTTGGACGCGGAGGACCTGGCGGATATGGAAATGGTGGATGAGCTTGCCACACCGGTGAATTCGCCTGGCCCTACCAGTGAAAAGAAGAAGAAGAAGAGTAAGAAGTCAATTGGTGGACCAGAAGTCGCTTCATCGGCTCCCGTCGAATCTGTCTCTGTCGCTTCCCCTATTCCTCCTCCCTCTTCCCCTGTAGTGCCTGATACTTCTACACCGTCGACAAAACCGAAGAAAAGCGGGAAAGAGTCAAAGAAGGACAAGAAGGAGCGAGAGCAGAGGGAAAAGGCCTTGGCGTTGGAAGCTGCTGAATTGGAAGAGAAGGAAAAAGCGGCCGCAGAGAAAAAGGCGAGGAAAGAGCAGGAGAAGAAGGAAAAGAAGGAGAGGAGAAAGTCAAAAGCCGACGCGCCCTCTGTCTCTCAGCCTCCCAAGAGCCCCGCCGCCGCCCCCGATCCCCTGCCCGTCACTACTCCTGCGAAAGACACCCCAATCACCCCAGCGAGCAAAAAGAAACGCCGCCTCACCGACCTTCCCATCCCCCGCCTCACCCCTGCCAAATCACCCGCCGTCACCTCTTCTGCCGAGACTGGCAGCCCGAGTGCGGTCAAGAAGCCTCGAAAGTCGGTGCCTACCACACCGTTCGGACAGGGCCAGCCTGAGCCTGCGGTGATGCATATGTATGCTACTATGGGTGTGGTCACGCCTTCGCCGAAATCCAAGGGGGCGGGGTCGAGCAAGAAGGAGAAGAAGAAGTTGGGGCCTCGGTGGATCACGGAGACGCCGAAAGCTTAGGTGCGTGAACGTTGTCGAGGGAAAGGGATGGTGCTAACGTCGCTCATAGGCTATTGATCTTCTCATGTGAATTGGGGTATAATTTAGTCACGTAGAGGAGTTCGTGTAGCCTTGCATCGTTGATCAATGCTCGAAGCGAGGTGGCGCCAGACGAAGGGGCCATCGGGTCTGTCTATAATGTAGCATAATGATTGCACACAAGCAGCAGTGGCGTATGAAGCAGTTCACCATGCTTGATGGGGTATGAAGACATGCCGACTAGTAAGATACATATGTTTGATATCTTACAACAGATTTGATTATGGATACAATGCTTGTATACCTCTCATTTTTACGCGTCCCCAACAACCCCTCCTGCCAGATCCACGGCCAAATCACTCATCATCCTATTCGCATCTCCAACCGCCTCCACCACCATATCCCTCGACGGCGTACACTCATTCTGCAGTGTTCTTAGTGTCGATCCCGTTCTCCCCGCCGCGACCCAGACGTATGCAAACTCTTTCAAAGCCTATTGGATGAAGCGAAGGGAGTCGAGTGCCCATAGACGTTGTCCTTCTGTGATGTTGGGGAGGCCGGCAACTTGAAGATGAGGATGGTACTTCCGACATACAGGATGCTATAGAGAACGTCAATCCCTGGGGTATATGGCGAGAGTATACGCACTGTTGCCACGACAGCGGAGCCTTCACGACACCATGGCGATCCACCATATAATGCGCCATATCCACTATGTCCTGCGTGCACTCCAAACACCTTTGCAGCGCTTCTGGGATTAGATTGGGCCCGCCACCCATTTCGATGAGATACGGGCGGTAGAGGAGAATGATGTAAGTCCAGTACATGCCTTGAGTGACGATGTGGCCTGGGTGCATGACGGGGGCGCCGGGGGGGGATTGGCCCGGCGACGTCAGGGGGGAGGTTCTGCTGCCTGTAACGAGCCATGTCAGTCAAGTTGATGCGAACTCTGCTTTCAGCCAACATACCATCGTTTCAAGTACATTACCAGCTCCCTGACCCGCTTGACTCTCATGCCATTCGGCATCTTGAGCAGGTGGTTGATGCTGAGCGATTCAAAGCCGTAGTATGAAAGTTGAGAATGTTGAGCGGCCATAAGCGACAAGGCGCGTACGTTGGTGTCGGGGTGATTGGAGTGAACATATGGGGGACGTTGGTCGACTCCCCAGTTGATCATGAGTAATACCGGCTGGGCGTAAAACGTGGCCCACCAGGCTGAAAAGTTCAGACAAAAGTGCCATATATCTCTGTGGAGGTGGTCGTAAGCCAACACTTCTTTCGCTGACAGGCCAATCACTTACCTTCGAGCATTGTCCAACTCGCATTCGGGTTCCAAGTGGAGCTCGCTTAGCTGACCATCGCACTGTTTGTGTACCCTGACTATTCAGCCGATCGAGTGTCAGCGGCGTCCTCAGGGTACAGATTTTTTACTGCTCACAGTTGAGACATTGAAATTGGCACAAGGTGAAGCAGGCTCCGGCAAGAGTGCTGCAGATATCAGCGACATGAACAATCGACATGATGATTTACTTACTCTGTTCCTCATCCGACATAATACAATGTCATCATTAACACCGCAAACATATTACCTATGCAAGGCTCATTCGCCTCATCCATGATCATCACCTGGGCTTTTTGCGTTATATTCGTCGCCCCTATTATCGCCACCCTGTCGAGGGTAATGCCTCATCAACATCTCTCTGTTCTGGCAGTAGCGCCAACCCACTCCCAGCAAGGCGAGATGCAGTAGAGGCGAAAAGTACAGTCCACGCGCGTCAGGGTCTACATCCATCGCCTGGAGGGACTTGTCCTTGAATGGATTTGCCCCGAAACAGAGCAATCTATCGAAAGCAAGGTCGAGTAAGTGTCGGTGGTGCTCTGGGGTAGTGTGGAGGGGTAGGTATGTCGCAAGGTATGCGGGCAGAGGTATGTCGCAAGGTATGCGGGCAGCGTCACCAGCTCTGGCTGCTGGTCATTGAGGCGGTTGAGAGCGTGCCGCCATTCAGGAACGACCTGTGCTGGGCAATAAAATGTTGCGGAAGGGTGTAGATGAAGGTTGCCGGTCGATGACAAGACCAAGCGACCGGTCTCGTAAGGGGCCATGTCTTCGTCATCGTCCGAGTGTTCGTCTCTACCAGGGGACAGACAGGCGTTGTTTCGTTGGATAGAGAGGATAGATTCTAGCTCTTAAACCCGAGCTTGGAGCCTCTCAATCTTAAGTTAGGCGGAGCGGTCGCTGTGGAGCGTCAGCAGTAATTTTCCCGTGCCATCAATCATGGACGGCATATCACTTGCGTGTACTGACGTTGTCCGCTTGTCCACAGCAGGATACTCGCAGTTCTGTCCATAGAATAGGCACGTTTGACACATGGGAAGCTCTCCTGGGGAGTATATTAGCACAAGCTCTGTTGTGCGGGCACGATACCCACAGCTTACCTGTACACTTTGTCTTTCTCGAGCGACACTGTGGGAAGTTGTCAGAGCACAACCCTATACATACGCAAAGATTGCTTGCCGTTGTGCAAGCGCGGGAGGTTCGCTCGCTGTTCCGGGTCCTGCGGTCGTTGGAGCTGCTGGAATGGGTCGCGAGGTCGTACGGGGGAAGATCGGTGGGTGGCATGGTGGACTGTTGCGTATAGAATCAATTTTGGCCCTTCTGCAGACGAAAAGAAGATGACAAAGGCGGGAGGCTCGAGAGATATGGATTTGGGGGTGAGAAAGAGGTAGCAGTGTCGTTGTACCCGAGAGTACCTATCTTCGGCATCGACTTGGCATGAGAAAGTGTCAAGACGATGGGATCCGGAAGCGCTGGGATCGCCCTCGGGGGCGAAAACTTGATGGCGACATGCAGCTCAACAACGTATCGTACTCGTACAGCCGACACGCTTCCAGTGGGTCGACCATGGCGTCTTTCCGGAGTGCGGTATAAGCTAGGCATATGAAGCATGTCGAATCCTGTAGCCGACATGTGAAGGAAGGCCAAGCCAGAATGGGACTGGCCATTGAGCTATTGGCGACGCTTCAAAGGCGCGTATCCTCCGACGGAATATGTCCAGCTCACTCCTCACGGGATGTATCTGGTTGTCGGAGGAACAGGCCGGCCGGCATGGGTCTAGGGGAATCGATGCATGATATACACTGTTGTACACTTCTATACCTGACGCCCTGTTGCGCCATAGTATCATTGACTGCCCATCTTCCATCATCATCAGCCTCATCCCTTTCCAGTTCAATTAAGATACTCACCTGTACACCAGCAACCTTTCTCCAATCCGCAAACTCTGCATCCTTCTGCTTGTAATTGGCGGCCAGTGTATCCAGAGCTTTTTGTATTCCGTTGTGGGTTGCTTCGAGGGAGGGGACGACGTCGGTAACGGTGCGCTTTACGAGGGTACCGCCGATCAATCGGTAGCACGTCCGTGTGGGATCGGAAGATTGCAATGGTTGCAGAGTCTTCAGGACCAAGCTACATCCAAGACTATCAGCATGGGGTGAAGAATGAGAGGAGACAAACGTACGCGTGCTCGTCGAGGTCCGTCTCGATTTCCCCTATTTTCGTGGCGAGCAGTTGGAGCTCCGTGCGGTATCTCTGGAAGATTGCCTGCGCTTCTTCGACGGTGGCGGGGGCTTTGGGAGGCATTGTAAAGTTTTATGTATACGATTATACGGTCTGAGCAGAAAGTCTCGAATGCAAGAGAAGGATGCGAAAAGTTCCACGTCATCAGGAGGCGATTTCGGAAAAATGAGTGTGGCAAAATCGAGAGTTGATCAATCAAAATGGATGGTATCCTCGAAGAAACATATTTCGCGTCATGTAGTACAACACATCATTAATCATGACCTACACCAGGGACCCAGATCGGGAAGGAGGAGGGGAACAGCGTATATAGAAGAAAGTAGTAGGAACGACGAGATATTGAAGAGGAAAGGGAAAGGCCATGCTATTTACACGAGACGCATTACTCTACACAAGCAGTAGATGAAAGGATGGGATGTGAGATAAAAAGATGAAGCACATATAGAGAGCAAAGAAGCGAATCGCCAACAGTAGGCAGAGAGGGCAGAAGAAAACATGCAAGTGTATACAAGAGGGGACATGGCAAAAAGATGATAAAAGATCGGATATCCTAGCTAGCCGAAGAGATGCAGGGGACGGGGAATGAGGCCTCCACAAGTGGAGTACTACCGAAGAAGAAAGTGGGGATAGCAGGGGCCCTTCCTCGGTGTATTATACATTTTTCTGGCGGGAGGAGGGTTTTCGGTATTGTGACAACGTTTTGGGGGTGGACCAGTTCCTTGACGGAAACTCTGGATGATGGTGAGGCTACAGATGGCAACAGATCAAAGTACGGACAGGAAGAGAGCCGATAGGGCTTATCTGGAAGAGCTTTCGACAGCCTGCCAGTCTTCCTGCCCTTCGCCGCCGACGCCGGGGAATGCGAAGCCCTGCTTTTGATCAGCTTACTGCTCATCCCACATGCTGTATACTACTCACATCAAAATTGAACACATCTGCGCCGTCGAATCCGCCACCTCCTTCTCCTCCACTAAAGTCCAGCATCTTGAACAGATCGTTCGAGTCGTCAAACTCGAATGCCGGTGCCTCGAACTGGTTGTGGCTTGGTGGAAGTCCTTGATGTTGTGAAGGTGGCTGTGGGGGCTGAGACTGATCAGGAATCTGTGCTGGATCCGGTTGCGACACCGCCGACGATGTCAACTGGGGATCCAGAGGCGGCTGCTCTTCGGACGGTGTCTGGGCAGGCAGTTGATACACCTGTGTCTGAGTGGATCCAGGAGTCTGAGCCACCGCCGGTGTTTGTGGCTCTTCACCCTCTTGACCCGGGGTAGAACCAGTCGCATTGTTTGCAGTGCCCCGCTTGCCCTGGAGTTGAGGAATGAGTGTCAGCCATGGTTGCCATTGATCTTGCGATCCTGCCGAGTTTGCTGGTCTCACCTTCTTGCCCTTGACAGTCTTCTCGGCCGCTGCTCTCGGTGGTCGTTTGCCTGTACCGGGGGTCTTGCGACCTCTGGGAGTGGCCGAGGGAGGCGTGTCAGACTCTGCAGGGGTAGCTTCCGTGTCGATCACAAGAGCACTTTTGCCCTTCTTGCCCTTGGCACTAGCGGGGGTTGGAGCTTGATTGATACCGTTGGCGCCATCGTGCCCCTGCGCAGGGGAGCCGTCCATAGGAGACTGTCCGAGTTGAGCGGGTGAAACACCGTTGAAAGTAGCTGGAGAGTTGCCGACACTGGTGCGCTCGAGATTTTGGCGAGCATAGGCTGCCTGTGTCGCGGCGTACTGCCGTTGAGCTTCAGAAAGACTTGTGCGTCGGTCGGAAAGTTGCCCGGCGGGTGACTAGCAAGTATGAGTCACGTCCATAGGGGCTCTGGGCTTATCTTACCTGGTCGGGATCATAGTTGTGACCCATCTGGGGTGTCATTTGCCCTGAAACAGATCTAGCCAGATCCATCGCTTGCTTCCTGTGCTCTTCCGGGGCTACGTCAAAGTCAGTTTTATACTATAACATATCCACAAAACTCACTGGGTTGTTGCCCACCGATCTTCGGATGCTTGTTCGCCGCGGCCGCTTCCTCCAGCTCCCTCTTTCTCTTTGAAGGTGAAGAGTGCGGATGTTGCACTTGCCCGGGATACATCTGCCCATTGGACATCATCATCTGCTGCTGCTGTTGGTGTTGCTGCTGCTGAGCAAGGAACTGCTGTTGCTGTTGATTCTGCTGAACGAGTCGTTGATACTCTTCCTGGGTGAGAGAATGATTCTGGCCCCCAATCTGCACCAGAACCCTTTGTTCAGGTTGATGCTGAGGTTGGCCAGGTTGCTGGTGTTGAGATTGATTTTGCCCTGCAGCCTGTCTTCTGAGGCTCTCCTGCTGAGCAGCAATGTGCGCCTGCTGAGCCTGCCTCATCTCCTCGGCCTGTTGCAGCTTCAGTTGAGCCTCGTTTGGTACAACGCCGTTGAGATGCTGGCCAGGGTGCGGTCGGGCGCTGGAAGGGGCCGAGATGGCGATGGCAGTAGCTGATGACGAGTCTGGCTGGGCCGATGTGACGGCAAGCGATGATGGAGGCTGGAAAAGATGCGGTTTGTTGGCCAGGAGGACACGAGTGTCTTGATAGAGTATCCACCACTATATATTGTCAGCTAAAACGGGCAAGAGACATGAAGCAACCCACGGTAAACAGCTCGCCCAGGTCTTTTGAAGCCTCCCCATTCTCCGCCTTCTCTTTGTCCACGTCCATCCTCCCCTCCTGTTCCACCTCTGTCCCGAATATCGAGTCTGTCTCTGGCATTTCCTTTGCCGAATTCGGCTCAGCAGGCGTGGAAGAGCTCGCTTGCGCAGTGGCATTGGGCGAGCTTTTGGGCGACGACTTGATGACTTCCTTCTCACCCGCCGATTGCTTCATCTCGCCCTCCAATGCAGCCACCGCGCTCTCATACCCCGCTCGTCTCAGATAGCCCAACACTTCCCTCTCAAACTCTGCTTTCGGATCCGTCGCCCGACTCTCTGCACGTTTTTTCCCATCCTGCTCTTCCTTCTCCATCTCGGCCAGCCCAAGCTTGGCATCCGCGAGCATGCTTTCAAGTCTCGCCGTCTTTTGTTTCCACCGCTCCAGCCGTTGCTGCGATGAGAGAACCATCGTCTTGGACCACCGCATGGGCTCAAGCTGAGGCGTTTGCTGAGGCGGAATAGTGATGGTTTGATCGACAGCTTGTTGGGGATGGGACTGAGGAGGGACAGATTGCCGTTGCAGGTGATTCTCAGACATGGATGGTTGGATTGTCGAGGCACGAGCAGGCAATATGGCAGGAGACTGACCCACGCCAGCAATAGCAGAGATGCTTGGCTGCATATGAGTAGCAGGTTGTGGGTGTTGCTGCTGGGGCATGCGCATGTGCGGGGGCATCGGAGAAGCACTCCGCGAAGCATCGTGCACCGGCCTCTGTTTCATGACCGGTGGCGGGGGCACTTGGAGCAGGCTCGGCGTGGGTAAAGACGCGGCAGGCGGCCGGACAGAAGGCGGCTGAGACGCACGCTGCTGGGCAGCTTGCTGATTTTGCAAGGCCTGTTGCTGGTGCATGACTTGAGGCCTCTGCATCATCTGCGTTTGCTGAGGAGTATACAGCTGTTGAGCCATTTGCTGTTGCTGTTGGGGCTGCTGCTGCTGTTGTTGTTGTTGCATTTGAGGCTGCATTTGCGCCATCAAGTGTTGTTGCTGCTGCATAGCGTGATGCTGTTGTTGAGTCATCGACTGCTGTTGCTGCATTGTCATCGGTTGCCGGGGGTCGCCCTGCCAGCCTTGGTTGATATGAACCTGGCGGCCCTGGGTATCGAGAAACATGACTGTCCCCTGGGCAGTCATGACCTGCCGGATCCCCTGACCTTGGAGGCTCTGGAGAAGCTGTGGGTGCTGCATCATATGCCTCGGCGTCTGCTGAGGGGTGGCCACTCCAAGTGTCCGTTGGCCAGCGACTTTCGCTTCTCGCCCCTGCTGCTGAGCCTGAGCTTGTTGCTGGGCCTGTTGCAACCGGATCTGACCCTCGAAAATGGCGCGATGTTCGTCCGACATATTATTGGGATCAAAGGCTATGCGTTGGCCGTTCTGACCCATCATAACCATATGCTGCTGTTGGAGGGAGTTGCTGTCCATCGGTGGGTTCATACCGTGTTGTAAATGAGGTGCAGTGGGCTGCGCGAGTGATAGGAATTAGGAAGAGGACAGTGGCGCTCAGCGACATCCGACACTTCAACAACTCTAGAACTCACCACCACCATTCTCGGGCCCGACTGCATGGCGCGGAGTCAATTATCGTCTCAATGCAAGAGTCACAAATAGAAAATGAGGTCGCGAAGGCTGCAAACATGTGTCGTTAGTGATTGTGTGCTTGTCAATATTGACGCGGGAAACAAGGCAGGAGCAAGAAAAAGTCTCAAGCATCCTCCCAGTATGACCTCTCCCCATCCTCTACAGTCCCCTCTTTGAAACATTCCGCTGCAACAAGGGTAGTACTCACTCTACCCACGTTTCCGACGATCTTCGGTCTGTGCGCCAGTTCGCGCGACTCTCTCGACGGTGTCGGTGACGGCAAAGAGTCTATGCCTGCTGGGGCTTCGTGTGGGGAGGGAATTTGAGAAGTTGGGGCCGGGGGATGGGTGGCGGAGACAGGGATGAAGACGATGAAAGGGTGAGCGCTGGTCAAAGGAGACGGTATGCCGGTTCTGGTAATTTGGCGAAGGGCCGATGGGGGTGGAGGGGCTCACCTGTGGTGGCTTATGCTGGGTGGTGGGGTGTCGGGGGCGGCGCTGGGGGTGGAGGGGCAGTTTTGGGATGGTAAAAGACAGAAAGAAGACGAAGATGGAGGATGAGCGCTGTTGACAAGTCGCGGGTGGAATTCCGCTTCCGTCAACGAGTGTGGCGGCGGACAAAGAGCGATTCTGCAGCCACCTATGCATCCCAGGACCCCCCCAGCCCCCTCCCCCCCTCCCCCTCGCCATGCACACCCATCCGAACAGCACCTGCTGCGCAGTACATCGTTAGCGAGGAGTGCGGAATAGCCCGGATTCTGCGGCTAACCTAAAGAAACACTAATAGCCCTCAAGAAGCCCCATTTGGAAACTTTAATAGTCTTCCGAATTCTGTTTTGTAATGGGCAATTACAATTTGGTTCACCTAAATATCTCTTTGTGGGTAGCTGTTGTTGATACAGTACATCGTCTTTTGCGCAATAACTCGCCTCACGCAACCTCAGGCCCAACGAAGGGAACAAACATCGACGAGAACTATCGATTCACTTGATTCGATACCCCTCGCCACCCTCCGTGGCGGCGATACATCCAGCTGACCATCCCGCTACTATCATCATTCCTCGTGGTCAATCCCGCTGCGTGTGCATCGACTACCCTTTGTTTGCCACCTTGCAGATTTTCCACATCTATAACATGGGTCCTGGCAAGTTATAGCATATCCAACATGGGTCGATACAAACCGATACGCCTTCTACTGCTTGCCCTCAGCGTCCTCATCCCGCTGAATGTCTGGTCCTTGCCCCCCCACTTGCCGCACCCAAACCTCCCCGGCAAATTCGTGCGTTTCAGCGAGCTTGACAAGTGCCCTGCTCTACCCAGGAGGGAGACTCCAAAGTCTGCCAAAGACGTGTAAGCTGCCCATGACTCGGTCGAGCTCCATCTGACGCTCGTATAGGCGCCCAGATGACATCAGAGTGGTCATGGCTCTTGGCGATAGTATCTCTGCTGGCCTGCTCGCCCGTCCTTCTCGGACCTCGTCATCTTCTGTCCTGCCACAGATCCCATTCCTCCCCAAATCGGTGGATATACAGGAATACCGCGGGGTTTCGTATCCCATCGGCAGCGACCCGGGTGCGGTGACCATTCCCAATATCCTATCCCATTTCATCACCAGCTCCTCAGAACAAGGGACCAAAGTTCGAGGTGGATCCACAGGTAATCATCCCCCAGTAGCTTGCCTACAAGGCTTGGGCGTCCGAGGCTGTATGCCCCGTCCCGACGAAGACGGTCTCAACGCCGCCATCTCTGGCTCTGTCTCCGCCTCCCTCCTACGCCAGGCTGAAGACCTCCTCCCGAGACTCTCCGAGCTCGGTCTTCCCAAAGAGGGAGAGTGGGCGTATCTCAACCTGGGCATAGGTGCCAACGATATCTGTGATTTCTGTCTCTCGCCGAATATCAGTCTTTCTGGCGACTTTCCTTTTGCTTGGGAGTTTGGCTCTCCCGGTTCACCCAAGCAATTCGCAAACGACATACGCACAGCTATCAACGCTCTTCGTCCCCACCTTCCTCACCTGATAGTCAACATCGTCGGCCTCCTCCGGGTCTCCTCTCTCTACCGCCTAACCCTCAAATCACCCTATTGTCAACCCCCGCTATTACCGCACATACCGCATTTGCCATTAGAATGCGGTTGCGCAATGATACCCGGTCCAGCGGGAGACTGGACGAGGCGGAAGATGGATGAGCTTGGAGAAGAGTATGATGAGGCGGTTCTGGAGCTTGTCAGGGAGTGGGAGCAGGAAGGAGACGATGGGTTTGGTGTCATATGGTGGGTAATTCAGCAATGTTATACGATCTTTCTGACATCAAGCTAGGCAGCCGGGTTCCGCGATAGATCTGGAGAGCTATCCCATCAAGGCGCTCTCGCCGTTGGACTGCTTTCACCCTTCCGAGGCAGCTCATCAGCGAGTCGCTGCGGGCTTCTGGAACAGGCTTACACTGAGCCTTGTAAGTCTCCATCGTTGATTGTGACTCTTGACTCAAGTCTTCTGCAGGAAGAAAAGTACCTACCCATCAAGTGGGAGGAAGATATATGGGTCCGGTGCTTGAAAGAGCACGACCGCTTCCCTATAGGCATGGTTTCCGAATCTTTGCAAACCTAAACATGATGGTGCATATGCTCGTCATGCCTCCTTGCCTCCTCTTTCTTGGCTACAGGAGTAATAACAGGTGACAAAGTTGTTGTACAACTATCTATCTCGACATGAGACCCTACGTGTAAACTACTCTACCTATTACTTTGTACAAAACATGTGTTGTAAACAATCCGTATGAATGACACGATGGTCTGAGCTACAATAAAGTACTGCGACATCATACAATGGTTCTGCCCCCTTCAATCTTGTCCTCGACTCCTGCATCAAGCACCACCACTCCTTCTCGGCTTTCTTTCCACTTCTCCCAGGCCGGCCCATTCAGCACCCATCTCTTCTCAACGCCCAGGATCCTCCTTTGCACATCCGACAGATTTTCAAAAGGAAACTCATCCTGCTGCTGAGCGCGGGAAACTCGCGTGTTGACAGTGGAATGGGACAGAGTCAACGTCTTTCCTCCGGGTGAAAGTGCGACGAAACGAGGTTCTCGGTAGGACCCGACCTTGGGATTGGGGTGTAAATGATGGGAAAACTTGGTGAGAGCGGATAGAGACAGAGTCTCGCGATGGGCCGTGAAAGAAGGTCTTGCAGGTAACGCCTCGGCAGCAGCGCCGTCCAGGAGGGATTGGTCCGAGATTGCCTCGGCAGAGACGTCTTCATGCTCTCTGATCTCGCCAGCTTCGAGAGGATCCGAGTGGTTCACGCCGGGCTTGCTCTTTCTGTCAGAGTCACCTTTTGGAAGTGGTGAAAAGGTAGTACCGGTGTTGGCGGGCCCAGTAGGAATAAATGACTGAGGCATAGGGCTCGAGGAGGTGGGCCGGGCCTGTTGCTCAATCTCAGCGGGAGTGCGCATGGCTTTTGGCTCCTTCACCGAGTCGCTTGGAGCAGAATCATTGAGGATTGGAGCGACAGGTTTTCGTCTCTGCTCTCTCGCAGCCTGTTGGGCGCGAGCAAATTTTTCGGCTTGCGAAGGGGTGTCTAGGACCACCTCCCGGCCCTTGACCTGCTTCGGCGTATCGCCAAGCAAGTGTAAAGCATCGAGCAACACCTTCTTTTGGTCTTGGGAAAGGACAGACAGCTCCGGGCAATCCGGAATAATGCTGTAAGGGGAGGCTGACATCCTCCGCGACGTGGGTCGGTTGCCGTTAGGAGCGGAAACGAGGTTTGGATTGTCGGGGGAGGTACGTCGGTAGTAGGGAGGAGATCGAGGGCGCCTGCCGCTCTTCTTGTTCTTCTTCTTCGAGTCCTTGCTACCGGTAAATCTGAAAGGCCCCCTGATGGCATCAAGAGTGCTCGTATGCGGATGGTGCTGGGGAACGGGCGGTAGCTGGGAGGCAGACGGGTGACCGAGCCCAACGGGCTGGAGTGGTGCACGCATCTTGGAAGCGATAGCATTCTCCTTCCCCACCCCTTCCTCCGTCTCGTCCGACGCCTTTTTGTTGACCGGTTCCAGAGTGCGGCGCTTGGGAGGAGAAGGCGTATCCTCTGCCGCAAGCTTGCCCTTGCCAGACTTTCGAGGGTCTTGGGGAAGTTTGTCCAGATCCTGAGCCTTGCGTTTGGTGGTGAACTCGTCGCGAGAGTACCCAACGGCGTGCCATCCAGTAGGAGAAGAAGGGTGAGCGACGATGCCGTCATTGCTTTCTGGGATGTATGTGGGGATGTAGGCGTCGGAGATGGAAAGGTTCTCTCGCACAAGCTAGTTGGGAGTGTCAATATGGCATGCAAGATGAGCAGGTCGCTGACGCACCAAGATATCCGAAATGTCGTGTTGACGATGACCAAGGCTGTTGATCTCGGAATACCGCACCCTGAAATCGGCCCGTTTCTCTCCCCTGGATACCCCGAGATGGTTCGAGTTTTTGTTCTAGAACAAGGTCAGGACGGGCTGATTGGCGAAAGAGCGGTGTGACTTACGAGTACATACATGGCGTCTTCTGCCTGGCGTTGAGAGGGAAATATCATGATGCCCATTGATGTACGATGAATCTGTTTGTGCGGTTGGAAGAGTGCAAACTCCATCTGCATTGCCATCAGCCAAAGTTGACGTCAGCTGCACCGTGGACTCACCCCTCGTTCAACACCGTATTCATCAAGCAGCTCTCTCAGGTCGCCCTTGCTCAGACCGTCCTTGAGGCCCGAGAAAAAAAGTGAATTGGGCTGGATATAGACATCTTCTTTGAGGAGGGGATTGTATTGAACAGCAAGGCGGACTTGGTTGGGGTGTTGAAGCTCGGGGTACCAGCCTGGTCCGCCGTGGTCGGCGTAGAATGCGGGCTCGCGGACACAGACGTCGTCGATGTATCTCCTGACGCGTGGGTAGTGCATTGTAGGGCAGCCGGTGGGATGAGAGGCGGGAGGTGAATGTCGATGTGGAGGTCCGTACACGCCGGGATGATGGCTGGGAGGAGAGTGGTTCGCCTGGTGAAGAGTGGCGATGGAGGTAGCAGCGGTAGAGGGTGGAGAGTGAGCAATACAGTACACGGATATGGAAGTTGAGAAGAGGAAGAAGAAGAGGATAGAAATGGGAGCTGGTTTATATAGAGAGGGAGGGTCCGTGCGAGGTAATGAACGCGAAAGGAGTGTCCTTTTCGAGTCTCACCCGGGATCAGACGCCGCATTGCTGACGAAATCCATTTTGAAAATCAAGCTGTAACTTTTGCCCGGTGTCAGGGGCGGGACAAGGAGAGGGGGTCAGGCTGCAGATACAGGGGGAGCAGGATAGATCGGGGACTGGAGGTAGGTGGTGATGCTGCTAAAGAGAAGCCCGCAGGAGTTGAGCATGGTACGCATCTTCTGGCAACGGGGAGAGGATCAGGAGGGAAGGATGCCAAGGACACCAACGACGAGAAGGGCAAGAAGAGCAGGCAGGGCAAGAAGATCGATATGGAGAAGAGGAGGAGTCTGGTAGATGAACCGAAGGGAGATGTTCGTGAGGCAATGGTTCCACAAGAAATGACGCCCCCTACTCGGACAGCTCTCCAGGCAATCCACTAAGAAGTCAGGTGCATCTTCAAATAGTCTTACAGAGCAGGCTCGAGCTGCGTGAGCTCTGGCATCATTCGCACCACCTTGCCTTCGTTCTTCGCATGTTTCTTGAGCCTGAAACAGTGTCAACTACAAGCAACAGTCTGCAGACCGTACATACTTTTCCAGCAGCTTTGTGCCCTTCCATCTGGGAGGAGGGTCCCTCTTCTCGACAGACCAGTAGAAAATATCCCAATCAGGCTCGTCAAGCAGCTGATGATGTTGGTCAGCACGAGAGCCACCCCTTACTCGATCATAGGCCAGAAAGAGGTCTGTCTCTCACCTTGTCAAACTCTTTCAATTCCTCCACAGTCATCCTAGGAAGCTCGTCCTTTGCAAACGTCGACAAGATCAGATCCGTCTCCAGCGTCCCTCTCTTTCTCGTCTGGTACACCAGCCTCGCCCTCAGCGTCTTTTCGTCCTCGCCGGTACGATCTAAAGGCTGGGGCATTGGCCAGTCTTCAGAATCGTCTGACAGGCGAGAGTTGGCAGCGGCGAGCTCGGGGTCTGAGAGAGGGAGAGGGAAAGGGTCTGAAGTGTTGGATTTGAGGGAAGTGATGGTGGAGGAGAATGCTCGGAGCTGGGTGGTGGGGCGCAGGACGCGGGTCGAGAAGCGGGGGAGGGTACGAAGAGCCAGCATGGCGAATAGTAGTGTGGTGTGCGAGAAAATATATGGAGAGACGATACCAAAATATTGAAATGCGCAAGATGTCGATGGCCGATGATAGAGATGTCCGCCTTGAAATTATCGCGGGTGAGTCCGCGTCCGCCCAGGGTGAGTAGCTATATGGTGCGTGTCCGCGTTTAAAAGGCCGGACACAATGCACCGTGAGAAAGTATGCTGGGAGGCACGAGGTGGAGGTTCACCGCAACTCCACCGTGCTGTGAACCATGGCATGCGATGTGCGATGTCCTGGCATCTCCTTTCAGCTTGTCTTTTATTCTCCACGCACTTTCACAACTACCTCAAGAGAGGTATATAGCGGCCATGGACAAGTCTGAAGTCAGCAAGATAGGGCCAGACGTCGCCACCAAGTTTATCTCTCTCGACCGGTGAGCTGTCCTCGCTGTCAGTCGCTGACTTGGCAACACGGGGCTTACACGCATTTGTCAGAACAACATTTGACTCTGCTATCAACCAGTACTTTGACGTACGCTCTCATCGCATCTCACAGAAAAGGTCGCTCACTCAGCCATGCAGGACAATTGCACTCAAAGCTCTCGTCTCCTCACTCTCCGAGGCGTGTCGAGGATCAAGAAGCTCGCGCAGCTTGAAGCTTTTCCCCCCACTGCCTCTTACCTGATTGAAGAACCCCATTATGACGTAGAGTGTGTCCCCTCTTCTTGTGCTCGAGAACGAGGCTTACCGTATCGTATAGTGACGAAACCATCTCTTTTGCGTACGAACGCATCTATATACCCGCCGTTCCCTCTTTCCTCCCCTTTTCGGCTTTTCTGAACGGTTATCTTTCCAACATCAAATTCATCTCCATCTGGGATTCTCGACTTCATTTGAACGCCGCCGAGAATGATGACGGTGAGACCAAGCTTTACGTTACCAAGGTGGGGCCGACCGAAAGGCGAGGGACGTATTGGTTTGAAAACATCCTGTAAGGCCACTGTGTTCACTCTTCCGATCGGTGCTGATAGACCCAAGCCCGTTTTTCATCATCAGCCCCCTATTGAGTGTCTTCCTGTCCCTCGCTTTTGACATCACCAGCATCTTGTCCCGTCACCCCATCGCCGAGGAAGGCCCCTTCGGTGCAGCCTACTCTACCATAGCCGAATTCATCGGGCAGGAAGGCTCTGTGGATACTGAAATAGGGTACAAGAACCATGTAATTTGGCCTTTTCGAGCGTGAGTCTCTTCTTGTCCCACGAAAACAGAAAGCCAATTCAAGTAGCATCGGCGTGATCATCCGACTCATCGGCAACTCTATCGCTTCCTCGCTCTCCTTCATCCACTCCACCCTCCACCTCGACAACACCAACCCCATCATCCAACTGGTATCCTCCATCCTCGGCTACTCCCTCGCCTTTCTCTCCGTCCTCTACTCGAACGCCCGGCACTTTTGGTATACGCTCTTTGGCGTCGCAGAAGGCGAGGCGGAAAAATGGGGCATGGCGGCGGGAGAGTACAAGGCTTTGGGAGAGAGGTATGTGGGCCAGACGTATGGGGTCATTGATGAGGGGCTTTCGAATGCAAAGAAGGTTGTCAGAAGTAAGTCCCGTTTCTGCTTTCGTGCATGTGAGCTGACGTGGAGCAGAACATGCTCAAGAACCGAGCCGTAACTTACCTGCAGCCAAGAGCCCATTCAAAGACCGATCTTGGCCACCTCAGCACAGCTCGCAAGAACGCGGGGCGCCTAGCTATGTGACCGTGGCCAAGGAAGGCAGTAAGTATTGTCTATGGATGTGATTGAAAGCTGACATATGTAAAGTTGACATAAGCCCTTCGCCTCAACATGGACACAACTCTCGGGAGCCCGGAGCTCCGAGCTATGCCGCTGCTACCAAGGAGTGAGGTCCTGTAGATCAACACTGTTGTGAATAGATGGTGTATAGATGAGCTAGCAACGATCTGTCATATACGAAGCCATGTCCATGTACGTAACCGAATCTTGAATCTGCAAACAGAACTGTTGGGATTCTCTCCGACTATATGATTCATCACAGATCAAACATGGGCATGATAGACGTACTTTATAGATACACCAACAGAAACGAGCGCCTTTTCCAAAAGGCAGAAGCTGAGTGAGAGAAAGATCTAGGCTACAGCATGCTCAACATGCCTACAACAGGAAACGACGTGAAAGGCGAGCTTATATAAACCAGAAAATTGTCCAGAATCAGTCCATATAAAACCCAAAAAAGCAACCTTGTGATTCTCATCATTCACTCGCCCCGACTCTTCTTCGCACACCCGCTCTCTGCCTCTGCGTCCTGAGCCCCGCATCAAGCACCATCTTCTCACTCAGAGTCCGTTCCTTCAACCACGCCGGCTGGACCCCTTCTAGCCCCAGCCCTGTTGAGCCGCTCTCGTCTGCTCTCGCTCCGTAACCATCGTCACTTGCTGTCGTCAGCCCTTCGCTCAAGTGTGCCGGCCTGCGGCACGATGAGGGTTCGAGGAAGGGCGCAAGAAGTGGTGGTGTAGACAGGTCTGCGGATGGGAGGAGCGCATGGAGCGCCGAGGGGTTTGGAGAGAGTGGGTGAATGGTGGATGTGGGAGTGAGTTTGGGTGTCTTGTTGGGACGGACGGTATCGCGCGTGGAGGTGGATACCATTGACCCCCTGTCCGGCCATCCCAGCACACCTTCTTCCTCGTCCGAGAGAGCATCCTCTTCGAAAGAACCCTCGCGTTTGACTCCGCCGCCGTAGAGGCTGACCATATCCTCAGCCTTGATAGCCTCAAAGCTCGCGTCGCTCGCTGTTGATGCGCCCGAGTCCATGCGCCAGGCATCGGGACGGGGCGCTAGAAGATGTGAAGAGGAGGTGGAAGTGGAAGAGTTTGTGCGGAAGTTGATCAGCCCTGGGATGAACTGGTCGACAGACGCAGATGTTGACGGGGAGAAGAGGGCAGGGGAGCGTACGAGCATCTCGGGTGGCTCTTCGTCGTCGGTATCGGCGTCACTATCGTCGGCAAACGGACGACGGAAGCCGTTCTGCTTGACCCTCGGTGTTTCATCGATGGTTACGATCTCGTACGATGGTGTCCCCTCGGCCCCATCCATCGTTACATGCAGCTGCTTTGGCACAGCCTTGACTGCAGGCGGCGCCGAGTATGGCGGTGAAGAGCTGCCTTCAGCGGGCACGTGGGACGGCCGTTGAGGCCGTTGGGGGTGGATGGAGGTGCGCGGGGTGAGGTAGAGCCGGACATGGCGCTCAATGGGGTCCTCGTCGTACGCAAAATCAGTGTCCAGCTTGTGGCCGGAGAAAGCAGAGCGGTCGTCCCGAAGGTCCCGCATGGCGGCCGTCATGCCGGCAGCCATCTTGGCCTTGAGAGCGGACGAGTACAGCCGGAGGGAGGGCGGCGGCGTGAGGGGGCTGTGTGTGGGGGTGGCGTAGTCGTACTCTGGCTGGGCGTGGGGGATGTGGAGGGGAGAAGTGGCCCTGCTGGCGGAGGGGGTAAGGGGCAGGGCGGGCGAAGCCACAGAGGCGTCTGAGAATGCGCTCATGGTCGTGGCCGCCCGGGGTGTTTCAGAGAACAATAGGAATGTGGGAACGAGGGAGGGAGGGGTATTTGTATCCCTCTGGAGCGTGTTTGATTTTGTGACGCAGCCGATGGAGCCGGTTCAGTGGCAAGTGGGGCGCGAGCAGCGCGTGTTTCCCCCTGTGTGCTCCTTGTTTGGTTCTGATCGCCCTGAGAGCCTGTCAGCCGGGTGTCGTGCACAGCAGCAGAGGAGCGTAACAGCCTCAGGGGGAGGAGGAGGAGTGGGGGCAGGGAATTCAGACGTACGTGTTTCAGGCAGCGTTTCTTTTGGTGATGATCAAGCAGCCAGGCGGGGGATCAGACAGAGTGTCGCGTCGTGTCTTTTTATATATGCGTGCGCTGTGCAGGTGTGCAGCAGTGCAGGGCAGAGTGCGACAGTGGAGTGTGCCCAGTCTTTGTATGCTTGGGCTCAGCGCTGTGCAAAAAGAGAGGCGGAAGAGGACAAAAGGGCGGGCGGACGGTCGACGACGTAATGTGCAGATCTGTCCTTCCTCTGGCGCAGTTGTCGATAGTGTTTGAAAGGGAGAGCGCTGGAGCCGAGTGATATGCTCGTCGAAGGGAGGCGATGCTGAGGGAACTGGAGCTGTTTTGGCAGTGGAGCAAAGCGGTGAATGGATGCTGAAGAGGGTGGACAAATATTTTCTTCCCATTTAGAACGCGTCGAGGGGACAGGGATGTAGGGCAATTAGAACGTAAAGACAGTAACCCCCATGACGTCCCCCGCCCGCCTCGCAGCAGCCCCCGCTTCTGGCTCCAGGCCATCGGTATCTGGGACCTGGGAGAGGCACGCCGGTACACAAGTCCCATTGTCCCATCCTGCCGCCAAAAAAAATTGGCATAATTGGCCTGACCTAGCGTTGAAAAGTATAGGAAAAAATGCCGAACGCGTCGATGGGGAGGGCAAGGTTCGACCGACCTCCAGGCCATGATACCAGTGCAGCGTGCATTCAGTGCATGTATGATGCGTATGGGTGCATATGGACAGTCACCAGAGGTGACGGGTGTCCGAATTGCACGGAGCAAGGACTAGCATACAGCGATAGCATCCAGATAGCATGCGGCATCACTTCTGGATCGCTGAACGCTCCAACAAGGTGACTACAAGCCGGCGCCAGCTGTGATTCCAGACAAGAGGTCCAAGAGGCATGGACAAGACATGTCACGGTGGTCTCAGTGAGGGATCCCGAGAGCCACAACAACAAGCCACACCACAAAACGCGCCTCTACTATGACGTTTGACATTCTCTTTCGGCGTCCTGCGTCAGTGTCCCTGGCATCATCCCTTAACTTCTTCGGACGCGTTTTCCCATGGGATCTTTGTTGATCACCGTCTTTTTACGTGAGCGGTGATGTATCTTCTCTGCGCTCTGCGCCCTGCTTCTCTGCCCGATCTACAGAATTCATGCTTTTTCCTGCTTGCGGCACGGAAAGAGGCCGACGCGTGCTGCCATAAGCATGTGATCGATTGCATGGCGATCTTGGCCCGAATGATCATGGTGGGCCAAGTCCGGTGTCCGTTGAGGCCGGTGTGACCCGGTGTATGTATGGTGATCCAAGTCTCAAGATTACGGTATGAATGGAACAAGTGAAAGGTCAACGGCAGACAAGCATCTTGAACGCAGATCCAAGAGACAAAGAGTGCGTGTTATCGGGCGGCAGCAACGTTGAGAGACGCAGCAACGTTGAAAGACATGGACGTGGCGTTTCGGGATGGACGGGCTGGATTCTTCTCAGCCGGATCATGTCAGCCCGTTGCCCGTTGCCCGTTGGATGATCTACTCCTTCTTATGTATATGTACGTGTGCTCGAGTGACATGTTGAGATCGTCTAGAGGCAGATACGGGCTACATTTGAATTCATCTGCGCTTCTTCATGCTGCGTGAATACTGATCACTCAGGCTCGAGCCATCGCCAAGGCTCTTCAATGCACTTTCTCCAAGTCTCCGTGAATGCAATGAGCTCTGCGCCCTCCAACTACGTGTCTCGTCAGAACAAAGCCAACGATAAACATGTAGACTTACCACGCGATGATCCGCACTCCATCCAACCGGTATTCTCAAGACAGCCCTCAACCCACCTCCTGCTACTTCCTCTGGCGACTTGCCAAAGACCTTCCCCTCGGCTGCTTTCCACTCGACCTCCCATTTGGCTCTGCCCACTGCACAGATGGCAAGTCCGTCACCGGGCGGCAAGACCGGCATAGCTCCCCTTGCTTCGCCCAGACCGCCGACAGAAGAGACGGTCAGATGGGGTGGAGGGGAAGGGCGGGAGGCCGTTTCGCGCAGGTGCTGAAGGTGTCCAGAGACAGCCGAGAGGGAGGTAGACGGAGAGAGAGGCGGCAGGGAGGGGGTCAAGAGGCCCAATTTAGGGTCTGCGAAAAGTCAGCACGGATGGAAGAGAGGTAGAGTTGACTGACCTGAAACAGCCACCCCAATGGTCCCATATCTACTAATCTCTAGCCATCTATCACCACCACTCTCTTTCACCCTAGAACGCAAGATTGGCTGTTCCTCCAAAGCCATCACTGCCGCCTTGACCAAAAAGCTCAGCAGGTTTGATTTCTTGGGTCTGGCAAAAGTCTCCAGGGGGTCATGTGAAAGATTTGAGGGGATGTCGGAGGCGATGTACGCGGGTTTGGCGGTAGATGGGGGAGAATGACGGAGGTAAGGGAGGAGGTTGGTGAGGTCGAGCGTATGGGAATAGCTTTACATGATGTCAGCCCGGTACGATCAATCTGAAGGAGTAAATACTGACCCAAAGTGTGGCACTTTCGCCTGCTCGCCCAATGCCTTGTACATGATCTTTCTGGTCCTTCCAAAATCTACTCGGGTGACCACCTGCTCAGCTACTTGTTCAGCCCCTCTAGGTTCCCCCGACGCCGCAGACCCCGCGGCGGCTTGTACATCTTCTCTCGTCACCCTTCCGCCCTCCCCGGTAGCCTTCACATCATCCAACTCTACTCCCATCTTGGCAGCCAGTGTCCTTACAGCAGGTGACGCTTTCACGATTCTCTTCCTCTCTTCCGATCTCGATCGTCTCTCGGGTACAGGTCCATCGTGCGCCGGTACGGAAGGCCGGGGCGCGGAGGGGAGGATGGCCGCTTCGCCAGAGAGCTGTGCCGGGCCGGAAGCGTCCATAGCAGCATCCTGGCCTTGGAGAAGGTACTCGTGCGAGGGCGAGTCACCGAGAGGATGCTTCCGGGGCGGTTTGGAGGGCTTGGGAGGGGAAAAAGGGTGTGGCTCCGACGCGCGCTCGACCTCCTCGCTGAGCTCTTCTGCTTCGGCAACAGCAGGACTCTCATGAGACTTGGTGTACTTTTCTCCCGACTCTTGCCCTTGCCCAGCTGCATTCGCTTCTTGATTGACTCGATCTGGTATGGGCGACGCCCCATCCTCTTGAGCTTCCTCGACGGGATCATCGGTCTCGATAACGCAGAGTGTTTGGCCGACCTTGATCATCTGCCCAATCTCGCCATTGATACTCCTTACTTTACCCGTAGCATGGCTGGTGAGATCCACTCTACCTTCTCATCAGCATCGACCCAGTGTATTCCCAAGAAGCACAGATAAGACAGACGTACACTGATTTATCGCTCTGCACCTCTACAAGCGCATCGAACTCTTCCACCTCTTGACCTTCCTTCACATGCCACTTAACGATCTCGACCTCGACTATGCCTTCACCGACATCGTGGAGATTGAACGGAGAAAATTCGAAAAGGATAGGAGTGGTGTGGAAAAGTCGACGCACAGGCGGTGGCGGGTTGCGAGGGATGGGAATGCGGGCGGCGGCGGAAGGCCGAAGGTGGGAGCGGACGATGGGGAGGCGAGTATGGCAGCCTGGGCGGCGTTCAATGCAAAATTGACTGACTCTGAGCATGTCAGCGAGACATAGAGAACAGTCTGGTAATACGAAGTGACTTACATACTCACCGGGGCAAGCGTGGGTCATATGGGCGGATGGATCTTTCTCGGCAGCAGGTCAGGTGTCACTCGGTGTGTCCACATGTGCTTCATGCTCGCGTATCTGGTCGTGGCTTGTTTTCAATCTGATCGCTGTAAAAGCACACAAAGGACAACATCGACATACTGGGATAGCATCTATTTAAGAGATGAGGCTGGTAAAAAGCAAAAAGTATGACGAGAGTGGGATTCGAACCCACGCCCCGGAGGACTGCCGTTTCTTGCATAGATGCTTCTCCTTAAGACAGCTGTTTAGACCACTCACACATCTCGCCTTAATGTTTTGAGTGCTCAGCGCTGCTACAGCAGAGAGGTCATCTCTAAAAACCCTACTCGTGCGCCCCTGCATGTATTTGGTGAGGGATGGTGGGGGATGGTGCACAACATATCGAATCAGCACATACGGGAGAGGGTGTGCCACTCGAGAGCAGGTGCCATCAGCCATGTTGTCCATTGATCATTCTACCACCACAGTATGTAGTCTCATGTTGAATTAAGATCCACGCATTCAGTTACTAGGCTTCTATATTGTCTGCAACCCGTATGTGTCCATCCCACTCACGAGTCACGACGCACAAGTAGAATAGAGGAGCAAAAGGTTCATGACCTCTTTTAAAGAGCTGAGCCGATCAAAGACGCAAAAAAATCTAAAAAAGATGTGCGCCAACGGCGATTCGAACGCCGGTCGAATCCTTGGAAGGGATCCATCCTAACCACTAGACGATTAGCGCTGTTACAGCTGAGTTACTCAGAATTGATGTCATTAGTTTTACTACACCTAACATGTCCGTCAAAACAGCAGCTAATACGCGTCGCGTTCGGAAGAGATGCTGTGCGTCGGTATCTTAACGACTTCTGTAGAGTACTTTACTCTTCATTCTCATACACCCTATCCGGCTTTAGAGTACTATCAAGATGCCAGTCCACAGCCTGGCATCCGCCGTCGGCGACATCTCCACCTCTCACCTCCTCGTGGCCGCCGCTACATTCCTCGTCATCTTTTCCCTCAAAGTATGGTCCGGCGGAAAGAAGAACACCTGGGAGCGAGAATGGGCTGGCAAGATGATCCTGATAGTGGTAAGTGATCATATATCATCGTGTGACTAGATAGTTGACATGCGGTAGGCCCCTCCAACACCGACTATACTCGCTCTCATCGACCAGCTGCTACACCTGCCTTCGCCTCCTCAAATCCTCTTCCTCCCCCCAATCCCCAGCCCTCTCCCCGAAGAACTGTTGACACTTTTACACGCCATCCGCCTGTCTGCCGCCAAGAACCCCGTCGCCCAGCTTCACTGCGAGAGCCTGCCGCGGTCGCCTGTCGCAGTCCGAGACTTTACCAAGAAATGGGCTTCCGTCCCTACTGGCACTGCTGGCGCCGACGGGCGAAGGATCGACGCTGTCATCCTCGGTGAAGGGTGGGAGATCCGACCAAAGGAGCTCAAACTGCAAAGCCAATGGACGACGCACGAGTTCCACTATCATCTCTTGACGTCGCTCTTGCCCTACTTTCTCCGTGCGCCTAGTGAGAGGAGCATACGTGTCATCTCCCTCGTGTCGCCTGCTTGGGCTTCGGCTGTCCCGTCTTTGAAGAATGCCGAGCCCCGGGAGGATATCGTGTTCAACACTGGTCGAAGGAGCATCAACACTGTCCTTCTCATGAAGCACTTTCAGCTCATCCTGGATACCCTCGCTGCTGCTGCGCTTGGTATGGTCAAGCCTGTCCCTGGGACGGCGGATGAGGAGGTGACAAAGAAGCGCGATGAAAGCGTCAAGAGCAACATCATGTCACTCAGTGTTGTCATGCCATGGGCGAGAGAAGAAGTGCTCAAGGCCGCTATTGTGGAGAGTCTTTTGAGCAAGATACTGTGAGTAACGTGAGATAGAGATGTCCTTGGCTGATCCTCTTTAGGTGGATCGTCTTTTACCCCCTGATCATCATCCTCACCCCCTCCCCCGCGAAAGCTGCGCAGACCATCATGTTTGCTCTGTCAGCCCCTGTGCGATACGCAGCCATTGACGAGACGCCGAAAGTCAAAGATCAAGGGAAGGAGCTCGACGAAGTTCGCAGGGCTGCGGTTGGCGGCGGTGATGTTGTCAGGGATTGCGAGGTGATCGAGTATGTCTCTCTTCTCTTATTGTGATGGCGCTAACCTGCACTGTAGTATCCCACCCGTCTTGCGAGACCCAGCCTTGGCGAAAGCTACTTATGATGCACTGGAGAAGCAGGTGGAAGCCGGAGTCAAGGACCTAGAGAGTAGAGAAAAGGCATCAACCAAGACAAAGTAGCGATAGATCACTGTATCCGTAGACCGTTTCAATATCCAGCATTGAAGATACCTATGAATGACTTCTTTTGACTTCTAATCTGTGTAGTATACATCATTCCATTTGTGTTGTCTTTTACAATTGTCTAGCCCAAAAAGTTGAAGGCGAACAGATGCAGGACGACCGAAGCTGCGCAAAAGTCTGCAAACGCTCTGTGCACGACCATGATCAGCAGGCGTCACTATGGTGGTATAGATGAGATTTTACCTTTCTTGAGACACCTCTTTGAACTCTCCATCCCTCCCGGGGGTGATCTGTGCCCTCAGACCCGCCAACAGCACAAATTGTCCAATAGTCGACCCGAAGCTATGATGCGCGTGAGTCCTGCCCGTTGTCTTCAATCTCTGCAAACAACTCACCCTCCGGCAAAAGCATGAAAGGGGTAGACAGTGATGAGCAGTCTGTAGGCGAACTGCAAGATGCCCGAGACCATGATGAAGAAGAGGAAGGCATCGATGAGCTTGACGCGAGCGGGGGTGGTGGAGGTGTAGTTGTCAATGAGGATGTCGAGGGACGTCTGGATATTTTTGGAAGTGACAGCGGCAGGCTGTACTGTTTTGGGGGCCATGGTGAGCTGGGAGTGTTCTTGGGTTCACAGTGAATACATCTCTCGTTCTCGTCCAAGATGCTGCGCTGCCAACGCGGTGAGCCGTGAGGCGGGGTGAGCCGCATAGCTGTTACATAAGCACTTCGGGACCACACGCCGCCGCCGCGCCGTCCACGCTTTGTTGTTGTGTCGGCACGCTGACTCACTGAGTAATGAGTTGATCCGAGGAGAAAAGGGAACGATGATGATGTTGTTCGGCAGTGTTCAATGCGACGCATCTCGCCGAGTAGAGCTGCAATCGCCTGCCGACCACGCAAGCTATATATAAGGGACTCCTATTGACCGCTCACTCCATCAACAACAGTCCCCCCCTCATCATGAACCCCACCCAGACCAATACTTTCCACCACCGATGGTCTCATCACCCCGACGTCGACTATCACTTCAGCCATCGCTTCCGCTGGCCTGCTGCCCCGGTCGAGGGCGCCTCCGGTGCTGCCGCCAATGCCGCTGCTGAGGGCGCTGCAGGCCTTGCCTCTGGTGGCGGGGCTCAACCCCCTCCCCGCGGTCCTTATGGCGGCTATCATCACTATTACGAGAGAGGGCCGTATCGTAGATGGGGAAGAAGGCCTAGCCGTTTCATTTGGGTCAGTCTCCTACCTACAACCCCACGCCGCAATGCTGACTCGGTATGTAGTTTAGCATCGGTGCCATCACTGCTACGGTATGGTACAAGCATCACCATGAGCGCAAGAACGACCTCCAAAAGTTCGTCACCGACCCCCAGTGCTGGTCCCCACATCACCGCACTCTGCCCCCTCCTCCCACCGAAACACCTACTGCTTCAGTGACCCCCGCAGTGCCCTCTCCTGCTCCCTCCGCCACGGATTCTCTACCGAAGCGAGACTCATCATGGTGGTGGGATGACGAGAAACGCCATGCGGGCTGGAGAGCTTGGAAAGAGCAAAAGATGGAGGAGCATCGTGCCAGGCATGAAGCCAAGGCTCTCCAGGCTCAGGCGCCCGTTGACACCACTTCTTCTGCCACATCTGGTGAGACTGCGGAATTCAAGAGTCTTCGAGAAGCCGTCGAGAAACTCTGGGCGGAAAAGACTGCCGCAGACGGGACTGCGCAGAAGGTCAATGACCAGGTGAGTGATCTGCAGACATTTCTCGTGCATAGCTGACTCGGGGGATTAGGCAAGGGAGTATGCGAGTGAGAAGCTTGAAAAGCTTAGTGTTGCGCTTGAGAATCTTCGCGAGTCTTTGAAGGTAGATGACAAACCCCAGGGTGATAAGAAGCTTGTGTAGAGTCATTGATAAATGCATCCCCTGTCATAAGTGCTTCAGATCACACGCCATATCAAGAGCTTGGAATCCAGTCCCATCTAAACCAAAGGCTTCCATGGGCTGTTAGGCCAGATGCTGTCTCATTCATGCATTAGATACAGAGGAAGTCATGGTCTCGTCAGCAAACCAACTGCGTAAATATCCCTTAATTTCGGCTAATTTAACGACATGTCCGTCGGGCGACCGTCGGGCGCGATTTCACCCATCACATCCCGAGAAATGTCTTGCCATATCAGCAACCCAATCCCCAGCAAAGATGTCATCATCAGCCAGTACACCAGTCGTCTCGCCCTCGTCAACACCCCGACCACAAACCCAAGTCGAAGAAAAAGCTTTTCCCGAGAAAGACTGCCTGTCCGTCCCTTTCCTACCCACGCTCCCATACCCCAACTGACGATCCTTGCAGAACATGCCGCCTCACCGGTGCCGGCGCCTTCACGGGAATAGGTATCTACGGTATCATCCAAGCCAATAATCAAGGAGCGTTCAAAAAGATCAGACCGCCTGGGGCGCCTGTGGTGGCGGGGAAAGTCACGGCTTTGATTGGTACTGGTCAGTCTTTTTTGTTTATGTGGGGCGCGGCAGTCGTACTAATATGGTGGTGCAGTGTTCATAGGTCTTGGAATAGGCAGGTTGTTCATATGAGATAGGTCATAGGCAGAGTTGCTGCAAATAGCAATCTTGAACTCGCCGCCCTGTACTTCTACCACCTCTCACGGCACTGTAGAAGAACGCATTGCATTACGACGGGATACAATCATGCATGACAGCGAATATACACAGAAACGGATACATATACCACTGCCCTACAACCATCAGATCGTCAACAAGATCGTTATTGCTCGTTCACAAACACAGCCGCCATTCCCTACGACCCCCGTGTCAGTGACTGCCATATACCAGGACAAAAAAAAAAACGCTCACCATTCCACTTCCAATACACATGCTCGTCACAAACACCTTCTTCTTTTCCCTCTTTGCCTCTGAAAGCGCCGTCGCAATCTGCCTCGCGCCCGTACATCCCAGCGGGTGACCCATCGCAATAGCTCCGCCGTTGGGGTTGACAATGTCGAATGGGATATGGAGGTGTTGGATGGACATGACGGCTTGGGAGGCAAAGGCTTCGTTGATCTCAAAGATGTCGACGTCGTCTTTGGTGATGCCGGCTTTTTCGAGGGCTTTGGGGATGGCGAAGGCGGGGCCGATTCTATGAATAGTCAGTATGAGCCGCGAGACTGGGGATAGATACACACCCCATGAGCTTGGGAGGGACTGCAAGCATGTCAGATATGAACGTCTCCTCTATAGATACGACTCACCACCAACGACAGCAGACACGACATACTTGCCCAGGATCGGCAAGCCGAGCTTCTGAGCAACAGATCGCCTGGCAAGGAGGACCGCAGCAGCGCCATCCGAGACCTGAGAAGCGTTACCAGCATGGGTGAAGCCATCCTTGGAGAAAGCTGGCTTGAGCTTTGCAAGGGACTCTTTGGTGACACCGGCTCGGATACCATCATCAGCGTCGACGATGATCTCCTTCTCCTCCTCAGTCTTGGGGTCGGTCCACTTGACCTGCGCCACATATTAGTTGGAATTACAAGGCGAAGAGGGAACGTACCTTGACAGGGATGATCTCTTCCTTGAATTTGCCGGCCTTTTGAGCAGCAGCGGCCTTGCCGAAACTGTTGGCAGCAAAGGTATCCTGGACGTCGCGCGAGATACCATACTCCTTGGCGACGTTTTCAGAGGTGATGCCCATGGGGACCAAACAGTCTGCGGCTTGCTGGTTGGAGAGGACGTCATCAGAGATGCGCTCGGGGAGCACGCCTGCTCCGTAGTGGGCAGACATGTGTTCAACACCGGCGCCTGGGAAATGTTAGGTGTTGTCACAAGATTGTAAAGAGTACATACCGATACCAATGTCAATCTCGCCGGACTTGATCTCATTGGCAATCTATATAGTGTCAGTAGAGGTCATACTCAAAGTATGATAACTTGCCTGAGCGACAGCTGTCAAGCCTGAAGAACATTGTCTATTGACAGTGTTGATAGGCGTCCTAGAGATAAGTCAGCATAGGCCACCACACGCTCATGTTCCCACTCACGTGTAAGGGATACCAGCATACAGCTGGGCCATTCGAGCCACATTGGCACCGCCTCCAGGAGGGAGCACGTTGCCCACAGCTACATCTCTGCCATATGTCAGTAGGGCTATATGGCCAATGGCCGGACGACTCACTCAATCTTGGCAGGGTCGACGTTGCCTCTCTTGACGACCTCTGTAAAGACGGCAGAGAGCAAGTCTTCAGGCAAGCAGTCCTTGAACCCGCCCTTCTTGGCCTGCAGGGCAACGTCAGCTTGTCAATACTGGCGCTGAAGTGGACTTGCCTTGGTGATGGGTGTCCTGACGGCGGCGACGATGACGACGTCGTCTGCCGAGTTGATGAGGAGCCTTGCGCGGCCGAGGGAGGGGAGGTTGTTTGTGATGTTCTGGATCGCGGAGGCCATGTTGGATGATGTGCAGATGGGAAAAGATGGGTCAACTTAGAGATGGCCCGGCTTCTATCCATAGCCGGCGTGGCAGAGCGGGATTTCAGGAGTGGCGGTGATTACATAATCCCATTTCCACTCTTATGAATCTCGAAGCTCTCAAGAATCTCTAATCCTCCACTATAACCCCTTGTTACTCGCAATGGTCTCCTTCTGTGCCGCCTGCTCACGCCGCCTGCTCTCTGTCAGGCCTCCCGCCCGCCTCGCGCCTGTCTCCCGCCCCCGGCCCTTCTCCCTCCTCGCAACCTCTCGCCGCGTCGATACCCCCCTGCGCGCCCTTCCCCCTGCTTCGTACAGATCAGCCACAACATTTTCCATTGGATCATCATCCTCCGCTGCCCCCCATTTGCCACCCATCCCTACAAGACCCAATATCAAGGTGACGGCTCCGTCATTGGCTGCCATCAAGGAAGAGGGTTATCTCGATGATGATGTCAAACTCTTACCACCCGAGGAGGCATTCCTGAACATCTCACCGGAGGCTGTTCAAGTAAGTGCACGTCAGTACTGTCGTTGGGCAAAGCTCACAGATGTCTAGCAATTGGTCAGGATCACCTCTCGGGAGCCCCTAGACATCCTCCAGCGAAACAAGCTTGCTCTGCGGGTAGGCGTAGAGAGCGGGGGATGCCATGGATATCAGTACCTCATGGACATTACCGAAGAGAGAGGTGTCGACGACTAGTGAGTGGCATCTTTGGCGTCTGAGTGCCTTGCTGACTCAGGTAGTGTCATGCAACCGGAAGGAGTCCACTGTATTCCTATAGTTGTCGATCTCACGTCTTTGGGGCTTCTCAAGGGTGCGTATCTTGACTCCATCAAGAGAGATGTAGCTGACCACGATCTTGCAGGTGCCACACTTCATCATGCCACTGAGCTCATCGGCTCCTCGTTTAGATTACAAGACAACCCCCAGGCAAAGGAGGGAGGTGCTTGTGGGTGCGGTGTCAGCTGGGAGGCAAAGTAATACATTGCATGTACTTAAACAGATATGACTTTGGCAAGAACTAGCAAAGAGGTCCCACCAGAATTCCAGTCGCCATGACTTTCCTCGTCAGTGATATTTTGCCATCTAGAGCTCGACACGCTCGTGTTGCTTCAATGAAATTGCACCAAGATACAAACATGAACATGTGCTGAATGCCATTACATGAGACATACGAGACACTTCCGAAACCCGTGCGCATGGAGCCGCACATCCTATTAACCTAGTGATAAAAGTTGAGAGAGCCAGACAGACGCAATGACGCAGGAAGGGCGCCAGATTGGTCTACCAACAACCTATATATTTGTACACTCAAGGTCCGTTTTCTTTTCCATCTTCTTTACTTCTCAAACCCCCCGAATCCTCGCCATTCTAAAGCCTAAACTTGGCGGACAGAGAGCGCTTGGTAGCGGACACTCCGGTCTCGTAGATACTCAAGTTTCCACCCCACCCACAGACCTCGGTCGCGTCGCCAGTGCAAACGCTCTTGCAATGAGACTCTTCACGAAGAAGAGAAGCCTGAACAATGTTGCCACAGTGACATTCAGAAGCGTACTGCCAAAAAAGTCAGCTGGGTACAATCATATGACGAGACCGAAAACTCACCTCGGTTCCGCTGTAGGCAAAGCCAAGGTTGCCGCAGTACGAAATACACGCCTCGTTGGTCATGGCGCTGCTCGAGGTGTATGAAGAACCGTCAAGGTGGCGGGGAGAGCTGTCAGAGTAGCAGCCCACGTAGAGGGAAGCGATGGTAGAGGTGGCAGAAGCTGAGGTGCTGGTGCTGCTAGAGGTGGTAGACGCCTTGGAGGTGGTGGTAGAAGCTTTGGTGGTAGTAGAAGAGGTAGAGGCCTTGGTCTTAGACGCAGAGGTGGAAGTGGAAGCCTTGGTCGTGGACGCAGAAGTGGAGGTAGAGGTTTTGGAGGTAGACGCAAAAGTGGAGGAGGTAGAAACTTTGGTGGTCGACGCAGAAGAAGTAGAAGAGAGGCTGGAAGTTGACGAGGAAGAAGAGGACGAGAAGCTGGAGGAAGAGTTGCTGTATGTCCAGGTAGATAGCCTTCTGCTACCGCCACAAGTTTGCAAAGCGTCACCTGAAGGGATGACGTTAGCATCGACCTTGATCGTTAATCAAAAGACTTACCAGAACAAGACATCGAGCAAGATGAGTCGTCGGCTGCGACACTTCCAGTAGAGAACGCGTTGGCACAGTAGCATTCCGACGAGTACTCGATACTAATTTTATCATCAGCACATGAACAGATCACTCGTACAGCGCGACTTACCCAGCGATTGTGTAACCCTTGGCCTGACAAGCGGCGATACAGACTTGAGGAGTCATACTGTCGCTGGTGACAGAGTACTTAGCAAGGGCCCTGGCGTTCGTAGCCTCAGTCATGCAACCAGAGGAGCTCCAGCCGGTGGGATAGGTGTAGACCTGATACAAAGAGGGGTTGTTGAAGAGGGAGAGAGTGGCGGACCCGCCGCAGTTCTCATAGTCGTTGTCGGCACAAGCGTAGTTGCACTCAGAGTCGGCGAGAAGAGTAGTGTTGGAGGCGCCGTTTCGGATAGAGACGCCACAGTAGCACTCGGATCCGTATTCTGCAAACAATCAGTGCTTGTAACAGAAAGTGAAGGGAAACTACACACCCATGCCGGCGAGAGGACTATTCATGCGTCAGTAGAGGTCGACATTGCACGATGAGACAACTCACTATCCCTGGTCTTCACACCATTGAACGCAAATACCCCGAGTCATGTTGGTAGCGCTGAAAGAAGCTCCAGTCAACGCACGCCCGCTAGTGCCCTCGGCCATACAGCCGACTTCGGTATAGCCATCGGGGATGGTAGACTTGAAGTCGGTGAAACCAATGTCGCTGTCGGAAGAGTCGCCCCACGAGGGCTTGGTGGTAGAGTTGCCGATCCAGAGGGGGTTGTCGCCAGGAAGCCTGGAGATGGTGTGACCGCTTCCGATATCTTCGTTGACCAAATCGTTCAAAGGAGTACAGCCTTCAGCGGACGCAGAGTCGAGGTAAGGGACGAAGGGAGCACAGGCGGCGAGCTCGCCGCCGACACCGTTGTTGTCGTTGCACTCGTCGAGGGCCTCTTGCAGGACGTTGGTGCCATTGACGTGAGCGGGCCAGCCGTTGACGAAATCACCTAAGGGGGCGTCAGCAAGTTGGCAGGGATGGTCCGGGGCGTTACGTACCGTGGAAACCATAACCAGTAACGTCGCCGAAAGACCAAACCCAAGTCGTGTTACCAACGCCGTTGTAAGGGAAGTCTTGCACATTGTAGATGAACTCGTAGAAGAGAGAGACGAGTCGGACAGGGTGGGTAGAAGGACAGTCACCGCCGTCGACGCCGCCACTGGGCCAAGCCATGTGGGACTGGTGGTCGTCCGAGTCAAGGTTGACACCGTCCCAGCAAGAACGGAAGTTGACCTGAGCTCGCATACCGTTAGGGCAGTTGTGCTCGAAGAAGCTGTTGCGCTGGTCCCAGGCAGTGTCGCCAGAGTGGCTAGTGTCATAGTCGAGGCAGACATAGGAGATGGCGTTCGAGTCGGCATCGTTGTTGTAGGTACGACGGTAAGGGTCACCAGAGGTCATACGAAGACCGTCGGGGAAGGCGCGGACGGTGGTCTCGCCAGAGGAGTAACGAGGGAGGTAGTAGGTGTTGACGAATGAGACAGTGATGGCCTCGTAGGTGTCGTCGGTGGGGCTGTAGTAGTACAACTGAGGTGTCCAGTAGTTACTCTTGTCCACGGAGACTAGGGGAGGTAACGTCAGTAGCGCCAAGGCCAGTAGGAAGAGAAGCAACTCACCAGTAGCAGTAGTACACGTTCCCTGCTGAGTAGAGTTGTAGGTCATGGTCTTGTCAAAGTTGTTACCACCGACAACAGAGTGCACATGGCCAGAGATGACTCCAGGAGATACGATACTGGATATGGTCAGCACGAGCATGATAGCCGATGCAGAAGAAATGACTCACGGGTCTAGCCTGGTAGTCTCAAGGACGGGGTGAGAGAGGATGAAATAGGCATTGGCGGGAGCAGCCAAGGCAGCAATGATGGAGAAAGCAGTAGAGAACCTCATGGTTGGTTATTGATGAGGCGAGATGTGTGGGTGATAGTGATGATCAAGTCGAGTGAGGAAGGAGTTGTTGTTGATGTGACGATGAGGGATGCCCGAGGATGATAAAGAATAAAGCGCGATAAGATGATTTCAGTGAGGATAGTCGGCTGCTACAGGTAGTAGTGTGGGAGGATACAGATGGAATGGGCGTTAAAGGTCGTGATAAAGAATAGGAAGGTGAGAAGAGTAATAGTAGAGCCAGAGATGATCTGACTGTGAAGGAAGGCTTGACGATTGGAGAGACGGGGGAAGACAGGCGGAAAGTCCATCTTTATATGGACAGGTGCCAGGGTGACTCACACGAGATGTGGCGCATTATTCCCCAGTCAAACGATCAGAATTCATTGAAAACAAGTTATCTTCCGATCTCCCACCCGAAAGGTCGATAATGACCCGGCGGCTGGCAGCTAAAGAGAGTATTATACTTTGCAAAAGGAGCATTGATTTCTCCAGTTCCTGTGGCTTGTCAGGCATGAGACATGACGGGCGGCCGACGTACCGGGCGAGGCGACGGCTATACGGCGAGGGAGAGCGTAATAAGCGCAGACGAAGGGAAAGAGCAGAGAAAATGCTAGACGGAGGCGCGCCTTCGCGTCAGGGGCTTTTCCTAGGAACGTAAAGATCATCCGCCAGGGAAACCAGCCTTCGAAGCTTCTTGCCCTCGTTTCCCGTGACGTGGCTGGGCCCTGGGCGCGTGAACAGCAGAGGTGCATTGGCCCAGTCTTTGCTAATACCTTAAATGTTTGTTGATGCGTCGATTGTTGACTACGTAATAGAATACTCGAGCCTCGAGATGTCACCTTCCAGCATGCCATGACGCTCCCGAATGTTTGGCTCACCACCTGTGGCCTGTGGAGACCATGGCGCGCATATGGCAGTCTCTGCTATGGTATGGGGTGGAATAGACCTTGCAAACTTCTCGGGGTGTCTCCATAACGGCATGGCCGGTCTGTTGCAGTCAACGTCGTTGTGCCGTGTCTCACCGTGACCACCAACGGGAGATTTGAGGGGGAGTGAGGCCCGAGAGGCTTGTTGCGAGGCATGTGTTGCATGTTTGCATACTTGCATGTGGCCTGAGGCCTGAGGCCTACAGCCTCTCGTTTCGGGCTGCCTGTGTCGCTTACCCTAATGTCTTGTGTAGCTAGCTTTCGGCCATTCTCACTGTCTGAGCTGAGGAGGCCGAGGAGGTCACGCTCGCGAGTCGCGGCTTGCTCACGGCTCTAGATGGTGCAGCAGCTGCAGCAGACATCTCAGGCAGTATACAATTATTTGCGTTTTATATCAGCGCGAAACCTTGCAAGTCAACATGAGTTCAATTCAGCCCGTGTCCCCTCATGTTGTGCCTCCGCAAGACCGCAAGGCTCATCACAAGGTCTTATACAGCTTGCAACTCAGCCGGCGCCGCATGTCGTAGGGATCCTAGACGTTTGGTCGTAATGAATCGTAGTACATTTGGCATCTGGGATTTCGTCTTTTCACCCATTTATGCGATACGAGTCTTCTGCACTTGCAGTATGTACGGAAGCCATCAGCCATGGAAGTCCCCTTCCTCCGACCGGGACATTCTTCTGCAGCCACTATGTACTCGTACAGTCCCGGAGGCCGGAGGCCGAAAAGCCAAAGGCCAATCATCGCCCCTTGTCGGGGCAGAGGCTGCAGCCGTACACGCCGTAATAAAGCCGTAGAAGATGGAATGGGACGAAAACGATGGGAACGTACAAGAATTAATCATAAACATTCCGATTTCCTGCTATACGTACAACGTACATAAGATCTTCCAGAGCGCCCGGAGCTCAAAGCTTCCAGATTGGAGCTCTACTGCGCATCCTGGACCCTATCCCTTGGCCCTTGGTTGATCCATACATACGTACATCCCCGCCTATGTTTGGTGGCATGTAAATGTGGGATGTGGTCAATGTGGCTGCCTGCGCGCGGTTGGCCATCGACTCTGGTTGGGCTTGTCTAATGACGGTGCGCTGGCCCACTTCCTGGCATGGCCGTTTCTCGGACATGGCATATGGGTGCCCGTCGGCAGCTATCGGCAGTCGACTGTCAGTGTCTAACCACGTAATACGAGCGAAGAATCCTTCCTGAACCTTGGTGAACGCGTTCCATGGAAAATGTTCTGGCTCTTGTGTGTACGTGACTCGGATATTTGCTTGGATTGCCTAAAGGAGAGGACGCGCAATAAGGTTTAATTTTGAGTTTGACGGCTGTTGCTTCCGGTTCCTGATCCGGTCTTCTCCCGATCATGTTGTTCTGCGTCTTGCGATTGGCGCACCAAACTGCGTCAATGGCACGATGTTGATCTTGTTGAACCTCTCGCCATAATTATTCTGAGTCCCATCGTGATCACCCAGCTCTCCCTAATGCCCCGAAGTCCGATGAGGAGCACTGACTCGATTGCGGGGCTGTGGGTGACGCTGATGACGAGGGGGACTTGTTTCTTTCCGACAGCGATCTTTCAGGCCAACGCTAGGTACGAGCTGTCTGACATTGTCTGAGTATCTGTATGTGCATCGGCCACCAGCTCATCAGTTCGTTAATGGATCTTTGTGATTTGTGGCTAGTTGGCTACGCAATCCATCTCCCACCAAAGGTGCCACGACTTCATGAAAAGGGAAAGCAAGAGAGGTCAGCTACCATGTCATTTCCATCAACAGAGAAGAAGCGTGCATCGTCACCATCTTACTATACCGCTGGATACTTCTTCCGCGCTACGACCTCACCATCTCGGACTCGACGTGGCAAGTGTATCCACTAATGGGTTGCGTGAACGGCCGTAAAAACTCGAGACTATCATGCGATGGCGCCACGGAACAGCTGTCGCTGTTGGGGACATCATCAATCATCAATCCTCATCAGCGGCACCACCAAGACCATCAGTCACCAGCAATCTTTCCCCCCAACGATTTGGCCATGTTTTGACCTGGAAAATCGAGGGCGACAGTGTTGGCTTGGCATTCCCAATGCCCTCAAGGCGTGAATGAAGAGGTACAGAAGTAGGCATACATGAGAGGAGTACTGGATGCACATGGTGCACATGGCCCATATGCAACATGGCATGCTTGGCAAATGGCCTGCGCCTGGCACAGGGATAAACGCCTTTCGCTTTCGACATGACAATAGACATATCCAACGAGGCACCAGAATGTTGACTCACAGAGTACCGACGTTTCTAAGCGCGCCCAGCGCTGTCGATAACGCATGCTTCCTGGTCGAGATAGGCCTTTCAGCGACTCCCAAGGGCCCCAAGGTACAGTGGCTTAGTGTAAAACCAAAGCTCCAAAAATGCGGACCCGCAAAGCCGACGCACATCAGTATCCTTTGTCAGTCGTCCCTGGTATATGCTGGGAGCGTTTCCGAAATGTTGCACAACGCCAAAGGACTGCTTTCCCGGGCTTTTGGAGGTTCCCAGCAATGCGGTATGTCACAATGGTTCGCCCTGTAGTGATGGACCTTTGATGTTTGAGCCCTTGTGCCAGCTGTTGGCGAAATAGTTGCATTAGTTTGACGATTGAAGACTGAACTGGAACATACTCGCCGCCAATGTCTACTCACCTAAATAGCCTCATCTAGACATCAGCAGCACTCGATAGATTTCATACGACAGCCGACATATCACGGACAGTGTCCAAGAATTCACTGTAAGCAAGATGAACATGTTCAAAGTCAAATCCGGCCTCATCGTCCCCTCGCTCATGCTCGTCCTTGCTTTGCTGGCAGAGCCAGCATTCGGATCAGATCAGCGAGAGCGAGGTGCTCTACATCACGCTCGAAACCTTGCTGGACGACAGGAGGTTGAAAATGCGGCGACAGCGGTATCCAGTGGGAGTGGCGGAATCGCCTCAGCTACTATCAGTCAGGTCGCCGAGACTGTGGTCGCCACCAGTACCGGATCAAGTGGCTCGGTCATTGAAAGCTCTTCGGTATCTGTATCGCAAACGTCAGCGGTAGCAAGCGTCCTGGCTTCCGACTCCACTGTAGCTTCACTTACCTCAGCCCCAGGCAGCTCTGCCTCTAGTACAGCGTACGAGATAGCCCTCGCTTCATCCATCGTCTCTCTCGCCCAGCCAGTCTCCAACTGCACCTCACCCGGCGGTGGCTGTGTTATCTTTATTACATCCATCGCCGACTGCTCCAACGACACTTGCGCATGCGACCTTTCGTACCCCGCACAGGTGTGTGCGCAGTGCATAGCCAGCCAGGAGGCGGTGGATAGCTATAATGATTACCTGGAAAGTTGTGAGGCAGGGGGATTGGTGGAGCCCGAAAGTACTGTCGAGGTCGAAGTGGACGATTGCGAGACAGAGAGCGGGGAAGAGACAATGGTGGGATCGACGACGTCTCTGGGAGATGTTTCTCTTACGGGCAGTGCAATCGCTGCCACAATGACCAACTTAGAGAACGCATCAGCAGCAAGCGGATCAGCAAGCAGATCGACCGCCCTTACATCGAGCGGCGCCGACAGCCCCATCGCCCTCGAGATCGGAAACGACAGCTCTGACACCAACTCATCCGTCACTGGAACGAACGTCAGCTCCGACACTTCTGCTCTGGATGGAGTCATGGCGCTGGCCACAGATTCGCCCTCCGACACCGACGACGACTTGGTCACCACCTCATACTCGACCATCTCCCCTCATGCGGCGATGACTGTGAGTTCGAGCTTGGGTGTAGTGGGGCCTTCAGCAACTGCCCTATCTGGTCAAATGTCGGCGGCACAAACTCTTTCTGGGGCAATATTCACTCAGACCTCCCAGAACACATCAACGACAGCCGCGTTGGACTCTGCTCACGCATTCTTCAGTATTGACATTGATGCGAGTTGCTCGAGTGACTGTGATAGCTGGCAGCAGCTTGCGCAGGTGAGTAGCTTCCTATCTTTTCCAGACGAAAGGTGGGTTGACATGGGCGAGAGACGTGTACGGACGATACTTGTGTCTGCACGAGCGAGGGTGTATCAGCCGCCAGTAATTGCTCCAGCTGTATCCGTTCTTCGAGCAGCTCAAACTCTTCGAGTCAGCTAGCCTCTTATGCTTGTGAGTCACCACGTCGCCCTCTTACCCTCAGCGAGACTGATCCAATTGCATCCAGCGTTCACAAGCAACTGCACGTCATCAGCCTATCAAGCAGGAATGTCAGGGAGCAGCGGCTCAGGTATGGCTTTTGGCTCTCTCACCACCTCGGCCAGTACCAATCCTTTCGCGACGGGCGTCTCAAGGATCACAGCGACTCCAACGACGAGCGGTGTCAATGTAGCAGAGGTGAATGGAGGATCCACGACTACTGTGACGGGAGGAAGTGGTTTCACGAGCGAGGCGAGGAAAATTGGTGTCTCGATGGGATCGGTTGTGAGCATTGTCGCGGTAGTGGGACTGATAGGAAGCTTGGTTTGATGCGGATCTGACTCGGAATTGAAATGAAACGAATCAATAAAATGTTGTAGCATAGTATAGATCAGTTATGTATGCCATCTATATCATAAGCACATCGTCTTCGAAGATCATGGAGCCTACTAAGTGAGCCTTCTGTGGTCCTACTCCTTCTTATATTCTACGCTCTGCAGCAACTCTCTAAACTGATCGCTCATGACCCCTTTCTTGAGATTGTCATAATCGTACATCACCACCGTACTGATACAAATCCATTAGCATCGTTTCTGATTCCATTCCCAAGATTGAGGATGGTGGACGTACCTATCAGCCAAAGCTTTGACCTGGCCGTCTTTCATGGACCAGATGATGTGTTGATGACCATAGCTCGCTCTCTCGGGGTTGACCGAGTGGATGCGGTTTGAGATCATAACCTAGCGGGCATATATGAGCGATCCGACCGCGAAGACATATGTCGCTACTCACAGTATCTGGATAAGTGATAGGCGCTCTATACTTGATTGACACATCTTTCAAGATGAACCCTGTGCCCTTGGCGTGCTAACTGTAAGTCAGCTTGTATTCAGCATAAAGATGGAAATGGCTTACGAGAAGGTCATACACAGCCTTCTCGCCCAGTACCGGTCCCCAGCTCTCGCCATACCTGATTCTGGCACTCTCGATCCACCGAAGGAATTGAACATTGTTCACATGCCTATCGTCAACAAGTCAGTTACACTCTGATACCGAAATATCATTCAACAGGAACAAGACCTACTGGAAGCTATCCTGATCACCCCAGGCAACAGGCCATGTCAACACTCCCACCGTATCATGACCCTCTTGTCGAAAGTAGTCCAGTGCTTTCTGTTGGGCGCCACCCTCCGCATTTTGCCAAGGCCTGTCGTTCGCTATCTCTCTATCACCGTGTACTGCCTGAATTTCAGCCGTCGAAGAAGTAGACTGGACGATAGAGGCAGCTTTGGCAAGTAGAGTAGGCAAGTCGGGCGTGCGCGAAGAAGCATGGTCTTCCTCATGTTCCGGGCCATTTGTGCCAGGAGGAATGTGGTAGTGCGAAGTCGGGTCTTGGAACTTTGCGTACAACTCCTACGCCCATAACATCAGCAACTGCACAAGCGGTCGGGTGGATACGAAGTACCTGGAGGTTGACAATGTCTTGGTCGGTGACTGCCAGCTTGGGCGGCATGGCAGGGGCCGTCGTTGACATTGTCCTTCCTGCTACGAGAGCAGGACTGGAGCGAAGGATTGATGTTAACTGACGGATCGACATGACAATGGACTGGCAGTGTGCGTGAGAGACGTTGGATCGAGCCATTTTCATCATCAAGCACGGCGATGTCCGCCCGGCGCTCCGAGGCTTCTTCATCTGACGTTACAATTTGTACTGCGCGACTGGGTGGATGGAATGTCGAATTTTCGCGGTTGCAGAGACAAGAGAAGTATTCCAGGCAGGGGGTTCTCATGCATACACATAGAAGTAGATATATCACACGGTTGAACCTTTTAATAAAACCAAAATAAGAGAAACTAGAGTGTAACATTGCAAAATTTCGCAGTGGGTGGTGGGTATACTTTTAATGCGGAACAAGTCTATGGAGAGGATGATGTTATAATGTTACAAGCAGAAGCGATTAGTCGAAAGTGACCTTGCTACCTTGCGCCTCCTGAATTCCACCGGTCCTCGCCCCACCAGACCTAGGAGCACCTCGTCCCCTACCACCCCCTCGTCCACGGTCCTGGAACCCCCCTCGTCCGCCTCCCCTGGCTCCCCCTCGCCCTCCGAAGCCTCCTCCCCTGCCGCCCCCTCGCCCTCCGAAGCCCCCTCGGCCGCCGCCAAAGCCTCCCCGGTCACCGTTCTCCTGCTTGGGAGGAGCAAAGTCACATCGTATAGCTCGGCCAGCGATCTCCTGACCGTTCAAAGCCTTGAGAGCGGCAGTAGCCTCGTCGATAGAAGCAAACTGGACGTAACCGAAGCCCTTAGGGGCACCAGTCTCACGGTCGGTAGGGAGACGGACGGACTGGACGTCACCGTGGGCACCGAAAGCCTCGTAGACCTGGTCCTCAGTGACGTTGAAAGAGAGGGAGCCGACCCAGAGGGTCTCGGCGGGAGGGGACTGCTTGTCGTTGAAGACCTTGGCACGCTTGTCAGCGGCCTGGTTGTTGTCACGCTTGGTAGCGTAGTTGACCCGGATGTTTCGGCCGTCAACCTCGGCACCGTCCTTCTCGAGGGCCTTGGCGGAAGCCTCGAGGTTGGCAAACTCGACGTAACCGAAACCTCGGGACTTTTGGGTGTCACGGTCGAAAACGACACGGGCAGAGACGACCTCACCGCAAGACTCAAACTCGGAAGCGAGCCAGTCGTTGTCAATGTTCCAGGAGAGCTGTCCAACAAAGACGTTGGTGGTAGCCTCATCCTCACCGTCAGCACGGGGCTTCTTGGCCTCGACGGGGGCGGCAGCGGGCTCCTCGGAAGCCTTTCGCTTGTTGGCTAGGAAATGTTAGTGTGGGTCTGAAAGATGGCTGGAATTTTGCTCACCGTTAGCCTTGGGCTCCTCCTCCTCGTCAGAAGAGTCAGAGTCAGAGTCGCTGTCGGAAGAAGACTCGGCCTTCTTCTCCTCAACCTTGGCGGCGACCTTGGGGGCCTCCTCCTCGTCGTCAGAGTCGGAAGAGTCAGAGTCGGAGCTGTCGGAAGACTCGGCCTTCTGCAGTACATGTCAGGGATGCGTCTCAACAAGTACGAGTGTTATAAACTTACAGCAGCGGCGACGGGGGCAGCAGCGGGCTTCTCCTCCTCAGACTCAGAGTCGGAAGAGTCAGAGTCAGACTCGGACTCGGACTCAGAGCTGGAGCTGGGGGGAGGAGTGGGGGTCTTGGCCTTCTTGCTCTTCTTCTCCTTCTTCTCCTTCTGGATGGATGTCAGCGGTAGCCCATACGAAGCTCGATGTAAACTCACCTTCTCGGCCTTGGGAGCGACAGCGGCGGGCTTCTCCTCCTTCTTGGAAGACTTCTTCTCCTTCTTCTCGACCTTGGGGACGGCGGCGGGGGCAGACTTGGAAGACTTGGCCATTGTGAATGGGTTTTAAATTTTTGTTTGTGGAGATGCAAAGAGAAGCGAGCGATCCATCTCTCACCGAGTGCGGCGCAGAAATTCTCAAACCAAAATAATCTGCTATCCAGGGTGCGCATTTACGAGAGTGGAGGCGGCGGCGGGCACCGCTAGATGGGGGCTCGGCGGGGACGACCGAATATTGCCGAGGGGTGTCTGGGTGTTTGGAGATACGAGAGCGCTTTTTGTCGTCTTGCATCTCCACATTAAAACAAGCCATGTTCGCCCGCTCAGCCACAAGGAACGCCTCCGCCGCCCTACGCAACGTCCAGGTGTGTACCCCCCCCGGCCCTCGCGGCGATGGGCACGCTGCCTGCGCGAAAAGCTGACCTTTTTCACCGTAGGCCCCGGTCGGCGTCAGGTTCTACAACTCTGCCTTCCAGTCTGCCAAGCCTACTTCTGCCTTCTCTGCCCAGAAGAACTCCAATGTAGGTTGAATTGGCCATTTACCCTCTCGACGAATGATGGGTTTCGCGCGCTGACACGCGGAATACAAAAGGGCAACTACACCGTCACTTTGATCCCTGGTGATGGTATTGGACCCGAGATTGCGAACAGTGTCAAGCAAATCTTTTCCGCGGCCAAGGCTCCTATTGAGTGGGAAGAGGTTGACGTGACACCTATTCTCCAAAATGGCAAGACTGTCATTCCCGAGGATGCTGTCAAGAGCATCAAGAAGAACACGGTTGCCTTGAAGGGACCTTTGGCTACTCCCAGTAAGTCTGGGCTCTACACTCGAGATAATGAGTACCAAGTGAGCGGGAAGAGGAAGAGCGCGGGTACTGGAGGCGAGGGGACAGCGAGGGCCATCAAAGCCCGGAATACTACCGGGGCTAGCCTGGAGAGCAAAGCCGATTGATGCTCTAGGAGAACTGAAACGGGCAACGGTGGAGCGTAGAGGATGAAACATACTGACACTTCCTCAGTCGGTAAGGGTCACGTCTCCCTTAACCTTACCCTCCGACGAACCTTCTCCCTTTTCGCCAACGTCCGACCTTGTGTCTCTATCCAGGGCTACAAGACCGCCTACGACAACGTCAACACCGTCTTGATCCGTGAAAACACCGAGGGAGAGTACTCTGGTATCGAGCACGAAATTGTCGACGGTGTCGTGCAGTCCATCAAGCTTATCACGAGGGAGGCTTCCGAGCGTGTGGCCCGATATGCGTTCCACTACGCTTCCGAGAACGGACGAGACAAGGTCACCGCTGTGCACAAGGCCAACATTATGAAGATGTCTGACGGTATGTTCTTGACTGCCTGCCGAGACGTCGCCAAGGAGTACCCCAAGATTCAGTACGACGAGGACCTTTTGGACCGAGTCTGCCTCCGAGTACGTCCCTTTTCTTACACCGCGTGGACCCGGATTGACGAAAAACAGATCGCCACCGACCCCACCCCCTTCGCCGACCGAGTCATGGTCATGCCCAACTTGTACGGTGACATTCTCTCTGACTTGTCTGCCGGTCTCATCGGTGGTCTCGGTTTGACTCCTTCCGGTAACATTGGTCGTGACGCTTCCATCTTTGAGGCCGTCCACGGTTCCGCCCCCGACATCGAGGGTAAGGGCCTCGCCAACCCCACCGCCCTCCTCCTTTCTTCTTTGATGATGCTCCGGTATGTCCCTTTCGCTTTGTCTGCCGGCCTGCCGAGACGTCCTTTCGGCAGCGCACAGACGATGATCTTGGTGTAGTCGGATTCTGACACTCTGCAGACACATGGGTCTCTTTGAGATCGCCGACAAGATCGAGAAGGCTGCTCTTAGCGTACGTCCCCCTATCTCGTTCTTCATCAGTGCAACAGCTAACATACCGCGATAGACCATCGCCGAAGGCAAGGCTATCACCAAGGACCTCGGTGGTAACGCCGGTACCAAGGCTTACACCGACGCCATCCTATCCAAGCTCTAAATCTTTCCCAACTCCGCACATAGATAAAAAATTAAGATGGGGATAACGGGAGACGGAGGAGGAAGGATGTGGATCTGTCTACAAAACAACATTCAAGGAAAGAGATTGTTGAGGCTATAAAACTCATGAGCAAGGGTTTTACGATTTTTTGTAGGAGATTCATTCTCATAGAGGGATGTCAGCATTGGACCACGCATTGTGAGATGTTCTGTTGTGCATGCGTTCGTCGGCAATACTGCACAAACCCCCCAACGAGCACAAGGCGAGAAACTTCGGCTGGGGTGAAGCGAGAGGGATATTCTACAAGTACTGTGTATGCATGCCAGCATGCTGCGTGGTAAGCAATCAATGGATCGAGCAAGATTGAACGACGAAAGATAAGGCAGGCAAAAAGCAAAAAGTATGACGAGAGTGGGATTCGAACCCACGCCCCGGAGGACTGCCGTTTCTTGCAGAGATGCTTCTCCTTAAGACAGCTGTTTAGACCACTCACACATCTCGCCTTGATGTTTTCTCCTATTGCAGCAGGCCCTGATCACATCCAGCATCGTCGGTGTCCTTCTCAACTTACTACAGCTTGTCATACGGCCCCAGCACGGCCCAACGGGTCAACGTTGCTATCCTGTGCCAAGCAGAAAGTCATAGAGTTCATGACAACGGGCACACGGTATGGTACAGACAGATCTATTACTTCTGATCAATCCCCTCCAGCGGCTCATGAGTTGAGCTTCGCAGCCTCAGCCTGCAGCTATTGTGGCATTAGCTAGAGTCCTTTCCAGCTCAATATCGCTCTAGACTCACCTCTTCCCGAGACTTGGGCTGCTCGAGGCCCTCGGCGATCTCCTTGCTGGGAACGTACGGACCCTTGGCATTGTACGCATTGGCGCCAGCTCCCTGGAGGCCGCCGTGCTCGGCAGGCTCAGAGTTGAGATCTGCCGGGTTGTTGGTCTTGGCCGGGTGGGGGAGGATGTTGAAGCCTAGAGCAGGCCCGAATGTCAGCGGTGGCAAAGGGTCGATGGCAGTACAGTTGGGCCACGAGTGACCAGGCGATAAGGGACATGTGCCACACATGGATAGTGGAAGGATGCCTACTTTGTTCCTTGTTGTCAGACATGGTTGTTCGATGTTGTAGATAGGGATGCAACTTAGAGATGACCTGCTTATATACTTTACACCTGCCGCAAGATGTCGTGAGCCCTCGACGTCATCAGCTCGCCCTTCCGCGGCTTGCCTTGCTTGTTCCTGGCTTGTTTTGACACCCACTTTAATGCACGTCCTTGTGATTGTCCGAACGCGACTTGGTACTTGATACTCGTACAGCACTATGGACACCCTCACAGACGAGATCGAAGCCGTCCTCTTCGTGGCCAGGGAGGTCATGGGTGAGTCCCCAGGCTATGCACGAGCTCGTCCACGCCGAGCACAGGGCTGATGCGTCCTAGTCTACCAGATCCCTCCTCAAACGACGACCGCCGGGCACAAGGCCGCGGACTGGAACGTCGAGTCATTCCTGTGGAAGGGAAGATTGAGGGTCATTGACATTGGGAGCCGTAGTGAGCTTCGTCTGGAGGTACGCCCGTCCATTGTGTCCAGAAGGTTGTCTTACATGATATTGTAGGACTCGAGTACTGGCGAGCTGTTCGCCCAGGTCGTGTACGTCAGCCCTTGGAACCAAGTAGAGCCGGTGCTGGACTCTTCGCGCTACTTTGTTCTAAGAGTTGAAGGCGAAGGGGGAAAGAGAGCATACATCGGGATGGGTTTCGCCGAGCGAGGCGAAGCTTTCGACTTTCAAGTAAGCTCATGACTGAGCGCAAGTTTGTGTGTAGTCGCTAAAGATATATCAGGTTGCTCTCCAAACAGTCGTCAAGCGTACCCAGAACACCACCTCTATCTCTGACGACCCCGAGGAACCTTCCAAGCCTGCAGCCCCTCCCAAAGATTACTCTCTCAAGGAAGGGCAGACATTCACCATCAATATCCCTGGCAGAGAAAGAAAGAAGCCGGCTTCTAGTGGTGGCGGAGGTGGCGGTGGGCTGTTTGCGCTGCCTCCCCCGCCCCCGCCGGGGAGAAGAGGATAGTTGTATACGTGGTTTGATATAGATGTTCATAGCTGACAAGACTGCGATGTACATTACTGTCATGACAAGTCCTTAAAGGACCGCCCTAACACCCTCAGTGGCCTACTGGTCCTGGCTTCGCTCTACCTCTTTGAGCAGCTGCTGCCCCTGGCGCGTGCGGGTCGGCCTTGTCCTTCTTCTCTCCCCGACAAGGTGGTGGTATGGGCGTGCTGGGGTCTATCGGAGGGTTCAAAACGGTCCCAATCTTTGTATACTTTTCATTGTTTTCAAAGAACTTTTTCCAGTGGGTAACAGACTGCACTGGGTGAGCTCGGACGGGTAGACTGATGGAAAGAGATACCTTGAGTTCGTCTTCCGAAAGACCTCGAAGATCATGTGTCAAATGAGTTTCGAAGCAGCCCGTCACGAACGCTCTGGAAGCGTCCCGCCCAGTCCTTATGATGATCAGCCATATATACATGGAGAGAAGTTGCTCCACTCACATCATGTTGTAACTACCGCCCTTACCATAGATCCGCCTGTTTGAGGTCACATCAAATACCACCCCGTCTACCGCAAGATACACCGGTCTCTCCAGGGACCCGTCGTACATTGCAAGCTGTAACGGCGTAAACTCCTTCATCTCCAGCTTCCAAGGATTCAAAGGCGTTTCTGCCCAGAATCTTTTCAGTGGCGGGACGAAATAGGGAGACAGGTTGAAGGTATAGGATTGAGTGGTGAAGGAGGAAAGGAGGGGGAGAAACAGAATGACCACGAGCATGCGTCCGAGCATGCCGGCAGTGCTGCTCTCTTCTGTCTGACCTGATTGGGCCCGGGCAGCTTGTTTCTGACGCTGCGCAAGGACACGGGCATCATGAGTCCTCTGTCGCTTCTGAGCAGAGAGTATGGCTCGGTTGGCAGGTTTATCTGTCACAACATTTCCGTTACTGCAGCACCGTCAGCTGCTGCTCTTGAGCTTTACACCGCAGAGCTGACATGTCCCGGGTGGTGTCGTAGACTTGTTCGTGAGGCGCCTGGCCTGGTTTCGAGCGCTGACGAACTAGAAACGTCCAAGAGGTCAGCAGCCACTCTGCAGCATGAGGATATACGATACGCACTTCCTGGGTACCAGTCTTCTTCCCTGTTGGCGTAGACGTCTTCTGGGTGAGACATGGTGTTGTGTTTAGCGAATTGTAAAGCCAGAGGACAATGGAGAAATGTGACTCAACAACACCGCCCGGCGCCGACGCGTTCGGCAACCCGCGCATTCCATCGTTCCATCCCATCAGAATACCTCTCAACCCCATCCAGACCGTCGTCAACCCCATCTCTCGCCACCGGGCGGAACACTCAGCCACAATGCCGGATTTCGAAATCGACAACCTGACCGTGCTGCTGCTCGCCCTCCTGGCGGGTCTGGCCATATACCACAGGTTCCTCTCCTCCCCCAACCCCCTCGTCCATCCGCTCTTGCTCGGAAAGCAGAGTGAAGTGTCTTCCATCAGGAAAAGCGGAGAGACTGGTGTTTACCGTGCATGGGCTACGGGCCAGGGAACTCCTGTAAGCTTGAGGCAATGAAATGGTTACCACGAAAGCTGCTGACCGGACACAGCTCACAGTGCGACCTGCAAACACTGTCAAGACTGTCCAGGACCTCGTCAACTTCCCCCCCGAAGACCCCAAAGACCTTGACAAGCGCCCCGAGCAGCGATGCATCCTCGACATCAAGGCGGGTTCTTTCGGACGTCTTGTGGAAGCCCTGCTAACCCACGCTCACAGCTGACTGACGAGGCATTCGCCGAGATTGTTCGACTGGTTCCTCTCGGTATCGAACTCCTCTTCCCGCGAGCTTCTGCTGCCTCCGTCTCGAGTATCGTCACCCTCATCCCCCCATCGCCTGTCACTTCGCTTCCTCTCCTCTTGCTTTCCCTATCCGCCGTCCCCGTCAGGCCGCTCGTCATTCTGCCTTCTCCCCGACTTTTGACCTCTGCTCTTACTGCGACCTCGCACCCCGCTGCCGGAGTCGTCGTCGTTTTTGCCGACCTTCTTGGTGAGGTGCTGGAGCAGGTCTGGGAAGACACTGGCGACAAGGTCGGGATTCTCGTCATTGGTGATGCTGGCAAACTTCGGGCGAGTCTCGTGGAGGAAGCCAGGAGCAAGGGCTTGAATGTTCATTGGTGGGAGGAGGTTTGGGAGGTGGCTGAGACTGAAAAGGCGGATGCCTTGAAGCTTCCTGGTGAGTTTCTTGTATGATTCTTTGAGAGTGTACTCACGAACGGCAGACTCGCACTTCAACGACGTTCACAGCTACTATTACTCTGAGACCGACGACCCCGAGGCGCCTGCTGTCCTCAAAGTCACCCACCTGGCAAGTGTTCCTCCTTCGCATTCCCTTTATACGCTGACCTCTGTCACAGAACGCCACTGCTGGTATCGCTTCCCTACTGTCCATCTTCCCCGCCGACAAGCGCCCTTCAAACAAACTGCACGATGTCGTCGCCAGTGCTGTCAGGCTTGACACGCCGTTGGGTATGACTATCGCTCTTGCTAGTATCTGGAATGGTATGTCTGAAGGCTTTTGTAGATGGTATACATGTTAATGATGTGACAGGCGCCGAGTTTAGATTGATAGGCAACCAGGAGCCTGTATGGGACCCCGAAGAGGTTGATCACGCCGAGGAGCTCACTGCTCTCGTCGACTCGGAGAAAGACCTGCCAAAGCCTACTGTCTTGTTCATGTACGCCTTCCCATGTTCTCTGAGAATCCATCTGACCATATGACAGCACCCCCAAACACCACCGGGCCCTCGTAAACAAGCTTGCGTACAGCTACCAAGCCCACCCCTACACTTCCCTCGCTGCCCGACACAAAGCCCATGGTCTCCGATCCGGCCACGTCTCCAGGGATGGTATCTGGGACAAGATCATCTGGTCTGGTATGCGCGAGAATGTCTTGGGCGGTGTGGCGGGTAATAAGCTGAGAGCCGTCATTCTCGTCGGCGACGCTCCTCCTGCGTCTGCCCTCGGCGCTTCGCACCTCCTTCTCTCCCTCCCATTCACCAGACTTCATCCCTCCATCTATTCTACCGGCCCCGTCTTTGCTTCCCACTTTTACGACCTTCAGTCTCCTGGGGTGAACCATATCCTCAAAGACGTAGACCTCTGGGAATCTCCAGCGTCTGGTGACAAGTCTCACTCTGGTCCTCCTTCCAGCAACCTGGAAGTGTTGTTGAAAGGTGAAGGTATTGACAAGGCGCATGATGAGAATGGGAAATGGCTTGAGGGACGGATCTACTTGAGAGGTCCTACGGTACTGGAGAGAGTCGATGGAGGGGCCAAGATTGAAGAAGGGTGGGTGGATATTGGAGAGCACGCCAAGGCTCAGACAAATGGCACATTCATCGTGGATGGACCGGCAAAGTAGGTCAACGTTATGCAGAATATTGTGAACAGACGCTTGCATGTTCTAAGATGTACTGCATGTACATATGGATATGCATGATTTGATGATCATCAAGCGTCCACCGGAAATAAGATCAATCCCCTTTTCTCTTGGACAACTCTCTCTCTACAGCCGGGGCCAGGCTAGACGATTGTCCCAATCCTGATGATTGACCAACCGACACCCGCTTCGCACTCTTATCCGTACCAGGGTGTTTCAGACTGCCCACGGTCGCTACTGAAATTTCGGTCTGCGCTCTTCTGGGGGGAGGAGGGGTATGACCTCTGTCCGGCGTGAGCGCCCGAATCGGCGTCCCCGCCCCGCTTGACGGGGCAAAAGCATCATCGCTTCCCCAGGGATAGTAGTCCTGAGGCTTGATGCCAGGTGAAGGTAAAGGCGACCCCCTCGTCGGTGTCCGCGGCGCAATGAGTCCTTCGGACCGACGCCTAGATGACCGGGAACCAATGGAGGGGAGTATGGAGAGGATGGGGATCAGGGCTGATTTGACGAGAGAAGTGGGAGATTTGGATTTTGACGCGCGAGGGAGGGCAGAGTGGGCACCGGGACCCGGAGACGACAGGGTGATATAGGGGTCCTGGGACGAGGAAGGAGAGGGAGGAGCAGAGTGGTCTGTGAAGAGTTAGAGATAGTTGTCAGAGAAGAGGTAGAGCTCACCGAAAGAAGGCAAGGCATTGTCGTTCGCGCTCAGGCTCAAGAACAAGTACAGCGGCACAAACCACACGCAGATGGCAAAGAATGCTGCCACATCTCCAAATGAGGGGCTCTCCTTGTCAGATGCTGGTCTCGCATTCTGCCCGTATCTATACTTTGGGCCTCTGTACTTTTTGGCATCTTGCGCGACGGCAGCAAAGTGGAAGAACCAGATGAAGTGGTCGGCCACGACGAGGATGCAGGAGAGAATGAAGCGTGGGGAAGTCAGGGAGATGAAGGGCCAGGAGGAGGAGAAGTTTGAGAGGTAGATAAAGTGGCAGAGGATGGAGAAGAGGGTGTGGTAGAAGGGCAGGGCGTCGGTAAAGTAGAGCACTGCATGGAGCGCCACGATGGCCTGAGGGGCATGTCAGCTTGACGTAGCAGAGAGCGATGTTGAGCGTACATAGATTGCCCTCATTCCTATCGTCTTTGCATACTTGGAATGCTCTTCGATGAGCTCAGCTAGCCACAGGAGGCCGCTCGCTGGAGTTGCTGTCAGCTTGGCCTTGCCTTGTATGATTGTACGCACCGAGAGAGAGGGTGACGAAGAGGAAGGCTGCGATGCCCCCGCCGTATGCGAGGAGATGAAGCAGGCCCATGGCGTGGAGAGGGATGATATGGGGTGGAAAGTGAAATGCAGAGAGAATGGAGCGCAAGTCGTCGCCGCGATGAGAACAAGATGAGAATGACATTTCAGTTCTTTGCATCATCACATCCACGGCCACCATGAGCAACCTCGAGAGTGCGTACAGAGTGCATCAGCAGAGCATGGCTGACCCAGTGCAGAGTCCCTCTTCCAGCTGAAAGTGAGAGCGACTGACGCATGGCACTGAGCCTCGCTGACGTCGATACAGTTTACGGCCAAGTCCCTCCAGAGACAGGCCAAGAAGGCCAACAAGGACGAGACTGCCGAGAAGAATAAACTCAAGCAGGTGCGTTCTCGCTATGCTTGACAATGGTGAAGGCTGAGCCCAAATGTCAAGGCCCTGGCCAAGGGAAACACTGAAGGAGCCCGTATCTACGCCCAGAACGCCATTCGCAAGAAGAACGAGGGCCTGAACCTGCTCCGTTTAGCCTCCAGGATAGATGCAGTCGCAAGTAGGGTCGAGACGGCAGTGACTATGCGGAGCGTGACGAACAGCATGGGAAGCGTGGTGAAGGGCATGGACAAGGCGATGGAGAGTATGAACCTGGAGCGTGTAAGTGACCTCATGCTCTATGAGCCTGACTAATCTCATCGGGATAGATATCACTGGTCATGGACAAGTTCGAATCCCAGTTCCAAGACCTGGACGTCCAGACGAGTTATATGGAATCCACCATGTCCGACACCACCGCCGTGGCCATGCCACAAGACCAAGTGGACGGACTCATGCAGCAGGTGGCGGACGAGGCTGGGCTGGAGATCCAGCATGGATTGGGCGAGGCTAGTGTGCCGGCAAAGGAGCCGGCTGTGAGCGAGGGCTCAGCAAACAAGGAGGAGGATGGGATGCTTGCGCAGAGGCTGAGAGCTTTGAGAGTGAGTGGCAATGAAACAACCAAATGGTACTCTGCTGACTTTCGAATAGCCCGCTACTTGAGAAGTGTATAGTATCGTACATGTCTTGTGGTGTTGTATAAATGTTATATATGCAGTCCTCTGCCCTATGATCTTTCTCATCTCTTATACCAGCTTCTTGGCCGAAGTTGAATCGCTCAGTCGTCCTATTCTGTCCACATTGGGCGCCCCCCAGACCAAGACATTTCCATTTCCGTCGACCCATCCTCTCCTCTTGATCCACTCCACATCGCTCAGCTTCTTGGGTCCCCAGCCAAAAGAACTGGCAGCGGCAGCCTGGGCAAGGGGGGCATCGGGAATAGCCTTTGAAGGAGCTCCGGGAAGACCTCGAGCGGCGGGGATAGAGTTGACAGCACCGCCAGCAATCTCCTTGGCCTCGTCTTCAATGGATCTTATCTTGCTTCTCTCTTCGAGTGGGGGAAGCAAGTCCTCCACATCAGACTGTCGCAATGTCAGCTTTCCATTTGTCAGAGATGAGAATGATACCTACGAAGTCATCCTGCTTAACTGCAGATATAGAGTACAGGTAGACGCCCAGAGTGAATGCGGCAACGGATCCGCCGATCAAAGCATTTGTGAGGAAGAATGGCTTTCGGGCGCGTTGGAGGGAAGGGGACATGTTCTGTAGATCCAATTAGCAGCACCTCGAATAAAATTCGGTGGACGTACATAGCCCTTGGGGTGGTAGGACCTGTCGACTTCTTTCAGTGAGGGCTTTCGGGACATTGTGGGGGGTTTGCAGTTCTTGATCAACACCAAGAGAAGCCAAACCTCCGCTATAACTGAAGTCAGAGAAGAATGAAATCCGGTGTTACGTAACCGGGGTTAACGCCGTCCTTCCACCGCCGCGCATGATCTCTTGAAAGCAACTTCTGAAAGTTGAAAATAACCCATCTTGACATCTTTCGTGTCACTCTGGCTGGCTAATCACGGCGCTATGAGAAGGCTGCAATTGAGTGAGGCTTAATTCCGTCTCTTGTATCTGCATCTCTACTTTATATCAAGATACCCACGTTAGACGCCTAGCGGGCTAACGACACAACATCAACACGGTGGTCTGCGCGAGGCTCGCGAGTCGACTTGACAAAACGCCAATACCCCAGGTCAGAATCCGGTCGCCACAGCGCACATCTTCAATCAATGGTCAGGCTCAAGAATCTCACCCCGCAAGATGGCCTCCTCAAGTACGAAAAGAATCTGAGAGAGTGGGGGGAGGAGGAGATGGATGCTGAAGGGGGGGAGGGTGGAGCTGAAGGTATACGTGAGAGCGTTGAGGAAAATGAGCATGAGGACTCTTCGAGCGTACCACATGAAGAAGCCAAAGTTGGAGAGAAGAGGCTGTACTCGCATTCTTGTAAGTCAAGACCCTTGGTAGTGTAAAGACGGGTGAGCTGATGAGCAAAAGTCATTGACAGAGCTGGCACCACTCAGACAGATAGTCTCCCAGGTCTTCTTCTTGACCTGTCTTATATCCATTTGCGTCATGTGGACGGCACTTCCTCTAGCGTGGGGATCTCGTACGTCCGGATCTCTCGCATAGATATGACAAATTGCTGATGTCTTTGTGCAGTATAGAAGGCTGAGAGTTATACGAACAAGCTGGATGTGAGGGCCGTTAATCAAGATGATGGAGAGAATGGGACGTTCATAGCAGAGGGTCTGGTGCGAATTGACCGCCGCCTTAAGTCCTTAAGTCAGCGCTGACACCCATCATGGCAGCTTTCGAGGACAGACCTAGGCTATTACTCGACGCCCTCTTCCCATTTTCCTTCTAATAGCGACATCACACACGATATCGTTGAGGAGGGATCATGGGGCGCCATCGTAATCAACGAAGGGGTCACTGGCGCTCTCCTTCAAGCCCGACAGAATAGTGACGCCAGCTACAATGGATCGAGGGTGATCAATGCCTACTACGCTCAGGCTAGGCAGGAGAACGCGGCGAACGAATTTCTGGTACCCTTGCTCCGGGCTTGTCTAGAGAAGCTCTGCGAGAACTTCAACCTCCATGCCATTCTTCCTGCTGAGCTTTGTCATCCTGAATGTCTCGTGAGTCTGGAATCTCTTGATCGTCTGACTGTGGCTGACTTTTCGATGCCAGGATCACACTCATGCCTTATCAGCTCCAGCCATGGATCTACAAGTACGGGCTAGCCATGCCATTCTACCATCTCGGGCGTATAGCCAGGACTGTAAGCTATTATCATTGCCTCATCAAGCCCTCATCACTCAACATCCCGCCTAGATAATCTTCAACACCAAGAACGACATTGGCCGCAGCGAAGCGTCCTCATTGATTGGATCTTGGTCAACTTTGTGACCATCACGGTTGGATCGTACTATTACCGGCGGAAAGCTGTCAGTGCGCACAAGCAGAAGGTAGCAGAAGAGAAGGGCAAGAAAGGAGCATAACGACAGATGGTCCTCGATGTCATTATACAGCGTGGTCATAGACTATGGATTGGTGATCACAAGTCCTGGGTTCATGCAATTGTATCGGCATGTTACTTCTCTGTCGCTGTTTGTTCCAGTCTAATAAATACATATGTAATCCGCCAATATCTCCATCTAGCTCAATATTCGTTTCATCTATCAGAGTGGGTGTCCGTCGGGCATACTCTGCCATGATGCCTCCTTCTTAAACTCATCCGCGATCTCTTCGACCATCTGGTTCTCGGCTTTCCCCCACTTCCCATCGACCTTGCTCATGTATTTTCCCCTAGCACCTCCGCCCTTCACCCTGCCTTCCAGAGCGGTCTTGATCTTTTCGTTCACAGCCTTGGCAAGAGCGTCATCAAGAGACTGGACGATGAGGAAAGATTGAGATGGAACGGAGGAGGAGACTGCAGGGTTCAAGGCTGATACAAGGACGATAAGCGGTTTCGGGGAAGAGGCATCTTCCAGCGAGGCGTTCTTGAAGGCTTCGAGATAGGTAGACCCGACGAGACCCAACCATTCGAAATCGTGGGTACCCTTCTCTTCCCTGCTGACCACAGCGATAGCCTGGCTTTCCTTGCCTTGGCGAATCGCTTGTTCTGCAACAAGCTTTGCCAGCTCCCCCCTCACACCCTTGAGGCTATCTGACGTTTCCTTCCTTGCCAACTCCGACCTCTCCAGCCTCTGTACGACGTCGGCCCGACTAGCGCCTACAGTCCTCGCAGCAGCGGACAGAATCCGGGATGACTCTTGTAGTGCGGTTATGGCTCGTGGTCCGGAGAGGAACAAGAGCTTGGTGGGTGTGTCCTTTTTGGAGGTGGAGGGTGTGGGAGGGATGACGTGAAAGAGAGAGAGAAGGGCGAGGTTGGGTGATTGGGTGCCGCAGCAGGCATTCCTGTCGGTATCTTGGATGTTGATATGGCGTATCACACCCTAAGTCAAACTTGTCAGCCATGACTTTGAACAATCCTTGGTAACCTACTCCAGAATAGTCTTTGGGCAGTTCCCTGAACTCCCTGGTTGCAACAGCCCCTTCTCCCTGCAATTCACCACCAGCTTCCTGCCCTTGTATACTAAAGTCTACCCAGATCTTTTTTGCCTGCTTGATTGCTTCACCACAAAGCTGCTCCAGGTGCAAAGCCTCCTCGACGGTAAGAGCCCGAGCGAGCTCGATGTATGGCGGATCGAGAGACGGGTAAGGCTGCATGGACCACGAGAGGGTAGAGAGACCGTAGTGGGTATTGGCGAGGGCTGAGATGAGATGTTGGGAGGTGTGGATAGACATCTGTTTGCGGTCGTGAGCATACTCTACCGTCAAACTGACTTGTACTTACCTGGTCAAACCTCCTGTCCCAGTCAGTCTCGACCTCAACCTCTCGTCCTTCCCAGCCACCTTCGACCTCCACTCCAAGGGGAATACGAACAAGATGGACACTATCGAGCTTTTTGCGGAGACACATCTCAACGGGGAACTCTTGAGTCACACCTCCATTGGGGTTGAGGAGACGGATGACGCCGGTATCTGAAGGCTGACCACCACCTACTTACATCAGTAGAGCTCTACCTACAGCTCAATGAACGCACCTTCTGGAAAGATGACAGTATCGAGGAGCTCTACTTCCCACAGCTTGCCCTTCTCCTCGGGCCTTGCATCACCGTTGACAGGGGCAGCGCCCTTCTTCTGCTTGGCCTTGCCTTTAGGCGGGGGAGGCGCTGTGACGGAAGCTTCACGGGCGGCATAGACTTTGGTACGCATCTTGTGGAGAAGAGGGTCACCTGTAGAGCAGTAATAAGCTCGGGAGAAGCGTTCTGGGCTCTGATAGAGACATACGCTGGCAAGCCAGGAGGCCGACGATACGCTTCGCGGGGACATTGGCCGTGTCGAAATGGATTCTGGTGTAGTCTTTGTGGGTAGCCGTCTCTGGCAGGGGGTCCAGATTATAGGTCATTTTGGACGATTGCTAGAGTAAAGAGGAGACAAAAAGGAGAATGCAGATGGCCGTTATCTTTCGCATTTGGGCGAACCAATTGCGCGACAAACGCGTCAAATCATCGTCACCGTCCATAGCCGGGCGCTGAACCTCGGAACGCCATCAACCAGCATTAGCTCCGACTGTCAATATGTAGTGAACTTTCAGCAGGATAGCGTCAAGCCACACATTGTGAATGCTGATGGAGTATATCATGTCTGTCATTACAAAATTGCTAATGTGCTTTTAAATGGCTCGCTTCTTAGGCGCTCAAAAGGCCCTTCAACACCTCCACAACCTTGTCTCCAACCTCGCTCGTCTTGGTCTCACCACCGAGGTCCTTGGTCTGGATGTCGAAACCGCCAGACTCCCTGCTGTCGAGGACCTTTTGCACGGCTTGCTCGATGAGGGCAGCCTCCTTTCCACGGCCGAGAGAGTAGCGGAGGAGCATGGCGGCGGAGAGGATGGTGCCGATGGGGTTGGCAATGCCTTGGCCGGCAATGTCGGGGGCGGAACCGTGGATGCTAGCAAGATGTCAGTTGATGATGCAGGTTGACTAGGAGGGAGCTCACGGTTCGTAGAGACCCATGGTGGTAGACTTGGGGTCGGGGGCGCTAGCGAGGGAAGCAGAGGGGAGGAGACCAAGGGATCCGGGAATGACGGAAGACTCGTCGGAAAGGCTAGCTTTCGTCAGCCTTCGATACTTCCCACTATGACACACTCACATATCACCAAACATGTTCTCGGTCAAGAGGACACCGTTGAGCTTTCGGGGGTTGGCAATCATGATCATGGCAGCAGAGTCCACAAGCTGGTGCTCAAGCTTGAGTTGGGGGTACTCCTTGGCCATGAGCTCAGTGACAGTCTTTCGCCAGAGTCGGGAGGTAGCGAGGACGTTGGCCTTGTCGACAGAGGTGATGGGGAGAGGGGGCTCGGCAGCGAGAGCGACCTGGGCAGCGACACGGGTGATACGCTCGATTTCAGACTTGGAGTAGATACACTGGTCCCAAGCGACGCCCTCCTTGTTGGTCTCTTGTCGCTCACCAAAGTCTACAGCCTCGTCAGCTCAACATCTCACAGAGTAGAGAGATGACGCACAGATACCACCGATAAGCTCTCGGATAACGATAATGTCGGTACCCTTGGCAGTCTCCTCCTTGAGGGGAGATCGCTTGAGGAGGTTCTCAGAGGCAAAGTTGGCGGGACGAATGTTGGCGTAAAGGCCGAGCTCCTTTCGGAGCTTCAAGATACCCTGCTCGGGTCGGACGGGTCCAACACCCCACTTGGGTCCACCAACAGAGCCTGAAGGCGCCATCAGCAACGCTTTTACTAGAACTGAGAATTCACGTACCCATCAAGACAGCGTCAGCCTCCTTACAGGCCGCAAGAGTGTCATCCGGAAGGGGGACGCCCTGCGCATCGATACCGGCACCACCGAAGTCGTAGTTCTTGAGCTCGATCTTGAGGTCGGAGTTGGCGGTGATGGTCTCGAGAACTCGGACGGCTTCGGCCACGACCTCGGGACCTGCATGAGATATCAGTGACATGAAAATAAATATAGTGACGCAAGACGTACCGATACCGTCACCGGGGAGAACAGCGATTTTGAAACTGGGATTTTGTCAGTACAGTTATGTAGATATAGACGCTTTCACCTACGTCTTGTCAGCCATTGTAGACATGTGAGGATTTGATGATCTTGGAGTAGGAGCGTTCAGAAAAGTCAAGCTGGACTCGCGTTTCGGGCCCTTCGGCCGGGCGGAGTTCGCCGCGCACTTGGGAGAAAGGACATTCAAAGCAGGGCGGGATAATAATTTCAAGATTTTGCCTCCACCGGCGGTCTTCGCTTTCTCGAGAGCCATCTACAGCCAACAGTGCATCAAATTACTACCATGGCCATGTCTTGGAGCTCAATCGCAAAGCCGGCAGAGGGGGCGCCAAGCGTCATCTCCATCGCCACTCACAAATACACCCGACCAGTCGACAAGGAACCCGAACAGCCCTCTGTAGAGTTTGAACAAGACGAAGCAACCCCGGAGGCTTCTTCATCTGCCGCCGAACCCGCCCAGGATGCCGAAGAAGAAGGAAGAAAGACAATCAGACACTTGATTCTGGACGCTGGACCTTTGCTCTCTCTTGCGCCGTTGCGCGACTTGGCCACGAGCTTCCATACAACGCCGCAAGTGTTTGCGGAATTGAAGGACCTGAAGGCTAGGGAGCACTGGGAGAGGCTTGGGTTGACGGGCGTTGATGTCAAGATTGAACCCCCGACTGCTGAAGCTATGGCCAAAGGTGTGTATTCTTGCAACAGGCTGTATGGTCAATGTGCTGACAAATGCGTGCAGTGTCTGCTTTTGCTAGAAAGACTGGTGATTACGCCGTCCTCTCACAAACCGATCTCTCTGTTGCCGCCTTGACCTACCAATATGAAGTGCTGCTTCACGGCGACTCGAAGATCAGAACGGAGCCGAAGCAGAAGAAGACTGGCGGGGGTGGTGGAAACGGAAAGGGCAAGGAGAAGGAGGCGCCCAAGAAGGTTGAGGTTGCCGAGGCTAAGAAGGAGGAAGAGGAGAAGCCTGTAGAGGTGGAAAAGCTCGCCGAGGCTGTTGAACAAGTCACTCTTGAACCCACATCTTCCGAGGCCCCTTCGACCACCCCTGTCCCCGAATCCGCCCCTGCTCAAGCAGACGACGCCGAAGATGATGAAGACGCCGGCGACTGGATCAACCCCGCCAACCTCACTGTCCATCGCTCCAGAGACCTTGGCCTCATCACCCCCTCTGGCTCGACTGCCAAGCCCCCCGCTGTGGCTTGTATGACGGGAGATTATGCCGTTCAGAATATCTTGTTGGGTATGGGTTTGGGTCTGGTTGGCGAAGGCGGCAAGAAGATCTCAAAGGTGAAGAGTTTCGTGCTAAGATGTCATGCTTGTTTCAAGTAAGTCATTGCCATAAACTATATAGGCTGTGCTGACCGTCCTCGCAGGATCTGCAAAGACTCTAGCAAACGATTCTGCCCCTCTTGCGGTAACGCTTCCCTCATCCGCACGACCGTCTCCACCTCCGCCAAGACTGGCGAACAAATTATCCACCTCAAACAAAACTTCCAGTACCGTACCCGTGGCACCATCTACTCCATCCCCGACGCCAAGATGGGCCGGGCGAAGGGTCAGCAGAAGGGTGGAAGCGGTTTGATTCTGAGAGAGGACCAGAGGGAATGGCAGGATGCGGAGAAGGGTGAGAGGATTAGGAGGGATAAGGAAGAGAGGAAGGCGGCCAAGGGGGCTTTGGAAGGCTGGAATGACCCTGACGTGAGTGTCGTTCTTTTCGTTTGGAGGACATGACTGATGACAATCCAGTGGATGCCCGAGATCCTGTCTGTTGGCATGAACGGCAAGGGTCGGTCGAGTGGGAGAGATATGCCCAACATCGGTCACGGGCGTAAAAACCCCAACCAAGGGAAGAGAAGGAGATGATGGCGCGTTATAGACTCATCTTGGTTTTCGACTTCTAAGAGACTCTGCTAGAGTATACGTTCTTGAGCTCATAAAGGTTACCCTAGGCATAGCATCCGTGTATTTATCCTGCATGTATAATGAACTTTATACCCGTTACAGTTCTTATTTGCACGCCTTCACTGAAAAGTCACGACTGACCATTGTAGAGTGATTTTCTACGCTCACTACAGACGCCAACCAGGCCGATGAGCCTCGCATTTGACCTGGTGCAGAGTATATTATTCACATGAGCTATTGTTGTTTCATTGTAGCACTTGGGAGTCAATAGAAATTAGTACATACAAATGCAAACATACCCTTGCAACTCAATAGCATGTGAGAGCAAAGAACAAGACGAGAACCAAACATCCACCGGCTGTGTCGTAACCGCGGCCAGAGGTCACAAGATGCGAGTGAAGCGCTCGGATCTTTGCTTCGTACAATGCAAGTCGAGTATTCGCACCAGGTAGCCCTGCCATTTATTCTCCAGCTCAATAACCACAATGAAGCTCATCCCACGGTCCACCAGCATCATCGTCGTCCGCCCTTCCAGCCTCGTAAGATCCCGCACTCCCTTCTCGGCAGTCCGAAGCTGCCCTTCTCAGGTATCTGGCTGCAGAGCTTTCTCGTCTTACAATCCTGCAATCGCTGGGCTTACGGCGAATCAAGAAGAGGTGAGTCTCTCTGTGTACATTGGAAGAGGGCAACTCTGACTAGCGGCTGGGGTGCAGTTTCGCGATGCAGTGCATACTTTTGCTCAGAAAGAGATTGCCCCGAGGGCAGCGAAGATTGACAAGACCAACAAGCTTCCTTCTGTGAGACTTCACCCGGCTGCCAGGATGCTGTGGGCGATAAGCTGACGACGTGCTGATAGGACATCTTCCCGAAGCTAGGCGAGATGGGTCTGTTGGGAGTGACGGTGCCCGAAAAGTGGGGTGGATTGGGACTCGGGTATCTGGAGCATACTATTGCTATGGAAGGTATGCCTGTACCTAGCCGTACAGTGCAGACCTAACTTTAGTGGTAGAAATTAGCCGAGCATCACCAAGTATCGGGCTCAGCTACGGCGCACATTCCAACCTCATGGTTAACCAGCTCGTCCGCTGGGGCAGTACGTCTTTCTCTTTCGGCCTTTGTCGCTATCCCCAGCATGGTTGGCTCATTAAGATATAGATGAAGAGCAGCTCTCCAAATACCTCCCTCCCCTCCTCACCGGTGAACACGTCGGCTCTCTCGCAATGTCCGAACCCAACGCCGGTTCAGATGTCGTCTCTATGCGGAGCAACGCTGTCAAAGGTAAGGAAGGCGAAGGGTGGGTGTTGAATGGCAGCAAATGCTGGTGAGTGCTTCCTTCTCCTCGACTTCTTGATGGGATCGTGCTGAATGTCGATGCAGGATCACAAATGCCACCGTCGCGTCTACGTTTTTGATTTACGCCAAATCGGATACGAGTGTGGCGCCTTCAAAGGGAATGACAGCCTTCTTGGTAGAGAGAGGTTGGAAGGGATTCGATGTTGGAAAAGGGCTGGACAAGTTTGGCGTGAGCATTCTATTATTCGAAGCATGGCTGGTGCTCACTTGGAGGCGTAGATGAGAGGATCTCCAACAGCAGAACTATTCTTTGACAACGTCAATATCCCCACCAGTGCGTGCTTCCCGGTCCCCTATCACGCCATGTGGCTAACAACCCACAAGGCAATGTCTTGGGGAGGGAAGGAAAGGGTGCTGGTGTGTTGATGTCGGGCCTTGACCTGGAGCGATTGGTACTGAGTGGCGGTCCACTAGGGTGAGTTTCCTATCTCAACTGCCCTGGTATATGACAGCTGATGGAGAGTTAGGATCATGCAGTCAGCCTTGAACTTGGCGCTGGAGTACACTCACCAGAGAAGACAATTTGGAAAACAGATCGGCACTTTTCAGTTGATGCAGGGGAAAATTGCAGGCAAGTTTTGTCTTCTTCCCTGACTGCCCCCATGATACTGATGATTCGGTGCTCGTAGACATGTATACCAAAATGAGCGCCTGTCGAGCGTATGTCTATGCCGTCGCGAGAGCATGCGATGCTGGTAAGGTTTCACGACAGGTAGGTTGAGCTTGTCACGGCAGAGTGTTGAGTGACGAATCGATAATTTGCAGGATTGCGCCGGGGCCATCTTGTACAGTTCCGATAAAGCAGTGGAGGTCGCTATGGAAGCTCAACAGTGTTTGGTATGTCCCGATTGCATATACACCATGTCCGCTCTTACGGAGATCGTGTGCTAACGTGGTCATAGGGTGGAAATGGGTACATCAACGGTGAGGCCTCCACTTTTGCACCTTCCGAATTGCATCGCGCGCTCTTTCACCGGCTGACACAATTGCCCGCAGACTATGCAGCCGGCAGGCTTTTACGCGATTCAAGACTGTATACGGTCGGTGCGGGGACACAGGAGATTCGGAGGATGTTGATTGGGAGAGAGTTCAATGTGGTATTTGGCAACGGCGAATAGTAGTCGTGCTTTTACGCGATGCTTCCGAGTACAGGATCGTCCGCTGCATCCGCTGTCAGCATGTACGCCTGTTCCTTTGAAATGGGGGGCATCTGTTAGCTGTCGGCGTATGTGTGAATTTCGAACCCTCCTCAAACCGAAGATGCTCAGACCGGGAGGCCCACTTACAGCATCTTGTAGTCTCACCTTGTAATGATTCTGTAGACAGTTTATAATCCTCTCTTGCGTGATTAGGGAACCGCCTAATTCTAGAAGACCGAATTACGAAGCAGCGGAAGCATATATCGCCAAAGTTGCGCGCTGCTCCGAATGCCGCCTGCCGAGCGGTCCGCGAACGGCCGAGTAAGGTATGACAACTGTTGATGCTTGTGTTTTTTTTTCTGGCCATCGCACACCACCTGTCCACTTATATATCTCTCATTTCATCCCCAGGCCACCACCCCATTCATTAGATTATAGACCACATCCAAAATGAAGGTGAGCTGGCTCTCGACGTCGTCCAGATGGTCGCATACTGACTCGGTGGCCAGATCGTCTCTCAAGAAGATGTTCGGGGCTACACTGATTCCACCATTGAAGGTGGTCTCAAGGGTGCCGTCGTCGCCGTCGCCCTCTCTGTCCCCGGTCATTTCTTTTTCAAGAAGAATGTAGCCGCCTACCGCACTCTGCCTCTGCCGCTCAAATGCCTCGCCTACGTCATGGTCGGCGTGCCCTGCATCTCCATCTTTGCCGAAAAGGCGGGAGAGGCATACAACAGGGGGCAGTACACTGGCGTAGGACAGAAAGAGCTGGATTATGAGCTGGAGAGGGAGAGGGAGAAGTGGGAGAAGCTGAGCAGCTGGCAAAAGACCACCGACTGGGCTGCTCGACACAAGTACGGGATTATCGGTGCTGGGTGAGTCTTCTATGCCATGGCCGGGACTTGGCTGACAGCGTTCTCAGTTGGGCTGCTTCTATGGGTCTCGCTTTCGGCATTGTTGCTAGGAATCCTTACCAGTCAACATCACAAAAGGTGGTGCAGGCCCGTATGTGGGCTCAAGGTGAGTAGTCGTACTCTGATGACGAACGACTCTGACTCCGGCACAGGTCTAACTGTGGCTCTCCTTATCGGTTCTGCTGCCTTGACCGGTATGCCCACTGGTTCTAATGGTGACTCGGCTGTCCACACGCCTCACGTCGACCACTCTTGGCGCCGAATGCTCGGTGAGTCGCGTTGCGTCAGACGACTGTATAGACGACTGACGGCTTGGCAGAAATGGACGAGAGTTTGACCGCTGCCGAGCGAGCTCAATTAAAGGACGAGTCAGACCCCAACAAATTGAAGGACCTCCACGAGAGCATCGCGAAGAGGAAGCAGGCTGCTGCTGGCAAGGCCTAGGGCGGGCGAGAGTGGCACGCATAGTATAGATGAGAAGAACTGTCTGTATAAGTATATCGGGGACCTCCCATGCACGCACATAAGTCGGACTGCACGGACACGGGCGGACACGGAGGACAGCAACAGGGACACGTGACTCTGAGTGATCGACAGGGCGCAATTCTCCGTTCACGACCAGAACACCCAGGTCATCGAGGACACCCAACTTTCTTTCGCGCCGCACCCTGTATCTTGTGTCTTCTTGTGTCTCCCTGCCAGCCCTGCCGACAGCACGAATGGGGTCCCAGGCGGGCACTGCGCGTCAAGCCGGTGCGCCGGGTGCACTGTGTGTGAGGACGTCTGTGATGCACACTGCCGTAGCAAGGGTGGGGGCCAGCGTGGTCCGTACGAACTACGAAGAGATCACAATGCATATCCCCCGCCTTTCGTTTTCAAACTCACCAGACACTTTACACCCTGGCCATGAGTTCCGGCGCTATCATCCTCATCAACGGCTACCCCGGCGTGGGCAAGCTGAGCACCGCCCAACGTCTCACGTGAGCCCGTCCCGCGCAGTACCTAGGGAGAAGCTGACCGTATCTTCAGCAAGATACTGCCAAACTCCAAGGTGCTCGACACCCACCACTTGAAAGACGCTACCAGCTCTCTTTTTGACCAAAAGCGAGATGTAGAAGCGTGGAACGCACTGCACTCCGGTCTGGTGCGCCCTTTGTCCTCGTCGAGTAACCGAGCTGACTGGTCACAGCGCGACGCTATCTTCAGATCCATCAAAGTCTCAGGCAACTCTCGATCCCAGCCCATCTACATCCTCACCGAGTCTATTCCAGCTTGTCCAGCTGGTGCCAAAGACCTCCAGTCCCTTCTCGCTCATGCCCGTGACGCCAATTTCACCCTCATCCACATCATCCTCTCGTGCTCCACCTCTGAGAACATTCACCGTCTCCACTCTCCGGAGCGAAGATTCAAAAACAAGTTGACGGATGAGGGGGCATTGATGGAATTGAGGATGGAGGAGGAGATTGCGCGATTTGGGGGAGGGATTATGAGGAAGAAGGTGGGCGGGCTCGGTGGAGAGTACGAGATTGATACCGAGGCTGTTGACCCGAAGGGAGCTGCAGCGATCGTAGGAGAATACGCATTGGACGCGTTAAGGCGCCAGGGATGGTTCATCCAGCTCAACCGTGTCAAATAGATGTGGATGTGAAATGCAAGGGTATATGGACCTATGGTTACAGCCGAGATTGCTATAATCTCCTCCTAATCGTCACAGCGTTACAGGTCGTGTCTTGACAAAAGCCTTTAAACCTTGCCCTTCATTCTCCCCAGCACACCCGGTTGCCGGTTCTTCGTCCCTCCCATCTTTCCTTGCGCGAATGGCATAGGCAGCGCACTGCTCTTTGACTTTCCCTTGCCCGCATCTCTATTGCTCTGCTTGAACTTTCTCTTCTCCTTCTTGCTCATACCCGCCAGAGGATTGCTCGGACGTGATATGGGGGAAGCGTAAAAGGAAGCACTGTCGACGGGTTTGGGGGCGTGGATTTTGGATGTCTGGGTGTTGTTTCCCAATTTGGTCGGTAGGGCGGGGGGCATTTCCGTGTCTTCATCCCCTGAAGAAGAAGAGGATTGTCGAGGAGCGGGGATAGGTTTGGGATTGTTGACAATGTTGACCTTCATCCGTACTGGCTGGTCCGAATCCACTGTGCGCCTACGCTTCACAGGCGACGGCGACTTTCGCTCCTCCTCTTCCGACGACGACTCTGCGTCCTTACCATTGCCGTTGACGAGCCCGCCGACCCTCGCCTTTATGATAGGCTTCGGCGTAACATCCCACTCTCCATCGCCGACCCTCACATAACTCAGCAGATACGCAGTCTTGTCCCTCAACACCTCTTCAAGACGGACGGCAGACATGTCCTCGTCGTCGGCGTGGAACCACTGCCCACCAGGGCCTCGGACGTAGGAGGTGTAATGCCCGAAACGCAGCTCGGTACCGCGGTGGCAGGTCACACCGAACAGTCGGTACTTGCTTCCCGAAGCCTATGCAGCCATCAGCCTTTGTTCTTGCCACCTCTAGATTTAGACGCACGTTGGGGTCAACCATATAAGGTCCAATGTCCAACTTCTCATTGAACTCGATAAACTGGTTGAACTTTTCTGCCCTAGCCCGGCCGCTGTACGCATTATAGTTGACGCTGAAACGCTTTAGGTGGAGCGTCAAGATAGGCGGCGCCTGCTCAATCTTGAAGCTCTTTGTAGCGTTCGCCTTCTTCTTGCAGCTATCCGGAAATCAGTACACTTCTCCATCACATTCGACCATGACTTACTTGTCACAATGGTACTTGTTATCCCCTTCCAACTTGTCCTCCTTCGTGAACCCCTGCATCATCCCCTTGATACTCTTCTTTCCCTGCCTGTTCACGTCCAAGCTCAAATCAAGGAAAGAGTCGAACGTGTCGGAGGGTTTGTTGCATCTAGAGCAGACAACTCGGGAACGTACGCGACCGCCCCAGATCCGGTAGACGAAGGAGGTGTGTTTGACCTTTTCGGGCGTATCCCTATTATACATCAGTATGAGGTCTTTTGAGATTTGAGGGCACTCACTTGGGCAAGTTTGCGAGAGCAGTATTTTGCAGAGCGTCCGTGACAAATCGAAAGAATTCGTGCGTGTCTTCCTGCTTGTTCTTGCTGAAACCCTTCTTGATCTCTTCACTCCCAGTCAGCGAAGAACCAATGCAGTTCGGCTCGACTCACGCGACAGACTGCGATGGACCTCTGGGGAATAGGCTTTGCGACCGTTCCAGTGTGATCCTTCAGCCATAGTCTTCAGAGTGCACAACATGCAAAAGTTCTTCTTGCGCTTCTGAGTGCCTGATCCTGATTAGCAATTGAATCACTTGGCCAGCGAGGTTACTCACAATCTGTCGGATCATGTGCCATGGCAAGATTGAGCACAGGAGGCGTATGCAGCAGGATCTGCAAGGTTGCATTGGCATAACAAGCCATGGAGGGGTTGTACAATCCAGAAGCATGCTTGGCGCTTGCCATAGGCTCAGGCCAAGTGAGGTCGAAAGTAACGGGATATAGGCCGGGGGTGTTCTTGCCCTCGGGGGTGGCTTTGGCAGGCAATTTGGATTTCGACGAAGACGCGTCGCTATTCGTCTGTTTGTCGTTCTTGACCTTGGGGGAGGGAGGTACTGGTTTGTCGCCGTTGACAGCCTTCTTGACAGGCTTTTTGGGCGTATCTTCCTCCTCCGACGCCTCGCTCTCATCATCATCTTTACTCTCCTCCCTCACCACCATCTTCTTCTTTGCGACCTTTGGGCTCTCCTTTTCGCCCACCACTTCCCTCGTGACACCCTCCAACCCTACACCCTTCTTCACCATCGGGGGACCAAACTTGAGAGGATTCGAAAGCATCTCATGGACCAAGCCGGAGTCGTGCAAAGCCGACTGGAACAGGAAAGGCGAAGCTGCTGAAGCGGCCATGATGGGCAGCTGTTTTGAGTGTCGTTTGGAAGCTTGGAGAAGGCTTCGACAGCCTTTTTTGAGTGTGTTGGAGAGTGTTCCAGTGGGCGGCAGCCTGATGGGGACTTGGAGGGCCAAAACTGTGATGTTCGCTGGTAAAGACCAACAATTTGGAGGGGCAAAAAATACAGAGCTGATACGTCGCAGTTACGTAAATCACCCGTGGTGCCTCGTTGCCACCACTAAATGATGGGTGGTCAGCCCGTCGGCCCTCTTCGAGTGATTGTTTGGATCGGATGAGAGGCGTGGTAGAGACAGATAGGTCCATAGGTTCATAGAGGTGGCGCGATCTCAATTGTGATTCGGTTCGGGAGCGATTCGTATGCCGTCTTGTATGAGAAATCGTCCATGTCATACCTGGGGTTACGAGTCTTTTGACTCCGATCATCTTCAAGCAGTCTACAATTCTACAAATCCTCTATTACGCCACACCTACCAGAAAGCTGAACTGAGCGTAGCCCTCTACACAGCTCGGTGTGTCCGAGCGCCGCAGGTTTAGTGGTCGGCAGCGTGGCCCTGCTGTCCTCTTAGGCTGCATGTAATCTGCCAACGAGACCTCCGTAGGCGGTAGGTCCCGTGAATTTGCCATCGCCGCTAGTCATACTTCCTCTTCCACAGCTGGCCATGAGCTCCTCTGCACTTGCTGCCCGCATTGCGCAAGAAGGGTTGAAGGATGAAATGTGGGCTTTGTGGCCATGAGATCTACCAACTGTCAATTACAGCTTCCAGTTGCATCACTACTTTTCGACGAGGCCACAAATAGCACAACATGAACAGAATGCAAAGTGGCGCAACGCGAGATTGGCGCTTTCGGCGTTGAGCGACGAGCTGCCACATTTACGAACGATCAATCAACTAAGAGTACGCCGAGCGCCTCGGGGTTGGATCCCTTTGACTCGGGGTGAATCGCCATGAATGCAGGCCGACTGCACAGGTCTGGATCACATATCGTATTGCGACTAGGCTGGAACATAACCGTTGGGATCATCATGATGAAGGGGATGAAGGATCGCTTTGCCCCACCACGGCCTACGGACTACGGATCAGCTCACATTCACAAAGGCCGGATAATGGGACGATCCTGCAAGCAAGACAATGCGCTCAAGTCTGATCAGCAGTATCATGACGATCCAATGTCCATCCCAGCATGGCGATAGGACATAAGCATGTTCGAGATACGAGATTCGTAAGGCCTGAATCTGGATACCGGGGTGCCGACTGCTGCCGCTGTCCTCTGCTGCTGCACTCCGACTGCCCCCCGACTGTTATCTGCTACCTGCTATGCTCTCCTGTGCGCTGTGGCTATGGTGATCGCCTGCTAGAGGCTGGCAGTTGCGCACGGCGGCCCCCCCCACGACGGTAGATAAGGGTATCTGCAGCCAATGGGCGGGCGCGGGATGGAATGGCCGTGCACAAACAGAGCGTGGATCTGCGCCGGCCATACCCGCCGCAATGCACCCGTTCCCATACATATATAAGGGCGAGTCATCCATCCCCCCTTCTCATCCCCATCCGCCATGTCCAACCTCATCGCCACCAAGCGAGTAGACCTCCTCGCCCCCTACCTCGCCCTCGACCAGGGTGACCGTATCCAGGCCGAGTGTGAGTATCCCCAGCCCGGCCCACCTGGCACTGCTGATCACCGCTTTCTCACCCCCAACAGACATCTGGATTGACGGCGACGGCGGTTTGCGATGCAAGACCACCACCGTCGACAAGCCCCCCGCTTCCGTCCAGGACTTGAAGGAGTGGAACTTTGACGGCTCTTCCACCAACCAAGCCCCCGGTGAAGCCTCCGACGTCTTCCTCGTAAGTGCTGGCCACAAACGCCCGTGCTCATAATGCCCAGCGTCCCGTCGCCATGTTCAAGGACCCTTTCCGAGGTGGCAAGAACATCCTCGTCCTGTGCGAGTGCTACGACCACGACGGCTCTCCCAACAAGTCCAACTACCGTGCCCACTGCAAGAAGGTGATGGACGCCGCCAAGTCTACTGAGCCCTGGTTCGGTCTCGAGCAAGAGTACACTCTCTTTGACGCCGACGGACAAATCTTTGGCTGGCCCAAGAACGGTTTCCCAGGTCCCCAGGGTCCCTACTACTGTGGTGTCGGTGCCGGTAAGGTGTTTGCCCGTGACTTTATCGAGGCACACTACGTAAGTCGATTACCACCGTTGCGATCATGTTGACTGATACTTTTCAGCGCGCTTGTCTCTACGCCGGTGTCAACATCTCCGGTATCAACGCCGAAGTCATGCCTTCTCAATGGGAGTTCCAGATCGGTCCTTGCGAGGGTATTGAGATGGGCGACCACCTTTGGATGGCCCGTTTCCTTCTTCTCAGGATCGGTGAAGAGTGGGGTATCACTGTGCGTGATCCACCACTTGACCGCGACGCAAGCTGACGTCAGCCTAGCCTTCCCTCCATCCCAAACCCATCAAGGGCGATTGGAACGGTGCAGGATGCCACTCCAACTTTTCCACCGTCGCCATGCGTACCCCCGGCAAGGGTATGGCCGCTATCGAAGACGCCATCAAGAAGCTCGAAAAGAAGCACCTCGAGCACATTGCTGTCTATGGCGAGGATAACGACCAGAGGTTGACCGGCAAGCACGAGACGGCGTCCATGACTTCCTTCTCTGCTGGTGTCGCCAACCGAGGCGCCTCTATCCGTATCCCGAGGCATGTTGGCGTCCAGGGCTATGGTTATCTCGAAGATCGACGACCTGCGTCCAACATTGATCCTTATCGAGTCACCGTCAGTACCCGCTTTCCATGTTGATCTGTAGCTGATGCTCTCTAGTCCATCATCGTCGAGACCACCGTGCTCAACTAGCTCCTATGTTCCCTCACAGCTTCCTTTCGCTTTCTTCATTCTACCGGGTTTGAGCAATTTGATGGAGCAAAATCGATAACAGATGATGCGATGCATGACAACGTCCGTTCACCAGGTAGGGGCTTCCTGCGCTCATATCACAGCATTCCACAGCTCCAACGCCGAGATCATTGACTGTGGCTAGGCTGACACTGACGACTATCGCACTGACTCGACGATCTACCTGCAGTCAGTGGCTTCTTACCTTTGTGTCGCTTATCTTATCTCTTTGTCTGCGGCTGAGCCGGAGGTCTCACTATACGCGGCGCTTGTGAGTTGGCGTGTCTTGCACTGAAATCGGGAGATTCTCGCTGACGATAAGGTGGGAAGGCGACCTCAAGCAATCCTTTCACTCTGCAGCATGCATAGCAATCCCCAACGATGTCTTATCTCCCCAGCCTTGCCGTCAACGATCGGAGAACAGAGATAACCGTCAAGGCTTCTTGCCGATAACACCTTGACACCCCGCTGTACCCACCTTTTGCTACCAGAAGCCGGTACCCCCGTCGGAAGACACCCCCACTGGCCCACTGACATGCATCAACAGATTCGTCCACTTGCGTAAGGGGCTGACATAGGCATTATTACCGGCCATAAGCAGCAGTGCCACATTCAAGTAACCGGGACCAATGAAAAATGACGCTTTTGGCGTCACGCGAATTTCCGCTTCCGGCAATTCTCGCCCTTCCCTTTTTTCCTAAGCGGTACCTTAATCCGCCCCCGCGATCCTGTGAGCGTTGGGCCTTCCCGACTCATCTGGCTCAAGGTCTTTTTCGAATTCTCTTTCTTTTCTGCAAGATAACAATTCAGTCGTAAAAGACTACTTAGATGGCCACCGCTATCTCTCACTCTCTTTTCTTACCCAAGTAATCTACTTGTTCTTTCTCCGTACTCTTCGTGGTGAGTCGTGGCTTTTTAGATGACCCGTTGGAGCAATCGCTAATTATCCCTGTCTTGTCTCTGTCTCTGTCTCGTGACTGGCTCTTTCCTATCTTCCAATTCCCTCTTCTATCTCTTTCTCTTCCACACTCTCTTCCTCTCCATCCTCCTCCGCCTACGTACATTCTGTACACTCCTTTTTCCGCCTCTTCACCGCCTCCTCCTACTCGTCGTCTATTCCCCCACTTCCCCAATTTACCCCATACGTAAAACACCCTATATTCGTATATCGACCCACTTTCGACTCATCGACTCGTCGTTCATTTCCATCCTTCCCCTTCCAACAACAGTCTCTACACGTCTAGCTCCAACAGACCAGTAATCATGTCCAACCTTATTGCTACCAAGCGTGTCGACCTTCTCGCGCCTTACCTCGCCCTTGACCAGGGAGAGCGTATCCAGGCCGAGTGTGAGTCTTGTCCCTCTTGCTGTGATGTGCACTGCACGCTCCGGCCTTGACGAAATGACACTCGCTGACCATTGCTCCCCCTCTTCGTGCTCCCTCATCTCCATATATCCGGCAAATCCGCGCGCGCGTCGCTCCCCCCTTTTTCGACCATCAGACATCTGGATCGACGGCGATGGAGGTCTCCGATGTAAGACCGCCACTGTCGACAAGCCTCCTGCGTCCGTCGCGGACCTCAAGGAGTGGAACTTTGACGGTTCCTCTACCAACCAGGCCCCCGGAGAGCAGTCCGACGTCTTCCTTGTAAGTTTCGTGTCTCGTTCATTTTTTGCCGATCTGACCTCCGGTCGTCTTTCTTTCTGTAGCGTCCCGTCGCCATCTTCAAGGACCCCTTCCGAGGTGGCAAGAACATTCTCGTTCTTTGCGAGTGCTACGACCACGACGGCTCTCCCAACAAGTCCAACTACCGTGCCCACTGCAAGAAGGTGATGGACGCCGCCAAGTCTACTGAGCCCTGGTTCGGTCTCGAGCAAGAGTACACCCTCTTTGACGCCGATGGCCAGATCTTTGGCTGGCCCAAGAATGGTTTCCCCGGCCCCCAGGGTCCTTACTACTGTGGTGTCGGTGCCGGTAAGGTGTTTGCCCGTGACTTTATCGAGGCCCACTACGTAAGTATTTTTGCGATTGTGCCGCGGTAGTAACTGACAGGATCCCAGCGAGCTTGTCTTTACGCCGGTGTCAACATCTCTGGTATCAACGCCGAGGTCATGCCTTCCCAGTGGGAGTTCCAGGTCGGCCCCTGTACCGGTATCGAGATGGGTGACCACCTCTGGATGGCCCGATTCCTCCTTCTCAGGATTGGTGAGGAGTGGGGAATCACTCCTTCCCTCCACCCCAAGCCCATCAAGGGTGACTGGAACGGTGCTGGTTGTCATTCCAACTTCTCCACCAAGGACATGCGAACCCCCGGCAAGGGTATGGCCGCTATCGAGGATGCTATCAAGAAGCTTGAGAAGAAGCACCTTGAGCACATTGCCGTCTACGGTGATGACAACGACCAGAGGTTGACCGGCAAGCACGAGACTGCTTCCATGACCAACTTTTCTGCTGGTATCGCCAACCGAGGTGCTTCCATCCGAATTCCCAGGCATGTTGGTGCCCAGGGCTACGGTTACCTCGAAGATCGACGACCCGCTTCTAACGTCGACCCTTACCGAGTTACCGTGAGTCCACAGTCGTCTTTCATCTGGATGTTGCTGACACGTATCACAGGCTATCCTTGTCGAGACTACTCTCCTCAACTAAGCGTCTTCTCGTCCTTGTCTCTATTAATCTTCGCTTGTTTCCGTTTTTCCCGTGTTGTTAATTGCTAGAGAGGTGGCCTAGTCGGTGGAGTGTGGAGGGGTTTTCCCGTTGGTGATGGAGCCTTGTCTCCATAGATGAAGTTCACAAAGTTTGACATGCATACGGTCTGGATCAGGTGGAGATGGAGGTAGTGTCCAGTCGACACCCAAGCGATAGCACATTTGCATAGTTGTCATCTAAGTGATGCCATGGCAGTTTGCTCGGAAAGCGAGGCTCGTAAAACGACCGCGTTGTGTCACAGTTGCTTCTTGATGGCTACATCGCCCGCATTTCTTTCTTGATCAGATGGATCACCGGGGGGTCATATTATTGGTGTACCCATCTGCATCTACTGTCCCCCGCCTTGCATATGTACGTCCCAACCAGACGCCTCGTAACGAGCTGCCACACTATATAACGCCGCAAGTCCCGCAATATGACCTAGAGAGCCAAACGTCCATGACAGATGTTCTTTCATCTGCATCTCCACAAACAGTAAGTCGCATTCCCCTCTGCCCCCCTCATCACGGGCAAGTGATTATGAACAAGAATCGCTACTCGCGAGTTACGTCCTCCGGGACGGGAGACGATCATTCTAAGATAGTGAGTCTCTTCACTCCGCAAAGGGCCACGAGCTGACTGGATTTTTAGGATGATGCCCTCTCATCACCTTCCCTCGTACAGCCTGTACCGAGATACAAGAGCTGACACGGCGTGTGCTTAGGTTCTATTCCATTCACCTCGTCTCGCAGGTATATACACCTACAGTAAGTGCTCCTATCTCCAGGCCACATTGCAACCCGTCGACACGCCAATGATTATACAAAAAATCAAGACAAGCATATGTAGGACCTTCGGGGTTGACTACACACTTTTTCCAACTGCTGTATGACGGCTTCAATCGATATCCGGTTGCGATGTGTCCTGGGCTCATTTGACAAGGCCAGCGCTGACGCGTATCCTTTCTAGCTCCAATATGCCTCCTCAGCCTGCTCACCATGGCGGCTCCAAGTATGGTGCCTCTATGGGCCACCCAGGAGGTCCTCGCGGTGGCAAGCAGCCGACCAAGCTGGAGATAGAGTATGTCGAGTTGTCCATATGCATTATATCTAGTGTTGTTGACACTGTGTGTGTAGTTCACTTCCATCCATGGACAAGCCATCATATTACGACCCTCCGAGTTCCCCTGACGCTTCATCTTCTCGCTCTGCCTCTCCCCCTCCCCCGGATATCAGCACCAATTCTGGCAACAAGCTCGTGTCAGGGGCCCAGTTTGCGCGTCGGGGCAAGATGTACGCTTGGGGACCGTCGTTTGAGGCGACCAAGACGGACCAGCATGCGAGGAAGCGGCTCAAGTTGTGCCTTGAGCAGTTTATGCCGGGTGCTGCAGCCGAGTGCAATGCTGAGGTGCCGGCAAACATTGTCTCTGCCGAAGAGGGACGTGGGCACAGAAAGAGAAAGAGGAATGAGGAGAGAGAGTTTGTCTTGCCCCATTTGAGGAGCCCATCACCGCCTATATCCACTGCCAGGCTTACGAGTCTCCTGGCTCTGCCACAAAACTATACGGATGTCCTTCTCAACCCTGCCATGCGACACTCCCTCGGCGAGGACGGGATGGAGCAAGGGCTGCAGCGTACAGCCGGCGAGCTCTTGGAGGGCGAGAAGCCGCTGCTGCAGGCTCTCGGCAGGCTGAGAGATGTCATCCGGGTCTTGAACCGTGACGTGCCCGAGGCTGCGCCAAGTACCCAAAACGGCGTCACTGAAGAGGTCAACGGACACGACACCCTCAGCCAGTCGTACCCCCACCACATACCCCCACTTCCCAACATCTCCGAAACCGACAACCTCTGGCGCGTCACCCAAGAGCTGCTGAGCCAGTCGGGTTCTGCTCAAACGCTTCCCCCTCCTACTCTTGCGTACACCAGTACCCAGCCCGGCGCTGCTGCGCCCACGCCAAACCCCACATCAGAGCCAGAACCTGAAGTCACCCCTCTCCAGCGCTTGTTCACTTGTCCTACGGGTATCACTCTTCACGCTGTCCCCAGCCCTGGGCATCCAGGATACAACTATCCCCAGGGGCACACCTTGCACCCGCAGACGATCAAGTATAATATTGATATGCGGAATCAGTGCCGGGCGGTGGACGACGCTTGGGAGAGGATCTCAGAGCTGTTGGCGGACTGTAACGAGTACAGGGAGCGGCTGGAAGAGGCGAGAGACAGAGTCGCGGATGTTGCTAGGGTGAAGAAGAAGGTCTGGAGGACGGTGAAGGAGAGAGCGGCGGCGGAGATGGAGAATGGAAAGTGATGGAGTGTTTGTACTCGGAAATCAAGAAAACTTGTATACAGGAAAGAAACGAAATCGATTGTACGAAACAAAGGCATATAATTAATGCATACAAATGTTGTGTCTGATATAGAGATACAAGATTAGAAACCTGCCTGGACATTAGCTGATGGCCAGGACGACGAGATTGGGCAGACGACTGACCGTATTTGTGACCCGCTCCTTGCATACCCTTCTTGTTGGCTGCGATTCTCTGCTCGAGCTCTTCTCGTTGGGAGTACGCTGTGCTGAGCAGGGATGTAAGTTGATGCCTCTGCGAAGCAAGACCCTTGATCTGGCCCTTTGGTTGCGATACCGTCAGCTTGCACCTTTGTACCACTCGCCGACTTGCCTGATAGACAAATTCGTCCCCTGGAGCCTTGGGCTTTTTCATCAACTCTCTCCTCTCCGCCTCCTTTCTGGCCTCTTCCAGCCCCTGGTTCGCATCGATATCCAATATCTGGCCCTTGAATTGACCCTTCTCGAACGCATCCCAATGCTTGCCCACTCTTCCATCTTCCCCTTCTTCCGGCTCTTGCTGAGCGGACGAAGAGGGGAAGAAGGAAGCGTAGTAAGCTGGATCATGGGCACGCCACTCGCCAGAGGGAAGCTGGTAGTACCCAGGGTAGGCATCGGAGGACGTTGGTTCGGGAGGGACAAAATCGGGGGCGAGAGGGGCGGAAGAGATGGCTGGTGGTTTGATGGCGGATGCAGTGGCTGCTTTTGGTTTCAGGGCCGGCGCTGATGTTATCGTATGATATCAGCATTCGCCAGACTGGAGTAGGGGAGACATACATAATCCAAACAAATCGACCACCTCTTCCTTGTTCTGCTTCCTTGCCAGAGACGGCGGTAACAGGACGCTTTCTTCCTCATCGCTATCGTCCTCAGCTTTCGCGAGCTTGGGAGGTGCCGGCAGCTGAGACCTAGCCATAGCCTTGTTCACCACCAATCCAGAGGCGCCTTTTGACCCCGAACCAGATGCCGAGGGAGGCGCTGGCAGCTTGCGTTTCGGAGCAGGCAGCATGCCTAGCAGAGACGAGTTTCCCTTTCCACCTTTTGGCAGGCGGGCCTTCTTGGGAGCTCTTTCGTCGTCGCTGTCTGCATCGCCCTTCTTGCGCTTCTCTCCGTCGACCTCATCCTCGGCAGCGTCGGCGGACTTGGGAAGGTCGAGAGTGATCTTGACGGGCTTCTTCTTCTTGTGTGGTTGGGCGGCGGTGGTGGGTTTGGGGGCTGGGGGAGGGGCGGGGGGAGCGTCTGGCTCGGATTCTGAGCCTGAGTCTGAGCCGTAGTTTGCGAGGAGCATCGTGGACAGTATGGACAGTGAAATGGAAAAGCGAGAACGTCGAGATGACACTTGCCACAGGATCAGGACACCCCAGCCATCGTTCAACTGCCACGGCCTTGGAGGGTACTATGGGGGGCACTATGGAAAGGATCAAGTTATTGCAATCTACTGTACAGGAGTATAGTGCATAGGTAGAAACCATGTACAACGCAGCTACAAGTATAGCCATGTATCGCGATAATAAAACCCAAATATGTATCATCTGGCTGAAACCCGAAAGTATTCCCACAAACCGCCTCCTCCTATGCCACAATCCCCCTAACCATGGTAGGCTATTGCCCAGGCGCAGGTGTACCCTGCGCCGACACTTGTCCAGACATCTGCCCCTGCCCTTGATCTCCCCCGGGAGTCTGCAGGCCCGGTGTAGGCTGAGGCGTATGATGTTGCGACGCCAGCCCTGCCTGCTGCAGCACCCCCTGCCCTGGCTGAGGCGGCTGCATCTGCACTTGCTGCTGTTGTCCCTGCCCTTGCACACCGTTCTGGCCACCCACATTCTGCGACATGTTGTTGTGCGCTTGGAAAGCGTTGGGGTGGTAGGGCAGGTAGGCGGGGAATGCGTGGGCGTTGTGATTGTTGTGGTTGTTGTGGTTGTTGTTGTGGGGATGGGGAGGGGGGTGGGCGTAGGCAGTAGCGCGAAGGTGCTCGTTCTCTCGTCGGAGATGCTCTAGCTCTCGCTGATGGTCCACCTGGGTCGCTTTCAGTTGTCGCATGTGTTCCACAGCTATCGATATAGTCAGCACTTGGCATCGCGACGTATGGTATCGACTCGCCTTTACTCAGAATTTCCCACTTGCTAGCCTTCATCGTCCTATCCGCCGGCAGCTCATCACGAAGCTCGTCAAACAGCTCCTTCATCTCCTTCCTCCTCTTCCTCTCCGCCAGCTTGTGTGTAACCCTCAGCTCGGGAGAACGCGAGAATGTGCTGTCCTTTCCCTTTTCGCCATCCTGGCTGGTCCCGGCTTGGGGTGGGGCGAGCAGGTTCTGAGCCTGCTGGGATGTTTGTTGGGCCTGCTGCTGCTGCTGACCATCGTCCTTCAAGGATGCAGGGCCCGCGGAAACGTTCTGCTCCGCCATCTCGTCGGAAAAACGAATCTCGGGGGTTATCCCTGTACCCTCTACGTCTGCCGAGCCATCTTCGCCCGAGGTGGGGCTGCGCAGAGAGAGGATAGAGTCGAGCTGGGCCTGCTGATTGTGCTGGTGGGAGGGCGAGTCGCCGTTGGCATGCTGGGACGGGCTAGCGGGGTTGTTTGGGTCCTGGGCCCAGGTAGTAAACATGGGAAAGACGGTGTAGCGCTCGCGCTGCATAACGCGGATGGCCTGGTCGAGCGAGTCGCCCCCGAAGGGATTGTGCTCGTCGGGCTTCTTGTCCTTCTGGGGCTGGTCGGGGATGTCCATGTTGACATCTGCGAGCTGTGGGTCGTGCTCGGCGTGCTGGCGGGGGGTGGTGGGCTGGGCGGGGGAGGCTGGGGCGGACATGGACACTCTCTGGCGGCGTCAGTGGGAGATTTCTTGGTGTACACTCGGAGGGCCGGCCTCGTGTCCACAGCGTGGCAGCCACGTGAAATCACTCACTCTATCGATTGTTTGTGCCGGGAGCGGGTATGTCTGTTGGCGCGTGGGCGGGGTAAGCAGCGGGGAGGCAAGGGAGGCAGCAGGAGGGGGGCAAGGGAGAAGTGTTGGTTGGGGGAGATGAGACTCGAAGAAGAGACAACCTCTGCCAATAGAAACAATAGAAACTTTTACTCACAAGGCGCTTCTTCGATGTTATTGTCTTCTCCCATCCGCCCATGCAACATTCACCGCAAACTATTTGCATGCTCAAACACCCCGATGTACCAAATGAGTATACCCTTTTCATGGGCATGCTTGCCCGGATGGACCGTCACCGGTGACTTGTGGCCCTGCATGTGTGCTCAGTACACAGGCTACCAAGAGACGGGGCCCAGCTGACCGCTGTCCACTATCCGATCACTATATAACAAACAGCCAAGAACTTCTTTCTCATATCCCCTCGTCTCGACTCCAAGCAATCAATCGCTATGAAAACCCATTTTGATGTCGTTGTACTTGGATGTGGAGGTGAGTTCCTTGGCCAATAATGACCGAGCTGACTCTTACAGTCGTCGGCTTGGCCATTGCCAACGAGCTCGTCGAGAAAGGCTACAGAGTCGCCGTGGTCGGCGCTGAGCTTCCGGAGGACGTTCACAGTACGGGATTCGCCTCCCCATGGGCAGTAAGCTTGCGATATGGGTCCTAACGGCTCTGTCTGACCAGCCTTCCCACAGGGCGCAGTCTGGTATTCTTTCGCTACCACTGAGGCTGAACAACGTCGCGACGAGTTCACATTCGACCGATTCGCCAAGCTCGCTGCAAAGCACCCTCATTTGGTTGCTGAGAGGAGGTTGAACTGTTACTGGCAAGAAGCCGGGATCTGGAAAGAGCCTTGGTTCCGAAGCCTGGTCTCTGGCGTAAGTGTGTCTGCCAGTGTATGGCCAAAGCTTATCTGTCTCAGTATAGCAGATTGTCCCCTAATGCCATTCCCGAGCTTTTCAAGCAAGGCGTAACCTTCAAGACATACACCGTCAACCCACCACTCTATATCCACCATCTCGCGTCTGCCCTTCGCGCTCGCAACGTCCCCATCCTCCGCACCCGCCTCTCCTCACTCGATGAAGCCTACACCATCCCCGAATTCGGGCACGTCGCCCTCGTCATCAATGCTACCGGCTTGGGAGCAAGGTCCTTGATGGGCGCCCAAGACGCAGATGTGTACCCTGGCAGAGGCCAGACAGTCCTTGTACGAGCGCCGTGGGTCAAGGAGGCGCATGTTGATGCGGTCCCACTGGAGTCTACCGGTATCTCAGCCTATGTTCTGCCCAGGCCAGGGCCGGATGGCCATGTCGTTCTCGGGGGCACCTACACACCTGATGAGTGGTCGACAAGCCCCGACCCCGTCGTGGCAGAGAACATTCTCAAGGCATGCCACATCCTCTGCCCACAGCTGGACGGCAAAGACGGCAAAGGGAAATGGCGAGACATTGACGTGCTTTCGCACAATGTCGGTCTACGTCCCATGCGCAAGGACGGGCTCCGGCTGGAGCTTGAGACGCGCCACATTGGACAAGGAGTCAACGATGGGCTCCAGACCAAGAGGAGCAAGGTAGGAGCCGGTAGAGAGGTGGGGGTTGTCCATGCCTATGGTATTGGAGGGGGGGGATTCCAGGCCAGCCTCGGTATCGCCGCTGAGGCTAGCTCGCTGGTTCGCCAATGGTTTGAGAAGAATCGCAAAGCCAGACTTTGAACGCCCTTGTATCTCGATGCTGGTCGGGGAATGTCTTTGTCCGTGTCGTTGATATATGAATCATGTCTGGCTTTCCGAATTGTCACACTTTGAGTGGGGTACTATTTCGATTCTGCAACACGGTGCTATAGATCCATCTTTGCGTTTGCATCTATATCGAGCACGTTAATCTTCTTTTACTTTACTATTCTACAGCTCATCCTTGCTCTCCTGCTTCACCTCCCTCTCCACCACCGGCTGCTGCTCCGGCCAACACAAGGCAGGACTGCTAATCTTGAACCTGTACTCGCACTTTTCTGGCTCGGCCACAGAAAGCAAAGCGTTCGAAGTACCACAAGAGAGGACAACAGCGACGCTGCGGTTCGGACCGTTCCAACATTTCGCGCCATTCTTGTAGAGCTGTTGGGAGTAGTAGGGGAGGGTGCCTTCGGAGGCGGCGACGTTCCATTGGTCGAATTTACTATGTCGGGTTAGCTGTGTCTTTCTAGAGGCGCGAAAGACCTGCCCGAGGAGGTTGGAGGATCCGTCTTTGTTGCTCTTTTGGGTAGCCTTGCCAAAGAAGCAAAGCTCGTAAGTGTAGCTTTACTCTGGTCAGCAAATGTCTTTGGTGAATAGCAGTGCCACGTACTCCCCGATCACCTGCTCTACGCAAGTCCCATCGAGCTTCTTCCACTCGGCCTCGACACCATAGTGCAACTCCATATTTTTGAGAGTATCCTCGTTGGAACGAATGCCGTTCTGGAGCTTGACAAGCTCGGTCTCCAACAGCCTGTGCTTCTCGCGGGCAGCAGCGACCTCTATCATCAATGGTTAGTGGCGTAAAAGGGACCTGTGACTTACGAGGACCGTCGACACCATTGCCCTTGTTCTTGGGCTTACCGGCAAGGCCAAGACGAACCGACCACTCGATGACCAAGTCACGGATGGTTTGCCAAGAGTCATAGAAGTTGTCGGGAATGTATTCGTCAATCTTCCACACTATCTTCATGTCAGCATCAGTCTGGCACACTAGTAAGAGACTCACAAAGGCCATCCTCTTCATCCTCGTCACCTTCGGCAGCTGCACCGGTAGTGTCCGAGAGAAGGAGACCGTCGAGATCAATCTTATCAAGGTCTTCGAGCTCCTTCTCAGTGATCTCCTCCTGCGTCTCTTCTGGCTTCTCCTCCTTCTTGACCTCACCCTCTTCGCTCTCGCCTTCCCTGTACTTGATCCCAGTGAGCTCCTCGTAGCCGACCACAGCAGCCTTGACGGCCATGTCTTGGTAGTTGGGGTTGTAGCCTTTGGCCATCTCGCGCAGGAGAGAGTGTAGAGCTTCAATCTCAGTCTCGAGAGTCTTGGTCTTGGTGCGGAGCTTGGTGAGGGCGCTGCGGTGGGATAGAAGGGAGTGGTATACGGCTGAGGGATGTCAGATTCGGTCTAGACCGGGAAAGTTGTACTGACGAGACTGCTTCTTGCGTTCGAGATCTTCATGGCTCTGCGCAGAAGCCTTGTCCAAAGCGGCCCTGGCGATGGTCACCTCAACCTCCTTGGCCGAGATTGCCTTCCTCTTCTCGTCAAGCTCTTCTTGGAGTCGTTGCTTCTCGCCTTGGGCCCATTTGATGTAGGTGTTGCGAATCTTGGAGCCCTGTAATTGGGTGTCAACGGGTGCCGTCGTTGATTGTAGAGCTACTCACGGTCTTTCGGAGCTTGTCGACCTTGGACTTGGCCTCTCGGTACTCTTTGCCAACCTCTTCACACCTGTTGGGACAAGCACCCGTCGCCCACTCGTCCGAACCATCGCAGCAGTCTGGCTCTGCATCTCCATCAGCTATCGTCACCAACGTCTTTGAGGTATCACGTACCACACAAGCCATCATTCACTCGACTCTTGAGAACATTTCCAGGGATATGCCCCTCGTTTTTGCACCAGAAGAAGCCGACGCTGCAGGCGGCTGTTCCAGGCTCATCTGAACCATCAGGACAGTCGCAATAGTCGTCGTTGATAGCTGCAGACGGGATAGTTCTGGAGCCATCGAGACAGTGAAAGAGACCAGATGTGGTGGGTTCATACTTGTCATAGACTATCAACATTGAGAGTGTTAGCTGAGAACCTGTGGGAAAAAGTATACGCACGAGAGGGGTTCAAGCCCCGAATCTGAGACGGTACCAGCACCTTCTGCTCCTCTGCAGCGAGGGAGAAGGGGGCGAGGAGCAGCAAGGACAGCAGCGCCAGAGTGCCCCTGTCGTTCATGATGGATCCTGGTGTCTTGTAGGAAGTACGGGTTGATTTTGGAAAGTAAGGACGCGTATTGACCTTTGGACGTGTCAACCGTAATCGACGTCACACCGGCGGCCACCGCGTTCAGTCCGTCTCGCAGGTACTCAGGGAGCTTTACTGCAATTCTTGATACTACAGCTGCACACCTGTGTAATGGACTCTAATGCGCATGCATGGGGACGCCAGAAGGGTGTTTAGTGGCTGAAAGCGGCCTGAGTATTGCGTTATGCTAGCAAAACATCAAGGCGAGATGTGTGAGTGGTCTAAACAGCTGTCTTAAGGAGAAGCATCTCTGCAAGAAACGGCAGTCCTCCGGGGCGTGGGTTCGAATCCCACTCTCGTCATACTTTTTTGCATTCTTTTTGCTTTCACTTGTTTTTTGCGCTGTCTCGAGCTCCCAGGCTAGTGCATGAGGGGCTCAATGTCCCGCCCACGTTGTGCAAGTAAGGCTTTTTTGATATGCATTTTCAGCATGGGTACAGACAATCATCATGATCTACTAGAAGGCACTGCTCGTTCTCATCTGCTCCAACTTCTTCAACACGTCTCCCACATTCCTATCCAGGTCCGCCGCAATCGCTTGTTGTTTCGAGTACGGCAAGAGGCTAAAGCTCTCGCAGAGGTCTCCATCAATGACACTCTTGACAGGGGCGTAGTAGCCTCTGTATGCCAGATGATCCCGACCAACAAGGGATGTGTTTTGTGTTCTCATGTGCTGCAAGAGGTCAGCAAACGTGTTCCAGACAGGAAACTTCATATAGACCTACCATCTCGAGTGTGGTCATGAATTCTACGTCGTCCATTGAGATGAAGGGTATCAGGACGCCGACCGCCCCTGAAATGGTGGTATACACCAGAACCTCTCGACCTCCCGCTACAAGCGGAACCTTCGATATACTTGGACAAAACGTCAGCAAGTTCAACAACCAGGTGATATGTATGTCACTCACGATGTCACGACACTGCCGACATTGTAGATCGCTAAGAGATCTAGCTTCTGGGAAGCGCCCATCAAGAAGCCTTTCTCATGCAATATAGTAGCACCGGTGGGGTCATCATCCACCTTTTCTGATATTCTTTGATCCAGTCGATTGATAAAAATGTTGCCAAACTTGTCACCACAGGCGACAGTCTCATAATCGACATTGGTGACACAGGTCAAGAAGCGAGGTTGGGGATCATCGGCAAAGATTAGAAGTTGTCTTGTCGGGAGGGATCGGTAAACGCAATAGAAGGTGGATTCTTGCATGTCGCCCACGATGATTCGGGCGTTTTGAACGTTGATTGTGGCGACGGCGGTTGGGAAACCCTACGCTCTGTGCTTAGCTGGGTCCGCCGGGAGTAACGAATATACTCACGTTGTTCTCACATTTCCTGAGCAAAGCCTTTTTACCCATTTCGTAAAGTCTCAGGGACTTTCCGACACCGACCAACAAGAAGCCCTGGAATCCTGCCATAGCAAGAGGCACATCGTCGGTCTTGGTCTACGCTACTGTGAGCACAGGCAACAGATTCTCAGTGAGGTGAGAGCTTACTTTATGCAAAAAGTTTAAATATCTGCCCTCGTCTCGAATCTCGTAGACTCTCAGCCAGCCGTTTGCACATCCCTTAGGTTGCAAAGTGGTCTTGACGCCAGTGCCGACAACGAGGTATGGCAAGCCACCACCTCGCTCGAAGTACGCGATCGTGATAGAGAACGCTGCTTCGTCTTCGTCTAGCTGCAGGACTTGCAGACTCTCGTTCTGTGGGACATGTAAGCATCAATCTTGAAGAGACTGCGAACAGGCTACGCACTACAACAGGATCAAGGACTCGCACACATGACGCCCAGCGACCAGCAGATGCTCTTATACGACCAAATTCTTGAGGGGGGAGCTCGAGAAGTTCCAAGGCCGTCTGAGTTGGGTTTTCTTTATTTTGAGCCTGGATCATATATCAGCGAATTCCTTTTCCAAACCATGTAGAGCACACTCACTTTCTCCTGAAGGATACGCTCAATAGCTGGCGGGCCATAGACACGATGGTCTGCTTCGATCATGTAGAAGACCGGGTTATATGGGTGGCTGATGAATTTTCGAGGTGTGTAATCGAGGGAGATAGAGTCCTGCTTCAGTCGCTCACCGAGCTTGGGGATGGTAAAGATTCTGTCGCCTGTCAGCCAAGTCTTTATAAGTTTATCAGGTAAACTCACCTCAAAGTATTACCAGATATACCAATCAGACCATCAGGGCACATGGCAGCTGACAATGCCCACGCACACTCCAGCTTATCGTAGATAAGCGGCTGGGTTTGGAGCATATCCTGGTGGGTGTACAACAACCAAGTCCTGTTGGAGAAAGCCAAAACACTGGGTTGACCATGGACGGTCGTCCGCACGAGCCTGGGGGGAGCAGCACCGAGGAAGCGGAGTCGGGTATCGGAAAGAGACCCGTCGACGGGGTCAACGACTGTACGGAGTAAAACACCAGTAGCGAGACCAATGTTGAGGAACATGGTTGCGCGATTTTGGTCGATACTTGTATCGAAGATCTCCGCTAGGCAGATGGAAACAGGAGCGGCAGTCAGGGCCTGCGAAAGTCAGCTCGGAAGTGTCTGTCATATGTACAATCACTCACTTGTAAACTCAAAGTGTCGAGAGTACTGTCGGGCTCCAATGAGATGATGGAAACGGTTTGGTTGTCACAGCCAACAGCCAAGAACGGCGTCCTCCTTCTTCCTTCCGGTACGTCTGCAATACTGACACACGTGGCATTGCCCGGCAGCGCTTTCCTCTCTTGGTACTCGCTGAGGCTTCCTTCAGAATCCAGCTCAAAGTAGACCAACTCAGCTGTGCTCAGCGCGATGACCACCTGTCGTTTGTTGGTGGTAGCAGCAAGAATCTTGACACCAGGTGGAGCAGGCCACTCATCCACTCGATCAGCCCCACGGATGTGGCGGAGACCCAAGGGATGGACCTGCAAGATACCAGCGTCGCCTATTTGCTGCACAGCAAGGGTTGGAGCGGTCGAGAGGAACCCAGTGTCGCTCACTTCCTCGATTGTTTCGCCGATGGACAACACCAAAGTGCCGTTGGGGAAAGAAAGAACGATGTAGGAATCGTAATCGTCTGGTGAACGGGTCAGTAAGGTATCTATGTCTTCATATCAAAGACAGATACGTACCCTCATCTGTCACTTTTAGGGTCCACACATTCGTGGGCATTCCTGGCAAAGGCGAGCTGACCATGACGGATACATCCAGACCGTGCTTCAACGTCCTGAATGTGCTTCTAGCACCTCGCCCACAAGCAGCGTAGATTTGGGGTGTGTCCGAGTTGTCACCAAGTAGGTTTACGACATGAGCGTCTGTCACAGGATCCAGGGACGGAAGGCTCTCGACGAGCGCAAGATTCTTGAGTTCGTGAGGAGTAAAGAAGGCGAAAGGAAGGGGTGCGTCGCTGTAGCCGTTGTCGGCATAGTCGGTCGATGACCATTCCTGTTCTCCGTCATCTTCGGCAAGCTGCTCGAATCGGTACAAGTTCCTGAGATGATATCAGCGCAGGTGAAAATGGGGTCATAGGTTGAGGCTTACTGGTCACTAAATTCACTCGCAACATATAGATACCCTCTCTTCAAGATGACAAGGCTGTTGGCCACTGGGACGGTATCGAAATATTTGATCTTGAGAGATACAACATCCTCACCATTGTGCTCTATCCACACCTTATACAAGTCTCCATCCTCTGATTGCAGCAAGAAGAAGAAGGCGCCCTGTACGTCAACGTCAGCGTTGACCGTTGGTCGTTGGTGATCTATCCTCACCTTAACTTTGTGCATGACAGTCGCCACGATGATCAGGCCCCTGCTCCTTTCGCCTCTTTGGACGAGCGGGTTTCGACGTCTTGGGATGGGGACCCGATGAGCATCGGCATCCATGTGTTTCCAGATAATGTGGTCCTCAGTACACACGAGTACACCAGAGGGGCCATCGAATCTGTCAGAGCTAGCATTCTGCCCTCCAGGTACTAGCAATGACATTAGCTATCGGAGCGCAAAATCAGTCAACAGGGGCTCACCTTGAACTAGAAGGTTCGCTCTCCGATCCGTAGGCTCACTCCACTTCCTGACTACGTGATTCAAACCAAGATCGAGTTCGTAGAACGTCAAGTACTAGGAGATGGTCAGCTCATTCATCGATACACTCATTATTGCTCACCTTTTGCGTGTTGTCAAAAGCTTCGCCGGTTGGGTCTTGGTCGGACTCCCCGTAGTCGGTCTCCAAAGCAGCGTACAGGGGGTTGTCATATCCCTGCATCAGACGGGTCAGTTAACGCCCGTTATGCCTGCTATTATGCCACGAACCTGGTCCACGCCAACGATGTGAGTGACAATGGTATGGTTCTTGTGCGCTTCCAGGGGTGAAGAAGGGAAAAGCTTGCCCTCCGCGTTTCTGTTCAGGACATAGACCAATTTTGACCTATGAGATACGTCAGTATTTGGCGTGTGGATGATATAATAAGACTTCACTTTTCAAGACTGTAACAGAGTTAGCTAGTTGTCCTCATTGTACAGGACGCTGGGTGGACTCACGCGCCAACGAGACAACTTCGACCTTTCGGGTCAACAGCCAAGAACTGCCCTGGTACAACTCGCCTGAGGCCTGTCAGCACCCGTCAAATACAAGCTGCTGATTCCGGAACTCACCTGCTTCCAGACTTTCCGAAGACTTCCTGGAACAAGCTCTCAAAGTGCGGAGTCGGAGTGACGACAAATTCAATGATTGACAATCTACCAGAATCGGAAGTGGTCACAATGTAGTCTGTGGTCTATCAGCACACCTCTTTCATCCAGCATGGCAGCGTGACTGACCTTTTGTCATTCCTGCAAGCCTAAATCCAGCCACATTGCGGATAGCACCAAAAGCCTGTGGGATATATCATGTTAACAATGTGTCTGTCTTTATTTGCAGCCACGGCTTCAGCCTCACCTCTGTTGAACAGACAGTATCCACTGCAGACGCGTCAGTATGGACTGTTGGGTGATACAGTCTCATGGACTCACATTGCTCAGTAGCAGCATTGAACTTTGCAATCTCCAGCTTCGTGCCTCCTCTGACAATGAGAATCTCCTGGCTCTTGACGCCGGAAAAGTTGCCGACGACCGCCTGGGTGACATTTGTCGGGGAGGCGAGGGTGAGGTTGAGGAGGTGCATTGCCTGGAGGCTGGCGCGGAGACTGACGGGATGTCGTCGAGGATGGGCGGAGAGTCGAGAGAGAGAGCAAAGAATGAGGCCGAAGAGCAACAGTGGAGGGCGAATTTATATGACCTCCTACTTACGCCATGAGCGAACGTAATACGTCAAGGAGAGCATGGCTTCTGGCTATGCATCACTATCGATTGTCTGTGAGTGCTTTGGCCCGTCAGTATCCATCGCACCGTGAGCCCATCTATGCGGTTGGTGTGTCACAACATCTCGTCGCTGAGGTCGCAGATCGTGGCGGTGGCAAACTCTGCTCTGGCACAACTTTCGCATGGATCGCGGGGCTCTGATTCATTTCCCTCCAGTTAATGCGACTGTGTGTTATGATGAAGTATCTACGTGTCTATGCTATGCTGATTAACAGAAGGGACTCGTGCACTAAATGAACTACAGTATTGACTCGTATGCGAGCAAGACGGAAATGATCTGGAACGCCGCCGATACGTATACTACTACAACAACTATGGATGGTATTGACAAGACGTTCGAAGGCGATGGAGTGGACCATATCGTGCCATTATTCCACAAATGGATGATAGAGATTGAAAGAGCGGCAGACCGAATGAAGGGACGCTGAGTTTCTAAAATCTGCAGAGCTCGTTGAGAGAGATAAGAACCTTTGGGTGACAAGCGAAGGCAAAGGTCAGTATCCGTTATTTTGAGAAGGGAAAAAGTGAGATCCTGACTCACGATTTGTGCTTCAGGTCGTCCCATATCACAAGGCCCTCCACGAAGCTCTCTCCACTTGACAGAGTACCACTGGATAACCTGTCGCTCTCGGGGCGATCTGAACAATTCTCATTAGCAAGCGCATATGCATCTCGGAAATTTGGCTCACAGTGGACGACCTTGGAAAGACCTTTGCTTCATTAAGCCCATGAAATGTCGAACTTCGCTGAGCCAGGTCCTTAGACCCATAGGCCCTTGAACAACCGCGAGCGGTTCCACAAGCCTGGAGCACGCGTCAGCAACTGATCATACTCGAGCTTCTGCCAACTTACTTGTTCAAGCATTCCAGGTAAATTTCGGCATTGATAGCCTGTAGCTTCAGCATACCAAGCTCCATGGTCAAAGAGTTGAGACTCGTTTGAGCCATTTTGACTTGGTAACTGCTGAAGTGACCCATAGGACGAGCAGAGTTGAACATTTGTGGTGTGGAAAGAAAGTTCGGATTTGGTGGCTGTTGTAGACAATATATAGATGCGAAAGCGCTGGCCTTGACAAAAGGTGTAACTTTTGTTCACAGTCGGCACTGAAGAATGTTGCAATGTCTCGCTCTTTGCGCTCCGCTTGAATGTTGGTATGTATAATGACAAAGGATGTGAACCTTGTTTTGAGGCGTGCCGGCTGCCACGTACCCTTCGCTGGCGCTGTTCCAACAGTTTATTGTCTCGGAATGACTCGTGCCGAGAGGGGAGGTGCTTATAGCACGCTGCTAAAGTGGTGTAGGTGTGAAGAGTTGTGGTGGTAGGTTGAATGGAGGGGGAGGCTGGAAGGCTAGAGCCGAGAGATATTTTGATAGGTAATGAAGATGTTTCTAGAACGTCTCTTTATACCTTGAGGATCATCCACAATCCCGGCTCAGCAATCACAATGGAACTTGTGGTCCGCCAGTTGCATGAAAGGTATGTTGACGAATGTTTGGACACCTGCTGCCAAGTCGATCCATATTCGTCCCATCCGTTCGGCCTGTTAAGCCCCTAAGGTGTCACTTGCCTATGCACACCACCCAGCCCCTAGCACTACGGGGCCGCCTTTCAGTAATAGACAAAGGTCGTGGCCGTGTTCCATCATCTACTCCTTTGTACACTTTCTTCCGTGAGGAATGACTCTATGCTATGCTCATATAATGCCAAACGGTATGAAACAAGTGCATACTCTCCGGAAAGGACCTTGTCTCGTATGAATGCGAGTTTGGCAAGTTGACTGACCAACCGATTTGGATGCCTGAAAGGAATAAAGCAACACTAGGTCCAGTGTTTTCCGATGGAATTGATGCGATCATGTGTTGTGACATTCGTCATCTTTCGGTTTCCGACGTTGCATTGAATGAATGGCAGCCTTTCCGTCTCTGAAACGCGAGTGCTAGTGACCCAAACAATGGGGGTTCAGTGCGGTACACACAGTGGGTGCGCTTGTGGACAAACGAAAACACTCAAGGCGATGATCATGCGTCTGTCAGTACCTGGACGATCATCCAAAGGCAACAATTAGCGTTGTTGACGTATTGAGGTAGGTTGAGGCATGTCGCGTTGCAGCTGTGCTATAATAGAAAAGGTCACATTACATGTCAGCGAACCCCGTCGGTATATCTCTTGTGCCTTTGCGACTGCCGGCTGCTGTTAGCGGGGTACAATAGTAATGCTCGCAAAGGTCAAGATCTCGCTCCCGAGGGCGCTTCTTGGTGTCTCCTCCCTTTTGGTAGTCCCTCCAGCTCATTCACGGATTGTCATGCGATCAATGATGGTCGATCATGAGCAAAAGGGGGCGACAGTCACTCACGACCATTGATGGGTCGAGGCTCTGGGCCTGGGTGCTTTGAGGTGTTGGCGGGTCCAGAATGAGATATTGCACGGGATAATTCGATGGGATGAGATGCCTTGAGCGCAGTCCTTCTTGTCTGACCCCACACCATGATGATATATGTCTGCATGCTCCCTCTGGCCCGATTACCCCGTTTTCGTAATGCCAATACTTGATACAAAATGCGTTGAAGTCTGAAAAACCCATCCGAAAGCGATTATGTGAGATCTGAGCCGTGAGTCAGCTATTGCGCTTAGACGAGGGTGAAAGAGACGTACTGTACTTGGGACCTCCGCCGCCTTCCGGTACAGTCCAAGTGATATCCTGAGTAGGTGTCTTGATGGAACAGGTCTTGCACTGCAAGATCATCAGTCAGCGCTCGATGCGACCAAGAACGACATTGCTACTCACATGAATGCAGTTCTGCGAGTTGATCACAAACTTCTTGCCATCCGCATCCACCTCGCTCCCTTCGGCGTCTGCATACTCATAGACAGCCGCAGGACAGACTCGACCCAAAAGACCAGCGTACTCTCCAGCGTTGATCTTGGTGTGCTCGGCCTTTGCGCCATCCACCTTTGGAAGCCTCAAGTGCACCGGCTGGTTCTCGGCGTGGTTGGTGCCGGTCATAGAAACGGAGGTGAGGATGTCGAATGAGAGCTTGCCGTCTGGTGTGGGGTATTCAATAGGCTGTACTTCGCTACAAGGGCATCAGTACTAGGTCGCTCGGAATCGTGGTGATACGCACCTAGCCTTCTTCGTGGCATCATAGTCCTCCACCTTGTTGTGGAACGTCCATGGCACTCGCCCCTTCAATATGAGACTGTCTAATCCAGACCACATCATACCACCCCAAAGACCCAATGGGTTGTGGAAAGAGGGGCGGACATTCCTGATCTCCTTCAGCTCCTGCCAGATCCAAGAGTTCTCGACAGCCGTGGCATAGCCAGACATGTCAATAGGGTGGGAGTCGAGGAGGGGGGAGATGACGGTCTCTTCTGAATCTTCTGATTCTTCCGATTCTTCGATAGCTTCGGGCGCAATCTCGGCGGCGGTATTGATAGCAGCAAAGGCGCTTTCGGCGGCGAGCATACCAGATTTCATGGCATTGTGGGTGCCCTTGATCTGAGAGACGTCAATATCAACCCTTGCAATTCATGAACACAGCGTACCTTGGGAACGTTGAGGAAACCAGCAGAACATCCAATGAGAGCACCGCCAGGGAAGTTCAGCTTGGGTATAGACTGGAGACCGCCCTCGTTAAGAGCACGGGCGCCATAGGCGAGGCATTCACCGTCCTTGAGGACGTTGGCGAAGAACGGGTGGTGCTTCATCCGCTACCAATTTTGATGAGCAGAAACACCGGGTATATACCGAGTTACGCACCTGGAACTCCTTGTAAGGAGAGAGATAAGGATTTTGGTAATCCAGCCCAATGACCAGCCCTATACTGACCATATTGTCCTCCATGTGGTACATCCAACTTCCACCATACGTCTTGTAGTCCAAAGGCCATCCAAGAGTATGTACGACCTCTCCGGGCCGATAGACCTCATCCGGAACTCTCCACACCTCCTTGATACCAAGGCCATACGTTTGCGGGTCCTTGCCCTCCCGAAGATTGAACTTGTTCTGGATCTCCTTCGATAATGACCCATGGGCTCCCTCGGCAATCAGAGTCACCTTGGAGTAAAACTCCATACCGGGCTCATAGCTCTCCTTGGGGTTCCCCTCCTTGTCCAGCCCGACGTCTCCCGTCACTACGCCCTTGACTCCCTTTCCGTCCTCCGTGTAGAGGACCTTGGCACCTGCAAACCCAGCGTATACCTCTACACCCAAGGCCTCGGCCTGCTCGCCAAGCCAAGCTGTCAGTCTCGAGAGAGAGACGATATAGTTGCCCTTGTTGCTCATTTGCGGGGGATGGGGAAGGGGGAAAGAAGCGTTGGAAGTGAGGAAACGCATAGAGCCGCCGAGGGAGGGTTGGTTCAGAGGGGCGCCCAGCTCTTTCCAATCGGGAATCAGCTCGTCAAGAGCCTTGGTCTCGATGACAGCTCCTGACAGAATGTGTGCGCCTATGCAGCCTGGTGTCAGCACCCGCACACCTTGGATTGCCCGGCAAAAAGTGTGCACTAACCGACTTCACCACCCTTCTCCAGAACGACTACACGCAGCTCGTCGCCACCCCTCTCCTGCTCCAGCTGTTTGAGCCGGATGGCAGCACACAGCCCCGCGGGTCCTCCGCCGACGATACAGACGTCTACCTCATCTTGGGCGCGTTCTACGGTGTCGGGGTCGAAGGCGGCTTCTGAAGCAAACGTCCGGAGCACGCGGGGTCGGAAGAGGGCTCTGGCGGGGGGTGTGCGTGCTGGTATGAGTGCTCTTGATGCCAGTAAGCGGGGTATGGGTGTTGCGAGGGGCATAGCGGGCTGGCGGGGGCGATGGAGAATGGGAGCGATATTTCAGAGGCTGAGTGAAAAGGCGCCGGTGATTGGTTCCCGGAATTTGTTAGACTCGGTTCGTTCTTCGTTGCGCTGGCTGGTATCGCGGTCTGGCGGCTGGCCGCTCTATCTCCCGGGACAGCCCGCTGATGCACTCGTTGTTTGGTCATGCCCAGGTGGATCCAGCGGCTATACCACGCCCCGTAACCGACCCGCCCATGTGACGCCCCTTGACGCTGCTTCACAGAATCAGAGGTCGGCGTGAGATTCGCGCTCTTCGGGGCTCTGTGCTGCATCAAGAGAGGCAGCTGAAGAACAAGGCAGGGGAGTCAGACGCTGAACAAGGGGCAAAGCATGTAGCGAGCGTGGTGCATACGACATGGCATTCTAGTATCCGCGCTGCTGCAGAACGTTGAGTGACTGGGAAGAAGACACGATCGGATGGCACACTGCAAGCAAGCAGATCGCTCCATATACATGTAGAGATAGCAAATGCAGACTGCAGGAGCTATACAAGTATACTTATGCAGATGAGGTTCTTAAGTAAATCAAGGAGGCAAAAAGCAAAAAGTATGACGAGAGTGGGATTCGAACCCACGCCCCGGAGGACTGCCGTTTCTTGCAGAGATGCTTCTCCTTAAGACAGCTGTTTAGACCACTCACACATCTCGCCTTGTTGATTTGTCGCAACATGTTGTCAAATATGTCCCGGTGCAACACACCATCACATTGCACGAGGGTTAGCGAGCTGCAATGCACATAAAACATCGTATCTAGAGAGGGTGTCTATACGAGATCAAACAAGCAAGGCCACTCAACACATAGAAAAAGAACATGGTACATATGCGGGATCACCGAAGGTATTATGCTATACTACACGAGCGCCTTTGAATGACCGACGAGGCAAAGAGTGTAAATGGTATGTCCAGTCAGACACCTCATAGTCTCTTAAACACCTTGTGGCTAGCTTTGAATCGAGCTTCACACCGATCAGCACGCAGCCTCTCAATCGGTCCCGGACGGATGACTCACCCCAACAGCAGATCAGTCCACCAGCGAGCTGCAAGCACCCGCTGGTGATGATCATGTATTTGAACGTGGTTCGGCCACTCGAGTCGTAGAGAGCGCCACCGATAGGGCCACTGATTAGATTCCCGGGACCGTTAAACAGAAGCAGAATACTATACCGATCCTATCAGTGCTTTGCCTCCGGCAGATGGTCGCACTCACCCAACATTGGTTGCCAGATTATCCGCTCCAAACAGTTGTACGATGATCTGTGGGATGATACCCATATATCCGGGGGCCACCAGGCCAAACGCTACCGCGAATACCAAAATCGACGCGAAGGACGAAGCCGTAAGCCAAAGGCAGAGCTGAACGGCGCCCGAGAGGAGAAAGCAGAGGATGAAGGTGTTCATGGGGCCGAGGTAATCCGCGACGAGACCGATCATGGCTCTACCTATGCAGACAGTGAAGCCCATGAGAGTGACAGGGCTGGTTAAGACGTGGTAAGTAACGCTGGACGTCGTGGGAGAAGGCGATGACCTACAGGGCGAGGAGAATCGGTCTGAGTTCAGGGAAGTGGAGCCGCGTCCACTGAGAGGTAAAGTTGTAAGGCATACTGGGTAGACAATGAGTGAGCGATACAGCAGTAGGGGCAAAAAACAACAACACATACGCATATCCCGTACAAGCGACTACCAATCCAATGACCAGGCTCCAGAACGAAGAAGTTTTGACGACCCTCCAGTCCACCCACGGTCCTTTCCCGGTAGCCCGACCCTCAAGTGAGGTGGGTCGGGTCCTGACCAGCATAGTGGACACGGTCATGAAGAAAAGGTTGATACATGCCATTATCCTGCATCATTCCAGTCAGCTTCAAGGACTGAACATCCGAATCTGACATACCACAGCGTCTTCTTGTGTCCCACAGTCGTCAAGAGTTGTCTGCATACCAGAGTTGCTGTACCGCCGCCAAGACCAGCACCTCCAATCGCAATACCACTGGAAAGACCGCGTCGGCGGTAAAACCACTGAGATGGCAGAGACATAAAGAGGGGCAGAGCTAAGCCTTGTCCTATCCCTGTCAGTAGACCTTGGGTTAAGATTGTTTGCCAAAGCTTGGTAGACCAGCCAGCCAGGAACAGGCCCAGCCATGAGACTATAGCTGAGCAGTAGAGCACTCGCTACTCGTTGTCAGACAAATAGGCATGAGCATGGACGGCAAACTTACCTTGAAACCAAAGCGATCTCCATATCTTCCAGAAAAGAAAGAAGTGGCATTCATCATCTAAGCTTGAGCGTTAGCTGTTGAAGACCTGAACGCATACCGGATGACTTACGAATGCACACAGGGTACCAGCTAGAGATAAAACAGAGGTGTCGGCGTCTAGGTAGACATTGCTGAGGTAGTACTATAACAAAACCACCAGTGAGAATCGGGTCAGATGAATGAAAGAAACGGAGCGTACCTCTTGAAAGACACCGTAGCACATACCCCAGCCCAAGGTGCATCCTATAAGATGTGAGACACTGACCTGCAGAGATATTCTGTAGACGCACCTGAGAGGCAGCAACAAGCGCCAAGCACGACCCAGCCATATCCTCCGTCGGGATATTCATGTTCCTCCGCCTCTTCCTCGGAAGTCTGGGGCTCAGTGTCGTTTTCGGAAGGGAACCTATAGTCGTCGTCTTTTTCGCGTGGAGCTGGCGTGGCCACGGGTGTCTTGAAGCTGAACGCCGTGGACAAGCGTCGAGCAACTTTTTCACCTTCGATGGGCGAGGACTCGTCTTCACTATGTCGCTGAGAATGCGGGGGCAGGACTACGACAGGTCGTCGTCTGGAAACCGTTGACCATCGTTGAAGGATGCCGCCTTTGCCAGTCTCGCCAGCCTCCTCACGAGCTTCCCGTTCCCTCTCTTCTTCAGCGTATCGCTCGCTTCGTTGAGTCTCGATTCGTTTGAGGGGGCCACCGCCACCCAGCGAGGCGGGGTCAAAGACCGATACGACACCGATAGGAGGGACAGGTGGTGGCTGAGGAGCCCGATGAGGGAGATGATGATTGGTTGAGGGATGTGAAGTGGGCAGCTGAGAGGGACCAGGTTTCGGGGAAACATCGGGGCTGGCCTTTTCGTTGTGCTCTCCGGGATGACAGAGTGTAGCATTACTTGATGACAAGGCTACTCCATGACGAGATGTCGAGTCATCCTTATGGCCGGTACCCACACCAGATGTCTCTGTGCGATCTTGTGGAATTTTGGGAGGTTGAGAATAAGACATTATAGAACGTTTTCTCGAGATATGAGGGCGGTAAAGGGAAGGTGGGGATGGGTTATTATAAATTGCTGACTCATGAGGGGCCGGCCTATACGGTCGACGCGGAAAAGGGAAAGTGGGGAAGAGTGACTGATCGAATCGGCCTTGCTGCTCCGCAAGGTGAGGTCCTTGATGGGGATACAGAGATGAGCGTGGTGGAATCTACTTATGTAGTTCTTGCAGTTTAACAGGAGTCATGGATGTGAAAGGGCCGGAGAACAGAGTCAGCTGCGATCAACTGACTATTCAAATCTGATTGTCTTGTGCACCAATCAAAAGACTATCTTCTGCTCGGAGCGAGGTCCCGAAAATCTGGATATTTGGGAGCAGCACGAAAGCAGTAACTGCGATGTTGTGATGTCCGATCTCTTCTTCAAGTTGTGCGCTGCTTAGGTCCTCGGGAGATGCCAGTCAGGATTTGCCTGTCGTGTGTGCTTGACCATCGTTGCGGACAGAGAATGCATCGACATTCGTAACGAGAGAGCAGCGAGCAGGCGTCGGAGATGCGCGACTGGATGTCGCGTGCCACTCAGAAATTGGCCGACTTTCGGACCGGGCCTGTCTTCAAATCAAATGTCCATCACGCACTTCTTCTTACTTTACTCGTACTGTCGGGCGCAGGTGGGGCCACTATGTATCGCCTTGTTAGGAACTCTGCGCTCATGGAACCCTCATGACATGACTTTGATCCTATGCTTCCTCCATTTGTCCAGCAGCACTTCATTGGGTAATTTTAACCACCACGGCTGTCTGGCTGACCGAATGTCATACACGATCGGACGAGAGAAGTCGAGTATGTACTTCATGATGAGATCTTCCAATGCATTATCACTCGCTATCACCACCTGCTTTGCTCGGACGATCAGAAGAGGCTCATCTTGCCAATGGGAAGTCTATATCCCGGCAAATCCCAATATCTTCTTCTCACGTCCTTCCACACCTCCTCCCTCATGCTTTCCGGAATAGCGACATCGTGCCATTCTACATTGAGTCCAACATCCTCCAGGTGAAGCTCGGCAAGACTCGAGGCCACAGCGTAGATCGTAGGGTCTACACCAAGATCAGCATGGTTCTCGCAAGGATGGTAGGTGCTGGACTTACTGGTAGCCCCGAGACCGTTCCAGAATGAGAACCTGCCATTCTCAGCATCCAAGATATCCGGAATCACTTCGAAAAAGGCCTTCAAATCTGAAACTCAATCAGCACATATTGATCGATCGCGTGTCACGGTGCACTCACCCTCGTAGCCCTCGGCAAACGTGTCCACAAAGATGGCATCGAAGCCCATGCCATTGGGAGTCCCGGAAAGCACCTCTCCAATCTTATCGCCATCTAGCAACCAGTCTTGCCATCTTCCCTCGAGAATGCGGACATTAGGCAAAAGGTGGATGCCCTTCTGGCGGATGTACTCCAGGACCTGGGGGTGAGCCTCAATGATAGTATGATGAGATGGCTTGGGGTCACAGGTTTGGAAGAGTCGGTCAACCTGTGTGTATGTTTAGCCCTCAAGGACTGCATTGTCGGTGCGATGATCATGATACGCACGATACCGAGTCCAAAACCGACGTTGAGGATGGACATGCCTTCCCCCTCTTCACCCAACTGCATCTTAGGGTGGCCTTCCGTCAGATAGCGAACATGCTCAACCACTAAATATCGCACGTCAGTTTGACAGCCTGTGTATGGGGCCGTTACGCACTCAAAGGTTCCTCCCATCCCATCATCACTCTATATTCTCAGTCAGCATGATGCTGCACGAGTCATTGCTGAGGCGCTCGGTACTCACCCGTTACCATCAGCATCCAAAACCCTTTCTTTGCCATCTTTCCCGACATCCCATGTAAGCTGGCTCTTCAAGAAGACGAGGTTGTCACCGGCTGACGTCGAGTCCTCCGCACGCAAAATGATGTTGTTGAGGCCGGCAGAGGCGCCCGCGAGTGCATGATGGAGCATTTCTTGAATGGATCGTCAGCTCCTATACTCTCATTCCACTGGCATCATTCCAGCCAAATCGAGCTCACCACTTCTAATGCCCTCATTGCGAATGAGCAACCAGCCCTCTTCATCGCCTAGAGACAGGCAAATCTCCCCGGCAGTCCTGCCCCACTTGTCTACTGCATTCCAAACAGCGCCGCCTTTCAGAAGCACATCCAAGGCCTTGGGCTCTCTCCTCTCGGCAGCATAGTGCAAGGGAGACCAGCCGAGGTTTTCGTCTTGATACCAGGCAGGAGCACCTTGTTCGAGAAGGGCGGAGATAGTGGAGAGCGGGGCGTTCTTTGCAGCCTGAATGAGCCGGATGCCAAGTTCGACAAGAGCTTCAGGGTTGACGGTGTCCTCTGAGGCCATTGTGCTGAGGCTGGGGATTGTGCAATTTGTGACTTGAAAGAAGACACAAGTGGTCGGATTTTCGCGCATCTTCGGCTCACGGCGTGCCTGGAAGCTGTTGATTTCGGCGCCATCTTCTTGAAGTTGTCAACAATCAGCAAAATTATTCACCGGAGCCATGGAAACAGAAGAAGCACTCCCGGGGCCATCAAGCAGGCCCTCAACAGCTAGTACAAGGCCAGCATCTACAAACACCCCACCGTCAAAGTCGAAGCGACGCAATTCGACGTCGCAGGGCAAAGGCAAAGGCCGGGCAGCTCCAGAACCCGAAGCAGCAGAGTCCGCGGAAGGGCAACAGGAAGATAAGGATAATGAGGGAGAACTGGAAGATCGTGTAGCGCTGGCCAGGCGCGAGGAGGCCTCTAACAAACGGCCAAGGTCAAGCAACAAGGCTACCAGGCGCATGAAGGCTTTAAGGAATGCGGAGAAGTTCGTGCATATACCTCCTGGTGCGTAGTCTTGCTTGTCCATCTGCTCTGACAGTGACGCTAATCATGATTACAGTCCCGCCGCCGCCGAATCCCTCTACGGACTTCCTCCAGTCTCTACATCAACTGTCATCCCAATTCTACTCCAGCCACTCTCTTCTGCATCCCCCTGTCAAACGGCAAAGAGCTGTACCATGGGCCAGCAAAAAGCGCCTCCAACTGGCAAGAGACAGCAATCGATTGACAGAAGTTAGGGGCGGGGAGATGAGTGAGGATGGAGAGGAGATTGAGGACATTTTGGGAGATCACGAAGAGGCCGGGGGCACACCATCTATGGGTGCCGAGGACCAAGATGGCCAAGCCACCAGAGGAGTGAGAGGAAAGTACAAGGTGAAAGACATGTACAAAGCGATAGAAGGCGAAGGCCTCATGGCGATGGGTATGTTGGTCGAATTCTATCGTTGACTGTGACTGATTATTTGAGCCAGGTATATTGGTGCAAGAGCACATAATACAACAGCTCGAACAGGCTGGTTATCAAAGACCTGAGAAAGATGCAAGTGCAGACGAAGAAATTGAGGAAGAGGAGGAAGAGGAGGAAGAGGAGGAAGAGGAGGAAGAGGAGGAAGAGGAGGAAGAGAGAGAAAGTAGCGAAGAATAGAACGTCTTTGTTGTACAAGGTTGTCTCACGGTGCATGTAGCATGTTCAAGCCGCTACGACGGCCTCAAACTTCCTGCGTATTTACCACCTGGTAACCGCCCCGCCCTCCACCACCGCTTTTGTTCATGTCAAGTTTTCTTCTATACGCCCTCCATCCCTCTGGCGGAATTTCGTAAAGTGTCGTATAATCAACGTCGTTATGCGGGAACCAGAACTCTGTACAATTCTACACCCAGTCATCAGCCACTGTCAACAACACGTCTTATCCGTACTGACCTTCACAACGCCCATGTCGAACGGGTTCTGGTCCTTCCCAGCCCTCTTCATGCCACCCAAAGCCTGACCCTTGGTGAACCGATCCAGGCCTAAGATACCCATCAATGGCGCAGACAATGTCTTGCACAGATGGCCACAGACATGCAGTATTCCATGGTTGTGCCCGTGACCATGGCCGCCGCCATGTCGGCATTGAGGGCCATGGACATGTCCACCAGCCTGTGGCAAGACCACATTACCATCCGGGCCAGCTTCACCTGCGGCAGGCCCACCACCCTCCTCAGCTGCCCCACCCATCCCAACACCCGCACCAACCGAGGCAGCCTGCTTCAATGCCCCGCTTTGATCTCTTAAACTCTGCCCGCCTCTACCACCCATGTATCCATATCTTCCGAGATTGGACACTTCAAAAGTCGTCATCTGGCGGGACACTTGCCAGAGGTGGGAGATGGCCAAAACGAAGGTCCATGTGAGCTGGATAGATGCCCAGACGCAGGTGGCGAGCAAAAAGGCGTCGTATGAGCCTGCTCGGCATAGCGTCTCTGAGATCTCGCACACCGTAAGACCAGGAGATGGGGTTGGCAGGTATTCGGGAGCATTTTGCTGGACGTCTGCAAAACCTGATCAGCATAGTACGGCGACTTTGACCTGGTGGCTTACAATCAATCGACAGCTTGTCAAATAGTATAATGCCACCAATGAGGAACAAGACAAATGACAAGAACGCCCTATGATTGTTCGCTCCGACTGTAAGACATCAGCAAGACGCTCCGACAGATGGCGATTCCTACTCACCGCAGTTCCAAACCCACGGGCAGTGACTTTGCAATGATCAGTATATACCCTCGCGCAGGATCAATGGACTGACTGGTCAAACTTGGCCACGCAACGATTGCAGGTCCTACAATGCTTGGATCTCAACGGTTTTCTAGCCTGGATCATGTTATCAGCTCAATCCCTTCCCTTTTAATTTGAGCCACCCACCATACACATGATGCAAAAGTTGGTTCCATTCAATCTTCCAGCATCCACGAGCTCCTCCAGAACCAACTTGATATCCTCATCCTTTTCTCCCTTCTGCACAAATCCCGGGTCGGTTACCACCGCCTTGTACAAGCTCCAAGCACACCCTGTCATCATGAAGAAGAATGCAAGATTAGCAAAGGGGTGTCCAGCAGTGCCCAGAAGGAGCCTGGTGGCCCAGCCCCAGGCTACCCAGGCTATACTGGCGACGATGAGGGAGACAAAGTAGTTTGAGGCAGAGACCTTTTCAGAATCCTTGATGTGGCCGAGAAGGACGTATACGATGGTCTTTCAGATGTGTAAGCAGGCTTCATGCGAATAGTGGGTGACTCACATATTGCATGGCCCCGAACTCTGCCGCAGCAAACGGGATCGCCACGTAGACTGGTAAGAGGTCGAAGGTCTTGAAGATGGCCCCTAGCCCTATCAGGGGCAATATGCCAATAGCGATGGTGGCTCTTTTCTGCTAACCGTCAGCTGGATCACAAATTAGTTGCAGTAGTGCTGCCTACAGGGTCTAACTTTCCAGTCAACTGAACACCATAGATTGTCCACCCTGCCTCCTCCAGCCCCTTCTCAAACGGCACCAATCCTTTCAGCTCCTCCGCCATATCGCGCGGAGTCTTCCCATTCTCCTCCTTCGCATCCAAGCTGGATCCGGACTCCACCAAGTGCCTGATAGACACCTTGTTCCCTTTGACGGACGCCCAGTGGAGAGGGGTCATACCAGAGTTATCAGTGATATTGACTGATGCGCCGTGGCGGATGAGAAGATCGACAGAAAGAGCATCCCCTTGATAGGCAGCCCACATGAGAGCGGTGTGTCCATCAGTATCCTTTTCGTCAATAGCTACGGGTTGGTGGAGCTGCATAGGGCCGGGATGAGCAAAGTCAAGCGTTCAGGACAATCCACTTGCCATATAGAGTAGAGGCATGACAGCACTCGAGTGGGTTATCAGATGGAGAGTGTTGAAGCCTTGAGAGTCATGGATGTTTGGGTCTGCACCCCTGCTCAGCAGCAGATGCACGACATACAAATGTCCATTCCTGATGACACCTGTCAATACCCCCGCTTTGCCACACCCGATACACTCACCTCGCTGCCCATTGCATAGGCGTAGCCCTCAGCTCTCCACCTATGGCATCAACATCTGCCCCACTATCTAGCAGGAATCGACAGGTCGCTATGTGGGCATTGATAGCAGCCCAATGTAGCGGTGTGACGTCTTGTGAATCGTGGCCGGAAACGTCGACCGTTGGATTTTCTCGTAGAAGGGCAGCTATGCCTGCTGTGTCTCCTCTTTGTGCGAGAGCATGAATGTTCAGCTGGATTTTGTACTTTCTGTTAGCCATGCGCGATGACAAAGGAAGCTTGCTTACCGCGTTGTAAGCTGGGGGTTCTTCTCTAATGGTTTCACGGCCGACATCTTGGCTATCTCTTTCTACCTCTGGACTACCACTTTTCTTCGCTTCAGAAGCACCAGAGGGGAGTTTTGGTGATGACTCTTCCATACTTCAGGCCTGCAAGTCGAGCTCGCAAGTGTTTGCTGGATACGTGATGATCTCTGGTAGCGAGGATTGGTCTTGGAAGCCCGTTACGAGTCGAGCACAACCAAGGACTTGAGAACGGATTGAGGGTAAGTCTGGGGTTGGTATAGGCCCTGGGAAGTTGTGCGATAGAGATAGTCCTGCGGGTGAGTCTATGCAGTGCAAGGGCGAGAGATGGACAGCCAGTGGACAGCGCAACGCATACGTACGTCCGGACTTGCAGCGACACCGGACGCGTAACTCGGACGCACCTTTCCATGCGCTTTCTTCCGTCCAACTTGCGTCCAGCGCAGGTCTCAAGTCGGCTTGGCCATATATCAGGTCTCATAGGACGAGACCCAGGGGATTACACCTAAAGATACATCGTCCATACTATGACAACAATTCACAAATGTTTTTGAATCCGCGTCCACAGTATCTACTCTACGTCCATACTGTCATTATCAATTCCCTCTTCTATAGACTTATTGAGAGATTGTTCTTCCTTCTCTGCATCCGACTCTATCGTATTCAATATATGGGTAGACTCATTGGTGGTGGTGGACTGATCAGCATTAGCCGCCGGTCTCTCGGGCTTTTGGTCTGCAGTGACTAAAAGCGTGTTAGCTTTGCGTGTCAGAGCAGGGCACGATTTGCGCACTCACCCCAAGGCCTTCTGTCCATCGGGCATTGCTGTTGTGATTCATCCTCCTTCTGCCCGATCCATTTCAGGAGACAGTGCATATGGAACACATGGGTACATTCACCCCAAACTATGGCATGTGAGCGTCGAGGTGAAAGTCGTCGATGGAACTCACTGAGAGGACAGTCATCTCCCGGGACCTTGCAGTCAGGGCAGGTGCTCTCAAACGGTGCTTGGCAGATACCACAAACCTCTTCATCGTCGTCGTCGTCGTCCATGATGCCTCCTCCGTCGGCAGAGGCGGCATGGTACAACTTGTGTGGTTCGGTCGAGACGTCCCATTTCCAGTACGCCACAGCATTGTAGGACTCTATTTTCAGCTTCATTACCGACTGGGGTTGTGATTTGTGTTGATGGCCCGCGCAGGAAGGACGAAGGAGGACACCAAAGCGGACATCTATCTGACTGAGCTTTCGTAAACAAAAGAGACGGCGATGACCGCCTGGCGCCCGGAGCTGTGAGTCTGTGATTATCATGCGTGTATGACTTTCAGATGACTTTTCTGATTCTTCTCCAATCCATTCTGGGGTTGACTGCCACCCGTATCACCACCGCTTCTCCATAAACGTGACATTTGAACGCCATGGACATCGGCATCACTCTTGACGAGGAGGTAGCTGGACCATCCTCGCTTTCATTGCCAGTCATCCCTCAGTCAGATTTAGAGCAGGTCGCCCAGGTAGGTCTTGCTTGGGTGTGTAGTGAGGGATCTGCTGACCAGAAATGCAGACCATCCTTCAATTGTATGACCCGGCTACCTCGTCCAATCCGCAGCTAGTCAAAGAAATCGAGACGGGACTGCAGGATCTGCAGCATCGCCCGGAGGCGTGGGGACTCCTCAATGGCCTTGCTGGTCACCCCGTGAGTTTGCTAGGTGACCAGACTGCCCGAATTCAACTGACATTGTGGATCAGGAAGCTAGTGTGAGGTTCTTTGCCGTCAACACAACTCAGCACAAGATTGCATCCGACTGGTAAGTGTTGGACGAAATCTGATATTGAATCTGACGTTGCTTCGCAGGAACTCATTACCGGATGAGTTGCGCCCCGTCCTTCTCAATCTTCTCCTCCAGACGCTACATAACTCTGTCGACCCCTCCACCTCTCACTATTATGAATCAGCAAATGCCTTGGTAACACGAAAGCTCTTTGTAGCGGTACGTACACGCACGACTTGTCTGACTGTGCTCATTCAAATAATTTACCAGATTGCCTCTATCCTTCTTCGAATAGAACTCGCACAGTTCCAACACCCCATAAAAACTGTCCTTGAGCTGCTCCAAGGATCCTTACATGCCTCGCGAGCGTCTATCCCGCCCCAAAACCTCCCAGAGATCGAGCTCAAGACGCGGTTGCTGGAATTGGAATGGTGTGGTATATTCATTGAGGAGATGGGGCGAGCTGGATTGACTGAACAAAGAAGGTAAGTCGTGATACTATTGTAGCTTACGCTTCCATTGACGCGCTCACAGGACCGCCATCCGTAATCATATCGAACTCGACCGTGGTATCGTATTGAACACCATCATCCGATCCATGTCGATAGATGGCTCTGCTTCACCGGAAAAACAGAGTCAAGAAGCGACTGCCGCGTGCAGGTGTGCTGAAAGCTGGATAGGATGGGGATTGGAAGCAGAGTGAGTAGTTTACACGTGTTCAGGTTCAGGTCTGATACTTTTCAGCAATTTGCATACTCTAGTGCCAAATCTCTATACGCTACTTCCTCTCCCCCAAGCGTCTTCCACGATAGTCGAGGTCCTTTCTGAGAGTATCTGGAAATATGGCAAAGGCACAAAGATGTTGACCGAACCTTTGATCGAATGGACCATTGGTGCACCTGGTCAAGCACTTGTTCGTGGTGGTGACTATGGCTAGTCTTTTCTTTCTACCATTCGTGTACGAGCTGACGCAGCACAGAACCCACGGACGAGCTTATAGCCTTTTCTAAACTCATCGCCGCCCTGATAGAACATTCGTCAGACTGGTTCTTGGCTCATATATATGAGGACCAAGTGCAGGCATTCTTGGGCGTTGTTTTGAGGATCACAGGATGGCAGGGGACAGGTGGTGTTGAAGAAGAAGTCAGCCAAGTGAGTCAGGGACCGCAACAGCTCAGCAAGAGACTGACAACACTTGAATAGCTCACTCTTCCTGTCTATTCTCTACTGCAAGAGTCCCTCATGGACTCTGATCTTTTCCAAGCACCACACGAAACAGATCCTTCCTGGCAGATCGCCAAGCAGTTTTTCTCTGAGCTCGTGTCCGTCACTCGCCGTAAAGTCCGCTGGCCTGGGAATGGAGAAGTCCCTACCGGAGAGGAACTAGGGGATATGGACAACGACGATCGGGAGGCGTTTGATGCGTGGCGGAGGGACGCAGGGGAGGTCATCGTCAGCGGGTGAGCTGTCCAGTAACCTCGGTAGAGAGTTTACTGATGATTCGAAGTTATTACGTGCTGAGAGAAGAGATGATGAGGAATCTGACACAGATTGCCGCTCAGCAGGTGCAAAGCGGGGCATCTTGGCAAGTACGTCAACAATCGCCATGCTAAGCTGAGGCTGACTCCCACAAAGGATATCGAAGCTACCATCCATTGCATCAGATACTCTTCTGAAGCTGTTCCCCTGGGTGAAGGCGAAAATCTACCTGTGTTATTTGGAGATCAGGTTCTGGGCTTGCTTGCACTTCGCCAGGGGAACGGGCCAGGGGAGAATCGACTACGGCTGACTGTTGTCTGCTTGATTCGTAGGCGTCTTACCTTTGACATATACCCCACTAACGCTGCGTACAGAGTCATACGAAGAATGGTTCAAATACCACCCTTCCCACCTTCCTCTCGTTCTCTCGTACCTCGTACCTTCGCTCACCTCTCAAAACCTCGACATCTCGCGTTCAGCAGCATCTGCCTTCAAGGCCATCTGTGATATGTGCCGCAAGAATTTAGTAGAGCACATCGGGGCCTTTGCGGACCTACATGGCAAGATCGGGGGCATGAAAGTAAGCTTTTGAGTATTGTGATTGGACCAAGACTGACCTTTTGTGTAGGACGAGGAGCAGGTCATGGTCATCCAGGGAATTACCAGCGTCATTCAGGCATTGCAAGCCGCCGATGCTATAGGTCCGGTCGAAGTAAGTGCCCTTACCCGTGGCCGTATCGTCGCTTATCTACTCTACAGGGCATACTCATGCCTATCATTGAACGCATATCAGTAGCCACGTCAGCATCGCAGTCAAATCCAATCGAAGCCCAACCTGTTCTGGTACAAGCCCTCAATTCTCTGACGTCAGCTTTCAAGGGCCTGTCCCCGTCTGATGATGATATGTTTGACACTTCGGATGACCCCGCGGTGAAAGAAGAGGAGGTGGCTGTTTCCCGGGAAGATCCGAGAATTGTGGCTCTTCGAGAGAGGATCTACCTCTCGGTGGAAGGAGCTGTGGGAGTCTGGAATGGAGATGTGGAGGTGGCAGATGTAAGCGGTATCTGGAACCCTTGCGACAGATGGCTGATCCTACCTAGGCCCTCTCCTCCCTATTGAAAAACGTCTCGCAAAAACCTCCAACTCTTATATCCCTCCCTCCTCTACCTTTGTTAAATCTGGTCACCCTCGTAGGCTGGCGTGCCCCTTCGGCCCTTTGGTTTAGCATTGCATCGACCCTCATTCTGAGCATCAGTGCTCCTCCGTCTTTCTTCTCTAAGAAGAAGAAGGACATGTCCACGGAGGAAGAGGATGTGAGGAAGACAGTGGAAGAGGAGGAAAAATGGCAGACGGTGGGGAATGCTGGCGGGCGACTGGTCGAGGCGGCGCAGATGGCGTTTCAGGGTGAAGGTATGAAGGAGGTGAGTCGGATTGTCACTCTGTACACAACTGTGCTAAATAATTATGAAGCATCCCGACATTGTCGAAGGATGGTTCAAGTTCTGCCACTCTGTGAGTACAGATCAATAGCTGATTGGTTGGCCGTGACTGATAGTTGTGACAGCTTGCAGAAAGGTTCCCAGGAGTGCTCCTGCGACTTCAGCCTCAACAAATTGAGGCTTACATCCAACTGGGATTGGCTGGGCTGGCGCTGCAGGAGCGATTCTCTCTGAAATCTGCGTCGGACTTCTTTGTCAGTCAATGCAAGTCTAGCCACGAATCAAGCTCATAACATCTCCAGGTGGCTCTCCTTTCCAAAACCCGCAACCCCTCTCCTCTCGAAAACATCATGGAACCCTTACTCGACGCCTTCGGGCCAGCTCTTCTCCGAGCTTTGATCCTCTCGGCAGGGAGTGAAGGGCCGAGAAGTGTGATTCCCAATCTAGCCGAGCTGTTGGCCAACCTTGTGACGCGCGTCAGCGCTCAGAATTTGGCTCCGTGGTTGGACGGGATTTTGGGTGTTGACGGCTTCCCCGATGTACGGGCTACTCCAGAGTCGAAGAAGAAGCTCAAAGACGCGGTCTTGAGGTGAGCTTGTTTTATGTCTATCACTTACTGTCAACTGATTTCGATAGGTCTCGGACTACTCGAAGAATGCGAGAAGCTCTGCACGAATTTGCGCTCGTCGCCCGCGGGCTCGAGGGAACGACTTATGGTAATGCTACGGCAATGTAGGGACATTGCCTTTGTCATATATAGAGCGTAAATTATGAATCACATGCCTAATCGTTAATGACGCCCGTCAAATAAAACTCCCTCGACGCAGCATCTGGGCTAAGGAAGACATCGTCCGCTTGGCTCTCTCGACACCCTCCAAGCCCCGTGTCTCTGTCCCCTCATGGCAGTCTTTCCACTTTTTTTCTCCCGTATCTTCCAGGACACACTGATTCAAAAAGTCTCGGATTTCTTTTTTGATCTCCTCCATGGTCTTGCCATCACTCGGGCCTATATGTTCTCCTTCCAAGAATATACTTCCAGCAGTCTGCGGGAGAATATGTAGCCTCAGAGTGACGGAGGGAGAAGAGCTCGGTAAGGGGGGAAAGGTGAAGCTTGTAACAGCGAATGTCGAGCCGGGTAGGGGGGTCGGGACGGGAGTGGAGGACGTCTGAGAGGCAGTCTATAGTTATATCAGTGAGTATGGTAAAAATCAAATTTCTCAGACGTGACTCACGGTTCGAGCAGCTTTCGTCAAACCCAGCACAAAAGGGCTCAGCAGAGATTGCAGCATGGGAGGTACATGCGACACCGGTCGAACGGCTATGCACTGAAATCTCTGCTTTGATTTGCTGCTTTCGTTCACCGCAGTGTCGCCAGGAGCTTCGAGCGCGGTGGTGCCCCCAGCCGACTTGTCATCCATGAACAGAAAAGCGGTGTCGTCCACATGATTGACATCTCTGGGCTTGGCCTGAGAGGAAGGTACTGGAGGCTGTATAGGAGACATTACGGTCAGGTAACGAGATACCTGGGTCGGATCAATATCCGACGAAGGAAACTGGGCTCGATAAGTGCGGAGCTGAATGGCGGATCTCGTAGGTGTACTGTGCTGTTACTTCAGTCAGTATGGAGATGCTCAGCTGAAATCACTATGCTTACCCCATATATCTCGAGTACCCTGGCGCTGACAATGTCGGCGAGCGTCGTAGGGCGTCCCGCAGGGATAGAGAAGGACCACTGCAGTAAGCTGCCGAGTGTCAGTGTGGACTCTTTGCAGACAGGAATCTCTGCTCTGCTCACATAGTATAGCCCATGTCCACTGAGTCTGATCTGAGGGTTGCGAAGAGCAAGAGAGTCTTTTGGAAAGAGAGTCTTTTGGATTGTTTTGACTTGTGACCGGCGGTCATGGCATGAGATTTGTAGGGCGGCGGTGATGTCCACTGCAGTGATGTGGTGGCACCAGCTGGAATTTAAAACGTTATTCTGTATTCTGGATTGATTCTGGATGATACCCTGTCCACCCCAGATGCGCCATGTCCTCCGACTTTTACACCTCTTCCCATAACAAGTACTGGCTGGTTACTCGCCCGGTCATTCTCGACGCACGCCAAACAGACCTCAAGTACTGCAGTCCTAGACAGCTCTACTGTCTATATATCTTCTTCTCCCAGCTCATACAAAAGCTCGGCAAGAGGCTACAGCTTCGGCAGATCCCTATCGCTACTGCATGTGTCTTCTTTCGGAGGTTCTACTTGAAGAATAGCATATGCGAGACCAATCCGTACTTGGTGCTGTCGGCTTGTGTGTACGTCGCTGCCAAAGTGGAGGAAACACCGGTACATATCAAGAGTGTAGTGAGCGAGGCGAGGTTGATATTCAGCGGTCAGTCCACTGTCCTGAACAAACGGAAAGATGTTGACATTCAAACATGCAGAACACAACATAAAGATGTTCCCCGCAGAGAGCAACAAGCTCGGCGAAATGGAGTTTTACCTCATGGAGGACCTCGATTTCCACCTGGTCGTTTTTCACCCCTACCGCGCCCTCATTAGCCTCACTGGTAGAGAACCGTCAGATACTGGAAAATGGGACATGTCCCGGGTGGAGGAGGAGCAGGTGATGAGGAAGAAGGAGGCGGACAAAAAGAAGGCGAGGAGTGATGAGATCAGAAAGGGAGGGGCTAAGGGGCAAGTCACTTCGGCAACGCTGGACGACGACGATGAGAGCGAGGAAGAACGGATACGACGATTGATGGGGAGAGGGTCGGGGGAGGGGACTATTGAGATGGATGAAGGTGTTTTGCAGATATCATGGTAGGTACACCAGTATGACAGGGAGCGACTCTGACACATTGCAGGTTCATTGTCAACGACTCTTATCGTACGGACGCCATCTTACTCTATCCGCCATACATAATAGCCCTATCTGCCCTCTACATCGCCTTCTGCCTCACATCCATGTCCAACTCGACCTCTCGCACCCGTAATGCCTCAACCCAAATTCATTCCTTCGCCTCCTCCCTCTCTACCAACAACCAACTACACCTCTCTCCCCCCCCTGCGAGCGCCGCAGAGTTTCTCGCAGGGTTCCAACTAAATCTGCCGATGCTGTTTGGGTGCGTGCAGGAGATAGTGGGATTGTATCCTATCTGGGAGGCTTTTGAGCCGACGTTGAGAGGGGCCCAAGGGCAGCAAAAGGGGACTGGGGGACTGGCAGGAACGGGGAAGGGGGAGCAGAAAGACAAATTCGGGGTGGAGGAGGCGGAAGCCCTGGTCAGAAGAATGATAGAAGGGAGAATGACTGACCTCGGTCATCCGGATGACGGGGGTGCAGATAGGCCAGGGGCTTCTTCACGTAAAAGGACAAGAGTCGATTAGTATACCAGTAATCATAATGAACATGTTGTAGAAATAGACACCAGACCATGACTTATGTTGATCCTTATCTCATATGGTGTAAAGTACAAATGACGCCTAAACAATAATATCTATGTTTTATTCTGAAAACATCCGAAGACAAAAACTACTCTCCCTAACTGAACTCCTAGCCACCTAGCCTGACCAAACGCACTTAGGCGAACAATCTCTTGGTATAGGAGTTCAAACCGTGGACGCCACCCTCAACCTGAGCGGAGGCAGTTCGGAGCTCAAACCTCAAATCACCAGAGCGAGCAGCCTCGTGGAGCTCAGTGATGCTACGGTTACTGTTAGCTTGATCTGGCTCGATAGATCACCATGGACTTACCTCTTGATACCAGAGTCCTGAAGAGAGTGCTGCAAACCAGTGTAAAGGTAAGGCACAAACTTGTTGATGCTACCCTTGTCGGCGACATCACCAGACACACCCTGGGCGACCTTGACAGCGTCGGTCTCAGAGAAGTATCGGGCAGTGGCGGCGTTGTCAAGACCAAGCATAGACTGCTTGCCGGCAACGGAACCTCGCTGAGTGTGCTCCATAGCCTCGATGGAGCCCATACCTCGGTAGACCTTGACTCGCTTGCCCTCGTGGTAGAAGTAGTCACCGGGGGATTCGGTGGTACCGGCAAGGAGACCACCCATCATCACAGCGGAGGCACCAAGAGCGGTGGCCTTGGCAATGTGACCGATGTTCCCGATACCACCGTCGGCGATACAGGGGATACCGAATCGGCTGGCAAACTCGGCGACGGCGTAGACGGCGGTACCCTGGGGTCGACCGACAGCCATGACCTCCTGGGTGATACAGATAGAGCCAGAGCCCATACCGATCCTCAAACCGTCGGCACCCGCAACGATCAACTGGGCAGCTTGCTCCCTGGTCACGACGTTACCGGCAATGACATCGATCTTGGGGAAGGTAGACTTGATCCACTGGATGAACTCGATCTGGTAGGTAGAGTTACCCTGGGAAGAGTCCAAGACGACAACATCGAGGCCAGCCTCGGCCAAAAGCTTGAGCCTCTCCTTGTCACTGGGCCGGGTGCCGATAGCAGCACCACAGTAGAGCTGCTTGCTCTCGGGCACCTTGCTGGCGTAGGGGAAGTTTTGGTTCTTGAGCAAATCGGATCGGGCGACGAGAGAGACGAGGTTGCCGGAGGCGTCGACAATAGGGAGCTTGCCCTTCTTGGTTTCACGCAGGAGAGAGTTGGCCTTCTCGAGGGCGAGGGGGAAAGAGCCAGTGACGACGTCCTTGGTCATGACAGACTTGATAGGGGTCTCGGCGTCCTGGAATTGAACGTCTCGGCCAGTGACGATACCAAGGAGCTTGCTACCGATCTGACCGTTCTCTGAGACAAGTTAATGGATGGTCTGTGGTAATTGTGATATGACGCACCAGTGATGGGAACACCACAGAAGCCAAATTTGGCCTTGATGTCAAGAGCGCTACAGTTTGTCAGTACCTCTCCACAACGACTACCTTGACGACTTACTCGCCAACAGTGGCATCGGGACCCAAGCAGACAGGGTCGGTGATGAAACCGTTCTCGTACTTCTTCACCCTTCGCACCATGGCGGCCTGCTCCTCAGCAGTACAGTTGTGGTGGATGATACCGAGACCACCGTGGAGGGCGATAGCGATGGCCATTCTATGGAGCCGCTTCAGTTACGGTTTTGATTCTGACATTGAAGTGGCTCACCGGTCCTCAGTGACGGTGTCCATGGGGGAAGAGAGGAAAGGGGTGTTGAGGACAATGTTCTTGGTAGCCCTGATACATTTATAAGCGCTAATTCGGGGCCATAATACTGTGCGCGCTGCAATGAGGGACTCACTTGGACTGCAAAGAGACATCCGAGGCAGGGAAGTTGATGTGACCGGGGAGGATCAAGAAGTCGTTGTAGGTCAAACCACCGTTCTTCCTGGAGTCCATGAGCTCCTGGAGAGAAAGACCGTCACCCCTGGGGTACTCGTCGAGATGCTTGAGGGCATCGGCGGTGTTGAGGAGGGCGGTGGGGCGGGGTGGGGCGTTGGGGTTGGGTCCGGCGGCGGTAGTAGACATTTTGAATTTTGGGGGTCTGAATGGGATCTCTGGGAAGATATCCAAGAATTAAAAGCAGAGCCAAGAATCGAAAAAATCGACGATAGCCACAATCTGCGCCCGACACCGCCGGGGCGGCGCTGTCCGCTAGGCTGTTTTCTTATCTATTGCACTCACTTATGCGCTCTGAGCGGACATATTGCCTGCCTATCTTGTTTGGTTCTCGTCCTTATCATCACAAAGCCGGTGTGGTCGCAGAAGAAGAGCAGGACTAGTCAATGACGGATAATCAGGAGATATCACTCCCTCAGACTAGTACTGCATGATCTAAAGCTATTATTATTAACAAGCGTAGTCATCGCACTTTGACAGCAGACACGCGAATGCTCCTGGCTCGACACAAGCCCCTCGTCCGCTGACGTAAAACGGCCCGCGGAGAGGGGCTTGTTGCTTGTCTCTAGGTCCCCAAATAATCGAGAGCCTGCAAACTATCACCCGTTTTTTGAGTGCTTAAGAAGCGTGCATCTCAACAACCGCTGATGCGATCAGCACCATTGTTCGCGTGACAAGTAGCCACAGGTCATACCTAGCCCAATGCGTTTGATGCATGCTTCTACCAGTTTTGTAAGGACAGCAATATCGATATGAAAAAGTGACAAGCCTGCAAAATACACCTCTCCAGCCGCGGCGCGGTGCCTGAAATCAGCCAAGTTACAGTAAGCTGACGGCGCGAGACCCTAAATAAGCCAAATTACAGTGAGCTGACCATGAGAGGAGTTAGCTGGCCAATATATAATGGAGTTAGAATGGATTAATACTCCTCAGAGTCCGGATTTCAGCCTCGACCCTGAGGGGCAGTCCTGAGCGTAAGGGCCGGATGCTGAAATCACCACTTCTAGCATGCATTCAGCACATTTGGCTACATGGATCTGTAGCTGTGAACGGCGCGACATATGCGTAGAAGAATCAACGTCATGCATGCATTGACAGAACTGTTATGGACGAAAAACTGTTTTGTCGGGTTACAGGCTCTCGATTATTTGGGGACCTAGGGACAAGCCCCTCCGTCGAGACTCCTCCGGCCGACGCGCGGGGCTTGCGTCGAGCCAGATGATGCTCCAAGTCTGAGTGATTCTCATCAAAGTACTGGAGATAGGGCTTCACATGTGGCGAGGACAGAGGTACCTCTTGTGTAGCAGCTGCATCAAACTACTTAGCAACCGCCACGCCGACGTCGTCCCCTCATTCGAATATTTTCGAGCATTAAAAGCAATAGTCGATGACACACTGAGCATAGACGACTCTTGGATTTTCACGCCTGTATAGTAATCATATTGATGCCTCAATTATTGACATCCTCAACTCCTTTCGTGGTTTTGGGGGTCATCGAGGCAACGTCAGCGGCTGCTTCAATTCTTCAACACTTTCCTCTGTTGTCGTTGTGAGGATATCCTCGTACAAAACCAACGTCCACCGATCTGGATTCTCAGTGTCCAGCTGTATACAAGAGTTGAAGCTTAATGGGGCAATGAAGGAGAGTACGGAGGAGAACTCGCGATCGAGTATCTTACCCGCCGACGATTCGATGATGATCACAATGATTGAATTGGCCCAACAGCTACTGTCGTAGCACTTGACCATTGCAGTATAATATTGTGTAGCTTGATCCTTGACAGCAGCTTCCTGTCAAAGACGCTTTCGGAGGCTTGGTGAGGTACAAGCATTGTACGTCAGCAGCGAGGGCCTATCATCGACCTCGGACCTCCGATCACAACGACCTCTACATCAACGTGTTGACAGGGCAGCCGAACAAGTGACAGACAACCATTATGCTGAATGCAACATATTCTCAATGACTCGTGGCTGCGGCCTGGGGTGCCGTAAGAACTCAGAAAGCCAGCTACACCGACTTGGAACTCGGTTGAACGATGCATAAGGCACTTCTCCGACGCTTGCGGCCTGTGGTGTGGCCCCCTGTTGGGCCTGTGGTGATAAGTAGGGAAAGATGCGACCGATGGTGATCATGGTCATGTCACAGCAGTTGCAGCAAGTGCAGCGAGACCCCGATGTTAGTAGGAAATCTGTGGCATCTTGGCTATCTTGGCTGGTTAGGTCAGATCTCTATAATTGGAATCTGGAATAGGCATCTGGATTAGCACAGGCCCTGGACTGTATCCGAAGTGTGTATCGTGGTGCGCACATTACTCACGCCAACGTTCTACAAGAAGAAGATCGCAGAGATCGCAGATCTCACATACTCCAGCCCCATGGCACAAAAACTCGATTGCAGGCCAGTTTGCCCGACTCGTCCAATTGCTCATGACATCAGAAAGCCAAGGGTAGGTGTACCGTTCCGATCTATGCATGACTGGTTCGATCGTGCTCTTTCGCGCGGCGGTGACTTTCATCTTCTCGATCCTCTCTCCTCCTATTAGGCCTATGAGGTCTCTTCTGTTCTTTACACCTCGATGTAGGGCCTCTATCAAGATATCCAGAACTGAAGTCTGTAGCTCTCTAGCTCTCTTTTTCCTCAGGTCCTCAGCTTTCTGCACTATGCTGGATCTGCTGGCTGTGACTATGGTGTGTATCAGCTGGGATTCTCTGGACTCCAACGCGTAAGCAGTCTGTACATGATGTGCCTCATCTTGTAGTTGAGTGATGAGTGATGAGACGTAAGCCACAGCTGCCACCCCAGCCTACTACGCAGCATGGTTCTAAGCAGCTCAGTAGTGCAGCGCGCAGAGAACAGCGGCAGACATCAGACATCAGGTGCATCAGGCAACAGAGAGAACAGAGAACGGAAGGCGATCGGTTCCCGCATCTGTGTAGCAGCAATAAACAGTGTGCCCGAGACATCTTCTGACTTTGGGGGGAAGGATAGCTTCAGCGTTCAGCGCCGATCTGGCCAAATTGTGGACGACAAATAGTGCAGCAAGAAGGCATGGCGGTCGGGCAAAATAATGTTATCAGTTGACTGAGATGTCAACAGTCGATCGGGATTAGATGATCGATGTGGTAAAAATCCAGAGAATGCGATCAAGAAAAGGTCGAAAGAAAGACCGGCAAAGCAGGAGGTGCAGGATAAGTGGTAAAGTACGTACGCTGTAACGAGAAGTGTTTACCATACGAGCGAGGTTGACCTGAGCCGTGCTATCCCGAACGTCGTTCGGGGGAGAGGAAGGTGCATACAACAGTAGCAAGCAGGGCAGGTGAGAAGACCGTGCGACACGGACCACAGAGCAGAGTGTGGAAAAGCAGAAGAAGAGCCGAAGGTCGGTGGCCTGTGAGTGCTGTTCGGGCAAGTGGCATTGCCTCAGCAAACATGGGCACCTTGTGGCTTCTCTTTATTCTGCATTGTTCGCCCTTTTAGGAAGTCGGAAGAAGAAAGAGGCGAAGAAGTGGCACATCCACATGCATTTTTTCCGGCTTGTCACATCTTCGGGTGGAAGAGGATGATCAGGTACGCCAGGTACTACCGACAGGGCCGACGGCTCCCTTGTCACTTTCAACGAATCTCGAAACAACTCAAAGCTGATCACGGGAAGCAAACTCAAAGCTGTTTACGGGAAGAGTCCAGATCTGCCATATCTAATTATTCCCAGTTCCCAAGCAGGTCCACAAAGTATGGAGCATGCATCACCAAAGGGCAGAGTGGTAAAAAGAAGAGAAACATGGAGACTACGTAAGAATGCATCGATATGATAGGAGAAAATAAAGTTCGGCTGATCTGCGTATGTACACAAACCCAAAGGAACAGCCGGGATCCGTGGCGACGTCCTCTTTACCGCAAAGAGCAACAATTGAGCCAGGCAACTGCCGCGTTTGCAATCGTAAGACACTTGCTCGCCTAATGGCATTGTGGCGCCGGGGGAAGACAGCTGCGAGGGGCTCAGAAAGTATTATGCAGACAAGGATGCAGCTGTCCAGTACATCTCAATGCACACCTCACAGCACCACACACAACAGGATAATGGCAGTGGGGCGGTAGTCACCGCCAGTCCCGCCCCACGCCCCACCTTTGGCCCGTTCCTGGGGTCATTTGGTTGGATCCTTAAATTTTATCTTGAAAGCAAAATTGTACGTAGATAAATCCTGCTGTTCCTCGAAAAGTGACGCGGTGAAGACAAATGTCCGGAAGCGGGCAAAAGGCAACGGCTTCCATCCCTGACGCCAAATTGCGCGCCTGAACTCTATCTCCTCCGCACTACCGCATTTGCCGATCCCATTCTCGATTCGCTCGATGCGTAATAAGCGTAACCTTCTGGCGCACCCCGCGACAGCCTGCATCCGGTGTTTTCCCATCCAGGTCTGGATGCGTCCCACAGAAGCCGAAAAGAGTATATATGACCGCATAATTCTACACTAGCTTCATAGCCTATCCCATCAAGCTCTGACCCCACAGTACGCCGCATACCACAACCGTTCTATATAATCCACCTCCAGCCTCGTTGCCATTCTTCTTTCTCAACTCATCCCGACAAATCCCTTCTGCCGCCAAACCCGCCCATTCGCCTTCTCGTCGACCATTCCTCCCTCTCAACAGCCCATCACCACCGTATCTTTATCGTCTAGGCAGGACCAGACTTTCCATTCCTATACACTCTTTATCCACATCCCTCACCGCCAGCACAATGCCCGCCCGAGACCCCATCCACCCTGCTTCTCTTTGCAAGCTCTCCACCCACAGCAAGCCTGTGGTGGACTGTCTCCGTACGCGAGTGCGATCAGACTTCCTTGGTAAGTTTTGCCCAATGATGTGAATCGACTGGAAGCTGACCTTATCAGCTCGCGTCGCCGACAAGACTGCTTCTGTCATTCGTATTGCCCCCTCCACTCCCTCCACATCTTATCTCCCCTCCCCTCCTTCCAGCCCTTCCAACACCCGCACATACTTTGACCTCAACGGCAACGCTGTCGAATGGTGGCAAGCCCCCAAGACTAGCGTCGACGATTTGAACGCCGAGTTGCCCGAGCTTCAAGAGTTTATCCGCGGTTTGGTCGCCCAGAGCAACGTGCAGATGCCTACTCTGAGCGTCACCCTTGTGTACCTCGAAAGGCTGAAGGAGAAGCTGCCATCTGTGGCTACTGGTGAGTACAACCAGTTTGATTGGTTGTCTGTGCTGACTGGTTTTCAGGCATGAAGTGCACCCAGCATCGAGTGTTCCTTGCCGTGCTCATCTGCGCCGCCAAGTACCTCAACGACTCTTCGCCCAAAAACATGCACTGGCAAAAGTACGGCCGCTTCTTCTCCCTCGCCGAGGTCAACCTCATGGAGAAGCAACTCCTCTACCTCCTCGACTACAACCTTGGAGTGGAGGAGACTGAGCTCGCTGAGCACCTTCAGGGTTTCTTACCTTCTCCCCCTGCTCCCCGGGCTGTGGCCCCTACCCCTGCGTCCATCCCCAGCTCTTCTCGAGTTCCCCTCTCCCCTTCCTCTCCTACACACTCTGCCCACGGCAAGTCTCGCTCTTCCGACTTTCACCGTGCCAGCATCGCCTCCACTCTCCCCCTCTCCACCGTCATCCCCCGCCCGGTCGAGCTCCAACGGAGCAACACCGACGAGCACATTGGCTACCGCCCTACCATCTCTCGACCCACGCCTGTGCATGCGCCTCGTTCATTCGCCCGCCCACCCAGCCCAGGCAGTGCGAGCACCACGTCTTCAAGCGTGCTCTACGCCGACCTGTCGACACCTGCGCTGCGCCGAGACAATGGGGACTATGACGACTCTCCTCAGACTGCTACCACACCTGAGGAAGGCAGTCGATGGAGCGGGTACGGCTACGGTGGTGTGCCCACCGCTAGCAAGTACTCGAGTCGCAGGCCTGCGTACGAGCCTATCATTGTGGACTCTAGCGCCTCACCGGTGGCCAGTACTTTCTCGATGGTGAAGGAGAAGGAGGGTTTGTTGAAGAGAGCAGGAAGGACGTTCAAGTTTAACAAGCGGGTGGTATAAGGCGGGATCAGTGCATATTTTTGTAGAGATGTTGTATTAGCATAGTGTAGTGTTCATAGCATAAGTCATAGTATACAGGGCACTAGTCGCCAAGATTTATAGTAAACAGTCATCTGAGATGCAAAAGCATAATGAACAGTTTTTTGTGTAGCACACATCTGCAGTACGCACAGTAAGGCCAAAATTTATGCGGGATTGATAGAGAGTAACAAGAGGCAATGCAACGTGCATCGGCGGTCCGAAGTCCCGGTGAAACCTGTCCGGGCTGCCGGAATCCTGCATTCGGGTGGTGCTTCGGTGGTATGATTGCGCGATCGTCGCATGACCACGTCTGGTATATACTGCACTTCGCCTTGGACCAGCTCCATGCTTGTCCAACCTCAGACATGGAGAAGCCAGATACTCTTCTACAAACATACCAAACACTATAACTCTGGGCCAACACCATGTCTGATAGACGACTAGACGTCGAGGCAAGTCCTCGCCCCTCAAGCACCCATTCGGATAGATCTCCCGTATCCCAAGAGGACAAGCCTCGCGCCAGAACGCCTCTACCCAAGGTCCAGCTTGCCATCGCTTGCTTTGTCCGGGTCACGGAGCCTATAGCGTTCATGGCGCTGTTCCCTTATATCAATCAGATGCTGCTAGAGACGGGAGTAGTGGACGACCCGAGAAAGACTGGGTTCTACGCAGGGCTTGTGAGTGCACAAGGTAACAGTGCAGACGAAGATGGCTGACAAGGACACAGATCGAGAGTATATTTGCGATCGCCGAGCTTTGTACAGTGTTTCAATGGGGGGCAGCTAGTGACAGATGGGGCAGAAAACCTGTCCTATTGGTAGTAGGTGATGACTGGCCTGAGGGTGAAGGTACTGACCGGTATACAGGGCTGTGTCGGCGCGGCTCTATCATCAGTCCTCTTTGGCTTCTCGACCAATTTCCCCATGATGGTCATCACGAGGGTGATCAATGGTCTTGCAAATGGCAATGTGGCGGTCCTCAAGAGCGTAATGTGAGGCAGATATGTGTATCTAATAGGTGCATAGCTGATATGGGACTAGCGGAGAACTCTGTGACGATACCAACCAATCTCTCGCCTTTTCCTTCTTCCCTCTCTCGATGGCTATCGGCACTATCCTGGCTTCCACCATCGGTGGTTACCTGCCTCACATCACTGACCAATATCCATACCTCCGTCGATCTTTCCCCATCCTGGAGCAATATCCTTATCTATTCCCCTGTCTTGTTGCAGGCGCGTTCCCTCTCTTGGGCGGACTGGTAGCGTGGATATGGATGGAAGAGACGCTTCCGTCCAAAGAGCCGAACAAGAAGAGTACTCGCTCAAACCAGGAAGTGGCACCTCTTCTCGCCCAGCCACATGCGACTGTGCACTATTCCTCCACCGACGTTGGAGATGTGCGCTTGGAAGGTGCTGCCGACCATCACAATACGGACCGTCCTCTAGACACGGAAGAAGAAGACGAGGCCCCCGTCTCTTTCCGAGACCTCCTCACACCCGACATTAACGCGATGATGACTTCTTTCGGCCTGCTGCAGCTGCAGGGAACCTCTTTCCTGGGTTTAATACCCCTCTTTTGCTTTACGCCCACCTTTTCTGGGGGCCTCTCGTTCCCCTCGAGCAGGATCGGTCTCGCAATGTCCATCAGGGGCGTGAGCACCATCTTCGTTCAACTCTTTGTCTTCCCATGGCTGTCGAGCAAGGTCAGGATTCTCAAGCTGTATAAAGCACTGGTGATGCTATTCATGCCTGCTTTTTTCATCCTTCCCATCTGCAACCTGTTGGCGAGACATGGACAAGATGTCGGGGTCTGGATAGGGTTGTCGGCGAGTATGATATTTTACGCTATTGGCAATATGGCATTCTGTAAGGTTCCCTCTGTCTTCTTGACGATAGTGGTTTACAAACCATCCAGCCTGCAACCTCATCATGACAAACGAAGCCGCTCCCAACCGCCGCTCTCTCGGCGCCATCAACGGCTTGTCTCAAGCGGTCTCTTCCCTCATGCGCGCCGTGGGTCCAGGGACGACCTCGACGCTGTTTGCTCTTTCTGTCGATAAGAATGTACTAGGAGGGCAGCTTGTGTGGGTTGTTCTTAGCGGACTGAGTGTTGTTAGTGCCCTTGTGGCGCTGGGAATGAAGAATAGTTGGAAGAAGCAGCGAGTGTGACAAGGAGGATAGGAGGAATGGTTTGGTATAGCACTCATACGTATTAGAACATCTGAATTCCCCTGGGGTAGCTATAGAATGACTCTGTGAGATGTACTGTGCTGTGTTCCAAGGCTTCCTTATGAGTGAGAATCATCGTTCAACGCTCGGCTTATCGGCAACCAAAAGACGCGTCTGCCAGGCACAAGGCCCGGGGCACAAGATGGACGCACCGATCTCCACTTGTTTTCTTCTCCATTCTACTTTCACGCACTTTTCGAGAATCGCTACCGCCCAAGCTCAGACATCGTTGCTGAATATGAACAGGCAAGCATCATCACGTTTATCATTGTGCAGGTTTGCGCTACGTACTGACTGCAAGCCGGTGATGCAGGATCCCTGTCGTCCTGGTGAGTATTGACTTCTGAAACCCGCCACTTATTGTAGCTAGTACTGACTTTGATGCGCTCAACAGACTATTGACGAGATTGAGTAAGCTGCAACACATATATCTGCATCGTCATAGAGCTAACGACTACCCAGATACCTCCTCGATCAGCTGGTGCGCTCTCCCTCTCGCTTCATTCATCCTCCTTGCCATATACTCACCCTGGGTGATAGCCGCCTCCTGACAAGGAAGAAGATGGTATTGTCACCAAGCTGCGGGAACGACTCCAGCAGTCTCTGACAGAAGTCAGGAAAGGGGCCGAGTAGGCGTAATCGGGGCATCCGACGTAATCTTCTTGGCTCCACCTTCCGGGCGTACTCTGTTTCCTCCGGCCTTGAATGTATTCAGAACAAGTTCAGAATGGGAATGCTCTATCAAGCTGCAGTGAACCAATACCTTCATTCCCCATCACGCTACTCGACCAGCAAGCTAAACCTCCCTTACCCCACAAGCGCTTCTTCCACCACGGTCGGCATCCTCTCCACAATGTCTCTATCTCCGGTCTTTCGCCTACCCACCTCCACCACATTCGGCATCCACACCGCCGCAAGTTCACTCTTCAGACTCAAACCTGGTGTCACGTTCAAAGGCAGTCTGGACATGTCTTGAGTGACGATGATGGGACCTGCTTGGGTGGGATGAGTCTTCAAGATCTGATACTGTCGGCCTTGTTCCCGAAGAGAATCAAGTTCTTCGCGGGAGAGTTTTCGGGGTCTGTCCGCAGGCGCATAATGAAAGTCTCGTGCAATTACGGGTGGCGGGCAGTGGATTGCCGAGGGCATAGCAATAATGGCTGTTTGGGACATGTCTGTATTACCAGTCTTGAAGGAAGCTGCTTGGTGCAGAGGACCATTCCCACGTTCAAGAGATATCACTGATAAACTATGGGCTTCGTCAAGGGGCGTTCATCTCGTGGCTTTATGTGCATGAGAATATTTGACTCATCACCAGGTGTCGACTCATGCCGGGACATGGCGCCACATGTCTTCGGACTTGGATTCTTGTATGCCATCTTTTGTGATTCCTGAATGGAGATGCCGAGGAACCTTCGTGGGCTATATTCGGGCAGCGATATTGTGGACGGCTGCGCACGAATGGGTGCGTTATTTTGAGGGGCTACTCTACTCGCAATGCGCCAGAAACAGGATGATGGGATGGATGTGGCAAGTGAGTTGGGCGCCACATGCTAATGCCGACTATCGCCGGGTGGCGGAAGGGGTGTAATTACGTTGCATGTGGGAGAGCTAGAGGGCGAGGAACGGCTAGGTGTTGCATACCCTGCTGTGCTGCCCTTGGATCGCGCGATAAGAGAAGCAGGAAGCAGCGAGCGGTGACTTTCTGAAACCTTCCCTGCCCTATAGTGATAGTCTGCTTCCGCGGCCACCTCCCGCTCGCTTCTCGAGCACAAACAAGCCCACGTCACTGCAATCTAATCAGTTATCGGTGAGTCATGCATACCCTCCACCCTCCACCCTCCACGCTCACCACCACAGCGTCCATGAACTCCAACACAGCCCCCGGCGCCCCTCACCAACAATGGACAAGCGTCAGTCACGACGCCGAGGGCACCAAGAAGGGATCGAGCCCGCCATTATCAACTGGCGACTCACCGTATGGTTACCAGCAGCAGTACCAGCAGCAGCAGGGGTATGCCGCTCTGGGTCTCGGATCGTATCCCTACACCCCAGCTCCCACCGGGATAAAGTGCGTCTGCATCTACCGTCTGGGGACCCGTCGCTGACGCGTACAAAGCAGTCTTTCAAATCCCTATAACGCTCCCAGATCTTCACCCTCGGCGCCCTCGGCACGTCGCTCTTCAAGCCAAAAGATTGCCACACCACCACAACCTCCACAGGCCAGTCCGATTCCGTCATCGTCGGCGAGATACTATGGCAGCGGGCCAGAGCCTCACTCTTCGCCATATCCCAGCTCTGCCCCTCCCCAGACTCTCACCCACCCGTTCAGCGTCCCGGGCCAGCCACCGTCGGCACATCCCTCTTACCAGTCGTATCCCTATGAGCCACGACATGGTCAGTGGGTCCAGTATCCCAGCGGCTTTCCCCACCAGCCAAAACATCCTTCTGGTCCTTCGCCCACAGTCCACCAAAGCCCGTCACTGGGTGAAAGACCGGCACCGGCACCGGGCTACGAGTACCCTTCGCCGGCGTATCAACAATGGCAAGGGCCGGATGCCAAGCCCCCGCTTCCCATGGGCCACTGGCAAAACGGTCAACGTCTGTCCCAATCCGCTCAGCCCCCGCAACAACCAAACGCCGCTTCACAATCTCCTCATGCGCAAAGCTCGTCGCCGATGTTTCAGCAGGGCCAGTGGGCGGGGTACCCTTCTATGTCGGGGGTGCCGCCACATACGATGGGCGGGAATGGGATGATGGGTGCGCAACCGTATTGGATGCAGCAGCAACAGCAGCCGGGTTGGCAGGGGTACTATCCGAGTGCCTCACAGCCTGCGCCCGATGGTGCTCCCGCTCCGGCTTCTACTGCAGCTTTGACAAATACAGCGCTGCTGCCCCGGGATTCTTCAGCCCCCGCACCTTCTACGCCCAAGACGGTTCCAAAAAAGGGATCGGGCAAAGAACCGAAGAAGAAGAAGGAAGAGCCTGCCCCTCCGCCTCCCGAGGCGCCTCAAGTGTCTCAAGAGTACGCTGGTCTAGGCAAGCGGCTATCAGAAGATGGGTTGGAGGAAATACAAGACAAGGAAAGCGGGAGCCATTCAAAGAGGAAGAAGAAAAAGGTCGAGGTGGAGGAGCAGCCGCCAGAGGAAGCGTTTGAAAGGCTAGAACGACCGGAAAAGCCCGTGGCGAGACCAAAGTCGAAACTTCACCCTCCTAAGCAAGCACCCTCGGCCTGGCAGCTCTTTTTCGCAGACGAGCTTGCCCGGGCCAAGGCCCTCGAACCGCCGCCCGACACCTCGCCTGGCGGTACCGTCCACCCGCACAAGTTTAATGTCGCCAATATGGCCAAAGAGGCTGGGCAGAATTATGCGAACCTGAGCGCCGAACGAAAAGCCTACTATGCCGAAAAGGTAAAGATAGCGCGGGAGCAGCATGCAAAGGCGCTGCAGGCTTGGCAAGCGACCTTGACACCAGAAGATGTCCGGCTCGAGAATCTCTTTAGGGCCCAGCAGAGGAAGGAGGGCAAGTCGAGAAAGGGCAATATCAAGGATCCCAACGCGCCCAAAAAGCCGTTGAGTGCATATTTCTTGTTTCTCAAGGCTATAAGGGAGAATCAAGAGATCAGGGATCAAGTCTGGGGAGAGGCGGTTGCCACGACAAAGCAGAGCATACTCGCGGCTGAAAAGTGGAGAAACTTGACAGATCTAGAAAAGAAGGTGAGTTATAATTACTACTGCGTGAAGTGTGCTGATCCGAGTGAATAGCCGTATCTGGAACAAGCCGAGCTGAGCAAGCAGGCTTATGAAATCGCTCGAAAGCAATATGAGGAAGAGTCGGCCGCTCGAGCTCGCGGGGAAGACATTCCTGTCAGGACTCCAATCGACGTCACTTCGTCCCCTCCCAAACCTCCATCATCCATCTTGCAGACCCGCCCACCCACCCAAATGCCAATACAGGTCCCTCTCCAGATACCGTCTTCTCCCAAACCGTCATCTTCCCATCCTCTGTCTGATCCGGTGTCGAGTATTGGGCCTCTGACAACGCCGGTGATGGCTACGTCGGCAAACCCCATGCTGTCGGTCGCGCCGATAGGGATATCGCCCCAAGAGGTGAAGCCTCCCGTGGCGTTTACCGACCTTGCGCCTCCGTCCCCTCCCGCGGGAGATTTCAAAAGTTCTATCGGGGACGTTTTTGATTTCATTACTGAATAATAATCAGCCTTTTACACTTCGTTTTTGTTCAATTCTTGTTTCATCTGATGAGGGTATTCGATGGCCTGGACGGTACTGTACACTTCATATGTTGTTTGAATCGCGTGGTTATAAATTAGTCATTTTCGGTCCCTTCGTTCTCAGAGCTTTGGGCGATAAGATTATTGTATATAATTCGGGACAGGGTAGTCGCGAGGATCTACGAGTACATATCTACAGATTATCGTAGTTGCGTTATAGTGCGGCATGTGAGAAAAGAAGATTTGTAATACTACGCTTCACGAGTGCGGACCATCTCTGGCAAGATATCTCGTTAGCAGGACAGCGAGTGTACGCTCGCCCGGACGTCAGGCTGTCATTGTGTGTAGCCATTCATGATGTCGATGCCACCAGCTGTGCTCCTCGAGAAGACCCAAACCTGTATCCATCACAAATGACAAGATCAAGCAGACACGTGTACCCGGGCCAGGGAAGACTGAAGCCGCCCTTCCATACGGCCACTTCAAACCACAACATAATTTAAAAGTACAACTGCTCTCTAATCTCTCCGCTCTCCTCAATACCATCCGTATTGTCAATTTGAAACTGTCCTCGTATGGACCTTCCTCGGCCTCGGCCCTCCCTGCAGTTTGAACGGTTTGAGATATGTGGGCACCAGTACAGGCTCGGGCGGAGGGACAAACACCTTCTGATCCCACTTCCGGGGAGGTTCCCAGCCTTTCCTCCGCTGGACGACCTCCACCCGTCTTCTCTCCGCCTCTGTATCCTTGCGATGTTCTAGAGGAAGTGGAGGGAGCGGGGGAAGTGGACGCCTGGAAGCAGATTGCGGAGATGTTGGAGGGGCACCAGCGCTTGAAGGAGAAAGGTGTATATGGCCATGAGAGGGCGGCTTGGCGAGACGGACAATGAGAGGGCCGGTGGGGGAGTTCAGACAGAAGGTCGTGCCAAGGGGTGTTGATACTTCAAGTAGTGGTGGTGGTGCAGTCAGTCCTGCCACCATGTCAGTTGCCGATACATCATCACCAGAGTCGGAAACATACCTCGTTTGACGATTCTCTTGCCATAGCCTCCCCCATATCCATTTTCGGGTTCCTTGCCATTCTCCCGACTCTCGCTTTCGTCCCCCTCACAGTCACCACACTCCTCTACACTGATAAGCCCCCATCCTTTTTCACCCCCGCCTCTGCCCATCATCTTGTTCTCTTCCGGGCTCAACTTTGGGGGCGGTTTGCGTCGGATCAAGGGGGTGGAGGGCGACTTGCGCAGGCCTAGAGGAGGAAGTCTGGGAGGTGTATCGCTGATCGAGGTGAGGGGAAGAGTCGGCTTCCCTTTGCTGTCTGTTTCTGCGCTCCTTACTCTCCCTCTCCATCCAGCCTTTGCATCCACCTCCTTGTCTGGCGGTGTCCTCGGTAGGTTGTTGAGTATCCCAGCAGACTTTGCCTTATGCAGCTTGTTCCGATGTTCGGGGTAGAGCGGCTTTGGCTTCACGTCAGAGGCCGGGGGCGTGTAGTTGGGGCTGAAGAGTAGGGTGGGCTGAGAGATCTCGGTGGTGCGAACGGAGCGTTTGAGGGGGCTTGGGGTGGGACTGGGCGAGGGAGAGGAGTCTTGACGTATGAGGCGGGGTCTGGAGGGCCTGGATGACAGGGGAGAAGATCTGGAGGAGAGAGGTGGGGTTGGAGGGTTTCCAGGGGGCGGAGGGGAGGTGCGTAGCGAGCGAAGCTGGGAGATGATGCCCATACTGGTGTGGCTGAGGGGGGCACAGTTGGCGAGCGATGTAGGATTGGGGAGTGAGCACAAGATATGGGGATCACGTACAAGATGTAGGGAGAAAACAAGAAAGAATGTAAATGAAAACGTGAAAAGTGGCAATCTCACACGCGCGGTGCAGAATCATCCAACTTGCACCTTTCCGAGACAGACCCGTGGTAGATCTCATGCAAAGCATGCATGGTCGGAACCACACGATATAATCAGACGTCTTCTATGCAAATACAAATCCTACTTCTTCATCTCCTTACACCGCCTCTCGCCGTCTTGGGGCACTGCGCAGGATATTGTCCACACTGATGACAGTCGTCAGCAAGGGCTCGGGATATGTTGTATAGGCACTTACCGCAAGATCATCTCTGCAGCTTCGCTCGCACTGACAACCACCTGCTTCTTCAGCTTGAAGCTCTCGGTGATACCCAACTCCAGCATCGACCCCACTTCACCCTTGTCCATATCCAGCCCCGCATCGGTCTGGCCTTCATAGTGCGCCGCCCTGAGCTTGGTCACAAGGTCGGAAGAGTCGTAACCACCGTTGTCGGCGAGGATGGTGGGCATCTGCCTGAGGGCACGGGCAAAGGACTCGACGGCGAGGGCCTTTTTGCCCTTGACGGTCCTGGCAGCCTCCTCGACCTTGCACGACATGAGCATCTCGGCACAGCCTCCACCAAGGGTGACACGAGTCTCCTTGACGGTCTGAGAGAGAACAGAAAGGGCGTCGTGCAAGGATCGCTCGGCCTCCTCGACCATCTGGGAGGTGGCACCTCGGAGGACGACGGTACAGGCTTCACCGGCGGCAACACCAGAGAATTTAATGAGCTTGTCTTCACCAATCATGATCTCCTCAATCAAGTCACATCGACCAATCTTGACCTTGTCGGGGGCATCGAATGTCGACGTGATGTCACCTCCAGTGACGAGGGCCAGTCGCTCCACACCTTCGAAATCAGCGTGCTCGATCGACATGATGCCGTTCTCGGCAAGCAAATTTTCGGGATAGTTGTAGATGAGCTGACGGTTGACGAAACAGGTGACGCCGTGAGCAGCGATGGCCTGGACCTTTTGCTTCATCTTTTCACGCTCGGCACGCTCGAGCTCGGCGAGCTTGGAAGTACCGTCGACACGAACTCGGGCACCAAAGATCTTGATCTTGTCGGTGTCCATGGCTACGCAATGTCAGCAGAGTCGGATAAAGGGGAGAACACATACAGGTGTTGGAGATCAAGATCTTGGCGTTTTCTATTCTCTTTGGGGAGTTGGTAGCGATAGTCTTGTCCAAGATGAAACCTTTGAACAGTCAGTTCTGGCCTCTAGAGATGAATGCTTTGCTCACCCTCATCAAGGTAAGAGTCTGTCAACTTTCCGCCGACCTTTTTGATGATCTGGATATGCTCCAGATCAGTGGACCCCTTGAGCCTCAACACGGCATCCACCGCAAGGTTCGCAAAGTAGTCCTTGTCCTGGGCCAACACCTTGCTACTCAGAGTAGTCCTCGCGATGTTGAACAAGTCCTCCCTGAACTTGGCAGTGTCTTCCTTGTGGTCCACCGCTGAAGCCTCCAGAGCCTCCAAAGCCGCTTTGCTCGCGATCCTGTATCCCTCCGCGACAGTCTGCGGGTGCACCTTTCTGTCGGTCACGAGCTTCTCGGCCTCGCGCAAAAGCTCGGATGCAAGTACACACACAGAGGTGGTCCCGTCTCCGACTTCATCGTCTTGGACTTTGGAGATGTTGACGAGGATTTTGGCGGCAGGGTTGTCGAGGTGGATGGATTTGAGGATGGTGGCGCCGTCGTTCGTGACGGTGATGGAGCTGTTAGAGGCCGATTCTGTTGGTTATCAGTACCACATCTTCTCCCCATACCAGATAACGTACGCAGGATCTTGTTCATGCCCTTGGGACCAAGGGTAGACTTGACCAAGTCGCCCAAGGCCATGGCACCCACGAAGGATGACAAACGGGCGTTTTCGCCCCTTTCTTCGGTAGCCTGCCACGACATCAGCATCCCCCACCCCCGCTACCCGCTGGACCTACCTGATCAGCGAGGACGTTCATTTTTATTTGTGGATGAAAAAGTCATGGTGCTTTCAGCGATTCTTCGACCTTCTTCGCGAGCGCGCGTCGACGGGAGCAATATATGTTACGTAATGCGCCCATGAGCTGTGACGCTCGCTGGTCATGTCTCTTTCTCCTGCAATCCTGTATATCTCCTGCCCCTTGGCGTCTCCTGCGAACGCCGTTCAACTACGCACATATACCCCCTACCCTAACACTCCACCCCCAAAGACTCATTCACTATGGAAGCTCTCGGCTTCAACGTACGTACCGGCCCATACCTTACCAGCTGGCCGTCAGCTAATCATACCCCATAGATGTCTGCAGGGTACCTCGAGGGTGTTGTTAGAGGGTACAAAGGAGCCCTCCTTACCCAAAACCAGTACCACAACCTGACCCAATGTGACAACCTCGACGGTGCGTGATTCAAGCCATATCGGGATAGATCTGACCCGATGTTGCAGACTTTCGCACCCAGCTCTCTTCTACCGATTATGGCAACATGCTCAGCGACCAAGCCGTACCTCTCACCACCGCCACCATCGCCGACAAGGCTACCGAAAACCTCATTGCCGAGTTCCACTATCTCCGCACCAATGCGGTCGAGCCCCTGGCGACCTTTATGGACTACATTACCTACGGGTACATGATTGACAATGTCATTCTGTTCACTCTGGGTACTCTGCATGAGCGAGATATGAGGGATCTGAGGGAGAGGTGTCATCCTTTGGGGCTGTTTGAGGGTATGGAGGCCCTCAGCGCGGCTACCAAGGTCGAGGAGCTGTACCACAGTGTGATCGTAGAGACGCCCTTGGGTAAGCCCAGGTTGCGCTTGTTATGGAGGACGAAGCTGATTGCTGGGCAGCGCCATACTTCCAAGAGGCCCTTTCGGTCGACGAGATCACCGATCTCAACATCGAGATCATGCGCAACTTGCTATACAAGGCCTACCTGGAAGACTTCCACGCCTTTTGCCAAACCCTCCCCTCCCCCACGTCCGAGGTCATGTCGCGCATCTTATCGTTCGAAGCCGACCGCCGCACGTTAAACATCACCATCAACTCCATCGGTGCTGGTCTCGAAAAGGACAAGAGGGCGCAGCTGTTCCCTACCATAGGAAGGCTGTACCCAGAAGGCAACAATGCGTTGGCCAGAGCAGACGATGTCGAGGCGGTGGTTGCGGCCGTGGACCATATTGCAGAGTACAAGGCGTTCTTTGAGAAGGCCGGCGTGACCTCTGGGGGTGGAGCGGGCGCGGATGAGGCGAGCTCGAGTTTGGAAGACGAATTCTTCAAGTGGGATGTGGAGCTCAACAAGCAGAGCTTCCTGCAGCAGTTCCAGTACGGCGTCTTCTATAGCTTGGTCAAGCTCAAGGAGCAGGAGGTCAGGAACTTGACCTGGATAGCAGAGTGCATCGCTCAGGACGCCAAGGACCGGGTCAATGATTACATAGCCATATTCTGATTCAAATCGTTCTCAATAAGAACTGAAACCATGTAGTTGTCTGATTATAGTCCTCCGAATGTGCATATCCCTCCTCAGAACATACAACGCTCAACACTTTCACGCTTTCTCCGATTTAGATTGATACTATCAGAGACCTATAAGTAGGTCAAACGGCGACCCATGTTACATATGCCAGACCCACAATTGCCTCTTATAAGACTTCTCCGCCCGTCTCCCTATGTGCGCCAGCATTTCGGGTCCTTAGGACAACTATCCCCTTCTCATCTCACCTCCCCTGGTCGACTCCCAGCCCAGGCGGTACAGCCCCCTTCCCCTCTGCCCCTTCTGCCACCTTTTGCACATCCCCATGGTCCCTATCTCCTACCAACACACTACTGGTGGGCGCCTCCTGGAGCGTCTCGGCATCTGCCTCCTCGAGGGCCGGCGCAACTGATACGTCATCCGTTTCGAGCCCCGAGGGCGGGGCTGCTGCTGCTGCTGCCACTGCGGCTGAGGTGGGCTGGGCTAGTGGGCGGGTTGTGGTCAAGGGGGTGGGGCCGGACATGGTTTTGTATGCATACAACATATGTTGAATGCAGCGATGGACATCTGTGGCGGTGGAGGTGTCGACGGATGCACGCGGATGAGATCATCATCGCTTTCATCTCATCTCCTCTCTTTCTTGCCATCTTTCATCTCCCAACAGGGCTAATACCTGTCCCCCATGCTCCTCCGACAGCCTGGCGTCGCCCGGCGACTGTGCCCACGCACCCTCAAACCTCCATGCGCCACTCGGTCTGCCTCTTCCTCTGCCCCACCCCCTCCAGCGGGCGAACATCTTACTGGCAGCGCCAAGCTCTTCGCTGAGGCCGACTCCGAAGAGTCTCTTGGTACGACCGATCGCGACTCTCTCCGCCACACACAGGGGCCCGTTTGGACTGGGGACGAATCCACCTCAGACGCCGTCCTGCGTATGCTCGTCGACGCCAATAAACCGCTCAGGAATCCAGGTGGTATCAAACACAATGCGGCAGACGACAAGATCAAAGGGTGGATGAAGGGTCTCAAGCTCGATGCCCGCCTTGGACCGGGTGTGGAGCTGCCTCTCAAGTCATCTCACGAAGAGGGAGAGGAGAACCCTCATAGAACAAGACTGCCTCCACATCTCCATCGCCCATGGCATTCGACCTACACTGGCGAGAAGGCAGCGGCAGAAGAGCCGAATATCAAATATGGCGCCTTCATTAAGAGCAAGCGTGATGGCGACTCGTTGACCAATCTGCTGGAGCTGCAGCTACCTCCAGGGGCCGATGGCAAGACGCGTGCCAGAGTCAAGGAATCACGTCGGACTGGCAAGGTGATAGGCAGACTCGACAATGCTCGAGAAGGCGCCCTGGACTACAAGCTAGGACTGAGTGGGAAGGGGCCGCTCTTGGTGGATCTTGGAGAAGCAGAAGACTGGGATGAGGGAGAGGGAGAGGGACAAGCTTTCAACGGGAATAGGCAGATCAAGGGAGCGAGTGTACTTGGAGCGGGGAGAGGAGGCGCGAGCGGGCTGCGAGCCTGGCAGGGGCTGGTAGAAGACCGGATACAGCGAGCCAAAGGTAAGAGCAAGTCTCCTTCTGCAAGAGACCCTGCTGATCGATCGGCAGATGCTGGTTTCTTCAATACGACCACGGGCAAGGGTAAACCCATCGCTCTCGACCCAGAAGCCAGCAATCCCTATATCGGTGGGTATCGCAATACGACTCTTGACTTTGCACTGACCCATCACCTCAGAACGGGGCGAGCTTTTCATGAACCGCATCGTCAAACGTCAAGGCGCTCTACCTCCTTGGATAGAGCTCCTCAATCACCTCGACTCATCTCTGAACGCTTTCCGGTCTACCCTTCTTACGACTTACAAAACCCATATCGTCCGGCAAGTCATCTCTTCGACTTCGCTTCATCCTCTTCCACCCCTACACACGATCCCAGAGAGGGACGGCACATGGGAGCAGAGGGAGCTCAAGTTCCATCAGGAGAATGTCAAGCAGATCAACGACCTCACTCGGCGGATGAACGCTCAAGCCCCCGCGCCGGCTAGACGCAACCTCATCACACTTGAAAACGAGCTTGACAAGATCAGGGGAGAGGTCATAAAGACTGCAGTCTGGGAGGATATCAAGAAAAGGGCAGAGGAAAGTGTGGACCAGTCGTTCAGCAAGCAGAAGACTGGGTTTACACCATTCTTTGAGGGAGAAGGCTGGAAGGCTTTCAAAAACGTGACCAGACCTTTCGGAACATTGGCCAGTAGTGGGATGCCTGCTGCTTCAAACTCCAACGCGGGGGGCGTCTCTGGATCCTCCCGGGAGTATGTTGGAGACCATGGTGAACCCTCTGGACATGGTGGCGCTCGGGACCCCAAGCCCATGAGGCTCGCAGTCATGGCTGGGGTCGGTATCGGTCTTATCATCTATCTTCGCCAGAGGACTGTCAAAGCCGATGACCTCTCGTCTGCCCCCCAGCCTGAGAAGGATACAATCGTTGCGTCCTCCCCTGCCGAACCACCTTTGACAGTCACCTACATTGTCCAAGAATACATCATTGAACCTATCGCTACTCTCTTCCGATTCTTCCAGCTGGCCGCCCTCTTCTTGCCCGTCGTCATTCTGTCACCCATGCTTCTCCTCGGAGAGACTCGCAAGCGGAGGCAATTGGGTAGAGCCATCGGTGAGGACGAAGCCAACTGGGGCGCCATCTGGTGGTACGAACTTCTCGTCAAGCAAATGGAACGTGCCGGTCCTAGCTTTATCAAGCTTGGTCAATGGGCAGCTTCCAGGGCGGATCTCTTCCCGGCGGAGCTTTGTGAGAAGATGGGCAAGCTACATTCAAATGGTAAACCGCATACTTTCGACTACACAAAGAATATGTTGGAGAAGGCCTTTGGGAAAGGGTTCAAGGATATTTTTGAAGAGTTTGACGAAAATCCTATCGGATGCGGTGCCATCGCTCAAGTAAGAATCTCCCAATGCGCATTGCTACTTCTCTAATAGCCTGGATAGGTCTACAAAGCGAAACTTCAGCCCGAGCTCTTTGCCAACGCCCGAGGCGGTGGAGGTGACTCTTCAGAGCCTCTAACCACCCCCAGTGTGGCTATCAAAGTTATCCACCCTCGAGCACGCAACACCATTCGTCGCGATATCACCATCATGTCTCTGTTTGCCCGGTTCATCAACAGTTTCCCCGGTATGCAGTGGTTCTCGCTGCCGGAGGAGGTGACGGTGTTTGGGGACATGATGCAGTCTCAGCTGGATCTTCGCGTGGAAGCCAACAACCTTGATACCTTCCGGAAAAACTTCAAAAGGAGAGGAAGGAGGGTAACATTCCCGACACCGATCAAGCTGGGCCAAGGGGGAGGAGAGGACCGAGCTGGGATGAGAGATGTGTTGGTGGAGGAATTTGAGGACGCGTTGCCACTCAAGTATTTTCTGAGGAACGGAGGAGGACCTTATGATCACAAGATCGCCAACATCGGTCTCGATGCTTTCTTGGTGAGTGTTGCTTTCCCTTTGGTAGTGATAGAGCTAATGAAACCGCAGGAAATGTTGCTGCTTGACAACTTTACTCACGGTGACCTGCACCCAGGCAACATCATGGTTCGCTTCTATAAACCCACCACCACCGACTATCTCGCACCTCTTCTTTCACACTTTGGCAAAGGCGAAACGGCTGCTCCCTCCCAGGAGACCGTCTCCTCTGGCGAAGATATTGTTCATAATTTTGCCGCTATTTCGCGCGACCCGGAGACCTGGGTCTCTCGTCTTGAAGATCTCCACGACCAAGGCTACGAGCCGCAATTGATATTTATCGATGCCGGTCTTGTGACTACACTCGACAATACCAACAGGCGCAACTTCCTAGACCTTTTCCAAGCTGTGGCAGGATTTGATGGCTACAAGGTCGGGAAACTCATGATTGAGCGATGCCGAACGCCAGAGTTTGCTGTCGACGAAGAGACGTTTGCGCTCAAAATGCAGCACATCGTGCTCAACGTAAAGTCTAAAACCTTCTCCCTCGCCAAAATCAAGATCAGTGACATCCTCACAGACGTGCTCAAGGCTGTACGAACGCACCATGTCAAGATGGAAGGCGACTTTGTCAACACGGTGATTTCCATCTTGCTGCTGGAAGGGATTGGAAGGCAGCTGGATCCAGAGATGGACTTGTTCAAATCGGCGCTGCCTATCCTGAGGCAGTTGGGCAAGCAGATGGGCACAAGAGAGGCTATATCGGCAACCCCTACAGGAAACATCCTGGCTATGATCAAGGTAATTCGTGGTCGATGACAATGGTAGATCATGGCTAACTCCCATGTCAGCTGTGGGTGTGGGTCGAAGCTCGGCAAGTGGCGGGAGAGGTGTCGACTCTAGACCAGTGGATCAAGGTGAGTGATTCAGTTTCAATGAGTGCCAGGCACTCACGCCCTTATCAGTACGATCGCCTGACTCCGTCTATCTGATCGCGGAAGATGTACGCTATGATATAGCATAAGATGTGTTGTGTGTATCGTGTTGTAGAGCATTATAGGTACTTAGAATCGAGATTTCATGGAGATTTGATCACTCTGCAGCAACATATGGGCCACTCTAGAGCAAAACACTCATGGGTGCATTTGATATAATGATATAATGAGTACGCGTAGCTAATAAGCGGCCCCTCCAGGAAGTCTCTAAGACTATGTCGTGACGATGTTGTCTAGCTGTTCCGCTGACGGCCTCAACGACCACTGGTTGCCGATAGGAGAGTACGCGATGTCGGGCAATGCAGACTGGGCATAGTGATCGTTGTGGTCTGCAGCGGCATTGATCACGTCGCTGGCGGCATACTGAAGGAAGTTGAGCTCTTCGTACGGCCACACCTGACTTCCGGTAGCATAGGGGATCAAAAAGTCGATGGCCCCCTTGATGGACCTGTGGCCGGAGTCAGTGCGGCCAAGGGTGTAACAATGTGGGCTCACTGTCCGTCGGGACCGTAGTAGTCCCACAAGTCAACATTAAGAAGGGCTCCGATGTCTGCCAACCTGGTGTATGCCACCAGATTGAAAATAGAGTAGTGCCAAGATCTGGTGCGTTCAAGCTCCAACGGCTGAGTGCCGTCTTGGGAGATATAGCTGTCGATCAGACTCTTGGTGGATTCGACCGTCGTTCGAGCCAAATCGGTTTGACCCACATAAGAAGCGATACCGGCCACCTGGAGGAGAGCAAAAGTGGCGTGATTGTTTTGAGCTGAGAGCTGAGGCCGACGTCAATTTGTGCTTCCGAGAGTTTTCGTCAAGGACTTACCTCGGCCTTGCCAAAGTCACTCTGAGTGAGCCACGTGAGATAGTCGCTGTTCCATTGCCGAAAGACGGCCTCGTCGTTCTGACTCCAAGAGTCGTCATAGTCCAGGCTGAGGATTGAAACCGCGTCGAGGACATCGGTATACATTTGGGAAAAGTCGATGATACCGATGGATCGTCCCTAGGCAGTGTGAGCACTCTATGTATCTCCTTCTCTTGCTCCGAGCTTACGTCATTGGCACACGGAATGAGCTGCGAATGGGCCAAATTCGGGTTCATGGCCGTAGCCTCGTTGATGAACCAAGTCTTAAGAATATCGGCGGCATGGACTCGGTAAGAAGAGTTGTCGGAGTGGTACCAGGCAAGGGAAAGAGTGTAGGAAGCTTCAAACATGGAGAGTCTGTCGGCCTTTGAGGTGTATTGCTCGGTCTCGGGGTTGAATACACCATCGCGCTGGACATAGGGGCATACATCACCCGAATCGGGGTCCTCCCAGTTGTTGGGCCACCAGTAAGGAGCCTGGGAGGCGTAGTCGTGTCTGCTAGTAGGTCAGAAAGGGTGCAGCTGTTGTTATTCCAGTTGAAGAAGACGTACGAGTTGCCGTTGGGCACGCTCTTGAGGTTGTTGACAACACTCCATGGGCCTAGTGGGGGATGAATCAGGAACGTTGTGATGGTGAGAAAATGCACACCTTGAGTCATCCACGAATCGGCCTGAGACAGCAGTCCATTCAGCTCGGACTGCAAGCCGAGCTCCCCACTCTTCACCCTGCACTTAATATTCATCAACTTCTGTCCATCCAGGACGACTGTGGCGGGCTTCCTGCTGGCGGGTGAGCAGGGGAAAGACGTGCCGGCGGTCAAATTTTCCACAGTGGCTGAGTTGTCCGAGGCAGTGTTAGAGGGCGTGTGCGAATCCGGTGGCACAGAGGAGGAAGGGCAGTCGTATGACGTGTGGTCGGCCGGGGTGCCAGAGTTGTTCGCATTGGAGGACGCGTTGGGGATGTAAGCGTCAGCGCCGATGGGAGAGCTGTCGGAAGAAGAGACGTGGGTGGTGTAGTCCGAGGTGGAAGGGACAGGGAGTGCGTTGGAGACAGGGAGGGTGAGGGCACAAAGAACGATGGTTGCAAAGGAGTGTGAGAAGAGCATGATGTTTGCTCGGGTAGAGGAGGCGAGGTATGATGCGAGGAAGAGAGTGTGGGGCAAAAGAGTGTGGGGAGAACAGAGAACGAGAAGATGGGTATGCAAAAGAGAAAGAGAGATGCAAATAAAGCCAGCATCAAGTTGATTCAGGAACGGGCCCAAGTAAGTCGCGGCGTTCGCACCATGTTGGGTGATGGCTCGAGAAGCTGCGTTGCATGCATGAGCAATAAGATGCTGGGTATATGCCTAAAGTAAAAAGTCCTTGTGCGAATGCCGTCGTGCCACCGCAGTATATATCACCGACAGTAGATTACTCAACATGGAGATATATACAACCCCAGGGCGCTTTCGTGAGTCTGAAAAGGTGTCGCTCATCGATGCAATACAGGTGCAGAAAGTGGTAAACCTCAATTTTACCCATCAAGGTGATCCAAACGCTCCGCTGAGGGCCTTAGCGGCCACTGATTGCCAATCGACGGATACGTGAGATCTGTCAAGGCAGCCATGGCAGTCTCGTCCCCCTGGTTCGACGCCGCATTGATCAGATCACTTGCGGCATAATTGACAAAGTTTATCTCGTTGTACGGCCATGTTTCGCTGCCTGTAGCGTAAGGAACGATAAAGTCGATTGCGCCCAAGATGGACCTATGATAGAGTAAGCGTACAGTTTGTAGGTCTAATGGAGAGGACGACTCACTGTCCGCTGGCGCCCTCGTACCCCCAAAGATCAACACCAAGCTGGTACCCTATGTCCGCAAGTCGAGCGTGCGCGACCAGATTAAAACACGAATAGTGGAAAGAGCGTGACCGGGAGAGCTCGAGGGGCTGAGAACCATTGGCTGTGAATTGACTGTCGATGACGGATTTGGCCCCGTCCGCCATTGAGATCGCAAGGTCGTTCTGTCCAATGTAGGCGGCAACACCAGCAATTTGGAGGCGCGCATAAGTCCCATGGTTATTATCAGCAGCCAGCTAATTGCTGTCAGCTGATTAATCCTTGTGTTCATAAGATACACCACTCACTTCTGTCTGCCCAAAATCGCTGTCCGTCAACCATTCGAGAAAGTCTCCATTCCATACCTTGAACGCTGTCTCCGTCGCATTGCTCCAGCTGGCGTCGTATTCTACACTCAGTATCGCCGCGGCATCGAGAACGTCCGTATATTGCTGTGAGAAGTCGAGAATACCGATCGATCTTCCCTGCAAGATCTATCAGCACCACTGTATAAGGTGAGGGGAGAAACCTACATCGTTGTCGCAAGGGATGATCTGAGAGTGCTTCAAGTGCGGAGTCATAGCCGTAGACTCGTCAAGGAACCAAGTCTTGATGATATTGGCCGCGTGTTCCCTGTAAGTCGAATTGTCGGTATAATACCAGGCAAGCGACAGGGTGTAGGAGGAGGTGAACATGGACGCCCTGTCCTGTCTGGAAGTGTACTCGGAAGCCTCCGGGTTGACAACGCCATCTCGCCGGACGTATGGGCATGTGTCGTTGTTGGATGAGGTGCTGTTGGACGAAGTACTATTGGTAGATGTGCTGTTCCAGTTGTTTGGCCACCAGTAAGGGGCTTGGGAGGCATAGTCGTATCTATTCCAAGGGTCAGCTAGCCAGAAAGGCGTCCGGAGACAAACGTACATGGTACCATTTGGAACAGACTTCTCGTTATCGGTCACTGTCCAGGGACCTGAAATCACTTTAGCTACGATATCTCTTTGAAGAAGCAGTTATCCACTCACCTTGACTCAAGTAATTGTTTGCTTGTACTAACAGATTGTCCAAGACCTCTTGCAAGTCATCATCCCCTTCCTGTAGTCTACTTTTCGCATCTGCCAGCCTTTGCCCGTCCAGGACCACTGTCTGAGGCACGCTCGAGGTATTACTGGACCGAGCTTGGACTGCTGAATGAGCTGCCCTATCCCAAAGGGGGCGAGCCGCGATGAGGTTTGGCAAGTTGCACAAGAGGACGACCGAGGTCGCCAAGAGATGAAGACGGAGCATGATGGTCGTCTCCGATGAACCGGTCGGCAAAGAAGGCGAGTGTCGTAAATCGTGGGTCTTTGAAAGCCTTGCGAAGAGATGTTATATACATACACAAACACGAGGCGAGCGGGCACGTCTGCGGTCTGGCTGGCAGGGCCACGCCATGATGTTGTTGTTATCAGCAGGCGGTACCGCCGTAGCGCACTCATGATGACTCCCGCTGCCCGCTGAACTGACAAGACAATGAGTACGCTCGAAATTAGGGGCCCAGAGCTCTCACTTTGGCAGCAACTATCGAATCACACTTGGGCATCAGTAACACTAGCACCGTATCTCGGAGACAAACATAGGGTGAAACGGATAACAAGAAAGTAATTCGCGTTGGCGCGCGAGTCGTGTTGTTGACATCTTTTGATTTCTGGCCTAAATTTTCCGTTGGTGACTGACGCAGAACTGCAGAAGCTGCGGTTTTAATCTAGAAAGCAATTATTATTACAGGATCAATGGCATATGTATAGAGAGGAATATTTCTATATGTTCTCGGCTTCTTGTCGCGCTTGTCGGCCCGTACAATAGGCACATCCGGAGCCCAGATCCCGTATGTCCCGTAATACCGGGTTATGAATCAGCGATCAACAGAAAGACTCCAAGATACGTATCTCCAATCTCTAGGCTCGGCACAAGCCGCCTCCACCCCCGGGGGACTCCTCCTGGCGTCGTCGGAGCGAGGGGCTTGTGTCGATGTCAATTGGCCGCCAAGCGCCAAACAACAGGTGAACATCTCCGGCGCCATAATGGGATTTGCTCCTCCGCCTGCCCTTCTTCCAGCTTTCTCTTGGCCTCTGCGAGTCGGCGGCTGTCCAGGACTACCGTGCGAGGGATGTGGTGACTGGAAGCTTGCCACCAGATAGAGTCAAGAGGGTAGTGGTCGGACGGAGTATCGTGAGACATGAAGCGAGGTCTGTCTTGGCCGGGATGAAGCGCGCCTGAAGACGTCGACTCGGGACTAGACGATGACAAGGAGCTAGATAGGCTATGGTCCTCGATGGAAGTATCGGCAGAGGCGGGGTAGGCAGTGGCGAGGGGTAGTACGCAGAACCCGGCGAGGAGCCAAGAGGCAGAAAGAACGACCATTGTGCGAGCTGAATGAGGTCATGTCTGCTTGGAGGCGATGAGATGGTGGCATATATAGCGATCAAGGGGATGGGCAAGACGGAGGACGGGCCAGGTGACCTGCTGTTGTGTTTGATCAGTATCCACTCCGTGTGCCGCTTCTGGCGCTGGCGTCTCTAAAGAGGTTGGCACAAATATGGCCACTGGCGGGAGTGAGACACAGAGGGCAAACAAACAAGTAATGCGCGGCGCGTGAGAGAACACGTTATCCGGCCCGCCGGCCCGCTGCTCTTCTTAAGTCTGTAGCCAAACAAGTGCGCAAGTGCGTTACAAGCAAGGCTCATACACAATGGTGGGTATACAGGTGACAAGATCATACCCGGCACCCTGTCCCATGACCTGATCGAATTGCTAATTGTTTAGTGCTTAGTTGCTTACTGTTGGTCGCCAAATGAGCTTCACTCTGGGTATCCCCCTCGCCTTCGCTGTCCCGTTCGATACCGTCTACGATCTTTTTGAGGCCCAGCAAATTGCAGACTAAGCAGCCCATGGCTCATCGAGCTCTTCACCGTCCTGTCCCAGCGAGACGCATTGCCATGTTCTGGCTGATCAAACGGAACGCGACCATCGACTGTCCCCCATAATAGACACAGCCTTGGAGACTGCAGAGATTGGCTGGAGCACAGCTGGTGGAGATGGAAAAGCGAAACCGAGAAGAGCCTTGGAATGATTATAGATGTTATTCATGAAGCCCTTGTGCCAGTGGCCTTGATGTTGGTACCACTGCGACTTGAAAACACGGGGACAGGAGCTCAAACACAGAATCAGCATGTCCGTTCTGTCGAGAAGCGGAGGGAGTGAATATGATGCACTTACCATCATGCTTATTGACACAGGTCGCTTCGCTGGCACGACCAATGCCCCCCCCTCAGCACTTGCATTACTCGTATGGTTGATGGTACAATATATCCAGTCGTGGTAGACCGCGCGCAAGATGCGTCCACTTTGAGACCCTTGATCCTATTATCTACCCCTCCGGGATTCTTGAATTGCCCTCATGATTGAGGGCACGGGACTGACATTCTCGCTCGTCCCAGGATCTCTGTCCCATTTGGTCCCCTTCAAACTCGGCTTGTCCAGCCCCCCCATGGCCTCTTCCTGACCGAATGCAAGACCGTGTTGGAGGGCATCTATTCCCTCCAGCCCTCCAGCGCTCTTGTCGTCGCGGAACTTGCTCTTCAGGATCCTAGTGACTGCCTCATGGGAGACTCCAAATTTTTTCGACAATGCCGCTTTCGAAAAGCGTTCAGAATCAAATTGATGTAGAGCCCGCAACCCCGCCATAGCAGAATATGTGAGCTTTTTTGTAGGCTGCCACGATCCTTGACGGACAAGGGGCGGCTCTGGGGTGGGAGGGGGTTGATGGGAATACGATCGCAGTGGCCTGGCTTCAGGAGGGGTATGAGAGCGGGAAGGACGCAGAAGTGGGCGGGTTTTGCGTTGGGAAGTCTTCCCAGGTGGTGTATTGACCTCTGCTGGTAGAGTATATTCGGAAGGCCCGGCCCGTGGAAACGATCTTCTGGTTTCACTGACAACTTCGGAAAACCTCTCGGTTGACGACCGTGATCGCTGAAAGGCGCCGGCAGTCGAGCTCAAGCATCTCGCGAGCTGAGCATGACGAACCATGCCGATAGACTGGGACAGAGAGGGCGATAAGGAGAGGCAGTGCGACATTGAAGTGGATTTGAGGCGTCGATGCAGTGACGAAGGAACAGCAAAAGGGTCAAGGGAGGAGAAAGGAAAAAGTGGAGGGAGGTCGGCCATGATGAACGACGAAGAACCAAAATAATTTTGATTTTGTTTACATCTTGCTTCTTAACACATACTCCGCAATACTCTTCAAAACGGCCCTTCCTATCAGCGCCCGTATCGGCGCAACACTCCGAGCAACCCTACGTCCACCCAACAGCTTCATTTACCGAACCAGGAATATGTCCGACATCGCTGTGGAGGTCGTCAATAGAGATGGAGTGAGTGTGCAGGGACAGGAGTCAAGTATACACGAGGCGGTCACAGCCTCAAGCAACGCTGCTAATAACGGGAAGAGCTCGAAGCCCAAGAAATTAGGAGGATATGATTTCTACAAATCGATTGGTAGCCCCAAATTCGTGGTGGCGCCTATGGTCGATCAAAGCGAATTGGTGAGTCGTCTTTCCGCACGACACGTACACCATGCTGACAGTGCGTGATAGGCTTGGAGACTCCTGTCCCGCTCCCCTCTTCCCCTCGATATCGCTGGTCCGATCGAAACAGTGACCACCCCGCAAGGTAAATCACTCATACGGCATCCAGGAGGGGCGCATATCTGCTACACGCCCATGATCCACGCCAAAGGATTCCTCGAGGCTAAAGGGGAGATGGGGAGGAACGGAGATGGTCAATTCTGTCTGACTTTGGACGAAGAGGGCGGGGAAGGTCCTGTTGCGGGTATCGATTGCGGGGATCGGCCATTGATCGTCCAGGTAAGCAGATCCGTCATGAAAGCTCGTACATGTCTAAAGAGTCATCTAGTTTTGTGCAAACGACCCTGAAATTTTGCTGGCAGCTGCCAAGAAGCTCGAGCATCGCTGCGATGCCGTAGATATCAACTTTGGCTGTCCACAGGGAATCGCCAAGCGCGGACGATACGGGTCCTTCTTGCAAGACGAATGGGATCTTATCCACAAGCTCAGTGAGTTCAGAATACAGCTATCAGGCGATGATGCTGATATGTTTTTTCAGTATCAACACTTCACCAGAACCTTTCTATCCCTGTGACCGCCAAATTCCGCATCTTTCCCGATATCGAAAAGACCATTCGCTATGCTCAGATGATGGAAGAAGCTGGTGCTCAGATCTTGACCTGCCATGGAAGAACGAGAGAGATGAAAGGCCAAATGACTGGGTACGCAGACTGGGAAGCGATCAGAGCTGTAAAGCAGGCAGTCAAGGTCCCTGTCTTCGCCAATGGCAATATCTTGTACAGGGAGGATGTGGACAGGTGTCTGGAATTCACAGGCTGTGATGGTATCATGACTGCCGAGGTTAGTCTTCAAAGCCTACCTGAAGCCAGTTCATTAGACCTGACTTTCATTACAGGGGAATTTGGCGAACCCAGCCATCTTCGTGCCCGCCGACCATCCTCACGCTCACCCTCCGGTCACCCTCCTTGCGCATCGGTACCTCGACATTGTTGAATCCCTCAAGACCCCCACTTCTGGTAGTGCTATCAAATCGCACCTCTTCCGTCTTCTGAAACCCGTTCTGGATACAGACGAAGAGCTACGCGTGAGAATAGCCACTTGTCGGTGGACCGAGGGAATGTCTGGTTTCAGAGAGATCATTGATGACATTGCGGCTAGGTGCCAGCCTTTGAAGGAAGAGCTGGGTGAGGGATGGAGACCGCCGGCGATCGACCCCAAGACGGGTTACAGGGCTCTGCCTGTGTTCGTCGCCCAGCCACAAATCCGAGCCAAGCCAGTGTCGACTGAGATCGGTGGCCATGAGGATATGGTTTCCCGTCCCGCATCGCCTCGCCCGGAAGGGACTGATGGCCGTATATTCGACACGCCAAACATCGCTACTGCCCCGGCTTCTTCTATCCCTGGTACTGTACTCGTCTCGAGACATGAGCGCCACGCAGGTGTTCCCGGCAGTGTCCCTTGTGTACAGGGTTGTGGCGGTATCGCGGCCAGTCGCTGCCCAACTCGTGCTTGTATTACCCATTGTCGTATACTCCGTGCTGTCGAAAGCGGCTACACGAAAGAGGAGGCCGAGCAAATGGGTAAAACTGGTAAGCTCGTAGGGATGGGGTGTGAAGCGCACGAGGATAAGGAGAGAGCGAGGAAGGAGAGAGAACAGAGGAAGAGAAAGGGAAGGGAGATGGCCAAGGAGCAAAACAAGGAGAGGAGAATAGAGAAGAAGAAGCAGACGCACAAGACGCGTCAGGCGGCTGCGCAAGAGGCAAGGGAGAAGGAAAAGCTGAAGATCATAGATGAGGAGTCAGAATTTGCTTTGGGTCAATCATAGCTTGCGGCGTGCGTAGTCAGCATTAGTCAGCATTGGTATCAGATAGCTCTCGATGTACACATCAATATTGTTTCTCTGGCTAACATTTACATTTTCGACCTGGTGGCGAGGGGAGTCTCGTTCCTATCTCGCAATCAGATGACGAAGCTAAATAGATGTTACACTAAGGACAGATGAGTATTCATCTGATTCTGATGGAACAGCTGTAACAGCGCTAATCGTCTAGTGGTTAGGATGGATCCCTTCCAAGGATTCGACCGGCGTTCGAATCGCCGTTGGCGCATATTTTTTTGACTTTTTTACCTTTTACCCCATCTCTCCAGCTTCTGGACAGATACATACTTTTTCCACAAGAAGACTCAGCTCTCCGCCATATCTGAGAGTATCTGATTTGCCTCCTCTTGGCCTGCTTCTCCTTCTCCAGCAGAGGAGTGTAGTAGTAGATAGTAGTGGCAGTCGTGTCGGGGACATGTTACGTAATTGAATGAAGCCAGACCGCCGACACCACCACCAAGCTTAAGCACCAGCAAGCTTGCCTCTGCGAATAACCACCATATCAACAACACACTACCAACGCATTTGCCCTCTGAGCGAGCCACATCTGCTTGAGATATATTCCAAGCTCTGCCCTCGAAAATCATCAGACCCCATCTTCCTATCATCACCAACCGACTACAGAATCGAATTGCGTGAATCATGACAAAGGGTACCCGCTTCCTTACCCTCGCCATCCCCGTACTCTTCATCTACATCTTGGCCCTCTATCAGATCATCCCTGTTCCTCTCCTTTCTTCCCAGTCAGCAGAAGCGGTTCTTCCCGTTGTCGGTATTAGTCTATATCATCTTGCAGGGTGTAACTAACGTATCTACAGCTTCCATGGTGGCTCCTCGTCTCTTTCGGGTCGTACTCGCTCTCGTCTCTCGGCCTGGGGCTTGTGAGATTTCACGATACGCCAGAGGCATACGAGTCGTTACTCGGGGAGATCTCTCAGGCAAAGAATGAGCTGAGGAATGCGGGGGTTGCTGTTGATTAGAGTGTGAGATGAAAGGGAGCTGGATGTATCTGTATGTGGAGTGCATAGGTGCGGGAAAGTCTGGAAGCTACACATGACACATGGATGGCCAACAATCATCAAAACAGTGTACAGCGCGATATCATCAGAAACTTGAGGAACCGGCGTTCCGTCAAAAAAGAACAGCTCGTAAGGGGGGACTACGAGCTCAACAACTCTTGCATCTCCTTCCTCATACGCGCCATCTCTTCTTCGTTCTCTTCTTCCTCCTCCACCTGTAGCGCAAGAACCATCAACATGATGACCACGGAACACACACGGACTTACTGGTAACGCTGCCCCCACGGCCCCTGCTTGACCCAGTTTGCCGTCGGTAAGCTCGAAAAGCACCTTGTCGACTTCCTGGTCTGCTTCTTCTTCCAGTTCCTCGTCGTCGTTGACAGAGTCCAATGTATCTTCCATCATTTCTTCCATTATACCGCTCTGCACAAGTGTCAGACAGAGACAGAGTAATAGACGAGCAGGACAAAGGATCAAGGAGACTCGCCTTCATCATCTCCATGCTCATTTCCCGCATGGTGGCGCTCAGCTGGGGAAGCTTCACCAAAGCATTTGTCGTCTTCATGATCTCCGTACTCTTTTGGAAAGCGCCCGTCACCTTGACCATCGCTGTAATTGATCAGCTAGTGCTATAGGCCCCTTTGTGCGTATAACTGAGACATACATAATTGATGTTGAAGCTGCATGTTTACGCTCTTGATTCTCGCTTTCGAGCTCTCAAGCCTATCTCGCTGTTTGTTGGCCCGAACGACTTCCCTCGCGAGGATACGGGCGGACTTGACATCGTTCTTCTTGGCGAGCTGTTTGAGCTCTATCCTAGATTTCTGCGTAGCTGCTTCCAGCTAGTTCCCAAGGGCGGTCAGCGCCTCTGCCCATCTCCGTTGAGCCGCAAGAGCTAAAGTACAGCCTTGATAAGAGAATCGTCCCCAAGAGCTCGAGAGCCCATGGGAACCACTGGACGCACATTGCGGATTTCTCGATCAAGCTGGCGTTCTTGAGTACGCAGCTTTCCCTGCCAGGCTTTGACTTTCTCTTCGGGGGTGGGACCGTAGATCCATTTGTTGATTGATTTCATCATTGAGCGGCGAGGCTGGGAGAGAGAGGGAAGAACGGGGGCGTGTGGATGTTGAAGTGTGCTGATAGCGTCTGTTGGCTGGAAGTGCTGCTTGAAGGTGGGGAGATGTATAGCTAGGAGATCAAGATGAGCGCAACAACACAGACCCAAGGCATCATCATCATTTATGTCGAAGGTGGTTGGCGGCGGGCCGAGTAAGGGCGGAGATGGCCGCTCGGCAGCGACGCGTTCGCGACGACTGACAGGACAGGATGCGGGTGACGAGCAATGTTATGAAGGTCCATTCGACGTGGAGCACAGAACAGAGATGTGGCTGCTGACCGTCGTGGGCAAAGTAAGGGGCCAGAATAGTAAGCTGATCCGACATCATCAACCAGCACGCTGACAACACTTTTAGATTTCACTTTCGCTCTTCAACAAGACAAGACATACTCTATTGGCAACAGCGATACTTGCGATATCAATGTCAACGACAAGTATATTAGAGCTGAAGAAGGAGCCATAAGTGTTGGCCCTTGGGATGTTGCCAATGTACTCCATCTACTAGGTCCGGTGAAATGCATGCTGACATTCATGTTCGCAGCGGCACGAGACACCCAGTTTACGTTGGAAACCCAAGGAATCTACAAAAGGCGTCCAAAAAGACAAATATCTCTTGCTACCCTCCGGAGCTGGACCACACGACGTCTCTACGGAGCTGAAAAAGTACGACCGAGCGCATGAGACTGCTGGGCAGTCAGTTGATCTGAACGCCTCCGGAGTGGTAGGCATATATCTGACAGATAATGCCTGGTTCTTGTGAGTAGAATCGACTGGGGCCATGTCAGTACTGATATCATAATGCAGCGTTGAATGGAAAGACTTGACGATATTCTACAGTAATCAGCGACATCCCTCGTCTGAATGCATAGAAATCTTCAAGCAATATTGTACGTCAACTGTGTCACCCAAGTTCTTTTGCTGATCATGCAACTCTCAGGCATCTTCATGACCACTCAGATGTTATGGGATGATCTACCCACCTATCTTGTCACTGACACCATCCGTGGTAACCACGAATGTCGCCTCGCCATCTGCGGCGGTGTACATCTCATCCTTCCAGGCTTCTTCGACTATGTTCGCGGGAGGCTGGAATCCAATTGGTCCCCAACGGTGGACTCTTACTGCAGTATGGACGTGCCAATACCGGGGGATAACAGAGAGGATTTCAGGCCAGCACCAGCTGGAAATGTACCTTTTCCAGCTGGGATTTGGTTGCCTGGAAAGGACAGGAGAAAGTATTTCAGAAAGTGGAACGTCTTGTTCCTAAAAGAATCTGCGGTATGTCAATCGTTGGCAAGGGATGATAAGAGGCTGACTGTTTATAGGCGTCAAAAGAGGTCAACTTCTTCAAGGTCATGGGGGCCACCGTCCGAGAAATGGACGTCGAGGAAAAACCCCTTCAATCTCGTGCAACTTTGGAGAAGGCTGTAATTGAATGGCTGGGAATCGTCGAGGACACAGGACACAAATCAAAAGCACTTGTTATATACAGCAACAAGGCCAAGCCATTCTTTGACATGAAGGATTTGGAAGGTGTCTGTGCCGCGTGAGTCCCATCTCGATTGAAGGTGTCAATCAATTGCAAAAACTGAATCGCGTCAGCGTTGGTATCCAGAAAGGCACTGCGGCTGTTGCTACTAGTGTAGCCACCAGCGGTGGCGCCATGGAGTACTTCCATAAACGTGAGAGCAAGGCAAGCGCTCCGAGTAATGCCAAGACCACGAACAATGCCGACTCGGGCGAAAACTCTGCCCGAGCCCCTGCCATTCACGTCCGCCCATCAAGTCCCGATGCGCCGACCAACGATAAGGCTGATGACGAGCCTCGAGATGTTGTCCCATCAACTTTCCCGAATGACCCAATATCGTCTGTCGTCAACTCCAACATACCCCAGAGAAAAGTCTACAGGCGAGGGAGAAACGCAACCTCCCCGAATCCTCCTTCCGAGGTTCGCTCTTCCTCGGCCAGGTTGAAACAGTACGAGTACTGACCATATTCACAGCTGCCTGTCACAGCCGGTTCATCCGAGGTTGGTAAAAGTACAGCCGTCTCCGCAGCCAACCTGACTCCCAACGCCCGCTCCTCACGCGGCCCGAGCCCTCAACCATCCTTCGTCCCAGATTCTGCCCCCCTACAATCTGAGCCGCCTCAAGCTCGCACCTCCGGCCCTGCCCTCACTGCAGCCATGTCCAGTACACAGCTCAACAGCGTGCCTTCTTTAACCGGTATACCCACGCGGACAGTCACGCGAAGAAGAGTAGCAACCGGGTCATCGGGTGATTCGGCGGCTCCTGCGGCTCTTGCAGCGAGGTCAAGACCGCATGCGAGGTCGGACCCTGCAGCGTCTGTGGCCTCTGCTAAACGTACGCGACACGACGTCGAAGAGAGCAGTGAGGACGAGTCTGACAAGTATGTCCAGGCGTTGTACGAAAAAAAGGGCAATTCGTTTGGAGCCACCAAAAAAGCGAGGACCGAGACCGAGCCAGACGTAGAGATGGCCGAGTCTACAGAGCAGTCCACTCGTGCGAGCAGGCGCATGACAGACAAAGAGCGTTTCAAAGCCCCCAGCGAGCTGATGCAAGTCGATACGGCGACACAAGAAGAGTCCGAGGAGGAAGAACCAGACTTGTTCAAGCAAACGCTCATGAGGACAAAGAGGCAGGCAGCAGGGAAGAAGGTGGGAGGGAACAGCTTGGGGAGGACCGAGTCGCAGAACTTGATGCCGCCTCCGACGCAGACTCAGGCCCGTGGGTCCAGGTCGGCGTCACCACAACCTCCAACCAGATCCCAGCCTGGATCGTCGCAAGCGCAAGACCTTTCCTCTCAAACCCAACGGCGACAGGGGCCTATGATTACCACGCAGAAACGGGCCCCCAACACCGAGCCTCCCACTCGAGACGAAGCGTTCCAAGCTGCCCTTGCCAAAAATCGCAAAGAGAAGGAAAAAATTGATCAACTCGACCGCGGCTTGAGTCAAATGACATTCTCACAGCGAGAGACGGGCAAGGAAGTGGACAAACCAGCGTACGAGGTATCGGATGACTTTGAGAATGAGGAAACGACGGGGAATTTTGTAGAGATTGTGAGGGTGGCAGGGCTGTTCAGAAAGGATCTGGGACAGAAGAAGCAGGCCGTGAGAGGGGACGATGGGAAACCAAACTTCAAAAAGTTCCACAAGGTTGGTCGTCTTTACACTGTGCTGGGCATAGCTGATCATGTCCGTCATTCAGAAAGATGCCCCGCGGAGAATAGCGCTCAAGATGGTCCTCAACGCCAGCATTATCAAAGAGCCTGCGATGTCCATGCAATGTAAGCTCCCATGACCTATTCCAACCTCAGCGCTAAACTGCTTGTAGCATACTGGCCTCAAGAGGAACAGAAGAAGAAACCCACCTCTCAAAATGCCTTTGATGACGACGACGACGATGATGATCGTCCCATCCTCCCCCAATCTACCGGGGCGCGTCGGCTCTTGCGGGAGACTGGCTTTGGCGAAGACGACGATGAGGACGATGACATGATACCTTCGACCTCGCGGACGGGTACAAGTACACAGAGAAGCAGGGTGCCGGATAGTCAGCCGGCTTTGACGGCGGGTCGAGCGTCGGGCAGGGAGAAGAGGGCGGCAAGTGTGGTCAGCAATGCGTCTGAGGCGCCCGCTGCTTCGTCTAGGCCGAGAGGGAAAGGTGCTACAAAGACCGCAGCGGCGGGGAAGAAGAAGCGGAGTATCCTGGAGGACAGTGACGAGGACGATGACGAGATTGTCTGGGGTACCAGTGAGACGTTTGGAAGGAGCGCCAAGAATAAGAAGGCCAGTATCGCAGGGTCGGGGACTGCTACGCTTGATGACCCTCCGCCGACTGCTACGGCTGGGAGAAGAGGGACGCAAAGAAAGAGGCTTGTTGTTGATGATGACGATGATGAGGACGTGAGTGGACCCTATCGTCAATACTAAGTCGACGCTGAATGTACATAGGGATTCGCAAACTTCAAGAGGCAAAAGATCCATTGAGCTGGACTGCTTCGTGGTGGACATTGCAAAGTTACGACATGCCCATGCAATTATGATTAGAGATACGACAGAAGATCAATCAACCTTCCACCTTGACACACTATCCGTATCGTCGCCCTCCGCATCCAACAGCAATTCTAGACTCCATACTGATAATAGCAGGGCGATGTTGATCCACCTCCACCAAGTCTGGGATCCCCCATCGAGCACTTGGAGACTAGTCAGCATTAAACGGCATGAAGAGGGGAGAGCACTTGCAAAGGAGATGGGTGTACACAGCAATGAGAATGGCTCTTCTGTATGACAGGAAGACGGTGGCAATCCTCATATTCTAGATGATTGTCAAGAGAATCCCATGTGGGAAATGAAAGCACTCACAGCAGGCTCGTCACCCAAGGTCCTTCCGTCCCAGAAACCTTCCTCGCCCTCACCGCCTTCCCGCTCATCCCACCCCATACTCGCCCGTCTCAATACTGGCACTATTTTTGCCGCCAAATGCAGGACAGCTACTCGGTATATCAGAGACAACAGCAGGTGTGGCGGCAAAGTCCTAGAGACCGTCATGAAGGAAGGAAAGAGGGAATGGAGGGCGTAGGATAGCAAAGACTGGACGGAAGGCTTGCCGATGGGCGGTATAGAGTATGACTCGCGAAGCGGAGAGGGGGAGGGGAACCAGGAAGAGCCAAAAGTACGAGCAGGCATCTCTGCTTCGACGCCAGAAAGCCATGCGCTGTAGACGACGTAGACAAAGACCAAGCTGGTTTCGAGAACATTGGTCCGTTTGAGGGTGAAACCGATCATGGAGAGGAAGACGACGGACGACAAGGCCAGGCCCAGGAGGAAGGCGGGCCATGGAAGCTCGGGAAAGGTCTGTGGTAAAAGTCAGTTGTGTTTTGCCCCGAAGGGAGTGGCGCACCTTGATGATGCCCGCCAACCCGGCACAGTACACCAAAGCAGCAGCGATAAGCGCCACGACACTCCTCCATTCCAATCCCTCATCTCTGTCCTCTTCATCCGCCCAGCCCTTGCCCACGCGGCCAGCGACTTGGATGACGAGCAATGTGCTGATACCTTCTAGCAAGGTGAAGAGCGGGCTGACCCATCTCAATATTTGAGCGTACCCGAACGGGAAAATATTGACCAGCCAATGTGAGAGTGAGGGCAGGAGGGAGTGAGGGGAAGGGGGAGAAGGGGGGTATAGGTAGTAGTAGACGGTGATGACGACCATGAGGGATGAGAGGAAGGGGGAGAGGAAGGAGAGGACGGACATGAAGGGGGCGAGGGGCGAGTTTTTGAGAAAGAGGCGGAGGGTGGAGTAGAGGACATGGTGGATGGTGAAGAGGAAGGACAGGAGCAGGAAGGAAGGAGGGCCTGGAAGGGGTGAGCGTGGGGGTGGGGCGGGTGGGGCGGGTGGGGCGGGACTGACCGAGGAGGTGGAGGGCCATGGGGAGGGCGAGGAGGACGTGGGCGAAGGTGGCGATGCCCTGGGAGAGGGAGAGGAGAGCGAGTGCGCCCATGCTGCTGAGATGAGATGAGAGGAGAGAAGAGAAGAGAAGAGAGATGCTGAGCTCGGCGCCCACCGCCCGCCCCAGTCCTTTGTTTGTCCCATCGCATCTCATCAATCATCCGCCATGCTCGCCCGGAGCATCACCCGGCTGCCCCCCAGAGGCATCAGAGGCACCAGAGCCATCCCCCGCCGCCCCCACAGCACAGCCCGCACCCCTCCACCCCCCCACCTCAAAACATCAGCCTTCCTCTCCATCGCCCTCCTCACCTCCGCCTACTTTGTCTACCAGTACGAGTCCTCGGCCGCCAAAGAGATCACCACCAGCACTCCTGGAGGCCGCCCCGTCTCCTTCCTCAACGGGCACAGAGAGTCCAAGTTCCAGCTCAACATCCAGACTGGCCGCGGCGTGCAATCATTCGAATTCGACCGAAAGCCCGATGCCCAAGTCGAACGACTGATCAGGGAGCACGAGACCAGTCGCTCCATTCGCAGGACAGGCAATCCTGTCGTGCGATGGGACAACAACTGGGTAGGCTCGAACGACCCTTGTGAAGACCGTTGGTCCACAGACCTCGTCGAGAGGAACCAGACTGCATCGGAGCGAATCCGCAAGGTCGGCTCTTTCTGGAATGCGTGGTTTAGTGGAGATGAGCCCAGTGTGGGCAAGGATGGTGCGGGAAAGCGAGATCTGATAATGTTTTCCATCATGGATGGCCACGCTGGTGATGCTACCTCGACATTGCTCCAGAAGGCGCTCCATCCCACCATCGCGGTGTCTCTTGCCAACCTCCAGGCCGGCTATGCGCCTCATCAGGGAATCTGGAGCCAATGGTCTGGATATCTTAGCCCCTGGTACTGGCTTGGGACGGAGAAGACTTGGACTCCTGGAAATGTCTCCAGCGCTATTCAGAATGCGTACGTCGATCTCTTACTGAAAGGTATCGAGCTCACGACGAGTCAGCTACCTGCAACTCGATGAGAACATTTGTCAAACCCCGGTCCGCCTTATCCCATCTCTGTCCGAGCCGACCAAAGACGCTTCGTCACCCTCCGCCCAACAGACCCTTGTCGCCCTCGCCGAGCCCGCCGCCTCGGGTGCTTGTGCCATCTCCACCCTCGTTGATGCAGAGAATGACGATCTCTACGTTGCCCTCGCTGGAGACTGCCGTGCTATCGCAGGATGGCAAGGTGTTGATGGCAAGTGGCGATGTGATGTACTGACCGAGGATCAGATGGGAGAGAACCCAAGAGAGATTGAGAGGATGAGGAATGAACATCCTGTCTCGGAGAGGGAGACTGTCATCAGGAATGGGCGCGTGCAAGGTGGTTTGCAACCTACGAGGGCGTTTGGCGATGCTGTCTACAAGTGGAGCAATGCCGAGGCTGCTGCGTGAGTCTTGTCTACATGTGCGGACCGACTAATCCCAGGACAGTATTGCAGGCGCATTCAAGAGCGAAGGTAGCAAACCCCGAGCAGGCAGACCATGGAACTATACGCCTCCTTATGTGACTGCCCGTCCGGAGATGACATACCGCAAACTTCATCCCGAATCCGGCGACAGGCTCAAGTTTATCGTCATGGCCACCGACGGTTGTATGTATACATTGATTGTTACCCGCAAAGAAGTCGGCTGATCACTTGCAGTGTGGGACAGAATAACTTCGGAGGAGGCGGCCCTTCTGACAGCTTCTTACCTCTCCCATCCCACTCGCAAACCCATTCCCAAGACATCACTGCCAAAGCTCTTCCCTCTCGCCCCCCCTCTCCCCCCTTCCGAGCGCCTCTACCCCGCACAAGAGCTGCCGCAACCCGAAGGCGAGACGTGGGTCTACGAAGGCGATGAGAATGCCGCGACGCATTTGATAAGAAATAGCCTGGCTGGTGGTGATGTCAATCTCAGGGGAGAATTGATGAGTTTGAGCGGCAAGGTGAGTAGATGGATGAGGGACGACGTCACTGTTTCGTGAGTGTGCTTTCCGATGCTGCTGACGGGGCGATGCGCTGACGTGAGGACTAGGGTGGTCTTCTTTGGCGATAGTTGAGATCACAATGACGTTTCACATGCACACTACGAGTACTGTTATAAAGCATCCACTACACATGTCCATGGCCCTCTCGGTCGAAAGAGGTTGCTGGCCCAGTGAAAGCGCTTTCTTCAAGTCTGCTCCAGGATCTGTCTCTCAGATCAACAGTGCATACAATGTTCATGTCATGAAGATACATTAAAGCCGAGTGTGTCTAGTATATATAAAAACAAACAAAATAACCCTTTTTCCTTCTGCCGAAGGACCTCAAGCTTACTTGAAGTTCTTACCGTCGGCCCACTCCCTACCGTTCTCAACGAGGTCCCAAGCCATAGAGCCCTCGAAGAAGGCCTTCTCATCGGCGTTCTCAATGTTCATCTTGGTAAAGGAGTAAGACTCCCAGTCGGGGGCGACGTTGACCACGGGCACGGCGTCTTGGCCTCGGAGGACAATAACACCAGCGATGGCAGAGTCGTTGGTCTTGCCAAGGACACCGACGGAACCAAAGAGGTACTTTCGGGAAGCCTCGAGACGGTTGAAGAAACCACCGACCTGGTTGTTGGACATGAACGGCATGGTCAACTCCTCGTTGTACTTGAAGTCAACCCTCCAGATGGAGAAGCCCTCGTAGTCAAAGTTCTTGTAAAAGTACTCGAGAGATCCACCGGGTCCTCGGGTGTCCAGGTTGGAGTAGGCCCTCTTCCAGTCTTCGAGGTTGAAGGGAGACTTGGGAAGGTCGTCGAGAGGGTTCCTGACCTTGACCTCGGCAGGAACAAGGGGCTCCTCTTCCTCCTCCTCAGGCTCCTTGGCCTTGGGGGCCTTGGGAGCCTTAGGGGCCTTCTCAGCCTTGGGCTTCTCGGCCTTGGCCTTGTCAGCCTTGGGCTTGGAAGCGGTCTGGGGAGCGGGAGCCTTCTCGGTGAACTCGAGAGGAGTGAAGATGGCCTGGAGCTTGGGGTGGCTCACAACACTGGAGATACTGTCAGCAAGAGTGCTGCTTGAGGAAGGCAGATGACTTACGTGTTGACGTATCGGACAACGTTGGGGACCTGAGCACGGGCGGCGGCATCAAACCATGAGGTGAAGATGTTGGTAAGAGCAGTGACGATGAAGATATCGGCAAGGGTGATTCGCTCGCCAACGAGGAAGGTCTGGTCGAGGAGAATATCGTTGATCACCTGGATTCGGCTGGTGATCTTGTCGACGACGGCCTGGAAGATAGGCTTGTGGTAGGGAATTCGACCAGCGAGCATACCGTTGGCGACACCGGAAGGGATGAAGATCTATGTCGGGCATAAGTCAATGGACTTGTTGATCTATTCTAATGAGCTGCTCACCTCCTGGTCGGCGGTAGCCTGCCAAGAGTGGACGACGGCCTTGCCCTTGGGGTCAGAGGGGAGGAGGGTCTGGTTGGCACCGATCTCGGCGACTATCGTGCAACCGTCAGCTCGCATTCCATGTTGTGAGACGACCTCTATTCAACGAGAGAGCAGAGCGCTTTGTTTCAGAGGTATGACGGTACCACCCGCCGGAAAATCCTCGACATAAGGCCGAAGCCATTAAGACAGGGATAACTGAATGTAAGTCTCATCCTTAAAAGCGCTCTGCTCCCTGTTGCACTCTCTACCTCCACCCGAGTACACCCTCGCATTTGACGAGAATATAGACTCACTGTACTCGGCGATAGCGCTAGACTCCCTGATGACGGTACCGTCCTCGAGCTCGAGAATAGGAACGAAACCAAAGGGGTTCTTCTGGAGGAACTCCTCGGTCTTCCACTCGTTCTGGAAAGACCACGACTTGTCGTGCTCGAGCTCGACACCAGCGAGGGCGGCGGCAGCGAGGACACGGCGGACTCGAGAGTTACCTGAATGTCATGTCAGCTAAGCGCCGGGAGAATTTCTGATAGACTCACCAGGGAAACCGGTGAGCTTGGGGGCCATTTTTGGGATTTGTAGAGAAAGGAAAGAAAGGAGCGAGTTTTTGGATTTTTTACGCACCCGGAATTTGGCGGTATTACTGCGTGTGGCATCGAATCATCCATCTTGCCCCTTTTCCCTGTTCATGCATAATACTTTCGGCTCAGAAAGGCCAGCTTTCAGCACATGCATCCACTGATATAACGCTTGATGGCATAGTGCGCGAGAATGTGTTTCGTGTGGCGGTTGAGCGCAATGCATAAAAGTACCGGAAAGGTTCCCGCAACCCCTATACTAATCTATATGTTTTTACTTCTATTACTTCTTGTTTGAACCCGACTCTGAAACCCAGAAAGAAACAAGAGCAGAGGTGAGGGAATATACAACCTCGAACTCGCCTTTCAAAGAAAACCCAAAAGACAAGTGCGAAAAATGAAAGAGAACTAAATGGTGTTCGGGTATATGAGATGCTATTTACTTTATATCATGTGGAAGGAGGTTCGTGGAGGGTAGGTCGTGCTGTCTATAGACAAAAATGCGATTGAAAATGTTCGAGTGCGAGGAGGAACTCGCGCCAGGGTCCGGACTAACAGATGCCCCAAATTACACAGAAGGAGGGAAAGAAACCACAAACGCTAGCCTTGGAGAAACGGACAGACAGCTTAGAGGGTAAGCTGCTTGGGCTTCTCCCAAGAGTAGTTGGGGTTACCGAAGTGACCGTAAGCGGCAGTCTTGAGGTACTGGGGCTTCTGGAGGTCGAGGGCCTGGACTATGGGGGTGTTAGTGCTCTAATTCAAATGACACAGCAAGGCTCGACTTACCGATGAGTCCGGGTCGGAGGTCAAAATTCTGCCTGATGATGTCGACCAATTCGGCGTCGGTCTTCTTGCTGCTTCCGTAAGAGTCGACAAAGATGGAGAGGGGCTCAGCGACACCGATGGCGTAGGAGAGCTGGACAAGAGCTCGTCGGGCAAGACCAGCGGCGACGAGGGACTTGGCGATCCATCGAGCAGTGTAGGCGGCAGATCGGTCGACCTTGGACCAGTCCTTACCGGAGAAGGCGCCACCACCGTGGGCACCCCAACCACCATAGGTGTCGACAATGATCTTTCGGCCAGTAAGACCGGCGTCACCCTGGGGACCACCGATAACAAATCGGCCAGAGGGCTGGATGTGGTAGACAACCTTGTCGTCGAGGAGGTTGGCGGGGATGACCTTCTTGATGATCTTCTCAAGGATTTCCGTTCGGAGATCCTCGGTAGAGATCTCCTCAGCGTGCTGAGTAGAGATGACGACGGTGTCGACTCGAAGGGGAATCATAGCTCCGTCCTCGCCCTTCTTGTACTCGATGGTGACCTGGGTCTTGCAGTCGGGTCGGAGCCAGCCCAAAGTACCGTCTCGTCGGGCAGCAGCCAAAGCGGCGTTAAGCTTGTGGGCGAGCATGATGGTAAGGGGCATCATCTCGGGGGTCTCGTCGGAAGCGTAGCCGAACCTGGTATAATTGTCAGCCATCGTCCTTGGCCTACTTACTTCATGGTACTCACATGATACCCTGGTCACCAGCACCAATGGCCTCAAGACCACCGTGCTCGAGACCCTGAGCGATATCAGGAGACTGCTGCTCAATGGCAACAAGGACGTTACAGGTCTTGTAGTCGAAACCCTTCTCAGAAGAGTCGTAACCGATCTGCTTGATGGTGTCTCGAATGATCTTCTGGTAGTCGAGCTTGGCCCTGGTGGTGATCTCACCGAAGACCATGATCATACCGGTCTTGGCAGCGGTCTCACAGGCGACCTGGGACGGATGTCAACACTTGAAGTAAAGCTAGCACAGGGGCACGACCTACCTTGGAGAAGGGGTCTTCGGCAAGACAAGCATCGAGGATAGCGTCGGACACCTGGTCACAGATCTTGTCGGGGTGACCCTCACCGACAGACTCGGAGGTGAAGAGGAAGCTGGGGATGGTGAGCGAGTGTTGTGACAAGAACGTGCGAGCTGTTGGGTCGCGCGAAAAAAACTCACTGGCCGGGGGCGAGAGCAGCAGCGGGACCGTTACCGTTGGTAGCCATTTTGGGTATTTGTGGGAGTGTGGATAGAGGAAGAGAAAGAGAGAAAGAGAGGGAAATAAGATGGGTGATAAAAACAAAAGATAGAAAAAATGGACACTCTCGGACGAGCCCTCGATGGCGTGCAAAAAATCTCGAATTCCCAGGCGGACATCCCCGTCGACGTGGCGCTTGGCCGGTTGGCCCTGCCTGCCACCGCTATGTATTCGAGGGCACCCCGCCATGCATCTCAGGGGTCTCCTGCCACCATGCACATTCTATCGAGGGGCATGCACAGCTTGGGGTACCCCCAGGAGTCTCTACGCTGTCGAAGGCGTCAGTATGGCGTGACTTTTATCACCCAACGCTGCTCAGAGGTCACCCCTGTTCCTCATAAAGCCGACCACCTCGCTGCAAAGGAAGCTCGTGCTATCATCAGGTAAGGGGAAATGAGTCGCTGAACATTGGGGCTGTGGTATGGAGTATACTGAGTAGTAGCCTGGCTTTACTAAAGGAGCGAAGTCACCAGCAGACAGAGCCCCTCTTTCTCGCCCACGTGCAAGTCATCCAGTCACCTGCCTACATATCGGGGGGGGGGGGGGTGATGATCATGAGAGTCTTTGCATACAGGCTCAGCACAAGCCCCGAGCCTTGATATGTACTCGTACAGTACTCGAGTAGAGTACGAGTAGAGTACGAGTACAAAGTTAGATTTGCGCGCGGTGGAGGCTGGCCGGACCCAATCTCCTGCGCTCCTCGACATTATATAGGTTGGTATCTTTTCTCACACCATTCTCATCCCTTATTCTTGGGCCACGCGTACCATAACAGATATAACCCGACAGTCTCTCACGCTCTGCCATGCAGGAGAGTCCCCCGCTACAAAGACATCTGGACTCGCAGGCCGAGCTCTTGAGGGCCGCGCTCGCGTTGCCACCAAAGCTACGCAGGGGTGCGTCGTTTCAGCTTGCTGTCTGGTATTATATGGGCCATGAGCTGACTTATACATTGTGTCAGAGCTCACAACAAGTTTACTTTGGTCGCTGCCTCGAAATGGTAAGTGGCGATTGGCAACTGGGCTTGGCTAACCCCTCAAAGATGTCTTGCAAATCAATGAGACAATCAGCTCCATGCTTCAGAAAGATATAGTTGGGGCGAGTCTCTCTATGCTGTAGCAACTCGCCATGTGTATTGACATCAATCAGTCGTTGCCGCCGGAGCTCTCTTTCTTGATTCTGAGTCAGCTGGAGCTGGATGATCTTTTGCAATGTACCCTTGTCAGCCAAACCTGGGCTAGACTGTGCAATGAACAAGGTGAGTATTATTCCCTGCCAATCTCACCTGTGATGCTGATGCTACATTTCCAGTACTCTGGGCATACCTATGCGCCTCTCATTCCCCACCCATAAAACCAATGTCGATCACCTGGCAGGACATCACCACCAACCGTATCCTCCCTCCTTCAACTCAAGAGGACACCGACGACCCTACATTCGACGTATCTCCATCCGACGAGAGACTGAGTAACCACCATGAGCTCCTCTCCGCCCATGCAGTCCAACATGATAGCGGGGGCGCAGCTGCAGCGGATCCGCTGGGGATGAGCGGTGGATTGAGGAGGAATGTATGGGAGAGAGGCGGAGCCGGGATTGGAGAAACTCTTCCGACTCATCTGCACAAGGCGTTGGACTTTTGGGATCGGCAGCAAGAAGCAAGAGTCATAGACGCACCCGTGGCTTCTCACATGGCGGTTCCCTCGGCCAAGCCCCAAGTCAACTTTAAACACCTGTTCATCCTCCACCATGTCCTGCGAAAGCGGATGACGACGCCCAGGTCAATCGGATCGAATATATCCCAGTCACAGCCGTTTACGACAGGGAAAGTGCACCGAGACGTTCCTCGGCCACCTCCTCTGCCCAAACCACGGGCCGTCGACGCAATATCTTCAGTCAAGTACGGCGGTCTTCCCGGCCATTCGGAAGCCGTTTACTCGTTGACACTGGTCAATCACGCGATGACGATTACCATGCTACAGGTGTGTCCCGACTGCAACATCCAATTGGGGATCAACCCTGGTCTGCCCGGTACGGCGGAGGGGCAATTCCAGCGCTCCGTCATGAACAACGTCATGTCTCTTGATGGTGTCCCGTCCTCGTCTCGACGTGCTTCTCTCGACGACTCGGCCATAAACAGGAACGTCGTGAGTGGGCGAGATTGGCTATTGTCTGGCTCGCGAGACAAGACCTTGCGCCTCTGGCAGCTCACCCCTGTCCCAAGGGTGGTCAAAATCTTCCACGGCGGCCACACTTCCTCTGTCCTCACACATTCAATAGTCACGTTACCAGAGCACGGCATCCTCCCTCTACTCTCCCTATCGTCACCCTCAAAGCTTTCGCGCTTCTCTCTCGATAGGGAGGCAAAGAAGAGGCTGATGGCTGTCAGTGGCGGAAGTGATGGGAGGATATGCTTGTGGGATGTCGAGGGGGGCAGTGGAGAGCCTGTCAAGTGCGTGAATGCCCATGACCAATCGGTCCTCTGCGTGAGGGCAGACGAGGAGAGGGTTGTCAGTTGTTCTAAAGGTAAGCGTCGTTTATCATGTCTTCCAAAATACTTACACCTGAAACAGACAAAACGATCAGAGTCTTTGACATATACACTTTGGAAGAACTCATGGTCATCGGCGGCGCCACCGACCCACGAATGCACCGCGGGGCGGTCAATGCTGTCGGGTTGTCCAAGGATCTCATGTAGGTATCCACTGCTGAATGATGGGCAAGGAAGGCACTGACTCCTATATAGCGTCTCTGCGTCTGGTGACAGAAGCCTTCGTGTCTGGTCGATACATACAGGCGCCCTCCTGGCCTGCCTTGATGGTCATCACCGCGGTATCGCCAGTATTGACGTCTGCCAAGTACCCAAAAAGCTTCCTTTTCTTCGCAAAGGACAGATTTGTAAAGGAACAATAATCACAGGGTCTTCCGACGCATCCATCAAGAGCTTTTACCTTATCGAAGAACAGCCCTCGGTCTCTGATGTTGTTCATGGCGACCTGGACATGTGGTCAGCTTCAGAAAGTGAACCGGAAGATGAGAATATACACAATGCGCATCATCCCCTCCCATCCCCGCCTCTTACTCAGATTCCTACAGAGCTCACAGAAAGAAACACCAAGATTGCTCTTATTGAACGAGATGTCTTTTGGTCGCCATGTGTATGTCCACCTGGACTCATGAGGCCAGACGCATCTGGGACATGTGCAAGGTGCTACAACAGAGGGCATCTGGATCTTGTACGATCTGTACATCTTGGCAAGGATGTGGTGCTCTCTGCGAGTTATGATGCTACCGTCAAAGTGAGTGTCAACCTCTCGATTCCATCGTAATAACTCGTGGGCTAATACGTGGGTAGATCTGGAATAGGAAATCTGGCAGAGTTGTAGCCGATCTCAAAGACGCTCACGCGGGCCGTATCTTCTGCGTCGTTGGTGATCGATTGCGGGTGGTATCATCTGGTCTAGACTGCAGGATCAACATCTGGGACTTTTCGGAGGGGCTCGATACATCTTTTGTGGAGCCATAGGGCTTTGTACCTCGTCGTAGAGTGTTCTTGTCATGACTACATGTAATGCCATCCAGCTAGATCTCATACAAGGGCGTCCAGGTCTGCCAGATTGTTCTTGGTCACCATATCTTCCCGTATCGGTGCTTGGGGGCTTGCGAGTGATCTGTGTCTTCTTTCGCCAGCCGCTTGACTTGGGAAAGAAGGGAACAGATCTGGATGTTTCGGTAGTGGGTGTTCTCTGTGACATGACCGTTCAGACTTCGTGAACAAAAAGAGAAGTGGTGTACATACGTGAAATAAGGGTGTCTGCTTCCCTCTTCGGCACTGATTCGTCTGTCAGGATCATACCACAAGAGGGACGATAGCAGATTGTGTCCTTCCGATGTGAGGTATTTGAACCTCTGTCGAAGCGTAGAGTATCTGCATAGCGGGTCAGCCGCGTGCGCGGTGTAGCTCAGACGACACATACAAAGGACCAACAGGGTGCAATTTTTTTACCAGAGGCAAGGAGGTATATCGAGGCCATGATTCTTCATTCGGTCTTCCCAAGAGGGAAAATATCTGTTTTGTGATGGTCAGCTTTATGGACACCGTATAAAGTGATACGACACTGACCCGATTGATCTGATCGATTTCTCCTCTTCCTGGGAAGAGCGGCTCGCTCTGCATTAGCTCCGCAAAGATGCAGCCTATTGACCACATGTCTACCGCTGTCGAGTACTCCTCACTACCCAGCAAGAGCTCTGGTGACCTGATGATCACATCAGCTTCTGAGCTCATCGAAGCAGTTCCACCGAACGCGCACCGATACCATAGCGTCACGACCAGCTGTGTCATGTCCCCTAGAGGCTCTCCAAACTTTCGTGCCAGTCCGAAATCGGCGACTTTGATTTGCCCTCTGTTATTCATCAATAGATTCGAAGTTTTGAGATCTCGATGAAGCTACTCGACGTTCGTCAGCTCGTTGGATCGTATTTTGGAAAATGGAATGGTGGTACTCACGATCCAGTTGTCGTGACAGTGCCCTACTGCAGATAGAAGCTGCAGCATGATTGTCTTGACCTCGGACTGGAGAAAAGGATGGGGCATGTCTGCCAGGAGAGTCTTGAGATCATGTTCGATGAAGGGCATTACAATGAACACCCTACAATATTGCATTAATAAACGTATACGGCTGCAAGACTGGACTGACGTACTGGTTCAATGTATCTCCTACAACAATTTCCCTGATCCCGACTACATTATCATGATTCCCAGCACTCAAGAGAGCCATGATCTCTCTCAAGCTCGTGATAGGAAATCCTTGCTTCTCCTCCTCCAACTTCAACTTCTTCAGCGCATATATTCCGCCAGTATCATTACACCGTGCACGGAAGACGACGCCGTAGGTTCCTTCTTCAATATGGTTGAGACGAGTGTAGTTGAAAACTGATCTGCATGAAACCAAGGACGGATGGGCGGAGCGAGGGGGGGCGAACCGAGAACGAGGAGGAGCAAATGATGGGGCCGAGGGAGATGCGACAGGGGAAGGCTGTCGAGATATTTGTTTTGGAGTCGGTTTCGTTGCCTGCGACCCATCTGGAGATGGTTCTTGTGGCGGCTGTCCAGAGACCCCGGAGATCCGACCCTCTTCAAGTGGCGGCGAAGGTTCGTCTTGAACCTGTCTTAGCTTTTTTGGCCGAATCAATCGACGTTTGATGGTGACTGGCGCAGAAGATGGCTCTTCTTCGCCTATATTTTCTATCAAGTTCAAACGTTTTCTGCTGGGCGACCTTGGTGACTGGCTCTCGTCCGTAGTAGGAATCGCTTGGATATCTAGTAATGGCCATCAACATAAAAGGCAGAGGAGGACAGCCGTGTAATGCGAGGACTTACGACGAGATGAGGAGGCTATGGGTTGCTGGTCCTCCATGGCTGACCCGTCCGGAGCACTCATCATGATTTCAGTCCGGGTATCTGGATTTGTCGAACGAGCAGGCCGCTTGGAAGAGATAATATGTACAACAAATGCAGCTCGTCGGCGTCCGTCACGCCGAGATAGATAAATCATCCCCGGAAGACCGCCAGAAATTTGATTCCGTTCATCAAAAGCTCTCTACTTGCAGTGAGAAACAGAAACTCGTCATATTCTCTTGTGAAGCGACCTGGACCGGGCGCAATATAGGCGCGATGCAAAGATTTAGCAGATTATAAAGATCTAGGGGGTATATGCATGCGAAAGTTGAGATTGGGGGTCAATAAAGTACAAACTCTGCAGTGAACGCCGTATCTACCTCCTGGCCCGCGTCTACAACCAGCCTAATATCATAATATGGAGAGACAAACACATGCTCTAAACCTAAGCCTCTGAAGCCTTCTCTTCTCCTACAACCTCCTCTTCCAGAACGCCAACTTCATATTCTCCTTGCACGTCCCACCTACTTCCGGGGGCGTTTGCACCGAGATACTTGACAAACTTCATCACTCCCGGGTCTCTCAATACAAGCAGAAGCTTGTTGAAAGCGACCGGCTGGGTGAGAAGAGGGCCATCGTCTTCCTCGCCATGTTCGGAATCAGAGTCAAAATCTGAAGGTGAGAATTGATTGGGATCAAATTCGAGTTCTTGCCCGCCAATTGAGATCGAGGGACCACCATCCGCCTTGCTGGCGCCATTGCCGTTGGTCTGGGGCGCAGCCTGTTTCTCGGAGGCAGAGTCGGTCTTTTTGCCTTCGGCTTTGTTCTCCTCCTGCTGGTGCTCATGCTTGGGCTTCTTGGCCATGGTGCTCTGATACACTGCAGGGTCCTCATCATCATCGGGAGCAGCAAGGTATGCCTCCCAGCCACCATGCTCAATCAATGTGTCCTCCTCATCGCTTCCGGCAGGGACGTCCGCCCACCACGTGGCTCCCAAGGAGACATCCAATCGGGCGTCACCCTCTCGCCCTTCGCCGTTGGCCAAAGTATAGTCGAGACCCTTCCTGAACCGCCGAGCCTCGTTCCGATGGCCGGTAGGCGCCAATGAAGAGACGACAGATAGCCAGGCGCGGAAAGCATCAGAGGGGAAAAGAACATTGTGGATCGATTGGAAGATTGGGGTGGAAGTGGAGCTGTCTGTGAGAGCAACATAACGATGCTTAGATGAGGGACCTTGTATGACCCAGCCATCGCCCTCACCAGTTTCCTGGGGCGTCAAAAGTGTCTCCAAGGGAGAGTAGTCCCTCTTGTCCACACCTTCAGTCTCAGCCTTGAGCTTGGCAGCGAGCTCCGGCTGGAGGAAGTTGTGGAGAACGATCTCGGAAGCCTCTACAAACTGTCCGGAAAGACGTTCGAGCGTGGGAGCGGTGAGATATGAAGCGGAGAGATAGTTGGAGAGGAAGGCGAGATCAGAAGGCTTCAGGCCGACCGGAGGGGGAGTAGGGTAACAGACGAAGGGAAGTGAAGGTGCAGAAGTCTACAGGAGGTGAGCACTACACTGTGAGCAGTAAGGTGATGACTCACAATTTGTGCCAAAGAACTGAGCTCCTTCTGGGCCTTTTCCTTGTCAAACACTTGGAAGCCCTCTTCACTCTCGACAGGTCGATGGAACCTTCATTGACGTCAGACAATCAACAAAAAAGGCATACCGGGCTCTAAAGTACTTACCAGCCACTGACACTAAACCTCTGTCGCCCTTCGTCAATAACGACTTCCTCTACGGCATGATAGCTTCGCCCCGGTTGCACCTAGAGAGCATGGGTTGAGCACGATTTCGACCAGGGAGCTGTTGACAGGCTTACCTCGAAAAACACAATTTGACCCCAGGTAGCGGAGACCTTTGCCAACCGCTTCACGCTGGGAGGACCAACCTCCTCGTCGCCTTCTACAGGAAACAACTCGAGTCCACCACCCCAGGACGGGCTCCAACCCTTGAGAAATTTCCCATTCTTGGATAGCTCAAGGTCCACATCAGTGGTCTCAGAAGCATCCTTGGGGGACCACGGTAAATAGAGGATATATGAGATCAGACGAGTGGAGATCGAATCATCGTGGAGGAGGAGATGCGAGCTTGTAATTGGTCAGGTCAAGGCGCCAATGGTCGCACTCGAATTAGAACTCACCCCTTGGTATAGAGAGCACAGGACAGGTCCGTCTTGATTCCAGACAGTGGTCCGCATCCGGTCACTTGACGAACAAGATTCCTAAACTCTTGAGAGTAGAGGGCATTCTTCAATCGGGTAAGCAGCGGAAGAGCATCAAGCGTCTCATCTGGCAGATGCTCCGGGCTCAGAGACGAGAGGTCGGGAGTCTGCTGGATTCTGTAGATGTCTGTCTCCTTGTGTTCCCAGCCCCAACCAGGGAGACTTCCCTCTTCACCTCTAACGCCAAACTTTTTGGACTCTTCCACCACACCTTCGAGCTAACAATCACATCAGCATAGTGACGATCGTGCTAGCAGCACCGAGAGCAGTGCAAGCACTCACCAAATCGTCACTCAAGAGGCCTCCAATGACGGCGTGTCTGAAAGGGGCGGCATTGACATAGTCCTCCCTGTAAGCAGCCACATTCTCCGCCGAGGGATGATTTATGGCCGCCTGAGCTCCCTGGTCGGCGTGAGACCGGGCTTTTTTTGCGGCCCCGGAGGCAGCACCACTGGGAGAGCGTTCTCTAACGGCGGCGGGCATCGCTGAGGGGTAATATGTCTTTACAGAGAAAGATGAGAAAAAAGTTGGAGCTCTTTAATTCGGGCGAAATCGCGAGGCTCATAAGAAAACAAAATTGATTCCGTGGCATATGATCATTTACATAAGGGTCGCCGCGGTTAGCCCCGATTTCCGAGACAAGGAGCCCGATACTTAATTACTTATACACCGATATATACACCGATACTTGGCCCGATAACGCAGGTGAAACACCGTCCAAAGCCATTTCATGGGCCATTCACGTATTTGCTCTATGCAGCACCCATACATGATTGACGTGTATTCCCCGCCTGGGCTGGAGCGACTCCAAGGCAAGGGTAGGGTGGCCACCTTGGGTGAGTCGAAGCCACTCACGCATCGATCCGCTCTGACACGGTTATCGCCGAAAGGCATGTTCATTATCGACCACTTTGAGGTTACAGATCAGCACGGGAATCTCGTATCCACAGAAGATGAAGCGGTGAGGCTCCGTAGTATGCCAGCAAGTACTGTGTGAGGCTGACAACTCTGCAGATAGGGGGAGGAGGCATTTTCGGTACGCAATATAAGACGCCGGTGACACGGCATAGCTGACTTGGCTTATAGCCATGATTGCTGCCCGACAGTTTCTCCCATCGAGCCATGTTGGTCTGCTCGTAGATAAGGGATTTGATTTCCCTCCAAGGTTTACCGAGGATCTCGAGAAGCTTGGCAAGGACATGATATGGTTTCGACATCGGGATGGCCCAACTACCCGAGCTCTCAATATCTACTCTGGCCGCAAGATAGGGTAGGTCTCCGGCGGGTAGTACCAGAATCACTGCTGAGCTTCAATCCAGAGAGGGTCATCAGTCTTTCAAGTACATCTCGCCACAACTGCAGATCTTCCCCAGGGATCTCATTGTTGATCCATCGCCTTTCGCCAAACCTCTTGCACCCGAATGGATACATGTTGTCTGCGGGTCTCCCCGTATGAAGCTCATAGTTGAAGAGCTAGAAGGACTTAAGCGAGATGCTGTCAACGAAGGGGCTTCTCCTTTGGAATCACAGCTTGTATGGGAACCCTTACCGGTTTGTTTTGTCTGATCTTCATGACCAAAGTCTGGGCTGATGTGGAATGGGCTTGCGTAGTTCAGCTGTACCCCTGGCGAGTCTGAAAGCCTGATTTGGCTTGCGTCCCGTATCGCTATCTTCAGCCCCAACCTTCTGGAGCTCCAATCTATCCTCGGCATCTCCACGGTCTCGAGTCCAACCCACAGCGATGCTGAGATAGCAGCTCGTGCCTTCTTGAAACTTCTCACAGAAAAGTATCCCAACGTACCGGCTCCTGCCATAGTGGTGAGAGCTGGGGAACTAGGGGCATTCACACTGTCGCCGGACTGGACAGGCTGGGTTCCCGCATTTTGGAGAGAGGAAGAACAATCTCAAGTGGTTGATGTCACGGGCGGAGGTAATTCGTTCCTTGGGGGACTGTTAGCCGGTCTCTTGCTCTCCGACGGGGACATCAAAGCAGGTAATGTCTTTCTGCCCTTTTGACCAAAACGTCCTCTGATACCCAGTTCAATGTGCAGCATCGATATTTGCCTCGACAGCCGCATCTTTTGCAATTCAACAGCGTGGGCCTCCCATTTTGACTTTCGATGGAGATGTAGAGAAATGGAATGGTGAAGTGGCGTGGGATAGGCTTCATGATCTTAAAAATAGAGTATGGTAAGATGTTAGTCTCTGTCTGTCCGTTCCAAACGACAGCGGCTGTCATAGTCGTCGTGCCGGGATCGCGCTCCCCGGCTCCGCAACAATGGGTGTCGCGTGCTTCGCGTTCTGCCCTAAACATCTTCGCCTGTCGTCCTGTGGATTATTTCCGAAGCTATGAAAAGCGACGATCCTCTCTCGCTGACGAAATCCTTCGTCCAGAACGTTCGCTCTCAAACGCGCATCACCCCGTGCGCCTACCTTTCTAGCTTTGCGTCACTCGTCTATACTTTCTGTCAGAATGTTTATGTCCTTTGTGAGGGTCGTAATGTTTGAGTTTCTGGAAGTTTCCTAGCTGGCGGATCAATGGAAACCGAGTGTATCTTGAGCTTGATGAGCTACCCGTCATCCATTCTTGTTCTGAGTGGCCTACCAGAAGGTGGGGTCAAAGGATGTCGCTAGCAATTCAATGGAAAGGCCCCCGCAAGGACATAGGAAACTCTGAGCAGTGATACGAAAAATACATATACTAGATATCGTTCCGCCGTGCCAGAGTTTGGCTTGACTTTACCAGACATTGGCATCTATCAGAGTTGTTTCGCCCCCCAAGACGCAGCACAGATCTATTTGACCAAACTCAAGCTAGCAAGAAGTATAATAGGAGCAGAATATATCCTCAACTGTGCAACTCGGCTGGACCATGCCTATCGAAGTAACACCTTCCCCTCAGACAATGATGTCCCGCGCCTTCCTTCCCCCTGGCTGGTCCTCTCTCCCGCCCACAGGACCGGTCCGAGCAGTTAATTGCGTCCCTCGCTCTCAAGCTCCCAACAGCGTCATGTCCAACGGTCTACGCAATCCCTGGGCCCCTTATGGGGGCGAGACGTATTCGCCTTCAGCTCAAGCCGGTGCTATCAGGAGCGAACAGCGCTTCGCTGGTGCAGACAGTGCTGCTGGCGGAAGTATGGTCGGCAGTGTGATGGGAGGCAGACCCAGAGCAATGTCAAGTGTTATGAGTGGTGGCGGTGGGAGTATCATCGCACCTTCAAGTATCGGCATGGGCGGATATCGCGAGGATGATGGATGGAATGGTTCCATGGGCCGAGTGCACCAGGGGCACGCCCCAGACATGTCAACGGCTGCTGACGGTATTCGAGCGATAGGAGGAGGGGATGACTGGCGACATCAGCCGGCAGGGTGGGGTAATCATGCAAGAATGACACCTACCATTGCTGCAGGGCTTACTGGTAGCGACATCGCGCCCCCATCCTATGGCGTGCTAATGCAGCAAGGATATGGTGGAAGCCATCACCGATCCTTTTCTGTCCCGGATGCAGGAAGAAGAAACCTTCTGGCAGGAGACGATTGCGCCGAGTGTCAACGTCAATTATCGAGGTCGAGAAGCGGTCATAGGAGACTGTCAAGTGTACCGGTTGTCAGCCAGTCACTGCTGAGGAGACCCGTCAATTTGGAGCCAGGCTTCAGAAGAAGTAATAGTGATAAGAAAAGGTACCATGATCAAGGCGGGTTCGATCAGACGATGGATCAGGTGCCCATGTGAATTAACGTAGACAGCCTGTGGGGAATGTGGTATTCCGACTGTACTTTGTAGTTGCAATGTAATGCGATCACCGAAGGGACTTTGCAGTCGGGTGCATTTCGGCATACAACGTTCGCTTATACTACACGATGATCATGCCTTGACACCTCTCTCCTCTCTAGCCATCTCAAACGGATCTCGGACGGATCCAGTCTTATCTCTCCATTCCGCGCTGTCCATCCATGTCAGCAGGACCTCGTGTCGATGTCAAAGGCAACTTACGCGAAATTCTGCTTCAACCCATTCATCCTGACTTGCATCTGATCCAACTGGCCTGCCAGAGCGAGGATAGCCTGCTGATGGTTATTAATGGTCTGAGCAATAGCTTGGGGTGACGGGGCATGGGACTCGGAGGAGAGAGAAACGATGGCTCGGTTGAGTTGCTTCAAAAGACGTTAGTTTGAATGCTACTACCATTTGCACCAGGGCTTACGGCGATAGTTTTCTTGTATCGGGCGGCCTTCTCTTCCATCTGATCTGCCACTCTACTGAAGAACCTACCGCAACGTCAGTCTATATCAGAAAAGGATTTGTGACACTTACTCCTGAGGAAACTCTTTGTAAGCAGCTAACTTCACCTGCGCCATCCTCGCATCACCAGAAGAATATATATCCCAGATCTCCTTCAGCCTCTCGACGTCTCTAGACTGGTCAATCATCTTTTCATGGAGTTGAGAAATGCTGTTTTTGAGGGATTTTAGGGTGTGGGAGATTGAGCCGTAGTCCTATCGAAACGTTAACACTATACAGAGCGCGGTGCGAGCCTTGACTTACTTCGGTAGCGGTCTTGACATCCAAACCTGTTTGCCAGATCGCAAGGCCCAAAGGTTCAGTATTTAACAGTGTAGCAACAGACTTTTGGTTTTTGATTGAGGCGCTGCAATCCGGTCAGTTGTACTCAAGCGTTCTATTCAAGCGGTGGGAGAAAAAACATACTCGAGCTGTTCGATATACTTTTGGGCCGCTTCGGGCAGATCCGAGAATTTGGCAGTCTTTTCTATCCCGCCGCTTCCACTCGCCCCATTGGTGGATGTCTGGAGTTGCTGCTGATTCTGAGCAGGCTGCGTTGTTTGACCAAACAGACTTGTACCACCGGGTTGGTTGCCGAAGAGACCGCCTGCAGGTTTCGGCGGTTGACTACTGGAACCAAAGAGGCCTGTCCCACCGTTCTGCTGAGGCTGGGTCGTAGATCCAAAGAGACCACCACCTGTAATTTGTTGGGCAGGCTGAGATGTGGATCCAAACAGGCCAGAGCCGGTAGGCTGTTGAGCCGGCTGGGTGGTTGGACCAAACGACCCACCGGTAGGCTTCTGAGCAGTAGACCCAAACAGACCGCTACCCGCTTGCTGGCCTGCTTGCTGACCACCGGTCGAGCCGAATAGGCCGCCGCCGGCTTGCTGTTGAGGTTGCTGGTTGGCAGTAGAGCCAAAGAGACCCCCTGATTGCTGTTGTTGTTGAGGTTGTGTTGTAGACCCAAAGAGACCCCCCCCGGTAGCAGGCTGTTGTTGCTGTTGCTGCTGTTGCTGGCCGGCACCAAGACTACCAAACAAGCCTCCAGCCGTTGGAGCCCCTGCAGCAGGGGCAGCAGGCTTCGCACCAAAACTTCCAAACAACGACGACCCTCCCGCAGCTGGCTGTTGTTGCGGTGGCTGCTGCGATTGGCTTGTGTTGCCAAAGAGGCCTCCTCCTGATGAGCTTGATGGAGCGGCTGGCTGAGTGGATGTGTTGCCGAAGGAGAAGGGAGAGGTTGCTGCCGGGGCGGGTGCTGGGGCTGCAGCTGGTTTGTTGCCGAAGCTGAAACTGGGGTAATATGAGCAGTGGAGCATTCTGGACGGCTGGGGCACGCACTTTCCGAAGGACATGCTTGGAGCAGGAATAGGGAGAATGGAGGAATGAAGAGGATATGTGATTATTGTGAACTGAAAGTGAAAGTGAATGGTCGAGATATTTGATGCCGCCAGCCCACGGCCTTCCTCACTCATTCCCTCTTCTCTTGCCCATCTCTCGTCATTCCATCCCTTCTCCCCATACCCCCGCCATGTCCTCCCAGCCTCCCCCGAACGGGGCCATCCCCGCCACAAAGCCCAATCTCATCACCCAGGGGCTCCCCAAGATCATCTTCGCTGGCAAGACCGGCAGGATCCTCTGTGTGGCTGACATCAGGGGCGATTGTGAGTGCCACAGCCCAGATACAGGCGCCCAGGCTGACCCCAAGAGACAGACCACGAACTCAATCGCTTGATCAAGGAGCATGATGCGACAGCCGTCATTCATACGGGTGACTTTGGCTTTATGACAGCTGAGAGCGTGGACCGCATGAGCGACAAGTGAGCTATCCATGTACATGAGTCAGGAAGTCGACGTCTGACGCTATGATAGGATTCTCCGTCACCTCATTCAATACTCCCCCCTCCTCCCTCCAGCAACCCGTAACCAGCTTCTTTCCATTCCCCCGCCGGCCGGCCGAACTGCCCTTATCAACCAGCTCAACAACTCTTCCGTTCACTTCCCTCTCTCCCAATTTCCCCACCTTATCTCCGGAGCCATCAATTTCCCAGTCCCGGTCTTCACAACATGGGGTCTTGTGGAAGACGTCAAGGTGATTGAAAAGTTTAGGACTGGAGAGTATGAAGTGCAGAACCTGGCTATGCTCGACGAGGCCACGTCGAGGTTGGTGGAAGTGGGTGGGGTAAAGCTGAGGCTGCTGGGTTTGGGGGGTACAGTGGCGCAACACAAGCTTTGTGAGTGATGTTGTGGTGATTTAGAGACGATTGAAGGAAGATGCTGACGCGAAGCCAAGTCGACTACGGGGAGGGTCACGGAAGTATTGCAGGGGGCCAGGGGACCATGTGGACTACGGCTCTTCAGATTGGAGAGCTTATAGATACAGCTCAACGCGTGAGTCTTCTGCAAAGGTGGCATATTGCGAGCTAAGATGATTCGCCTAGTCTTTCAGCCCCGACGAAACACGCCTGTTCATCTCGACAGCTGCCCCGAGCAAGGATGGCCTCATGAAACTCGTCTCGAATGCTGTCCGGGCCGACATGACTGTTTCTTGCGGGCTGCACTGTATGTTTACTACATTCAATATGGAAGCAAGCTGACGTGGTCCAGTCCGATACCCCGTGTCCTACAATGAGTTCTCCGTCAGTCCAGACTTTGACTGTTATCGTAAAAAGCTTCAGGAGGCCAAGGACGAGTTCAAGGGCCTGTTTGAGCAGGTGCGAGAGAAGGTGTTTAGCGCTTTGGGGTAGGTCTTCCCCAGTATCAAGGCAATCGCGGCTGACGCGAGTGATAGCGACAAACAGACTGCTTTACTTCACAAGACCCTTTCAGCCATCGAGAACGTTCCTCTTTCGGATGACGGCATGTGGATCAATACCTGGCATTGGAGTCTCTGTGATGTTGGCTTTGGCAACATGGTGCTCTCTATTGCCGACTCTCGCATCTCTTCCGAGACCAAATCCTCCGGAGCCAACTTTTCCCACCGAATCGGCCGGGGCCCTGTCCCTCCCACAGGTGCTGCTCAAACATCCATCGCTCCCAACCCCACCAGCGCCATCAAAGCGATCTCTTCGCGCTCAAACCAGGCTGGCCCGGGTGGGCCCATCCGTCCGCCTCTCAACGCTGGGCCTGGTCCCGTGAATGGAGTGGCTCAGAGTCATGGAAGACTTTCTTCCGGGCCAGGAGGTGGACCAGGCGGGTTCCAAGCGCGTCCGCCGCACACAGTCAGGGGCCAACGGGGTAATTTCGGACTTCCTGTCGCCCCCAACGCCGCCAATATTTCTCAGAGCAACATGTTCAGTCAGGCTCGCGCGAGTGGCCAAGCCGAGGGAAAGACGGCTGCTGGTGTGCCTTTTGACACTGTGAAAAAGGAGGACGTGTCTACGACGCCCCAGAAGGGGGATCACAAGGAGGAGGCAAAGGAAAAGAAGGATGATGAAAAGCCCAAGACAAAGGGCGAAAAGAAGGCTGACAGGAAGAAAGAGGAGAAGGAGAAGGGCAGAGCAGCTGCTCAGGAGAAGGAAAAGGAGCAGAAAGACCCCAAGAAAGATGACAAAGAGGCCAACCCGTGGGGCAGCGACAAGACTGCCTCATCCCCTGCTGCTGCCCTTGCCACTGTTTCGACTTCCACCGAACAGTCGAAGGAGCCCCAGTCCAGCCCGTGGGCTGATGATGACAGTGAGAACAAAGCCCCCGAGGACAAGAGCCCGTGGGAGGTGGATGGCGACGAGAAAAGTAAGGATGGCCAGCAGCAGGACAAGGGCGCTTTCCCCGACGATTCCAGGCCCAAGCGATGGAGCCTTTTGATCAAAGGTTTGCCCAGTCCTGCCTCTATCGAAGAAGTGAAAGGAGCGTTTGGCGAAGAGTCGGGAAAAATCACCAATGTCAAGTTTATCATTGATCCGGTGACCAAGAAGAACAGGGTATGTGTCTCTTCATTGTGATGTGAAATGTGCTAACGAGATGCAGGACTTTGCATACATTGATTTCGCGAGCGAGGAAGCCATGGTTGCTGCCCTGGAGAAGTCGCCGACTGTACGCATCTTGTGAATCGATCTTTGAACGAGCTGACTCTAGTTGACAGAGTCTTCGCGACAATCCCGTGATTGTGAGCGTCGCTCCTGCTCCGAAATTCACCCGTGGTCCTTTCGGTGGGCGAGGTGGATTCCGGGGTGGACGAGGATTCAGAAGAGGAGGTGGCAGTAGGGGTGGAAGTGCGGGTGGCGGGACGGCATAATGCCACATGTGTCGAGCGAAAAATCAGGGAGGTTCTCCTAAGTGTATATATCAAGTTGAACGTTTCGTCGGGAGGGTGTGCAGAATGGAAGGGGCATTGGTGAAGCGTCGATCGGTCGTTGTGGATACTCTATCATGCAGTCTAAAGTCATACTGCGTCGTGGGCCCATTGTTGATAGAGCGCAGCGTTTTGGCAAAGTTGCATCATGCAAATTGGGGCCTATGCCTTGTGATCCCCTGTACCGAGGCTAATTTATCAGTACAGATACCCCATCCACTCCCCTCACTGCTGGTACTTGCAGATATCCCTATAAGAAATACTCATGCACCATTGGCCTCTTTTGAGGTATACTCCTCGCATCCTGCGGCGCTGCATCAAATACCTTGTACTCTTGCCGGAGATTTTCATCCAGCTCCAACACTGATGCCGTATTGCCGCATCGATAGCAATAATTGGGCGCAGACCAGACAGTGACGATACGCCGGTCAAACATGAGTTTGAAGCCTTCCATGACGAGTTGATGGGCACGGGCGACAAGCTCAATTTCGTTTGTGTGGTTGAATTGCTAAAGACCGTCAGCAACTCGTAATGGCCGGGTGCATATACTCACTTCGACGACGTCTCGGCCAAACAAGAATCCTGCTCCTCTCGGCGACATACCCCACCCATTGATCTCCTCTGCCACAGGATCAGCATTGCTCTGCGCCTTTCGAAAAGTACGCACCGTCTGGATCTGACCATAACAGGTCACACATCGGCCCCTCGTGCGGCACTTCTTGCCGTCTATCTATCACTCTTATCTAGATTTCTCGTCAGGCCAGTTCGACTCTTCGAGACGGGTACCCACTTGATCTAGCTTGTGGACTGCCGGGCTGAGCCCCCCATGCACACAGAACACCCTGCCATCAACCACGCACCCCAAACTCAGATAATCAAACACATCACAGCAATATCTCCACACATTACTACTCCCGTACTTTCTCTGACACTCGTCGTAAAAGCCGTACACTTGTGTGATTTGCCGAGACTCGTGGTTGCCCCGGATAAGGGTAATGCGGTCGGGGTAGCGGACTTTGAGGAGGAGGAGGAGAAGAAATGTTTCGACAGAGTAGAAGCCGCGGTCGACAAAGTCGCCCATAAAGATGTAATTGGTTTCAGGACAAAAGCCACCGATTTTGAAAAGCTCCATAAGGTCAAAGAATTGCCCATGAATATCTCCACAGATCTGCCCTGCGCATGAGTTTTGTTCTGTATGACATGGACGCACAGTGACGTACAGTGACAGGACTATCCACATATTGCACATTCCCTTCCTCCATCAATATTTCCTTTGCCTTGATACACAGTTCTTTCACTGCCGACTCTGGTATCGGCTCGCATCGTTTTAGTTGTTCGATCTGTCTGTGGATGGGGAAAGCAAGGTGATATAGAGAGTCGTGTGAGGAGGTATCGGTAAAGAGGATTGCGAGTTGTGGGTTGCGAGAAGACGGAATCGAGCAGTAATGGTCAGCTGTGGAGTACGTCTACCACCATCCAAGACGGGTTGCAATACGCACTTGTCTAGATCTGATGATAGGGACATTGTAAACAAACGGTCCGGTCGGGTCAGGCGCACGAGATGATGTCTGGAAGGTGTCGTATGCTGCTATGCGATGGTGTATGCCGAGATGGGAGACGGATGCAGTGGCTGATATGGCGGTGAGCTGGATGGGGGTATGCAGTGTCTTCAATGGATTCGTAGGCTAGAGATGGACGATAGTCGATTTGTTGTTGCTGCTGCTGATGCGAGCTGGATGTCTGCTTATGTAAGGGTACGTAAGCCCTGTGGTGACTATCCTCGTGGCGGCGACCGCCGCCGGCCGCCGCAGATGTCCGACGAGATGTGGTGATTCTATCTCATTCATCTCCATCTCTACTCTTATTCCGCACATGGCCCTTAGTCGCTGTACCCGGCCCCTCCTCAGAGCGACAGCCATGTCCGCTCCAGCCTACTCCACCCTCACAGACAATATCACCGGCGCGGCGTCGGCTGCTTCCCAGACAATCGCCAACCTCGCCAAACTGTATACCGTGCATGATATCGCCAAGACTGGATTCAGCGAGGGAACGAACGACCTTGTTAGACGGTCCTGTGGCTTATGGGCCCAGCTGATGATAGGATAGTATAACGCTGCTCGGCCCAGTTACCCAGCTGATGCACTCAAGATCATCCACGATACCCTCGCGCCCACCCCACGTGCTCTCAAGATCATTGAGCCCGGAAGTGGCACTGGCATCTTCTCGCGCCTCCTTCTGCGCGCGCCCTCACCGAAGTACCCCGCGTTCGATATCGACACGCTTGTAGGTGTCGAACCGAGCGAGGGCATGCGAAATTCTTGGTGGCGCGCACTGGAGAAAGAAGGGCTGGGCAAGAGGCAAGAGCTGGAAGGTGGACAGGCCGTGGAGGCGCGGAAAGCTGGGGCGGTTGATGGCGGCTTTGACGCCCTTGGCAAAGTGAAAGAGTACGGTTTGACAAATGTGCAAGAAGGAGGTGGGGTCGATGGGGTGATCATTGCACAAGCGTGGCATTGGTGCCCCGACCATGCAGCAGCTCTGGCAAGTCCCTAGATTACCTTTGAGGCTCACAACTAACAGTACAATAGCGCGAAATTGCCTCTTTCCTGCCCCCCGGAGCTCCTCTTATCCTCATCTGGAATATTGAGTCGCAGTCTCCAAACTGGCAGGGCCTCCTTCGAAAGACCTACGAGCCGTTGGACCTCGGCTCCCCACAATATTACAAGGGCCTGTGGCGAAAAATGTTTGAGAATCCGGCATACGGAGAACTGTTTGAGGCGCAGGAGGAGAAGCAGGTAGGATGGAGTGCGGAAATCACAGAGCAGGGGGTGATAGATAGGCTTTTGAGCAAGAGTTATCTGACCGAGCAGCACTTGAAGGGCGCGGAGAGGGAAAAGCTTGTTGATTCACTGCGAAGAATCATTCATGAAGGGGATAAAGACTGGGTTGACCAAGAGGTGCGTGCTTGTGCCAGAGCAGAGTGGGAATAAAGCTGACTCGATGGTCAGAATGGGGTGTTTAAGTACAACTACAACACTGACGTGGTTATCTGTCGACGAAAGGCGTAATTGTGGTAGTGAAGTTTGAATTATGAAGTAGGAGCAGGACACGGTAATTGTCAATGCAGAGTCTCTTCCAGTTGTCTTGCTGGTCTCTCAGTGCTGCGCAGTAACCAACGTCGGAGGCTTAGACGCCATGGTTGCGCCTCTCAAGACGGATCATTGTGGGCATGACAAGCATGTGCTATCACATGACCAGACGAACACGATCAGCGACGATGTCTTCCTCTGGGAGTCTGGACACCTATCATATTGCTCTAGACGTTGGTTATGTTGAGATGGACGCTCATGGGTGCGATATTGACCGACGCGTGTTAGTTACATGATGAAAAGTCAAGGGCAACATACGTACGTATGTTGTCTGGATGTGGTGTGCGCACCTCAGTACTCGAGACAGACTGCTCGATCATCATGAGCCTATATATCAATCACGGTGCTGAGAGATACACGTCGAAACAAGAGTCTCGGCAAGATCTGGAACCCATATCCCGGAGGCAGACGCCAGACATTGATAATTGATGATTGGTTCCATTGAAGTGAAGCGTATCTTTCCGAGAAATGAGGTTTGGGGCGTCAACTCACGAGTCTCGGGTTCCTCGTTAGCTGTACAGTACCACGACGTAGTTCTAATTATATGTGCTTGATACCGATGTTTGCATGCACGGCTCTGTGTCGTATCCTGCGCTTGACGACTTGTCTCTTACACCTGACTTATCGACTAATGAATAGCCCTCTTGTTGGGCGAATGACCCTGATTAAATCGTTCCTGAAGTTGATTGGTGTGCAGTCTTTTGCTGGCCCCTCCCCGGTCCCCGGCATGCATTATAGTGCGTATGCGGTGTCTCCGCGCTGAAGCCCTATGGTATGAATATGTCCAGTGCACAAGTATGACCCAAGTCGTTGATTGGCTGGATGGGATTCTAAACAAGATTGTTCACAGACCGTCCACTAGCGCATCATGCATGGACCCATGGCTTGGTCCTCGATCTATCTCGCCTGTACATGGTCGAATGCAGTGCAATACAGGTAAAGGTGTGAATGCAGCAAGAGCACGAGGCAGACGATGACCACGAGTGACAAGAGAAAGAGTTGCCCAGGAGGATCTTGGAGATCTGAGATCTCTGCCTGTTGTTTGGCTGTTCCTTCCAGCGGCGAAATAGAGTTTGAAAAACCGTCGCGGAAAAAGTCTTGGTGGATCAACAGCGATGGCAGAGCGGCAGAGGGGAGAGAGAGGGCAGTGCATCCAAGTTCAGGGGGTCGAACGAGAACGGAGCGCGGTGAGATTGCCGGGATGATACGGCCGTCGAGGCGGGACAATGCAATTGGTGTTTGGTCAACAAGGGGCAATTCAGGCACGCAGAGTCGCGCACAAAGAAGTCACGTCGCGCTGGTGGGGGAGGGGGAGGGGGAGGGGGAGAGGGGATGAGGGGGGTACATGGGGGATGCATAGATCTGGGCAGCTGTAGGCCTAGGGTGGATGGGTGGCGGGCGATCTGGGGATCTGGGATGCATGGGAGGATGAGTGGAGAGTAGAGTGCGTTCCTGGCAAACACGGTCGCTCGGGCCACATCGCTCTTTCTCCAACTACATAAGCCCTCTTTCTCATCTTTCTCATCTTTCTCATCTTTCTCATCTGTCCTTATTTCTATTGTCACAGCACACCCCACCAACGGGACTTCCTTCCTTGCCATGCTCCCCGCCACCCTCCTCTCCCTCGCCTCCCTCCTCCCCCTCCTCGCTCTCCCCGCCCACGCCGCCACCGACTCCCCTCCCGGCCCTCCCACCCAACGCTCCCACCCCCGCCACAACAGACACCGCCAGCTCGCCGCCAAGCGTGATGCTGACGGCGTCGTCCTCGGGGGCTTCCAGGAGGTCGGCAACTCTGGTATTAGTGCCCAGATGGTCAGTATTATCACCGCCCGCACGGACCCTGACTGACCCCGTGCAGCTTTTCTTGGGTACAGAGTCTACCGCCTACATCCTCGACAGTACGGCTGCTATACACTCGGTCCTACGCTCTGCTGACCCCCCTTGCAGAATCTGAAAACAACTCAATGACCGTCACCGACGACAGCGGCGTCACCCATCCCGCTTGGGGTGTGTCTTACGACTTGGCAACCGAGACAGCGACCGCCATGCAAGTCAACTCAAACACTTTCTGCGCAGCTGGCATATCATTGGCCACTGGAGAATGGGCAGGTGCGTACCTTCAACCCTTCTCTCATCAGAATCAAAATTAATGTTGTTTAAAAGTGTTTGGCGGTAACCAGGCAGTCACGTATGAAGGTGTGGCCTTGGCAGACTCTTCAGCCGATACCGTCGACCCCTACAAGGATGCGTCTGGAGGTGCTGCTATCCGACTGATCAAACCATGCGACGATGGATCATGCAAGTGGCAAGAGGGCGGAGACGATCTCACAATGACGGGCAATCGCTGGTACCCTACAGTCGAAAACCTCGGCGATGGGTCCATCATTGTTATTGGCGGAGATGGTAACGGAGGGTAAGTTTGCAAAGTAGTGTCTGTGACCTGTCCTGACCCGCTCGCAGTTACGTGTCGACCCAAAAACAAAACAATCCCACCTACGAATTTTACCCCAAGACCGACAACCAGTCTCACTACATGGACTTCCTCAACTATACTGTCCCCGTCAACCTTTTCCCTCTCACCTGGCTCTTGCCCGGTGGTAAACTCTTCATGCAGGCTGCCTACAAGACCATCTTGTACGACATTGACGCCAAGGAGGAGACTCCTCTTCCCGACATGCCTTATTCCGTTCGAGTTTACCCCGCCTCCGCCGCCAACGCCATGCTGCCTTTGACCCCTGCCAACAACTACTCTGCCAGTATCCTCTTCTGTGGAGGTTCTGCCGCCCCTTTCAACCAATCCAGCGATGGTGGTGCCCAGTTCAACATTACTGCTGTCAAGGCCGATGACTCTTGTGTCAGGATCAGCCCCGAGGACGACGACCCTCAGTACGAGGATGACGACTCTATGCTTGAGGGCAGGTCCATGGGCCAGTTCGTCTACTTGCCTGACGGTACCATGTGGATGGGAAATGGGTATGTCATTTTGATTACACGCTGAACATGGCTGATATCATCTTCTAGTGTTGGTATGGGTACTGCGGGCTACGGTGACGATGGTTACTCTATCGGCCAGTCTTATGGTCAAGACCCTCTCTACACCCCTGCCATCTACGAGTGAGTCATCTTCTAGCCCACCACTCATTTCTGCTGACCTTTTTCAGCCCCTCTGCCCCCCAGGGTAGTCGATGGAGCCGTGACAACATTGGAACTTCCAACCAGGAGCGAATGTACCACTCCACTGCCATCCTCCTCCCCGACTCTTCCCTCATGGTCTCTGGCTCCAACCCCAACAAGGACGTCACCTTTGACCCTTGGCCCACGTCCTACTCTGTCGAGAGGTGGTACCCCTTCTGGTACAACGAGCAGCGACCCGAGCCCTCCACTTGGCCCACTTCGTTGACCTATGGCGGCGACTACTTTAACGTCACTTACACTCCCACCGACTCTTCTTCCAGTGCCGACAACACCAAGGTCGTCGTCATCCGAGGCGGTTTCTCTACCCACGCCATGAACTTTGGCCAGAGGTTCCTCGAGCTCAACTCTACCTACACCAAGGACGAGTCTTCTGGAGAGGTCACCATCCACGCCAGCCAGATGCCTCCCAACGCCAACATCTTCCCCCCTGGTCCTGCCATGATCTTTCTTGTCGTTGACGGTGTTCCTTCTACCGGCAAGGTGCGTTGCTCTCTACTCTAATCATACTGCTGCTGACATTACTACAGATCATCATGATCGGCTCCGGTGCCATCGAGACCCAGCCCATCTCTGACGTGGCCGTTCTCCCCGTCACCTCTACTATCACCGCGGCTTCTTCTTCCTCTGCTTCGTCCGACGCCACCGGTACCGCCTCTTCCGACTCTTCAGCCAACACTGCCATCTCCAACAGCACCAGCAGCAACAGCTCTTCATCCTCATCTTCCGCCGCGCCAGCTGGTCTGCGCGCCGCTAGTTTTGGATGTGTGGGTGTGGCTGTGTTTGCTGGCCTGTGCTTGCTGCTGTGAGAGGGTCAATTTCTGTTTGACCTTTTTCAATTTCTAAATGGGACAATTTTCTCTTTTTCATGTTGTGTGCGTGTGCATTCGACCCTCTCCACAAAACACGACCAACACGAGTCTCGTGTCTCCCGCCTCTTGTTCAATTGGACCGACCCATGGATACGCTTTAATCCGAATCTATACGCTCTTTTTGTCGCCTCTTACACCTTTTATCACTAATCATTCTATTACTGCCCGTCCAATTCTATCAATTGCATTTACCCCGCCCCACTTCGTACACTTCGTACACTTCTGTAACACTGTATATAACGACCGTGGATGAGGTTAATTGATGATACGCATCCCTAGCGTTGTTTTGATTTGTACCATATCGCAGTCTGTGGTCTCCTGGAATACATGAATCTTGCGCACAAAGAAAGGAGTGGGAGCTTTGCTCCAGGCGTGCATGTGGGCGTGATATACTACTCGTCTCATCTTGAACCTCGAATAAAAGACAAGTCCTTATTACACGCCTTCTGCTGGTCATCCACACGGGACGAAGAGAGGGACTGGAAGAAGAGATGGCCACGAAAGACCTAAACTTTTCTGTCATTCTTATTCCGCTGCCAATGATCCGATCCGAAGGATGATCAAGACACCCCAGACCTGTGTAGCAAGCTCAAAAGCTGCAGGGCGGGAGCCTTTACATTCTGGCTTGGGCGGGTCATGAGGGAGAAGAGAATGAGACGGGGACGGGAGATGAAAAATGCCGGCGCGTGTGCTTTGCGGTCATCGCCGCCATGCTTTCTGCTTCGTCTTCTTTCGCTGGTTCAGGTTGGGTTCAGGCTGGGTTCAGGCGATTATCGACAATCCCTAATAAGAGATTGTGCGTTGGATGAAATCAGATCAAAAGCAAGGGTGAGCAGCGCAGCAGTTCTCAAGGCTGAATGAAGCAAGCGAATTACATGGATACGTTTACAGTCCTTGTATAACTCAGCATGTATATGTGGAAAGCAATAGAGTGAGAACAAAACATGGTACACATCGGCAGAAAAAGAGCTACAAAATGATACACTCATAAACAAGTAAGGAAGGTCAAGATTACACCTCTCAATAAAGTAACATACAAACCAAGATGATCAAGTTCTGTGCCAGTACGGCAAAGCCGTCTCCACCTTTCCATCTGGCACCATACTGGAAAGGACCGAGAGCACTGCGAGGTCTCGGCGACACATGGGGCAGGTGGATGTCTTTGGATTGTCCAGCCACGTCTACCAAAAGCGTCAGCATGATATTTCGAGCTGGCAGAGATGCAACTCACGGCCAGACAGCTCTTGTGATACATGTGTTTACAAGGTGTGATAGAGATCTCTGTGGTAGGCTCATACTTCAACCCGGTCAGCAAACAAGTTGGAAAACGCATCAGAGTACTCACATCGTCATGACAGACGGAGCAATACTCATCTCTTTCCATCCCCTCTCTCTTCCCAAAGTGTCCCCATGGGATGTCCTCCAGCATCTCTCCCACCCACTTTCTTCGCTTCTCATCCCGCGACCGCTTGACATACTTGACCACACACTCCACTGTATCCTTCACCTCCTCTTCTCCCATCCCCGGCTCCAGCTTCTTCCCGCTAATGCTTGCACTCCCAAGTCCGGCGAGAGAGACAAATTGCGACATCCCGCCATCACCGGGTTGGACAAGGTGCTCCATGATGGAGCGAAGGTCATCATCGCCTTGGTCCACCAGCATATTCGAGGCTCCCCCCTGAGCAGGGCGCCGGGCAAGGAGGGCGGCAATGACTTCTGTTGGCACGCGTCTTCGGCTGCTGTCTTGCAAAGCAGCGATAGTCGACGCAGGAGTCCCATCCTGGCCCCAGGGTGAGATGGGAGGCAACAAAAAGTCGTCGTCATCGCCAAAATCGGCCATGTCTTCTTCCGTGTTATGCATATCAGACGGACCACCGAAGCCGGGCGTGAAAGACACGGGGGGCGTATTCCGCAGGTCAAGTACAGGCGGCCGACGGGGAGGCCTTTGCACAGAGCCTTCTTCAACTACCTCGCCCCAGAGTGGCCGAGAAGAGGGACCAGAGGTGCCATGGACCGGATGAGCGCCGGAAGAAATCTGGCCATTCGATGGGCCTTGACCAAGAGAGGAGGACCCGCTCCCTACAGCATGACTATTTGAGGTAAGTCCTGGAGAGGGAAGAGGGGCTCGATGAACACCCAGACGACGGTCAACAAAGTCGTTGACATCCCTGTTCAGCATCTCTCTTCCGTCAGAGCCGAGTACCATTGCTTGATGTTGACCATGCGCACCGAAGCGTCCGTCGCGTTCCCTTTGACCGGTCTCTCGATCTCCCTCAGAGTCATTGTATAGAGAAGATGACCCCGAAGGCCCAGCTACAGGACCACCGACGGCAGCGGTTTCGAGATTACTGTGCCTCGCTCTAGTGGGATATTGATCGCGCATCCTCTGTCGTGCCCTGATACTTTCAATGATCCTTTGTCGGTCAGAATTTTCGACCTGGGACGGCCCAGCCACTTCGGGTCTCCCACGCTCCATCACCCGGCGACGAGCAATCTCTTCAGCGGTCTCGATATCCAAAGCCGATACTATAGGACCCCTCTCTCTGTCTCTTTCCCGGATATCGGCCAAGATTCTGTCTCGCTCAGTGGTACGCTCGGCCTCGTGGCGTATCAGTGCAAGGGATATGTTTGAATCCCATACACCGAAAGGGTTCCCAGGCGGGGGGAGTGTATTATGGCGACCAGACGTGTATGGGTTGACGGGCGAAGGGAGGGGAAGATCGTGGTTCATACGGAAGCGTCCAGCGGCAGATTGGTCAGGAGCTGAGACATTGATCAGTCAAAGGGTCAAGATGTTGTGGGTTGAAACGTACAGGCGCGCAAAGAAGCCAGGGGATCGCTGAAAGCATTCTCTGTTGGTGACGCCGAGCTGCTGCCGTTTTCGTCAAGCATGCCCCGAGAAACAGGACGATGTCTCAGTCCCAAGAGCGAAGGGTTCGGCGGCTCTCCGATCACACCAAAAGAGGCAGAGAAAGACGATGAATACGGAGAGGGGCGAGGTGATGGGACTGTCGCATCATCATTGACGGGGATGCTTCGAGTGTCACGCTCTTCCGGAGCATGTCGGTACCGCCGAAGAGCGGGTGCGGGAGCGATCTCTGGCGAAGAATGATGACTGGCTTCACCTCGTGCAATATCTCTTGCGTGTGAACGGTGAGGCGATGGGCGCTGAGTCCCACTGGAGTTTGTCCAATGACTCGGGACTTCATACGGGAAGGCAGTGTATGGCCTCGGGCGTGATCCCGGGCTCAGCCTGCCTCGATTGTCCCTCTGGCGAGAGCGATCCAGCCTGCTTTCTATACTGTCAATTCGTCGCTCGAGGGCGTTGGGTGAAGCCACGCCCAAAGTACTGCTAACAGGGCAAGGGATGTGGGCTCGGACAGAGTCTTCCAAATGACTGGGCCTGGACGCCAAAAGAGGTCTGTCTTGGTGGAGAGATGTATAGGATGGAAAGTTGTTTCGGCTGAAAGTGTCACGAGGGAGATTGGTGCTTGGGTGAACGGGTGGCCGAATCGGAACGGCCGAACTCGACTCTCTTTGGTGGGCAATCGTCGGGTGCCCTAGGTAGCTAGGGTCATGGCAATCTGCGGGTTGAGCATAGGGACTCGGTCGGGGCTGGTGGACGTGAGAGCGGGCATGACTATCGAGCTCTGCCGGGGAGGTCGATTGGTCATCTATCTCCATACCAGACCCATGATCACCGGCAAAGCTCATCGAAGAACCGACCGAAGCGATACTCTCTCGGTGACCATCAGCGAGTGGATTGTGCCCCCCAGACGCCTCGGAGAGATGTGGCGGGTCTGTCGGGTGTGAAATCACCCCCGGGAACATGCAACCGCGAAGAGGTGAGGAGGTTCGTCCCGAACTGGCTGGAGCGCTTGAACACATGGTAGAGGTATCGGAAGAAGACATGAGAAGCTAGACAAGTTGTCAAGTCAGTATACGTAGACATGCGGCCCGAGCATGGAGGGCACATACTTGGTGCCCTGCTTCGGAGGCACGAGGCGTTGGGCAGTCGTCTCAGGTAATGTCGGGTGTACGAGGTATACGATCGTCAAGCTGTCGGTGTCCTGGGATTGGAACAAGAGTCAGTACAAATGCTGGAATGACAGCCTTTATATGCAGAACAATGCAACGATCACGGTATCGATGCCGATCCCGGGAGGGTATCTCGCTTTCCTCGGTCGGTGGTCGGCGGTTGGGTGGCAACTCGGAAGGCAGAGGTGGCGTTGGCTGTGCAGCTCCGTGTTTCACAGCGGCAGCAGTGCCACCAGAGGGGCCTTTGGGAGGATACAGGTGGTATCCGAAGTGTGCCCAAGGGCCAGGGGGCCAGACGCAGAGATCCGAGGGCAGGCGGGCAAGACGGCGTTGGCTGGGGGGGGGACGGTCTCATCAAGCGCAGGCAGGGAAGCAGGGGAGGGGTGCGGAGGGGCTTACGGTGGGAGCGGAGGGAGATTGTGGAGAGGCAGATGAGAGATGAGATAGGAATATGTCTAGACTAGGAGTGATAGTGATAGTTAAGTTACGCCGGCCATCCGCTCTTTCATCGACAACTTCAAGTCACATCTTCACCACGCCATGCCCCCCCCCAACCCCCACTCCAGGGAGCAGGCATACCTCACAGCCCTCCAGTCACAGCTAAAAGACGTCAACCCCGATACCATCTACGAGGTACTGTCCCGTTTACAACACCCGTCCACCGCTCATCATCCGTAGAAACTAGAGATTGCCGGCAAAGGCGCCTATGGTGCAGTCTACAAGGGCAGACACGTCGCATCAGGACATGTTGTCGCACTCAAGATCATCAATCTCGATACCGAAGACGACGAGGTGGATGATATCCAGAAGGAGATCTCGCTGCTACAGCAGCTGATGCTGGGAAGTGCGAGCGCAGGTGGTGCACCGCAGAATGTGACCAAGTACTATGGGAGCATGATGGAGGGGCCCAGGGTATGGATCGTCATGGAGTATGCAGAGGGAGGGAGTATAAGAACCCTGGTGAGTGACTCTGAAACCATTGTGGTATCGGAAGGGGCAAGTGCGACGGCTTCCTGCCAGGCTCTACTCGCGGGACAGGACAGGTCGAGGCGTGAGAGGCATTCATCATGAGAGCAGGAGGTTAACTAGGGGCAGGAGTCCCAGAGATCTACTGGGGAAGCGCTTGTGAAGCGCTTGTCATTGAGCTACGAGCACTCATGAGAATCATGCTGACCTGCCTTAGTCTCGAGCGCAACCTCTCAAAGAGCTTCACATCTGCCTCATCATACGAGAAGTTCTGATTGCCCTCGCCTTTCTTCACAAAAACGGTGTCATTCATCGCGACATCAAGGCCGCCAACATCCTTCTCACCACCCAGCCCCTCCGAATCCTCTTGTGTGACTTTGGTGTCGCTGCCCTCTTACAGTCAAACACTTCAAAAAGATCAACATTTGTCGGAACACCATACTGGATGGCACCCGAAGTAGTGACGGAGGGCAAAATGTACGACAGCAAAGCAGATATCTGGTCTCTGGGTATCACGCTCTTGGAAATGGCATACGGTGAACCGCCAATGTCGGGCCAACCAGCTGCTCGGGCAGTGATGCTGCTGGGCGATAAACGTATGCGTGCTCCTCGACTAGAGGGTGACCATTGGTCCAAAGAGATGCGCGACTTTGTCGTCGGGTGTTTGAATGAAGATGCCGCAGACCGTCTCTCTGCCGAAGAGCTCTCGAAATCTAGATGGATCAAACAGCAAGTCAAGACGCCGTTGACACAGCTCAACGATCTGATAGCGAGGTTCCAGGCATGGAAGGATTCAGGCGGGCAGAGGATGAGTCTGGCGGCGGGCGTGGGGGCGAGCATAGATGACGATGAGTATGATGAGATGCCGAATGGAGATTGGGCCTTTGATGTGAGCAGCTTCTTTCCTTGTCCTTGACGAACAATACTGATGCAAGGTAGACGGTTCGGTCGCGAGCGAGCATGATGCTGCTCGACCAAAAAGCGCAGGCAGGAGAGGTCGATAAATGTATGTCAAACTCACATGAAGAGATCGTTCGACTGACCTTCTACCAGCTCTATTGCCTCCAACAGCACGCCCAGCCCCCCACTCTTTGCGCCGCCTTTTTCACGACGAAACGTCCTCGGACCCAGACCCTTTCCAATCATTCGCTCACCAACAACCACCGACTCCGCAATCATCAGAAGACAACGGGACCGTAAAACAAACTGGCCGATTTGCTTCCCCCGAAGCTGATGACCCTAGCTCTCGCGAAGGGTCGCCGCCCAAGAACGAGTTTGATGGACAGACGATTCGGCAGGCGAGACTAGGCCGGGATGGGAGATCGCCTACTCCGCTCATGATCAAGACGGACCAAGTTCCGTCTATCAACCTTCCTCTCCCCTCTGCCGACTCAAATGCTACTAGTGCAACTTATCATCCTGATGAGCTGGAGCCTACGCCGATAGCATCTCGAGGTGACGGTCCGGTGCCATCTCCTCGACCGATACGTAATAAAATGAGCCTGGACAATCTCCCCTCTGCAGCTTCCTTCAACTCTCAGCCGCCTACGAGCAAGAGTTCCATGCAGCTTGGACTGGAAGATCGGTCCAAGAGTAGCTTGGGTATGAGTCGTCCGGGTGGGGGTGAACCCCGAGATGGTCTGAGAGGATTTCAGTTCCCCCTGATGGGTCAATCTGGCCCACCGCCCGCAGGAGTGTCCAAACTCCAACCACCCCACCTCGGGCGAAATCACTCTGCCGCACCTGCTTTCCCTTCTGCCCTTCATGGCGACACCTCTCAAAGCACCCTGCCCTCTGCCTCGCCCACGGCTCCTTCCTTCCCTGGATTGAGCCCAAGGCCACCTATGATGCGCCAGGCTTCCGTGGCTGTCATGGAGAATCGTTCGGCCGCCCAGTCTCATGCCCAGGCAGCGCAAGCGCAAGCTCTGGCGCTAGCACATGGACACGAAGGAGGGGCGGGCCCTCACAAAGGGCTGGCAGTTCCCGGGGGAATGGCAGGGATAGGCTTGGGGAGACCTGGGCAACAAGGAACCAGTCAAGGCATGGCGAGGACTAGGAGTGGGAGCAGAGCTGACGATGGGCCCAACGTTGGTCTTCGCGATCTACTCAAGGTGCGTCATGTTCATACCCATATCGTGCCCCGTGACTTACTCTCTTCCACAGCTCACACCCGCTGCACCTGGCATGCAAGACCTTCTTCCTCCCTCACCATCAGTCTCCACAACACCTCACAAACTTTCCCCTCGTCCACAACAGACGCACAACCAACCAGGATCAATACCGGCTTATCCCGCTTTCCCTGGGGCGGTCTCCAGTGCGTCTTTGCCGATGAGTAAGACGCCGAGTCTGGCGTCGCTGGCTAGCACTGTGCCCGCTTCTGCACCTGCACCGAAATTGGGACCAGTGTCGACTTCCACTGGACTTCAGAACGATTGGGGACCGATACCCGATGTCCGGTTAGGTCCACCTATACGTCCTTTGGATCTGGGTCACTTGGATTCGCAAGATGTATTTACAGAGCTGGAGAGTTTGGTGGATGATATGCAGAGCTGGCTTGGGTGCGTGGAGAATGGCTTGGAGGATTTGCTGCGGTTGCCTGAATCCACGAATGCTTGATGCGGGGTTTTCCCAAGGGTCTTTTCCCTTTCTATTATGTTGTTGTATACTAGATCAGACATTACGAGGATATCATGAAACGACGCAATCCTATGCATATGCGCATGTCCATGATATCGTGATCTACAGGATAGATAATGTCTCAAATAGAAAACATCAAGAGTCATTCAAAAGTTGTAGAAACAGTAGAGCTTCAAGGATCGTTCAAAGAAAAGTCGTTATGGTTCGTCACACTCGTATATCCTCCTACTCCGCTTTGGCAAGCCTTTTGCTCCTCGTCTGCTGTTTCGCCTGCAGCTCATCCAGCCTGAACCTCAACCCTGCCAGGTTGGCCCCGCTTTTGCTCGCCAGCGAAGAAGATGATGAAGTGGGTGGGGCAGAGCTCTTGCCTCCAACAGCTGGGACTCGGGAAGTTGGAGCTCTGGGTAGAGTACTTCCCACCCTGGGCCTGGGTGGCTGGCCTGAAGCAGATACAAGGGGACGAGTACTTTTCCTCGCCTCGACAGACGGAGCAGCACGAGAGGAAGGCAAGGTCGTCTGTCTAGCAATAGCAGAAGCAGGTGTAGAGAGAGCACGAGCCTCCAATCTCTCCGAGGCAGAAGTGGCGCCAGTCGGAGCCCCAGCGGAACTTGTCGGTATGGTGGACAGCTTGGACCTAGCTTCGGTAGCTGGAGCGTCAGATGTCGTGGTGGCTCGGTTGGTCGTCGCCGTGGCGTCATTTCCGAATGCCCTGGATGTCCTTGCTCTAGGGGCAGGCGTGGTGGCGGCAACGCCAGATGCGACAGCCGACCTCGCGGATGAGCCTGTTCCAGGCCGGGGGAGGCCGGCAGGTGCGATAGATGCTCGAGCACGGGGGGCTCGGGGGGTAGGCAGACCGGTACTGGAGAGAGAAGAGGTTGTAGCAGACCTGGGGAGTGAGCGGGTACTGGCTAGAGTGACTGCGCTCCTTGTTGAGGCAGGAGCACGAGCGCCAGAAGCAACGGTGGTAACCGAGCTAGTAGTTGAGCCGACCCTTGGCTTTTGAGCAGTCATGATACTCTCTCTAGGAACGCGAGCCGTAAGTGTCGACGACGGGGTTTCCTTGACTCTGGCGTTTCTGGCCTCGGTCACACCGAGACTCCTCCCAGTGGTTCTGCTGCTCAGGGAAGAGCTGGAAGCAGACGTTGGCATTCGTCGGACACTCCCAGGGATTGCAGCACTTTGCGTCCTGGCATGAGCAGGAGTGCGAGTGGAAGGCAAAGTGATGGTCGTTTGCGAGGCACTTTCCGACATTGGCATAGCCCCGGCCGATCGTGAGATACGGCGAGAGCCAGTCGTATGAGGCGCCACGTTGGTACGCGCTTTGTGTACGGCCGGGGTAACGGCAGAGTCAACAGACGACTTGTAGGTACGAGCAGAGGAGACAGTCTTGGGGGGAGTAGTAGGGCGGGCGAGGGCAGATGCTGCCTTGTCGGCCTTGACTCGTTGGATGATCTCGGCGACTTTTGACAAGCTTTTGGAGCGAGTAAGTGTGGATGGAGCGTCGGAAAGCGGGTCTTTGTTGGCGAGATGGGCGAGGCCACGACTTGTCTGGGCGGTTGGCAAGCCCCGAGAAGGCGGTGCTTGGCGAGTAGCCACATGGGGACGCAGTTCGGCAGGAAGCATCATAGTTTCGTCCGCTCCCAGCATCGTCCTGCTTGCTATCAGCCGATGCCAACCATATACCAGAGAAACTTACATGTCCATCCTGTCAATCATATCCTCGTCTTCCGCATTCAGCAGATCCACAAAGCTTTCCTCTGTGCCCGAGGCCCGCTTGGGCTTGCCAACATTCGCCATCAGAGCCTTCACATCCATAGTCATATCCCCCAGATTGCCTTTGGGGATCGACATCTGCTTGGTGGGGAGGTCGCCGAGGCGATAGCTTTTGTCTTGCACCATGGTCTCTCTACTGAGCAGGTCCTCATCCCGAAGCGGATAAGCGGCATTGTGAAGGCCAAATGGTAAGAGTGTACTCTTTTCTCGCTCTGGTCTATACTCTGCCTCCTCACCGACGGCAGCTAGAGAGTTACCAGAAGATGACGCTGGAAATGTCCTCTTGGACTTGCTCTGAAGAGAAGATGAGAACTGAGAGGAGGGCGTGCCGCGAGAGCGGGGGAGCAATGGTGTTTTGGCAGATGAACCCTTGGTAGGGGAAATTGGGCGCGAGTTTATGTTGAGGGTATCACTCGAGTCATCAGACGAGACAGTACTCATTGTAGACTCGTTGCCTTTCCATGGAGGGTCAACTCGGTCAAGGGCATTGGTGGAAGCGAGCAGATGGGCTGGAGAGGAAGGAAAGATGGTGGATTGTGCGAGATGCGCAGAGGGGGCTTGTAACCTGTTTCCCTGTCTGAGCTCGCTCACGCTGGACGGATCACTCGTCGGAGTGTCTCTCCCATGAGGTCTGATATGGCTCATCTCAAAGTCTAACAGACTGTCATCGTCGACTCCACCGCCGCCGAAGAGCGAGCAGTCGCCGATGAGAGAGAGGTCACCCATGTTTGGAAGACGGAAGGAGGCCGAGAGACGGGGGGCGGGGGCAGGCGACGGATTGGCGGGTTCACGATTCAGAGCAGGCGGATTCGAGGGCAGGGCTTGAGCGGGGGCCAAAGGGGAGAGTTGTTGGGAGGTTGAGCGATCCAATGTGTCGCCTTGCCCCTCTGGGCGCGTCTCACCAGCATCGATCGGCTCTTCTGCAGGCGTGACCTCCTTGGCCAGCGGGCTCCGTGCCCTCCTGATGCTCCCAGGGACCTTCCAACTTGCCGCCTGACCACCGCGAGGGTGCAGAAGCCCATTGTTTTGTTTGTTGACCTCGGGCGCGGGGGTGCTGTACTGGGACACAGACTTGGGGACGATTCCATCTGGGATGTGGTGGATGGGGGGGGAGTTCTTTGGAGTGTCGGGGAGGGGAGGGAGGTGGGAGAGATACTCGTCGAGCGGGAGGCCGTCGAGGCCGCGCATGGCTCTGGGGGCTGTCAGCGGTGGGTGCCGGGTGGGGGCGGCGGGGTGCTTACAGGGAGAGCCGTGCCTTCTGGTACGCGGTGGGGCTGGCCATGGGAGGGTATGAGCAAGCGAGAGGATCCAGTCGAGCAACAACAAGCAAACAACAAAGTCAACAACAAGTCAACAACTTCCTGCCAGCGGCCAGCGCCGCAAGCCCACAACCTCGTGCGGCGTGCGCAGAAAGAACTGGCGAGTTACATGCATACTATACAACGAAGAACATGATGACCAAAATCATTAGGCTACTCTAAATGCCCGTGCTATTCGCTAGCAAGGTTCCATATGAGATTGGCCGTATAGACCTTGGATCGGGAGTTGTCGACCACCACCGAGTGGACATCGTCTTTGGCGTCATTTCCTACGACACTTAGTTAGTAGGCGCTAGAGAACAGATCGTGTTTACCCACTGATCAGTATCTTGCTTGCGGAAGAACCCTCTCTGGGTGGGACGAGCGAGAAACCAGCTTCAGAGAAAAGCTTGAGGCGAATACTGTCCCGCCGTCAGCGATACACTACGTGTCCAGACCAAGCGACATACACTTTCCCGTCAGCCCAGCTCTCTGCATCTTCACCGATCTCGACTTTTCCTATCTCCTCCTTGGCTGCCTTCCATTTGCCCAGTTCCACCTCCTTCTTGGCCACGGCAGCTTGCTCGTCATTCAGTTGTTTGCCAGTCGAGTACTGCTGCTGTTCCAGAGATCTGACGTGAGCATCGTGATCGTCAGGCGAGGGGTGAGAAGGCGGCCTTTGTGCGGCGGAAGTGGCTTGGTTAAGTTGGCGAGACAGTTCTGTAGCAGGATGAGCTTTGCGATGATGTGTGAAAACAAGAGACACTTACGTCGAAGATCATCACGTATCTTGTCGAGTATTTCGTTCCTTTCCGCATCTTTGGCATTCACTGCCGCCTCTGCCGCGGCCAGATCGCCCAGCTCTTCATCTGGGGACAAGTTCGGTCCGACATCCCTGACGATCTTGCTATGATGGTGTCAGCAGCGCGGCGGACAAATGGTTGTGGACGTACGCCAATGCGGTCCACTTTTCTTCAGGGGTATCGTGCAGTTCGCTTGCGTCCTCCTGAGCGTACAGGGCGTCTTCGCCGTGGTGATGAGGCTGGGAGGGGGGTGTTGTGGACATGGCGGATGGAGACATGCAGAGGATTGTTTTTGTTTTTGCGTTGTTGACGCGACGCGCTGGGCCCGGGCGCCTACCAAGGTCCAAGGCCCGCGGTGAGGATAGGCGCGGGGCATGTCGTCACTCATCTCTCCAACATCTCTCTCTGTCCAGGTGTCCAGGTGTCCAGGTGTCCACGATGTCCGCGATGTCCGCCCTCCCCCAGACAAAGCGCCACACCCGCAAGCAGCTCGGAGAGAGGAGAGTCACCCGCGACCCCAGCAGCTCCAGAGACGCATCCGAAGAGGGTCAGTCCCACCCCCCATCTCCCTCCCAGCTCACCCCCGCAGACAACGACAACATCGACAACTCCTTCTCAGACGTCGGCTCCGTCAACTCCACCAGAGAACTCCTCTCAAACGCCTCCACTGTAGACTCCCCCAGCATGCCCCCTCCCGCCTCTCTCCCGCCGTATGCGTCCGAATCCAGCTCCCCGCGAAAGTCGCTCCACCAGAAGCGGGTCGAAGAGCTCGGAGCAGACAGCCAGAGCGAAGGCCTCGATTCGCCAACGTAAGTTTTTGTGATTTCCGGCAAAAAGAGACCTGCACTTGGCGTTTTTTGTGATCTCGAAATGTGTTGGGTCTGTGCTGACGACTGGCCAGATACGACGGTGATATCGAATCTTCCTCCACTATTGGCGGCACCCCAGCAGCAGCGCACCAGCCTCTGCCAAAGTCATCCCCCACCCCTCACCTCGCCTCTGCTCTGTCTTCGGGATACCGTCAGCCCACCCCCAAGGCCTCCCTGACCAACCTCGCCCCCTCAGACGCGGCTTCCAACCTCCAATCGCCCGACCCTGAGCCCTACTACCAGCCCCGCGACGTCCCTGTCGCCCCTTCAAAGTATCTCGATGAAGCTGCCAGGAATCCGCCCAGGGACTCGCTCAGTTCCAACTCGGCGGGAGGGCCCCCAAAGATGTACACGAGGCCGACAGAGAGGACAGAGGAGGATATCAAGGCGTTCGTAGAGCGAGCTATCCATGGGAGAGGCGCAGAAGACGGCGTGGAGAGGTGGTGGAAGACAAACCCGCCTCCCGAAGGAAAGGTGGTCAGGGTCTATGCCGATGGTGTCTACGACTTGTTTCACTTTGGGTAGGTCCCAGATCACCTCAAACCGACAAATGCTCACACCCTGGTAGCCACAATCTCCAATTGCGCCAAGCCAAGCTTTCGTTCCCCAAGGTGCAACTCCTCGTTGGCGTCTGCTCGGATACGCTGTGCGCCGATCACAAGTCTGCCCCAGCCATGACCCATGCCGAGCGGTGCGAAGCTGTACGAAACTGTCGATGGGCGGACGAAGTCATTCCCGATGCTCCTTGGGTGATTGACCAGGAGTTCTTGAACAAGTACAACATTGACTATATCGCACACGATGAGCTGGTGTACCCCAGTAAAGATCACGAAGATGTCTATGCTTTTGCCAAGGCGGAGGGTGAGTTCCCATCCATGGTTTGAAATACATTCATCTGACAAGAGACAGGTCGATTCGTGCCCACCCGTCGAACGCCCGCCATTTCAACTTCCGATCTACTTGAGCGCATCGTCCGTGGCTACCGAGACGGGTTCTTTGACTCCAAACTGGAGAAGAACGGTCACCCCGAGTTGGCGGCTGCTGATGTAGACTGGGATTCCAGCGCATCGGTGGAGAAGCGTGAGAGGAGAAAAGCAGCGCTCAAGGCCAAAAAATAGAATGAACGCATCGATGTGCAGACGGTCTTTTGTGGAATGCTTTAGATTCGACTATTTCGATCATGTATACGGGTACATTGTGCATGGCAACCGTCAAAATAACTGGTCTCATCATCCTCCGGCTTTGAATTTCTCAGCCATGTTTTGAGCATTTGCTGTGCTGTTGGCTACTGTCACCTCTGCAACGTTGGGATCGGCAGGTTGCCATGTTCCATCAGGCTTGACTGGCTTCTCAGCTTTTCCGCCCAGGAGGGCTTTTTAAATTCGAGACCCGGTGCTTTTCTTCGCCTCTTCCTCTTGTCCGGGCTTCTTCTCCACCTTCTCCTTCTCCCCGTCTTCTCCTTCACCCGCTTTCGCATCCTTGCCCTTATCTTTGCTACTGCTCTCCAAATCCGCCAACGGTAACTTTCGTTTCGTCAACTCTTTAATCAACTGCGCCTTTTCCTTCTCTCTCTTCTTCTTCCACTCTGCATACTTTTCCTGTCCCTTCTTCTTTTCCGTCGCAGCTTCTTTTGGCGCTTCTTGTTTGACACGCTTGACAGTGTCGGCCGGCTTCTCGGCTTTACGCTTGCACAACTCTCTTTCAACCCACATGGATAATCCACCTCTGGACCCTCCTGATTCACCGCCAGACGATGAAGATTCCGTTTCATATGCCGATCGGAGATGGTTGCCCCACAGCACAATGAAAAGGAAGACCACACAGCTCATAAAGAACAGGGCAAGGATGAGGCTGGGGCGTTTTGGTGAGTACCATCTCGAGTGGGCGGTACGCAAGGCAGTGAGATGATTGTGTGCCATGGTGCGAGCTTTTATCGTGTGTCAATCTTTGTTCGTCCTCGCTACGATGAGAGAACATACAAGTGACCGGTGCACCTCTGGCCGATTCTGGAACGAAAGGCGCAGGAGCAAGTACCCACTTCCTGTACCTCTCGTTCCAAACCCAAATGGGCGCGGGTTTTTCACCTTCATGCCGAATAGCTTTTGAACCTGCGCTTGTCCAGAGGCCCATCTGGCCATCGATTCCTTTGAGACCAAGTTCTTCCATGATGGCGCCCAGAAAGCCTGTACCCTGTACCGGTGGCCCACCTAGACCGGGACTCCATGTATTCAAATCTCCATCTCTGATCCAGCCCCAAATCTGTCCCCCGACATCAGGATAGACGCCCAGCAACAGCACGGCACCGGTTGCAAGGCATATCATTGTTGTCGTCACAAACAGTTCATTGGTAGAGAATGGCAGAGAAGAGGTATTGGGCGGACGGGCACCAAGGGAGAACAGGAGGAGGGGGATGACGGGAAGGAGGATAAGCAGGATGAAGGGCCCGGGAAGGAGCGTCTGTGTTGGGGTGAAAGGGGCCGGCGCAGGCGGAGGATTAGAGGTGTACTGGGCATGCATCTTGAAGGGTCACTCGCGATATTCCTGTGCGTAGGCCGTAGTGAGTGATGCCCGGCAAGATGCATTCAATTGCCTGAATACAAGGATGACCGGACTAGAATGGAAGGATGTGGCGCCTAATGTCAACAAAGGATGAGATACATACTCTCATGCACATGTCGTACGATGCAATGACAGGTTGAAATGAGATTTCGTTTCGTGATATAACTACAATCTAGATGAGATCAGGTCACTTATTGATTGAAAGCTTGCCACCTGTGAGACATGTCAGTTACGCCTGAACGGTTCAAAGCGGCTTGAGCTCACGCTTCGCTCAAAGTACCGAATGCGCCGTTGGCCAACATTCGCTGCTCGACAGTTGTGTTGTTGACGTTCAGCTGAATTGAAGTTAGGAGTGTTACGTTCCAAAAGATCGGGACGGCTCACCTTGTCAGGATGCAGTCTTGCGGCGACCTTCATGTACTTGATCTTGACCTGCTTATCCGTGATCAACTCGTGCATCCCCACTTTCAGACCCCCCTTCATGACCTCGTCCCAAAGCACCGTGTCTAGACTCGCAATGAGTGCCCGGATATTTGTCTCTTTGCCATTTCTCCACGCGCCGAGTTTGGCATCCACCGCGTCTTTGTGGGCGCTACGAGCAGCGTCCTCGGCCTCGAGCGCCTGGGCAGCTTTGCGGAGGTCGGCAACTGCAGCGGAGCGATTGACGTCCACCGGCCTGGAAGGTGGGGCAGGCGTTGGTCCGGGCGCAGGTTTGGAGACCGGACGAGATACAGGAGCAGAGGGCGTGGCCTGTCCATCTGCAATCATGTTTCTCGCTCGCCTTGCGCCCTCCGCCGCCAGCTTTCTCGTGCTGGCCACCTTTCCACCCAGGATAGCAGAATCTAAACTCATGGTTCTCTCCCAGTCTTCCAGCGCTTGCTTCCATTTCTCTCCCATCTCCCAAGCCTGTGCCCGTTTTGTCAATGCTTTGGTCAACGCATCACCGAGTTTGATGTCGGCATACTCGATCGGTAAAGGCGCCTCTTTGGACGGATGATAGGAGGGGGAGATGATAGCGATGGCAGAGGTACAGTCCTCCGCGGCACTTGTGAAGTCGCCAAGCTTCAATCTTGTTGTAGCCCGATTGTTAAGTAGAGGCACGAGGAAGAGACAGCCTTCGGGAAGGGACGAGATTGCAAGTGTGTATGCAGACTCAGCTTCCGTGAAACGGCCCAGTTTGAAATGCTCGTTGCCCTTTGTCTTGTGGGTTTGAGACTTCTGGAGTTGCTGAGCGTCAGCCGAGATGATAGCCCGAAGTGGGAGAGGCGTGGAAGACTTGATAGGCGCTCGTGGGGGCTGAGAGGGCTTGTGTCGTGGAGATGCAGGGGCGGCAGAAGAAGGTCGGGATCCAAGAGGATCATCTCCACCAAAGAGGAGATTCGCATCCTTGTCCCGAGTGACAACTGCAGGCCTTTTCTCGGCGGATTTTTGGGCCCCTTCGCGTCTCCTAGCAGCGGCAGGCCGAGATGGCCCGTGCGTTGGCTCATCCTCCTTATCGCTATCTATGAAGCCACCAGCCCCCGCTTCTCCTGTGTCTTCGCCCTTCCACTCTTCGGCGTCCTGCATCCATTTCGGTCGCCCATCCGCCTTTCTCTCAGACCCACCCCTACCGTCCCGTCTCCCGTCAGTAGCAGCAGCAGCTTCCATGGCCTTCCTCTGCTCTTCGTACACCTTTAAAGCTCTCTCTTTGCCCTGGCTCCAGAACACGGAAGCCTTGTTGAATAGGCCTTGTCCGAGCTCTGAAGCTTGCGCAATGATGCGTTCGGCTTGATCTTGAGACTGAGTCTCGTTCTCACGTTCGGCGGGTGTTCGAGGCTGTACAGAATCGCGAGACGGCCCCGCCCGTCTTCTCCCCCGCTTCTCCTTCTCCGCCTCTTCTCTCTTGATCCTTTCATACTCGACGACATCGTCTTCGGCCTCTCCCATATCGTCTCGAGGCGCTATCCGGTGGGAAGGACCGGGTGATCGGAGCAGAATCTCGAGGGCGACTTGGACGTCAAGGCCTGTAGAGGTCTTTGCAAGAGCCGAACGGGCCTGCGTGGGGGAGAATCCCATCTCAACAATTTGGCCGACGATATGAGGGGGTGGAGAATGTGTTCGCTGGGGCTTTCTATTCGGCGATGATTTGGGGGGCCGAGCAGGCTTGACCGACATTAGCAAACAAGGAATTTCAAGCTACAGACGACGTACCCCTAAAGGTTCGGCTGATCTCCCCAGTCCCCCCAAAAGGTCACCTTCCCCATCATCACGGAGGTCAAAGTCTGACACAGGCACCTTCATTTCCGACGACTTTGCTTGCTTGACCGCACTGCCCGGCTTTACCGAGTTCATGGTCGACTCGAAGACTTCAAAGTCGAACGGGTCGGTGGAGGTGGATATTGAAGATGCAGGGGGAAGAGCTGGGGCAGGGGTGTGCACCCTGGTGTGGGGACGAGATACGGGTCCAGAAGAATTGGAGGGGGACAGCAAGTCTTCTTCGTTGCCAAAGCGACTCCAAAATGTACCCTGGGACGCTTTGCTGGTGTTTGTAGCAGAAGGGAGCCCACTGGATTTGGCGCTTGAAGGCCCCGAGGAGGCATGCGGTTTGATCGAAGGCTGCAAGAAGTCGTGAAAGTCGTCAAGGCTAGCATTGCCTTGCCCAGCATTACCCGTCAGAGTGGCTGATGTAGAGCTAGAGCTGCCCAGATTGTCCCAGAATTGACTTTCTGCCTCATATTTCTTTTTCTGGGCTTCATCACTCTTTCTTTTCTCTTCTGCGAGGGCTGCCTGGCGCTGGGCGATAGTCATTTGTTTGGTGTCATTGCTGGCGGCCGGGCCGCCTAGGGAGAGGAGTCCCGAGAAAGCATCCGGCTTGGCCTGGGAGGAGGCAGGAGTAGACACAGGAGGGGGAGCAGGCGTGGAGGTAGACGAGCGCGAGGGAAGTAGATCCGGGGCGTAATTTGGAGTGGAGGAGCGGGCTTTCTGGGGCTGTATGGAGAGAAAGTCGAAAGACGTGGGAGTGGAGCCTTTGGCTGGGGGCTGGGGGACAGAGGGGGCGGTGGGCTTCGGGGCCCAGGAGAGGTCGAGGAGGTCGTCCATGGGGATGAGCGATGAAAGAAGAAGAGGACGAGAAATGAAAGAGGAGATGAGCGCGACGATGGCAACAACAGCCACGCGAGTTCATCCAGGCACGGCCAAGTTGTATGTAATTGTGGCATCTCGATGCATCCATGGGCCTCCTATGCTAGGTATCAAGCCTCCCTCTCCTTCTCGCCGTCAACAGCCTCATCCCTGGCCTCCTTCTTGCCACCCCACTTTCTTCGCCTTCTCTGCGAATTATGCGAGTTTCTCAAAGACTCGAGCCGCAACGTTGCCAGCTTGTCCCAGACCACTTCGCCATCCAGATAGCACCCCTTCAACCACCGAGTCGGGTCTGCAGACTCATCGTGGTCCTTGTCCGCCTCAACCACCCCCTCAGGCGACTCTTTATCGTAGAATGCTGTTCGCGCATGTAAGACTCGTCGATTATCAAACAGGACCAAGTCTCCTTCTTGCATGGTAAACTCGTACCGATAGCGAGGATCGCTCAAGCGCTCTTCGAAATCTGCGATAGCTTGGAAGACTTTGGACTCTTGCTTGGCAGCTGCGACGATGTCGTCTTGGGGCATGTCAAGGGCTTCTGCAGACCCTCGGAAGGGAGGGCTCCAGTTGACAGCGGCATGTAAGCTGTTTGGGGCATAGTCGGGACTGATGATGGGGTGACGGTAGCGCAAGAAATGACCATCATTGTCATACTGGTAAGGGATGGTAACGGAGCTGAGGAATCTGCGCTTTTCTTTGGGGAGGTCGTTTACGGCTCGGAACGAGTCGACAAAGTAGGACGAGCCCCCTTCAACACGATTGCGGAGACAGTGAAGGAGTTGAAAGCGGGGAGGACTGGAAAAGTAGAGGAGGTCCATATGCAATCCCAGATTGACACTAGTGTAGCTATGCCATCCGTCAGCGTCAGCGAAACATACATCGCAATCCCGCCGACTCACGCAACATTCTTGCTCTGCTTCATGCTCTTCACATTCCAAGTCTCCCCATAGAATGTGTTGCGAATCTCTCCGACCATGTTGGCCACCTTCCGCAGAGTGCAGTCATCATTGCCAGTGGTATCTGTCGGCACCCCCTCCACGACTGCGATACCATACACTTGCAATTGTTCAAGCACTTTGAACAGCGATCGTGGCAGGTCGCTGTACTTGAAGCGCAGATTGGTTAAGGGTAGCGATTCTCCATCCCAAGTTTGGCGGACGAAAGTGGGGCTACGGGCATAGCTGTTGTTGTCTGACTCTATCATTCCTCGCAGTCTTGATACGGGGAACACGGACACGTGAGATTGCCCATCATTGCGGTTTCTCTTGGGGCCGATCCACGAAGCAAGGAGTGCCGGGACTTGCACTGGGCCATAGGAGACATGCCCCTTTACAAACTTCACCCTTTTGCTTTCTCGGACTGATTCGCCGGTGGTGGTGTTCTTTTGGCGAGTAGATTTGTCACGGCAAAGGCCACACGAGCACGAGTCAAGAAGACGAGCGTGGGTGATCACGCCTGAGCGGCCGTGCGATGTGAATGAGACAAAGTTCTGGTAGATGACGACCTTCTCATGGGCGCTAAACTTGATTTCGTGTATGGGCTCGTCTGGACGGCGCTTGTGTCTTTTCCTTCGCCCCCCCTCGCTCGGGGAGCTGGCGTCCTCGACGGTGATGCCTTCTATGAAGGAGTCTTCGATGTCGTCCTCTGCAACAACATAAGACTCTGCCCACGGGTTGGCACTGAGGCTGATGGGGTTGAGGGGTGGGGGTTTGAGGAGCTGCTGCTCTTCGGGAGCGTCGGTGGGAGGGAGCGGGGGCGGGGGGCGCTTTGGGTGCTTGCGAAGGTGGAGATTGGGGACGGTGAGAGCCTGGGGCGCAGTGGAGCCATGCGGGAAGGGGGAGGTGGAGTGGGCGCGGGCGAGAGGCCTGAGGGGAATACGGGGGGGCATAGCTGGAGGAATGGAGGGGCATCGATGATAGAGATGGAAATGATGACGAGGGAAGGGGAAGGCGGGGCAGACCGCCGGAGATGTAATAGTGTGGTTCTCTATGTACAAATATATTTTGCTAGTTGCCGCAGCGAGATGGAGAACGAAAGGTGAGCGCACAGAAACGGGGCATCGCTCATCCCCCCAGGCTCGCCGCCTTCCAGCGCACCCTCCACCCCTCCCCCATCCACCTCGACGTCCTCCGCCATCTCTCCTCCAGAGGTGCGTCCACAGCCAGCAGACAGCCGGCCTGCTGACCACACGCAGGTATCCCGAACCACCCCCCGCATCTCCGCCCCTTGGTATACTCTCTTCTCCTCGAGATAGTGCCGCCAGAGAAGGAGCTATGGAGCAAGTCGATGAGGGATCAGAGAAGACGTTACCACGTGCGCCTTTGCCAGAATACTAGCCAAGTACCCAGCTAATCTCAGCAGAGCCTGGTAGACACTCTTATGAATGAGTTGGATCGCCTGGTGAGTATGACATGCGCCACATATATACCACATACTCGAGCTTATGTCTCGCCTTAGGAATCCTCCTCGTCTGCCAGCTTGGGGGTAGACGCCTTGTTGTCGAGCATAGCCCGCGACACCCGCGGCCTTTCAACAGACTTCTGGCACCGCCCCGTGTCATATCGAAATTCATCGCCTTTGCGTCCGCTCTGTAGTGAAGACAGAATGGGGCAGGTACGCAGGAGCAGCGAAGAGAGCGACGAGGAGAGCGAAGATGAAGGCACCCCGGCACCACTTCTCTCTCGAAGGTCCCTGTTTCAGCGACTGGAGACCATTTCTGCGAGAGAACACCAGGCGCCTATCATCACAGCCACCCCACCCGTCGCACCCCCATCGCCTCCAGAGTCCCCTGCCGCCTTACTATCCCCTAAAATCACACTCTCACTAGATCATTCCCCTGCTTCGCCTATCCTCTCACGGCTCAAAAGTAGACGCCCTGCTCCTCTAGAAACCTCCGGTCTCAAACCCACCGGGGAGGGCGAACAGCCGTCCCCAATTGTCCTGCATTCTCCCAAACCTTTGCCCAATGGGTCAACTCCCCACCTACCCCCCGCGTTGTTCCATCCCGACGACAACAGGGAAGCCATCACACGACTGATTTATGTCTTTAGCCGGACAAATCCTCAGTGGACGTATCGGTCGTCTCTGATCGACATTGCTAGCCACCTGTACATCATCTACTCTGGTGGAATGCAAAGCCGGACGCGGTCGAACGACTTGATCCTAGACTGGGCTGAGGAGTATACTTTCTGGGCGCTGTCCGCCTTGATTGGAGATATCGATACGTTGGTGGATGAAGATGGGATGTACAGCACTATGAACAAATTCGAACGCCGATTGGAATGGATGAATCCGCCCCTCTCCTCCATACTTCGCGACCGGAGTGTAGAGCCACACCTATACGTCAACCGCTGGTTCACCTCACTCTTTACGAAAGATATATCGCAAATCAGAGTCCCTCTTCTGTTTGATTATGTCCTGTCGGAAAAGCTGTCGACGCCGGGGAGTCAGGCGAAAGTGGATAGAGTGGTGGATATAGGCGTGGCGATGGTGCTTCTTGTCAAAGATCAGCTGGTCAAACCGCCTCCCAAGAAACCGAATCGCTCGCGCCAGAGTCAAAGTATGTGGGACGACGCCCTCGACCAGGATGAAGCAGACAACGAGGATATCAGTGTCGCTCTCGGCCGCAATCTGCGGCTCCTCAGGACTTATCCCCTGAAAGATGTGGGTGGGCTGGGGGCAGTGCTCAGTGAGGCAGAAGATTTGGGTTTGGAGAGGATGAAGTCGCTCCAAGCGGGGGTGGACCCTGACAGGGTAACCTTACCGCCAAAGCGGTCTTTTCCTGTTGCGACTCCTTCAAAATCTGCTACAGAATCTTCCTGGGGTAAGACTGTCGGTTCTCTGTGGTCTTCCTTCACGACACCGTCACCCTCGAAACAGCAGAGTCATTCAGCTCTGCGCAAGCTCGAGCTCGAAGCGAGCGTGTTTGAGCACCAGTCACCTGCCTCTTCCACCACCTCTCTCCCTCAAAGCTTGAAGCCTAGGAGCGACAGCATGGCTTCCACCACCTCCGCCACCCTCCCAGCAACGCTTCAGGAAAAGTTTGCTAGCCTCTCCAAACACTTTTCGCCCGGCTCCAAACAAGACAGCAACAAGCCGGAGACGCCTTCAAGCCTGCCCAGGCCTCTGCTATTGTCGGGTTCTGCCAAGACTAGAAGACCGAGTCATTCTCAGCCGAGGTCAAGAGAAGGGTCCCTTTCGGGCGCTTCTCCCCGACACTCGCCTTCTATCGATGGGCTGCCAAATTCCGCATATTCTCCGTCTCGTTTCTCAAATACACCCTCGACTCCGGGATCAGCTGAGCTCAGCGACCCGTTGAGCCCACCACAAAGAGGGAGATTTGGCAATATATCCTCTGGGTATCCTAGCCGCCCCAATTCGCTCCATGAACATACACCCGGGGGCCTGTATAGAATAGGCAGTCGGCAGAGGAGTTCGTTGGTGCAAGAGCCGACGTTGGCAAAGGATATCACAATGGCGCTGGAGCAGAAGGAAGGAGGATGTGGCCAATCCCAAGGGGCTCAGGCTGCGAAGGATGATCGCGATCCAGGGGATGCAGAGCAATGCATATAAGCAAATGAGATGAAAGACCAGGGTCTGTAGGGTATCTTGGGTATCTTCACTATTTTGGGATTTTTGCCTATTCATAATTACATGTATTTTGTATGACAACAGAAGTGCCAACTATATATTTCTATCTCACCCGTGATTAGGGAATCCCTCGGATAGTGGACGTTAAATGACATCGATAGTACTGTACAAATCATAATGCACCCAGGGGATCCCAGCTTTCGTCATTATCCTTCCGTATTTTTGTCGCTTCCACATTCTCCTGCACCGCCGCATCATTCGTTGCTCCGTCTTCTATACTCAAGCCGGACAAGGAAGGAATCGGGGTAGGCGCGGTCGCCCATGGATTACTTGTAGTTCTGCTTGGCCCCGGGCGAACCGCCACTGCAGGAATTGACGGAGCGAGGTCTGGGCGAGCGGGGGAAGATAGGGGTGGTGATCTCGGGGATTCAGAAGCCCACGGGTTGGCTTCCGAGGGAACTCTCAGGCCCATTCGCGACAGCCCCGTCGACGGCGCAACAGGCCCCGAATCTCTGGTCACCCCGGAGCCTAACCTTTTACGGCCATCCTCCCTCCCCCAACCATGCTTTTCCAGCTCATCTGCCTCAGCTTTGATCTGCGCGAAAGCGTCGGTGGAAATGGTGCGGAAATCTCGAGCAGCAGATTGAACAGCGTTGAAAGCGGTGCCAGATATCTGAGACCAATTCCACGACTTGGGACCCGGAGACGAGGTGGCGGGTTCGGGGGACAGTGGAGTAGCATGTACTGAGAGGGGGTCGGTGGGTGGCGCACCTACAGGTGTCACTCTGCGTACAATTCCCTCCACCCGGACAGGGTTATCCTCAGAGCCCGTCACTGTGCTGGAACTATCCACTCCAGTGACCCCAGCAGCCAGCGAAACAGGCGACCCGTTCATCTCCTCGTCACCGCGTCCAAAAAGACGAAACCAGAATTTGACATCTTTCGGATCGTACAGCAAGACACCTTGGTCCCCGGGTTCAGGAGTACCTGAAGTGACATCTGACTTGTCGAGGGATGGATCATACGAAGGGTTCACATGCTTGGCGCGTTCTGAGGGTTGTTCGATGAAATCCCAGACAGACGCTGTGCGCTCAACGTATGGCTTGCCAGAGTGTGAAGCTTGCCTTTCTCGTTCGTTGTTGAAAAGGAACGTCCCAAATTGACACGAGTATAGATGTCTATAGGTATCGAGCAGATACTGTTCATTGTATTCGAACCGTTCCGGAAACTGTCGTTGGATTTGACGTACACATTCGAGGAATTGGTGGAAGACTGGGGAAATCTCTTTGAGGTGGGAAGTGCTCGAAAACTGCTTCTGAACCGAAGCAAAGAACGCTTGAGCTGCTCTCTGAGCACCCCCACCGGGCCCTTCTTCTTCCAGGTCGTCTTCACCCTCTGTGACTGAGAAATACTTTTCCGACGACAAATGACCCGAACGATCGAGGAATTTGTGGCCGAAAGATAGCCAATCCTTCTCGACGAGGATTTTGAAGCCTTCAAAAGTTCGATAGTATGGGTCCAAGGCGATCTGAGCGACAGCGCTGAGCTGGGCCGTCCGATCCCACCCATCTGAGCAGTGGATGAGGACGTGGGAAGCGTTGAGATGAACATTGCGGATGATGATGAGGGCACCATCTAGGATAGTAGATATGTGCCGCAACCAGTTACTCTTTCGAAGCAACCCGCGATCCAGGGGTATCGTGGGTCGGGCATTTGCCTCTCGTATTGCCTCGGCAATGATCTTGAGACTACTGCGCATAACATGTATATTGTCAATGCCCAGATACGCCTTTTTGCCCAGTTTATAATTTTCCATATTTTCCGTCCCCGCCCCCATGGCGACGTTTGCCATAGCATTAGTCGTGGGGCGCGCGTCGATGATGAGATTGGTAGAGGTGGCGCCGTATATGGGGGTTGAAGTGGAGGAGTAGGCGTTATCGAGAAAGTGGTGGGAGGAGAAGATGCACTCGATCAGTCTTTCGTCTTGGGATGACCGCGAGTTCTTCATGCCCACCATGGGCTGTGATGAACGGGTGATGGATGCCTATTTACAGTGAGCGAGGGGACAAGTCTCCGCGGGGGCATGAATACACACGTTGTTTGCCCAGTGGAGATAAGTCAACGCTGGTATCCGCGCTTTGCTCCTATATTTTGCAGCATAGGACAGAGTCGAATCGCTAATGCGACTGGGAACGACGAGCTTGTTGGGGTATGTGGGAGAAAAGGAATAGTCCTTGTTGATATCGGTGAAGCGCCACGCTTTCGTACGCGTCCCGAGACCTTGGCGAGCGAATTCGGCTCGGGCGTTGTATGTCTGCCAGCCCTTGCCTGGAGAGGGCGCGACGTAGAAGAATGCATAAAGCTGTTCCACAGAATCTATTTCGTCAGCCTTGCTACGCAACCAGCCAACTCACTTTTCACTGTGCAGTCTTTGACGCTCTGCCACACGTCTTCCGCACCGCCCTCTCTGTCCTTGTTGAACAGCAAGACATAGCTTTCGAACGTCTTTGTTTCTATCTGTACGGGATAGAGGCCGTATATGGTCTGCGGCAGCCTGGTAAGAAGGGTGATGTTTGGGTACGGGATCCAGATCTCGGGATGGGGGTTGGTGGAGGGGGCGGATTGGGAGAAGATGAGGTGGTGGGGGGTGAGATGGAGGTCGCCTGTGATGCGTGCTGCGGTGTCCTGGGGGGGCTGGGGGAGCTCTATGGCGACGTCGTCGACGCGTGCGACTCTGAGGGCGTCCATGGCGGGCTGGCAACAAGTAAGTATGGCAACAGCCTGCAGCGTAGTAGCACAAGGGCGCTTATGTAATCGCACCCCAGCAGCTCGAGGCCGACGGAGATGGAATTTTGAATTTTGCTTTCTTCCACGCACGATGCCGGATATCACGCTCAAGAACCAGCCATTCGACGTCGAGTTCCACCCCACAGAGCCCGTCCTCTTTGCATCCCTCCTCACGGGCCAGGTCCAGTCATGGCGCTACGACGACCAGACGGGCGAGACTTCTGCCGGGTGGAATGTCAGGCCCAGTAAGAGGACGGCGAGGGCACTGGCTATCGAAGAGGGGGGCGATAACATCTGGATGGGCGGAAAGGGAGGCGGTCTGTAGTAGGTGGGGCGTGGGCCGCGAGGGCAGCAGCTGATTTGATCTAGCCAAATAGACACCAAGGATGGGCAGATGACCAAAGAGAGGGCTGGGGCCCATGAAGTGCCTGTCAATCGGGTGCACTGTGTCAACCCCAATCTCATTGCATCAGGAGACGACGATGGTGTCATCAAGGTGAGTCGCGGGGATCTTGAAGATCTCGTCGCTGACAGCTGGTAGTTCTGGGACCCCAGGCAAGAAGACGCGATCCGTTCATACTCTCAGCACTTTGACTACATTACCGATTTCACCTATTTCGACGACAAGCGTCAGCTCGTCACCACCTCGTACGTCCTCTATCCACCTAAATCTAGGCTGACTATGATTACAGCGGCGACGGTCACCTGTCTGTAATCGACATCCGCTCCAACAAATCTGCCCCTCTATCCCTCTCTGAGAACCAAGACGACGAGCTGTTATCAATCGTGCCGATCAAGAATGGACAAAAAGCTGTTGTTGGATCGGGGACAGGAGTGCTGAGTATATGGAATCGGAAGCAAGGGTGGGGAGACTGTAGGTCGCAGTCTAAACTGTGGATCATGACGGACGCTGACGTCGGGAAGGTGTGGACCGTATACCAGGGCACCCTGCTTCGGTGGATGCTATGGTTGCCATCACCCCTGATATCATCGCTACTGGATCAGAAGACGGTATGATCCGCGTCATACAAATATTACCTCACAAATTCTGTACGTTCCGCCCTTGAAATTTAGACCAAATGGCTGACAATAGGTGTCAGTGGGTGTCGTTGCAACGCACGAGGAATACCCTATCGAGCGTATCAAACTCGACCGCAACAACAAATGGCTTGCTTCTGTATCGCACGACGAGTGCCTCAAACTCACCGACATGGAAGATCTATTCGAAGAGAGTGACGATGAAGATGAAGAGATGGAAGAAGGGGACGGGGACAAGTCGGAGGAAGAAGGAGCAGACTCTGACTCTGACATGGAAGTAGAGAAGAGCAAGAAGGCGAAGAAGGATAATGGCATGAGGGATATGGGGAGGAAGCAGATGGAAGAAGAAGACGGAAGTTTCTTTGCAGACTTGTGATAACGTCATCTATTATATGCATATGTGTAGATTCAATTGGATGTTTCAAGTCCTGATGATGGTGTGTTTGCTAGTGCCGATGCGTACGCTTCCCCTTGCCCCACATAGAGTCCGTACTCCTTGCCATTGATCTGGGTGGTCAATCTCCCCGTCTCGCCTTGCGCCCATTGCGAGGCACTTGTGGCCAGATTGTCCGAGGACCACCATGTCCGTTCGGCCATCTCGAGACGCACCAAAGCGAGCCCGACGGTATTGTGCAACGACAGAATCTTGCCCGCCGACCGAGGCTTTTTGGAGGCTGACGATGTTGGGGGATGGAAGGTGATGTCGAGGGGGAAAGTGGCTTCTAGTGAAGAAGCAGGAGAAGGGGAGGAAATGAGGTCAAGGATGGAGCCAGAATGGTCCATGGGGAAGAGACGGACGGGCAGAATCCTCTTTCGCGTCGCACCGGTATGATACGTGCGGACCGTCAGCTCCTGCCCCAAATAACAGCCCTTCCGAAAGTCGACTGTCCTCACGTCAGCCGTGCTTGAAAGTTGATTTTGGGGCAGACTTACCCCCGCCGTGGATATCCATGGAGCTTTCTAGAGGAAGCGCAGAGCCGGGTATTATTTCGTCTTGTCCTTCCGGGACACCGAGCAGCATTCGATGAAGTTTGTAGTCGTCTAGAGAGGCGATATCGTGTGATGATGACAGCGATGCTGGGAGATATGAGCAGCTGTTCTAATTTTCATAGACGTTACCTACGGGACTGGCCCTTGGGCACAAGTATCTGCCTGCCCATGCTGTTCCACCCCGCCCTCAGATCCCAACAGCCCACTTCCTGTTCGCTGAGCCCGACTGTCCGTATGCCATCTTGCCAGTCCCAGCGTGACTCTGCTGCGCCTCCGCTGCCCATCTTCCAGGTGCGCAGGGGACTTGGGCCCTCTGGCACTGTATCCTGCCACGCTGACCAAGCATCCCACTGCTCCGACACATCCTTTATCCTGACCTTGGAGCGTAGCTTGAACGGTGGGAGAAGGGCGGGGAGCGGGGCAGGGTGGTGTGGTGGTGACTCGTGGGCTATGAGGTAGCTGTTTGGGGAGCGGGGAAAGATGAAGACGGGATGGAGGACGCGGCCGGAGGCGTTGAGGAAGCCGCTGTAGCCGCCGGCGAGGTACTCTACGTCCTTGGAGGTGAGGCCCTTGAGGAACTTGTGTGCGTCTGGGCCGGCGAGCTCGAGGACGTGCTTGTGGGGGAGGTGGGCGAGGCGGGCCATGGATGGTGGGAGTAAGCTTGGAGGAAGCTGATGTAAGCAAGGAGTAGTAGTAGTAGCAGTAGTAGCAGTAGCAGCAGTACCCGGCGCCCCCCGCCGCCAGTGGGTGATTACGTATGTGCTGGAAGATAGATAGTAACAGCAGCTGCATCCATCACCTCATCTACTGCCCATGTCCCCCACACACTCACTGCCCCCAGACCCCCCCTCTCCCCGCATAAATCCCTTCCACCTCCTCTCCCACCCCGACCCCTCTCACCCCCTGCCCGACCTTCCGGCCCGTCTCCAAGCACGAGCATCCCAGGCAGACCCCCACCCGCACCCAGAGTCCCGCTCGCCGCCCGTGCATATCACCAAGGTGTCGGCCGCCCAGGTGACCCTTAGATCCCACGCCGAAGCGACAAATCACAAGACCTTTCTCGCACGGGTCAGCGGGGCGTTCAAGAGGGACTCGGGGGAGAGCGACAGCAGATTCGGCACGTCGCCTATCGTCATGCAAGGAGCACCGCCGAGCCCGCCCCCGAGTGATGGGGGCATGGGCGACTCGGTCGTCGTGTCGGATGAGGATCTGCCAGCCACGTTGTCGTCGAATGGCAACCATTCTCAGACTGGAGATGCTCGACCTGTTCTTGCAACCAGCTTCACCTCGGAACCCTCAGACTTTGACTCGCACGTCGTCCTCGCCCCGCCGATCCCTGCAGCTCGGCGCGTCTCGGGCAGCTCAACAACGTCGAGCCGAGCGGGGTCTCTGGCTCTGGTGCGCAGCGGTCGCTTGGCGCCTCAACGGGACGGCGAGAATCCCGCCAAGACCAAAGACTTGCCGTCGCTGCCCAACGGGTCGGACGTCGAACTGGAACGACGTGATAGCGCAGGCAACCTCCTCTCGCCCATTCCCATGTTGCATCGCCGGAGTACAGTCGGTTCAACCATACCCCCACCCCCTCCTGCCCCTCGGTCTCCTCTCATGCATTCTCGCTCGGCGTTTGCCTCGCCGTCTTCCATGCCGCCGCCTGCGCAGGGGAAGAACGGTTTCTTGGACTCGGCTATTCAGGAGCAGGAGGAGACTATCAGGCGTGAAAGATTTTCGCGGCTAGAAAGGAGGTCGAAGAAGGCGAGCGCTACGAGTGATGGAGAACACGAGCCCAAACCTGAAGACATTTCTTCGCAACATTACTCCCCCAAGCAACAGGCGCCGCCCCCCCGACAGCCGCTTGACAAGGAAAAGGAAGAGGCCAGAGTGCTTGTGGGAAACTTGATTGGCGAAGATCATGTCAACTATGTTCTGATGTACAACATGCTCACGGGTATCCGAATAGGAGTGAGTGTACCACGCTATCTGTCTAGGTCGAGCTGACTCTGTCAGGTGTCGCGATGCCAGGCCAAGATTGGACGCGTCTTGACTGATGACGATTACACCGCGCGCCACAAGTTTTCATTCGACATGTGAGTTGGCCTTTACGTTCCATAGGCTCGGCTGACATGTCACAGTATCGGAAACGAGCTCACGCCGTCTGCAAAGTACGATTTCAAGTTCAAAGACTACGCCCCCTGGGTGTTTCGTGAACTGCGCGAACAGCATTTCAACCTTGACCCTGCCGATTATCTCCTGTCCTTGACCGCAAAATACATCCTCTCCGAACTAGGCTCTCCCGGGAAATCCGGGTCCTTCTTCTACTTTTCTCGCGACTACCGCTTCATCATCAAAACCATCTCCCACCACGAACACAAATTCTTGCGGTCCATTCTCAAAGACTACCACGAACATGTCAAGGAGAACCCCCACACTCTCCTCTCCCGGTTCTATGGCTTGCACCGTGTCAAGCTTCCGCGTGGACCCAAAATTCACTTTGTCATCATGAACAATCTTTTCCCGCCCCACCGAGATATCCACGAAACGTACGACCTCAAGGGTTCTGCCTTTGGCCGAGAATACCCCGAAGACAAGGCGTTGCAGAATCCTAGGGCCACGCTCAAAGACAAGAACTGGGTCAACAGGGGCAGGCTACTGGAGCTCGGGCCGGAGAAGAGAGCGCTGTTGACATCCCAGCTGAAGAGGGATATGGAGTTTTTGAGGAAAATCAGGGTGATGGACTACTCCCTTCTTGTTGGGATACACAATATGGAAAGGGGAAATCGAGACAACCTCCGAAACACTCAACTATCCGTCTTCCATGTAGGTCTCTCATCGGCCTTGCCTATCGTACTAATGATGGACGTAGCCAGAGGTCACCACGACCAGGCGCAAGCCATCCACCCACAACGGCGGCCACGAAGCTTCCAACATTCGTAAAGTTGTTCGACGTGCAGACCCCAAAACCCTGGATGTCACATCCCAATTACCCTCGGAAGATGCGCCTGACCACGCAGACCTCATCTTTTATCAAGATGAAGGGGGGTTTCAGGCCACTGACGAGCGGAACAACCCACTAGACACCATATACTATCTCGGTGTAATCGATATCTGTACTCCTTATAATACGGCCAAAAAGGTCGAACATTGCTGGAAGAGTATGACAGAGGATAGAGTGCGTATTGCGATTGTCTAGTATGGAAAGTGGCTAACATGGTCCAGCATATGATTTCTTGTGTGGATCCCGTGCAGTATGGCCAGCGATTCTTCGACTTTCTTCGGTCTGTCATGCGCAAAGGGGATCTCTCTCTCCGCCCGCCCGGTCTGGAACCTATCGCCAAGGTTGACAGGCTCGATGTTGGGCAAGATACCGATAGAGATCCATGTGCGGGCATCGACACTACTGCCAAAACTAGCGGCGGCGCTGACCAGGGCGGTGGCATCGAGGGCTTGAACTCTGCCGAGGTGCTCAGGGATGCGCCAGGGATAGCTCTCAGAGCGGACGGCGCAGAGGCACCAGAACCAGCAATGGTCGGACATTTGAAAGCGGACCAGGTCAGATAATGTCTATTTTGTTTATTTTTCTCTACATTTGTACAAGTATACCAGACAGACGAGTATACCCTTTTTATCTACTTTTTGACGTTTGGCCTTCTATTCTCAATGACGAACAATTATTCCATTGCATGTATACGACGACTTTCAACGACAAAATTCAATCAAGTCTGAAATACCTGTGTGGGATGGCGCATACCTTGTGCCTGGTACAAATGCACTGTGCTTGGGGCCGATGGGGTTCATCTCGTGGCCATTAGTGTTGCAGCTGCAGAGCATGTGCATACATCTCGTTTTACCCGTTTTACTTTACAGCTCTTTGACCGACTTGTCCGGCTCCATTTCTACTTCCAAGCCCCTTGCCATTCGCTTCCAGCAGGCCTTCAGGGCTGCCTTTGTTTCCGCATCCATCTCCAGCTCCAGCGCAACAGCTTCGGTATCGAGAGGGTCTCTGGCGATGCCTTCGTCTATTGCTGGCTGATCGCTCGCTATATCTGACTTTGACGCTGGGTCGGCCTCTTCTCGAAAGATCGGCCGCTCAAATGACGCCTTCCTGTGGAACATTGCTCGATTTACCATAACATGAAGGTGGTTGGTTGCCGGGCGAATGACAGCTCGGTCTTCTAGTATTCTCTGAAGCGCCTGGGAAAGGCGGGAGATGATGGGATAGTGGATTCCGAAAGCTGCTAGAGTCATGAGCAGCGGCTTGACAGCCTCTGATTGATCGTCAGATATCCAACCTCGATATACCTACTGTGACGCACCGTGGTAGTGGAGTGCTGACATGTAGGCATCTGCAGCAATGGCGGCCACGCCGGCAAACTGGCCCTTCCACTGCCCAGACGTCAGCAAAAGCATTGCGGCGGCTTTTGGAATCAACGTACAATAGTTTTGCTGCTGTTCGCCAGCAACAGAGCCTTTTCCTTGTCTCCGCATTTGATGGACGCATTCAAGCCAATGTCCAGCAGCTCGCGAGATAGGCCACCGAGAGGTTTTGCTTTGGGACTAGAGTCAAATTTGAGCAGCACAAGCTCGAGAGCTCCAGAGTAATCCGGTGGGTCCGAGAAGTACAAGCTACTGGCCGCATACTCTTGCTCTCAGCATCAGTGTCTGACAGCAGGAGAAAAATCGGACGACTCACCTAGCCGCTGCCTGTCTACCTGAGACTTTGAGGCTGGTGGATGCTCGCTGTATGCTTCTGGCTTCAGCCACTGCTTTCGATCAGCGCCTGCACAGCAATTTGGGGAACAAGCCTTTACCTTTCTTTCAGTGTACGCATGCTCTGGTTTGTACTCTGTCTTTGACCGCTCGACGGCGGCAGCTATACGCAGAGCTTTGACTGAGACCCGGAGGTCGGCTTCATATGCCTCTGGCTGGGTGTGCGAGGCGGCCTCGTCGTCGTGCTTTGCTACTGCGGCATAGTTTGAGCTGTCTGCGGTGGGCATGGCGGAGAGAATGCAGATGGACAGGATGGGAGTCTCGGCAGAAAAGCATCGAAAACCAGTCGAAAACTGAGGTCGGGGTGCCGACGGGGACAAAGGGTAAACAGTCGGCCATGTCCGCCGCGCCGTGCTTCGTTAGCCTGTTTCATGTGTGAACCTCGAATCATCATCTCTATCTTTTCTTCTTTTCTTCTTTTCTTCTTTCTTCCCCTGCCCCTCCCGCCATGGTCTACCAGGACACCCTCCTCTCCCACCGCCCACGCGAATTCTCCCTTGCAGAACTGCCCTCCCTTCCATCCGAGTCCGACCCCAGCAGCTCCCTCGCTCGCCGGAAAGAAAGCCTGATTGGCAAGGCCGACCTGGCCACCAGCTCCAATGCCACAACGCGCACGCTTCCTCCAGTCCCGAACGGCTCAGAGCCTCCCTCTGCCTCTCGCCCGCCAGAAAGCGGCACTAGCGGCTCAGAAGAGACTATCACCAGACGGCGTCGCACTGGGACCCGCACAGAGCGTGATCGCGTCGTCATCCAGTCATCAAATGACTCCAAGGGCCACAAGTCTTCATCAAGGGCTGCAAAGCCCCTAGAGCCGCAGCTCCCGTCTGCACCGGGGCTTCTTCGAGCTCCCGCGTCGTCAATGTACTTCTCGTCGGTGCCGTTCTACGGCTCTCCGCCGAATCAAGCTCTGAGAGCCCACACTGGTACCCTGGTTGGAGAGAGAATATGGATCATTGGGGGTGTTGATCGACAAAACTGCTGGCGTGGGGTAGCGTGGTATGACACCGAGAGCTACATGTGGAGTACAATAGAGACTGCTGGGGGCCAGTTTCCTCCTCTCCGTGCCCATACAACTACGCTCGTTGGCGACAAGCTCTTCATTTTTGGAGGCGGCGATGGTCCCACATACAGTAACGACATCTGGATTCTGGATACGTGTGAGTCTTGCAAGATGGCATGAATGAACCTGGACTGATGATTGACTAGCTACACACCGTTTCTCTCGACCTGTCTTTGATCCCAACATGTCGCTACCGCCGCCCAGGCGGGCACACACTACCGTCCTTTACCAACACTATCTTGTTGTCTTTGGGGGCGGCAATGGTCAGGCTGCACTCAATGATGTATGGGCCCTCGACATATCCGATCTCGACAACCTTGTGTGGCTAGAGTGGAAGACCAAGGGGGATGTCCCTCAAAAAAAAGGCTATCATACAGCCAACCTGATAGGAGACAAAATGGTAGTCTTTGGTGGAAGTGATGGTCATGCTAGCTTTGCAGATGTACATGTGCTGAATCTTCGTGAGCCCCTCATTTTCTCGTCTGTCAAAACTGACCCATTTTCCAGAGACATGTGTCTGGACCTTGGTCAACACTGATATCAAGCACAACAGGCTATCACATACATCAACCCAGGTCGGATCCTATCTTTTTGTCATAGGAGGTCACAATGGACAAGCATATGCCCAAGATGTCTTGCTGTTCAACCTTGGTGAGTCCAATGCAAAATGAGACATTTCTTCAGAGCTGACTATTGCAAGTCACACTCCAATGGGAAACCAAAGTGCCCCGCGGTGCCTTTCCACCTGGCAGAGGCTACCATGTTGCTCTGCTGCATGATGCAAGGATTTTCATCTCGGGTGGTTATAATGGAGAAACAGTCTTTGATGATTTTTGGATACTAGACCTCAGTGCCAGTGCTTATTTACCGCAGGTGGTGAGTATCTTCAAGAGTAGAGCAAGTCTGGCATGGCTGACTGAATCATGCAGACAACATTTGAGGTGGATGAAACTGTACAACTAGACAGTATCAAGAGGATAGAGGATGGTGTAGGAGCTGCAGGGTATGATTTGTAGTGGTCACTGCTTTGATTTCCAGTCTTCCAGTCCTAGTGAATTAAGTGCAGGTTGATGTATTGAAGTGTGGACTTGAATGACTAAAATAATATGTTCTATTGATGGGGTCCGATGGTACTGATATTCTAGAGCAGCGTGAGCAGGCTCAACCGGAAGAGATGCTTTGGGGTGAGGTGAGACTCTTCCTACTGAAGAGGAGCTTGTTACTATCCTAAGACTTGGCCAACTGTCTGGTTGCTCTTGAAGAAAGTAGTACCCATCCACTAAGACTTTATCTTAGGCAAGTCGTAGGTGTGATGCAGCTGGCGCATCTAGGACAGAAGGAAGCCATGCCGTCTTCGTCTATGCCTTCAGTGTCGAAAGTAGTGAGAGGAGCGCCATCGGTTGAGCACTGAGAGACTCCTTCAAGCATGTTGTAGTCGAGATGTTCCATGAGGTATCCGTCGAGGCGATGCGACTAAGCTGTTGCGAACAGCATGTGCACACGACCTACTGAAAAGCGGCATTGGAAGTGAACGAATTGTACTCCCTCAGTGTAAGGGATTGGTACAGACTGGTCAGTAGGAGGAGATGTAGTGACGTGTACGTTGGAACGCAGAGTCTGGTATTGGGGTTGCCGCTATGTTCTCAGGGACGAGTTACGCGCGGAGGCGAGAGGAGGCTCCCCGTACATACATCCTGCCGCGTCTCATATCCTTTTCCTCATAGATGTATTTCCGTATATTCCTCATCACCTTTATCCATCCTCACCTTTATCCATCCTCACCTACCTCGCCTGTCCCAGGTCGATATCCAGCACCCATAGTTGGATCCACCACGTAACCGCCCATAGGTTACGCCACCTACACCGCCGGTCAAACGAAATGTCCTGCGGATATTTCCGCGCGCGGATGTCTGTACGATGTGATCTAAGGAATTGATTTTGATGTCGCGCGGACATTTTGGCATCCAGATGTCACACAGACATTTTGATGTGTGCCCTTCAAGATGTCGCGCGGATATTTTCATGCAGTTTCCAAAAACATCATATGGATATTTTCAAGGGTCTGTCAGAATGTCTGGTGGACGTTGTATACAGCTGTTGCCAACGTCGCCTTGATATCTTTCTGGGATACCAAAAACATCATTTCAATATTCTCAAGGGTATGTTAGAATGTCTGGTGGACATTGTATGCAGCTGTTACAAATATCAAAATGACACTCAGACAAGCTACATCAGACATCTACAGAACATTTATTCTATTCACTACTCTCCCTGCTTGCCCTTTCTGCGCGCCCTCACTCCCCGCCCGCCCCTGCATGCCTGCCCGCCTCTCCCTCCTTTGCTTCTTCGAGACCTCTTGGGAGCTGGACCCTCTGTAACCTCCTCCTCAAAGCCTGACTCTTGCTCCTCCGTCGTGCCATTGGCCATTTGAGAAGCCCGCATCTCGTCTGCACTCCGCCTGGCACCTGTTGACACAGAAGGCGGAGCACTCACAAGAGAGGGACTGGATGCTGGTCGAGACAGTGTGGAAGAGGACGCCAGTCGAGAGGTCTGCGGGGATGCCGGCAAGGAAGCTTCTGGATCCACTACGCTTTGATTAGTGGACATCATTTTGAGAGACATATGTGCGTACCAGAAGGACGGGGGACAATGAGCTGGCCAACGAAGGCCGCATGCTGCATGACATGGATCTCGAGCAGCTGGCGACTCACATCGAACTGCCAATGCAAACATTAGGGCGACCCACGTATTAGAAACATAGAATATACAAACGAACGCGTTTGCTTCCGTTCTCTTCCAGCGCTCGCCCCAGCCCTTGCCCCCCCTCGCCTCAAGCCTAGACCCCCCTTCAAAAAACCTAGCCTTCCTGCCCGTACCGTTTTTCACCCATGCATGCATAGTCGACTCATGGAGAACTGGAAATGAACCTTAAAATAAGGTTCAACGGACGCCATTTGCTTCCGTTGGCTTCTGGCACTCGTCCAAGCCTCTCCTCCCTTCACTTTTTCCCCCCACG